AGTTTATATTAATAATTTCCGGATAAATAATAGCTTAGAGAATTTTAAAAATAATATTATTAATTAATAAAAAGAATCTCGGTATTAATTTATTATTTTTTCTTATAAGTAATAATAAATAATTGGAGCTTATTAATAAGTTAGTCGAGATTAGAAAAAGAATTCGAGATTATATATTAGTATACTAGTATATTTTAATAAGAAATAATAATCTTATTATATAGGAATTCAATATTTTATAAAGCAAGTACTAGTCTATATTATAATTTATATAGATTATTAATTAGTAATTAGATAAACTCAAATATTATTTTTTCGAGATATTAAGCTATTATAATTACTATTATAGTAGTATTTTACTTATCTAAGTTTTAATATTAGAAATTAGGGCCTTTAAAAAAACTATAAATATTTATATAGGCCTCTTTATATATATATTAAGAGAGCTAATTATTATAAAAGTAATTTTATACTAGTTTCTTTAATATAGTAAGAAAAGCTCTTACTAATACTTTTTATAGAAACTCTATATATTAGTAAATATTAAGGAAAATAGCAAGTTTTTAGTTAAAATTACTATTAGTTCTATTATATTTCTATATTTTAATATATATTTTTATTATTTCTCTAATTAGTTTATAATAAGAAAACTATTTAAAGAACTATTTAAAAATAATAAAAATAATAGAAAATTATTACTTTTGGCTTTTTATAATTTAATACTAATAGAAATAATTATAGATAATAAAGAAATAGTAAATAATAAAGAAATATAAGTAATAATTAATTTAATATATTAATTTCTTATAATATTATTATTTAGGAATATATATAATAAAATAATAGGGCTTACTTTAAAGTTTTATTTAGTAATAATAATATTATTAGTAATCTAAATATATTATTCTTTTCTTTAAATAATATTAACTAAGAACTATATAATAATAAAATAATTATAATTATATTTAATATAAATATTACTATATTATAAAATAGCTTATAATTAATATAATATATATTAATCTAGTTAATTAAATATCTCGAGATTAAAATTACTAAAATTCTTTTTAAATAATTTCTAGAGATCCTTATTAGTTAACTTCTTTATTTTATACTAAAATAATCTAGTATTAAGGTAATCTAGGATTTCCTTATAATTAAAGCTAGTTAGGTTAATACTATTTTTCTATTTCTTTATTTATTTATATTTATTCTAAAGATTTACTATCCCGAATTCTTAGAATTAAGCCTTTTCTAATATATATATATAGTTTATAATAAGAGGAATTCAAAAATAAGATAATTTATAGTAAGTTTATAGAAATAGTTTAATAATAAAGATATCTAGATATTTAGATATCTAGTTTAGATACTAGGTTTAGATACCTAATTAAGATATTAAATACCTGATTTAGATACCTAATTAAGATATTAGATACCTGGTTCAAATATCTAATTAAGATACTAGATACCTGATTTAGATATTAGATATCCCAGATATCTAAAAATATTAAGAATATTAAAGTAAATATTTTGCTCTTAAATATTTCATTTATAATAAGAAATTTAGGAAGTAAAATATTATAATTTTAGGAGAGTTCAAAACTTAAAAAACTCGATTTAATAATAAAATCGAAATAGTAATTAAAGAGCTTTAAGGATATATATAAGATATATATTCCGGAAAGAGTATTTTATAAATACGAGTATTATATAAATAGAAAAGATAGTTTCTAAGAAAGTAATCTTGGCGCTAAAAAAAGTTAGTTTTAAAAAATAATAAAAGTTAAATAAATAGATAATTAAATAGCTAATTACTTATTAATTAATAAGAACTAGAGTTTTCTTTTTTAGGCTATTAAATAATTTTTCATAAAATTAATAAGTAATTCCCTTCTTTAATATAGCTAGATTAATATTACTAAGGGCTACTAGATACCTTTTTTAGTATAACTATTCTATTTCTAATCTATAAATACTAACTAATTAGTATTAGTTTACTAGTAATATATAGTACTATTATATAATTATAAAATACTATTTATATAAGATTAATAAAGTTATTATTCGGAAATAAGAATTATAGTATTATAATACTAATATATAATCCCTAAATTTACTAAGCTTAAATAAATCTAGTTTACTAGTTAAGTTACTTATAGAACGCGAGATTATATAATTATATCCCGTATTTCATATCTCGTAACTATATATATAACTCCTAAAGAAATAGCTATATTAATACTAATTTCTTTATTATTATTATTTTATTAGCTAGTTCTAGAAATATCTAAGTTTTATTTCCTTTTTTTAATTAGGTAATATAAAAAGTATCTAATTAGGTACTTTTCTAAATATTTAATTAAATTATTCTAATAATAATAAAGATATTTTTTTAATTAATATTTCAGTTATTAATAATTTTGTTTTTTAATAGCTTATTTACCTTATAATAAACTACTTTCTAAAAATTAAATTAATTAGAATATAAGATATATAATAATAGAATAATATATAAATAATTAAGATAAATAAGCTATAAAATAATACTTATAAATATAACTAATTCCAAGAATTAATTCTAATAAAAAACTAATTAATATCTTTTTTTAAAACTAGAAATATCTTTTTATATATTTCCTAATATTTAGCTAAATATATAAAATTCTTTACTTAATTAAGAAATATAATCTTATATAATTTATATAATTCTAATTATAAGCTTTATTTAAAATAAGAAACTGGATTTATAGTATCTAATATTTATTTATATATTATTATTTATTATAATTTTATATTAAAATTATAAATTATTTTTAAATTATTTAATAAAGATAATATTATAATATTATATAAATCTTTTAAAAAAATTTATAAAAATTCAATTATAATTAAATATAAATATTAATTAATAAAAAAAACTTATAATTATAAATTTTTATATTTAAAATCTTAATTTATATATTAAATATAATATATATATATTAAATATAATATATATATATTAAATATAATATATATATATTAAATATAATATATAACTTTATATATTATTTTTATTTATTATAATTAAAAATTTATTAAAAATTTAATTTTTTTAAAAAATTTAAAATCTCAAAATTAAAATCTTTAGTTTTATAATTAATTCTTTAAAAAAACAAGTTATATAAAAATTTAATATATATTATAAATACTATAATAAAGTAATAATTTTATGATTTTTTAGCTTTATAATATTATATAATATAAAAGTTATATTAATATTAATATATTTTAATTAAAATTATTAAAAATAAAAGGATTTTATAAAGTGGTTCCTTTTTAATTAGTAAAAGTATTTTTCTTAAGCGCGTGTTTTGGTGCGGGGAATCGGTTACGGAAGCAGTGAGAGTGAGAACTTCTCACCCTTCTAACAAACTTTAATTTTATAGATCAAAATCAAATCGATCGATTAATCATACCGACTGACTATGTTTTTGGCCCGCTAACCTCCCAAAGCGAGCCCCTAAACTTCGGACCCAAAATTTTTTATTTTTTTTGGATCACCCTCGGGGGGAAAGGGGTCTTTGGTTGCACGTCTGCAAATGTATGCCGCGCTGTTGCCCATAGCTTTGCAGAGTCATTATTAGAGCTCGGTTTGTTGCACGTCTTATTTACGGCCAAGACGCCAGCAGGCCGTTTAGCTCACTGGGATGATTTGGTGTAACGATACAAGGACCTAGGGATTATTGAAGGCGGTATTTCTCCGCCGTCCGGGCAAGAAAACGTGGGTTCGTATATTGACTTTGAGATCCACTTTTGTGCCACCGGTCTCTACGCAGTAGAGTTCAAGCCCGCTCTTTCTCTCATCCATACAAGAACTCACACAAGACTCTGTTGCACGCCAGCAAAGTAACTTTTTTGCGAATACACATGGCTCTGACGAACTAAAGTATATTATTACATCATTAAATCGATTGAGTCTTGGAAACATTTCGTGAACATGCTGGGGCGAGAAGGACACACTTGCAAAGCGAGGTCCCTGGCTTCTAGAGCTGGGAGACTGGGGAGGAGGAGGTAAGGTCGAGTCTTTGTTGCACATTGCACATATCACGTCAGCCAGTTACTTGAAAAGCTGTTAGTGAGCTAGACTATTCGAGCCACGAGTACAGGCCCAAGACGGGCAGCCTCGGCGAAGAGGGTAAGCATTTTGAGTTTTGAGTTCTGTCAAGATAAGAAGAATGGACCTGCCCTCCAATCATGTTCCTGCCTGAATATTAAACTTTTCTTGGGTCCCGAAGAAGTATGATCGACGCCCCGTTTGTGTATGGCTCCCCCGTGATGGCTGAGTCAGAATCGTGTCACAATGGACAGAGTTGAGTTCACAGCGCTTTTTGTCGCTCATCGCACGATCAGGATCGCCGATTTCCGATTTCCGATCTCACGTTCCAAGATCTCTCTCCGAGACTCGATGTTTGAGACTCGGAAATCGGCAAGGAAGGTCGGGAAATGTGTGAGAATTGGGAGGTGCCTGATTTGGAAGGACCCTGATAGCGGCCGCCGGGAGCTAGCGGCATTTTCCTGCCACTCCCCATTGTCCCCGGAATGGTTTGAAGGTCTTCTTTCAATTCTGCCAAGGGAGCCAAGGGTACTCTTCTGAACGTCAGCGTCTTGGGACTCTGAGGAGACTTGGCTACAAAGCGACAGCGATTTCCCTGAAACGAACACTTGAACGGCTTGTTATTGTTCACTCTGGGGAGTGCAAATGCCCGCCGATAGATGTACTTCGGTTACAGGAAACCAAACATAACCAAATAAAAGTTCAGCTTTAGCCGAAGGGGCTTCGCACTCCATACTTGCAATGTACTCAGACGTTCTGAACCTTCAGTACTTTCAAGACCCGGGAGCTACCTGAAGACTTGATTTTGATCTTGATTTTGATTTTGAATGTGCTGAAATTTCCGGTCTTCTGGCAAAAAGAGCCTCACTCGAGGAATAATGTCGATCGTTGTCAAACGGCGATGGCTTTGGTGGGGGTTTGGCCGGGTCCGAGCCACGATGACCGGCCCACCCATGCCTATTCTGCGATGATGCGCTCATCATTGCCTACATCGAACATCGGTATTCTCGGCAGGCCAGAAGACGCCTATTTCTCAGGTGGGAAATTGCAAAAGCCATGATCACCCGGCTTCTGGCAGGATTTGCCACATTGGTCGTTTTAAAATACATATCACTCGTGTGTGTCGGCTTCTTACGCTTCCTCTAGGTTTGCAGCCCTTTGTTGCTTTGCGGAAGGTCCTCAAGAGGAAGTTTGTGAAGTCGGGGAAAGGGGAATTCCTGAAGAGGTGGCGGGCACAGGCCAGAGAAATACAGTACTCGAGTATCCTCTTCCGACGCTCGAGGCACAAGGGCAACAGGGCATCAACCGGGACCCATGACCCGGTGCATACGAAGGAGCTGTGATTTTTCTGATATGGCTATGGCTGATGTATGGCAGAATGAGGACAGACAGACAGACGACAGACAGGTAGGCAAGCAGACAGACGGAGCGCGTCGTGTGCCGGGCTGCTGTTGGCTAGCAACAACAAGAAGTGCATGAATGTCGCGATGCAGCCCGAATTTCATGATTGAGAGCCGATGACGTCGATGGACGCGGACCCCTGCACTCCCGCCGCCCTGAGGGATGTTGAAAGGTCTGGCTAGGTAGGCCAGAGCTCTGGCTTTCGAGGTACGGCCACCTGGGCTGCTGCTGCACTGCTGCAGTGCTGCAGAAGGACGAGAGGTGGGACAGGAGCTTGCCGTGGCTGCTGCTGGCCACTGGGCACTGGGCCATCGAATCAGCAGCCGTCTTTGGCCATCGAAATCTTCATCTGTACCCCTCCGAACCCCCTCCTTCCCGGAAATGCCTCCTGTGCCTCCTGTGCCATGCCTGTTGTAGCACTAGGATCCACTCTCGCCTTGTCTCCAGCTCAAAAACAGCGTCGTGATGGTAGTGACCCCTCCCCTTCTCTGCATCGACGGTCTGGATTCTTGATTGCTTGCTGCTGCTGCTGCTGCTGCTGCCCTTGTGAGGACTTATAATAATCCAAACACCCCTCGAGTAAGGATCGACATCAACATCCTAATCTTCACCGCCTGCAAACTTTTGTTTGACTTCCGCATACACTGGCAGCCTTGCTGTTGATTGTCCCACAGGCATTTGCTATCTACCACCAACATTCACTCTTGGGACCTACGGAGTCTCCTAGTTGAAGTCGAAGTTGAGCTTGTGGACGCCAGGCTCAACTGACCTTACCACTCTTTGCCCACTCGCGAATTGCCACTACCACGCACTATTGCGGCTGCCGTTGAACCCCCCAGAACAGTTGGGACTTTTGTGAGGTGAGAAAGTCCGACTTCTGCAGGCAAAATCTCTCTCCTCTCTATCCACAGCAGCAGCGCGATCCATCCGTCCACTTCTCTTCATTGATTGGGGCTGCCTGGGCCATTCATTCACATTTGCGGTCCGTTGATTATTTAACCCAGCTCCCGCTAACGCCTTGCTTTCGCGTTAGAGGCTAGCGATTCCCACCTCCTCGACAACGAACGGAGCGTCCATTCACGAGCCAAACCTCTTCCTTCCCTCCTCCTGCCCTCCATCCCTTCACCTCTGTCCAGATATTGCATCTGCAGTCAGGACAGCAATCCCTCATCATGGCGGAATTCGTACGAGCACAAATCTTCGGCACGACCTTCGAGATCACCTCAAGGTATGCGGGGCCAGGCGCGGGCGGGGTGTACGCCACACCATGTTTGCGAAAGACGAAACTGATTTTCTCGCAGGTACTCGGATCTCCAACCGGTCGGCATGGGCGCGTTTGGTCTGGTCTGGTGAGCTCAATACTTCTGCTACAATTGATGGCCCATACTGATACGATTGCGAAGCTCTGCAAAGGACAACCTGACTGGCCAAAATGTTGCGGTTAAGAAGATCATGAAGCCGTTCAGCACCCCTGTCCTATCAAAGAGAACCTACCGAGAATTGAAGCTCCTAAAGCACCTCAAGCATGAGAATGTATGGCCTTGGATCTCTGCAGATGATATCATGTGCTGACGCACTGCAGGTTATCTCCCTCAGTGATATCTTCATTTCGCCGCTCGAGGATATGTATGTCCGAGGCTTTCCGCACTTCCTGGTGGTTTACTGACAACGCCTGCAGCTATTTCGTCACCGAGCTCCTAGGAACCGATTTGCACCGACTCCTCACCTCCAGACCTCTCGAGAAGCAATTCATCCAATACTTCCTGTACCAGATCTTAGTGAGTACACCAGACAGATCCGCGAATTAGTTCGGGGCTAATCCGGGAACAGAGGGGACTCAAGTATGTCCACTCCGCAGGTGTTGTCCATCGCGATCTCAAGCCCAGCAACATCCTGGTCAACGAGAATTGCGATTTGAAGATCTGCGACTTCGGTTTGGCCCGTATCCAAGATCCCCAGATGACCGGCTATGTCTCGACGAGATACTACAGAGCCCCGGAGATCATGCTCACATGGCAAAAATACGACGTCGAGGTTGATATCTGGAGCGCCGGATGTATTTTCGCGGAGATGTTGGAGGGCAAGCCTCTTTTCCCTGGAAAGGACCACGTCAACCAGTTTTCGATCATCACCGAGCTTCTGGGAACGCCACCAGATGATGTTATCCACACAATTGCCAGTGAGAACGTAAGATTTTGCTGTGAGTGCTAATTGAGGTAAATGCTGATCAGTTATAGACCCTGAGATTCGTTCAGTCTCTTCCCAAGCGTGAGCGACAACCATTAAAGGACAAGTTCCGCAACGCGGATCCAGCTGGTACGTTTCCTCAATCAGGTGGAAGTTTTATGCTAACAACCTTGGTAGCCATTGATCTCCTCGAGGACATGCTTGTATTTGATCCCAAGAAGCGAGTAAAGGCCACCGACGCCCTGGCACACGAATATCTCTCCCCATACCACGACCCTACGGACGAGCCATCAGCAGAAGAGAAGTTCGACTGGTCTTTCAATGACGCGGACCTTCCAGTTGATACCTGGAAAATCATGATGTACGAGCAACTTTATGAATACCAAGATGAGACGTCCTAGAGGAATAGTGCGCTTTTCCATCGCACTTTCTTATTGGATCGGAGGAACAGCAAGAAGTGTGCATGACTGACTCGGTATGTTTCTGCAGGTATTCCGAGATCCTTGATTACCACAACGTCGAGACTGGCGGTGATAATCATGTGATGCAAGAGTTTACGAACGGTCAATAGTGTGTTTGCAAGCAGGTCAATGAAAGTACAAAAAATAGTCGATGTTGAGTCTCCTAGCCGCCGGTGGGAGGTCATCTGGGCTTTGCATGGTATGGATGGTCGGGAGCGGATCAGAGCTGAACTTGGTTTCTTTTCCTGTGTTTGTTGGTGGCCTCATGGGCTAGCAGCACTAGCCTGGCCTTTACATGGGAATTTCTCCTACGGCGTAATACGAATATGCATGGACTGGGTGGGCAATGGTCAATTCTTCTCTTCTTGCTTCTTCAGCGGTCCAAGAACGCAAATGCTTCTTCTCGATGTAGTAGATGACGGAATGGAAAGGGAAGTGCAGCCAAACGTCCTATGAATGAGTGCACGAGAGGCAGAGCATTATATGTGGTGGGCATCTCATGGGAATAGAACGAATGACATCAAAAAAGACATGAAAACATCCAATGCTCTCGTGTGTGTAACGGTGACTCGTATCCTCTCAGCTCGATGACTACAGTGGCGACCCGAGGCAATGTACTCTGTACCAATTACCAGCAAAGTGGCAATACCCTCGTTCCCAATCGGTGCTACTCTTCCACTCCCCTCGAAGCAGCTCCAGCAGTATTCGTCAATGCCACCCACCGCTTTTTGGCATCTAGGTCCAGGCCAAGCAAGTGGGAAGTCAGCAACAACGCTCTCTGCCACCCATTTGCCTCACAATACCCTATCAGCGCCGCACCCACAGATTACGTGCATGGCCCTCGTCTCAGCACAGCATCTGCATCTCTGGATCCAGATCTTCCAGTGGCGGTCGGGAGAAAGAAGGAGCATCACGTGAGACCGAGGATGCCTATCGCACGCCCCCTGGTCCCTTGGCAGCGGCCGTGCACCGCTGCTCATCGCCGCTCCGCAGCATTGCGCTGGCCTTGCAGCGACAGAAGCAGCGCAGATTCGTGGGCTGTCGGGGCTTGCAGCACGCAGCGTGCAGCGAACGCAGCATTTCATCGCTCTCTCTCTGCTCGTGTTTTTTCCCGTCGAGAGTATGTTTGCGCGTACGTAGCGGTCAAGAAAACTTCTTCTATTTTCCCAAGGCAAAAACAGGCATTGGGTGTGTGCAGGGTTGGTGGTCCCCCTCCCTTGGGCTATTTTTATTTGAAAGATCTCTGGTGGCCTGAGACCGACGGTTTTTGAGGGGTCGGAGTCAAAACTTTGTTTCGATATTTGGAGGAGGGAAGGTGTTGCATTCCGACCCATAGAAATCGACGACGCGCAACGACGAATCGAAAATCCCACGAGTTTTGAAGGAAGAGGTGTCATCATGCGGTGAGCGCTGGCTATTTTTTTTCGCGGGTACCTATTCGATAAGAAGAAAGATTTAAGAAGGGGATTGGGATTGGGATTTGGGGTGGTGTGGGCATCGGATAGCCATCTCAAGATGGAGAGCCCGCACAGGGAATCGGAGGTATCTGCTACTGCTCCCTCGAATGTTGAGAGTGTGCCGAGCAGTAGCAATGGCAATGGGCATGGCTTTGTACCGCTGGTGACGGTGGTGGGCTTCCATCATGCGAGGTGCGCGATCCTCGATCCCGAGAGCATGGGCAGACAGCTAATAGGTTCATGGATAGAGGACCGGAAGTCGAGAGTTGGTTTGGGGCCGAGGAGGGGACTGATCCTGCGGTTGATAATGAGTGGCCTCTTCTGCCGTTCATGGCATTGAGCGATGGCGCGCATGTGTGAGTCCTCTTTCCGGATTGCGATGGACTGAGCTGATCTGGTGGGGTTGTAGGAGCACAGAAGATTTCTCATACTTCACACTTCTCCGACCTGCGCGCGGCTCTGTCCCAGCTACCTCCCTCTTTGGCATCTCCTGTACTCGACAAATGGACGCCTCGCAACTGCTCAATCGACCGGCAGACGTTACCCGCTCCACAGTTCAGAAGGCCGTCGTTGTGATAGCGGACTCGCCGCAGTTCTTTGGCATGCTGAGAGAGAGGCTGGGGGTTGTGACCAAGGCCTGGTTCGCGCAGAGGGAGTTTTCTGATACGGAGATATTGAGGAGGTTCCAGGAGAGCTTGCAGGAGGAGAAGGAGAGGGGCGAGGGGCTGGCGGATGAGGATAGGGAGGAATATCTGGGCATGAGCTTGAGAGAGCTGGTGAGAGAATTCAAGTCGCAGACTTTGGTGCTGTTCAAGTGCTGTTTACTGCAACCAAAGGTACTCCTTTCTATCATAAGGAGAGGGAAGAGTTGTGCTGATTGAGACAGATGCTATTCTTTGGATCACGGTGTGAGAGACTTTGCATGATGCAATTCTCTCTGATCTCCCTAATACCTGGTCTCATACGGAACCTACAAGATTGTGCGGATCCGGACTTGGATCATTATGAGAAGCACCTTGTGAAGCCTGCGAGTTTGAAGTCAAGCGACAGAAATTCGCTCTTGACTTACATGGGCTTACCGCTGCAAATATTTGGCAAGGTAATGCAACTGGTACAGCAATTGGTTTGCATACTTGCTAATACATTCTTAGGGGAGCTTATTTGGACCTTATACCCCTTTACAACAACTTGATATTCTGGCAGATTACGGAACAAAATCATATATCGTCGGTTCCACGAATTCCCTACTGTTACAACAAAAAGACCGGTACAGCGACATTCTCATTAATCTAGATAATTCGACTATCAACATTACCTCCAGCTCTTTGCGAGCTGCGCTCGCCCTTTCCGTGGCGGATCGACGGTGGATAGACTTCATCACTCAGTCCGTGAACGACACTTGGGACGAGACAAACCCTGGACGGCCGAAGACAATGGGCTACGTCGGCTCAGAAGAATTTATTCGCCTTCAATTCGAAGAATACCTGCTCTCCCTCATCTCGGCAGTAAAATGCCGCAACTACATGAATCACCACGCCCACAACCCCAAAATGCTACCACAAGTCGAAGGCGACCCATCCCATGACTTCGGCGTCGATTGGATCGAAGCCTGGAGCAGGTCCGAGAACTACAGAATCTGGGATCGCTACACAGATAGCCATCTCTTCGATATCGTGGAGCCCAAGCATCCTTGCGCAGGTGGCTTGACCATCGACGATGTGCAGAAGCGGATGATGGAACAAGTCAAGGAATTCCACCTCGACGAACGCTTTGCTGTTGGCAAAGAAGTGCTAGGCAGGAATCTACAAGCAGGAAAAGAGAAAGCAGGTACAGTATTCAACAAATTGTACGCTGATATGGAGGCTTTCAGAGAGACTCAAAGGAAGAAACACGAGGAAGCGAAACGAGAGGCGGAGAAGAATGGCACTCCGGTTCCGAGTCTAGGCTTCGCAGCTCCGGATCTGAATGGAGCGCGACAGACGGTACAGAGCGTAGGCAGCAAGGCAGGAGCTTACATAGGAAGCTGGGGGACCTGGATGGGGGAGAAGCGGAAAACAGGCTGGGGAAGAAGCACATCTAGTTCAACACCAAATCCGCGAAAAGAAAAAGAGAATGTCGCATTACCGGTTAGGAATGTAAGGATCGAGAGGTCGCCCGAACCGATCCCTGAAGCTGTTAGGCCGAGGACTCAGGAAAGCTACGAGGAGAATCTTTTCGATGCCGAGGCCGGTGCTGGGCATTCGAGTTCTGGGCTCAAGAAGTTAGCGGTACATCCGCCGCCCCACCCCTCCAAATTCCACGAGTCAATCGATGAGCCGATTGCTGTTCCTGCGGCGGCTGCTGATGAGGTCGGTCAATCATCGAAGAAATGGGAGGACAGCTCGCCGAGGAAGGAAGATGCTGATAGCCGGGCAAAAGCCGTTGCCGAGGCCGTCGAGGCTGCCACGGCAGCGCCGATTTCGCCGTAGAAGTTTGTATTAGAATTGGAATTGGGCAGGATCCGATGGAGCGGATAGGGGATAGGGTATGGGTTGGAAAGGGAGGTCGGCCTGAATCACAGCATAGCCAGCAAACAAGTAAGCATTACAGCATGGGTTGCGGCGCCAGGTGTTACTTGGTGAATTTTTGAAGACGATGAATGATATGATATGATAATTTATGAATAAGAAAGACGTTAACTTTGATTTTCTGTTGATTTCGCCTGACACTAAGCTTCTGCCCTGCTTGTATCTGAATATTTGGGAGCGCTTACCCAATTGCTCCATGCACTCTCCAGGACCACTCTATTCCTCAATCAACAACCGTCTTCCGCACCTACCAAACTACGTGATTCTACATCACATAATCCTCCCTCTTAACGGCAAATTCCCACTTTTCCGTCCCGCAATCCTGCAAAAAGCGGACCCTGCGCCAACTGCCTGGGCCCCAGAGCACTTCCATTTCATCATAGAACCCTACTTTATCAATTACTTCCCTGCCACCGAAATCCCTCACTCAATCCAACTCGATTCGAATTACAATCTAAATTCCAGATTCGAAACCTAGAACGGTCGATGGGAGAGGGCAGATTTGCCATGGTGATCTCAGCATGGGAATTCAGAATACCATCGTACGATGTGCAACAAAAATAAAAATAAATTGGGGATGCAAAATGGTTTAGGTGGAAGTTGTGAGTCATTGATTGAGGGGGAGGAGATGTGTAATAAAATGGGTGTTTTGAGGAGAGTGTCCGAGGGCTACTTGGTGCCCAGGGCTCTGAGTTATGGGGGAATTCCAGTGTCTAGGAGAAAGCACAATGCTCAGTAGTATGAGTGAGGCGCAGAGATGTAATGTATGGATTTCGAGAGGAACAAAAGGCATGAGTAATTGAAGGAGGGGAGTTGGTGTGTACAAAACTCATCTCTCTTATTTAGAAGGGAGAAGGAGGACGCTTTTGACATCCCTTCGAGGCTGTGTCGTTACAACGAGCCACTTTCTCATCAGCCTCCGAATTGCTTCTTCAGAGGGAACGTGTCAGCCCTCGTGGCTGTATGTGAGATGTGCAATAAAAACAATAGCATTCCTTTGCTAGCACCTATGAATCATCATAACTAGCCTCTAGCCACAAAGCGTGTTCTGAGGAGAGTGCCGTGAGCCTTTTCAAGCTATCATTGGCTGCCTCCCAACGTTGCCATAGAAGGGCGGGATCCGGTCTCCTCCCGATCCAGACAATCGGCCTGAACCCAGATATACTGTTTTCTGGACTCTAATTGCTGTACAACGCATCGCGGCCCATAGCTATTGAAGCAGACTTCCTTCGTTCGGTACACGTGGGACCGAAACCACTCTAGACCTACCGGATCTCTGTCACTAAAAACTACCTCCACCATCAAGCCTTGATTTCCCACTCTAACAAAAATGAAGGCGGAACCCGGGTCTCGAAACACTGCGTCTTCCTTATGTTCTTCCGAAGTGTTAATTTATACGTGGCACAGAAACCCCCCCTATCTCGCTTCGCTTAACAACAAACCACAAAAGCCTCAAGAAAATAAAAGAAAAGAAAAAAAATCCCCACAGAAAAATTTGGTAGGGCTAGAATATCAAGCAAAGTGGCAAAACAGTTCGGCACACCGCCTCCTTTTGAAGGTCTTATGTTACGTGTGCTTACATCTGCCCTGTTTCCAGGAAGAGTTGATATTAACGAGCTTCTCTTAACCGCTCTAACTCACCGGAGAATCGCTAGCGTACTTGGGAAAGTGAGGTACCGTTCAGCCACGAAGTCGGTGAGTTGATGGGAAGAGTTCTTATTTTGGTATATACGATTCACAGACGGAAGTCTCGCTAGGTAAGTGCGTAATGTTATTGAAGATTGCTGGCAGCATCGTCACCGCCACCTTCGATATTAAATTTCCAACGGGAAACAGAATTGCTGTTATTTTTTTTTTTTCAAGAGGGGCAGGTGTCAAATTTCTTTTAATTCGTGCTAGTTTGAGATGGTTCTCCTTACTGAGTTTTGATTTCTCTGATATCATGTCCCTGTCGACGCTAGACGACATCAACGCCTTTCACGTTGAAGTTCTGATAGGAACATGCGAGTGCCCTCAACGTTTCAATGCGGCTCGGCATCATGCTCCCAACCACTCAGCGTCTGATCAGATTCCGAGTCCAGACTGGATACTAATCTCCTTCCAAATGTTCACTTTCGAAAAGGACATCAGAGAAGTAACAATAGATGACTCTCTATCACTTCTTCAACCGCATTTCGTAGCCGAAAAGTCCTGCAAATCCACCCACGGCCCCCTCGACCAATCCACCGTATTTAACCACTCCAAATTATCCAGTCCGTCATCAAACCCCACATCCAACATCGGATCATACGGCAAGCCATTCTCAAATCCATTCGCCTCACCGTTCGACTCCTGACTGCTCGCAGGAGGCGCAGAACTCGGCGGACTGGGGTTGAGAATCTGATCCAAGATCCTCTTGATAATCTGTCTCATTCTCCCACAGAGTTGGTAGTTACCTGCCGATGGTTTGATCCATTCCAGGAAACCGATGAGGAGGGAGAGATTTTGGACGATTTCGGAGCGCGGGATGCGGAGCATGTGTTGTGTGCCTTGAGGTTGCTTCGTTTGTTTCAATAACTCGACGCAGAGGACGCCGCTGGATGGGATGCCCCAGCACATCAGCATCCAGTCGTAATCGTGGTGATGCTCGCTGAAGCGGTCTCGCTGGACCCAGATCAAGACAGTGAGTTCTAGCATCTCCCGTGCGCAATCGACCATGGATTGTCCATCTAGGATGTCTTGCTTGAATGCTAGGCGCTCGAGGAGAAGTCGGTGTTCAAGCATCATGAGCCGGAGACAGAGACGCATCCAGACTTTCACGTCAGGAACATCCAGGTCCGAGACGTCGGCCATATTGAACTTGAGGTAGTTAGGAAAGGAGTCGTATGTTTGTTCAATTCGGTTCATCAAATCTCTGCCGTGATATTAGTATGTGTCGAAGCGCGATAACCTGAACGCTTACTTGATGATCTTGCCTGTGATATTTTGCGGGTCTCCAAGAAATAATTCGAGAGCCTCGTTCAGGATTGGTGCAAGCAGAGTGCGGGTGCGGACACTGCTGTTAATATATATTTTCTCTTCCCTGTTCCAGCCGTTGGAATCAAGTGCAGCAATAGCTCTTTGAAGCTCTTCTCCACCTTTCATGAGAACTTCGTCGCTGACATCTAGCGGAAGTTGAAGGTGGCACAAGCGGTGGCACAAAGCCGGTGGCCTGCCTGTGAGAAGGGAGTTCCCCATATTGCAGATAAATGTTGCATTAAATATACGCTTCTTCATTTCCGAGGTGAAGGTAACAGGTTGACCAGGCGTCAGGCGATGAAGTCCTAAAGCCGTCGTGGCACTGACAAGATCTCCAAGCTGTCTCCACACTACCAGACCTATCAACTGTTAGAAATGCCAATAGATGCCAGAGATATAGAATACTTACTGACATCCCCGCTTATAACGGTCTGAAGGATCAAGTTCTTCAGTAATAAAGCAACCATAGGAACATTGATAAGATCCATATAATTAGAAAGTGTGATGCAAGCTTGGACACAGTCCTTCAACTCAATCGAGAAATTCCTCCTACTCCGCCTATCGCCTCGTTGTGAAGAGAAGAAAGGGTCCCGTTCCGGCAATGAGAGCACCGCAGTGGTGAGAGCACCAAACACACCACCGAGAGCTTCCCACCTCATATTAGCACCACTGCAAGAGATAAACCACCGCTCGTAGTCCTCGAACTCTTCAAGTGCTGTCTCAGCATTCTTGCACAGGGTTGTTGACATGGCTTCGAGTTTTTCAGGGCGTCGGGGTTCTGCTAGCTGCCGTGCATATGTTGTCCAGAGAGAATTGGCCAAGTCAACATAAGCTTCTTTGGGTAATTCACACCCGTGGCACTTCTCCATGTACCAGCCGAGAAGAAACCTACAGGTTTGCTGGTCTGGGAGAGCATTGAGGATTTTGGCGCCGAGGGCTACTCTTGGAGAGCCTCTTGGCTCCTTTCCTGCTAGCATGAGGAAGGTCTGGGATTGGAGACTCTCATATGAAGCCACATATGGGTCCGAGTCGTTGGAGATTTGGATATCATCATGCCCGAAGTTTGAGCTGTTTTCTAGGAAGACGGCCGAGAAGTTTGTGGGACCTGGGCGAAGTCAGCTGGATGTCCTACCTTTGAGTAAACATTGGCAGTGTACAACAGACTTCTTAGGAAGGACAACATGGTGAACAAGGACAAAGAGCAACGCGATATGAAATCCAATAACTTCCAAAAGGGGTTCGGTATGCGTGGAGACTACTAACCAAAGAATCCTCCGGACTTTATGAAAGGGCCCGACTCAGGGTTCGGCTTAGGGCAAGTGTCTTTAAACACAATCGAAGCAACAGGAGAACCACTTGAGCCGGTAGAAGGCGTGAGAGGGGCTTTAGTGATTAGGGGTTCGGAGCGAGTTCCTGCGTCCGGGACAGGCCGTGTCATGGGGGCCGCCAAGTAGACGCATTTATTTGTGAGCTGCCTTCTTCGACATCGATCACACGTGGGGAGGGTATGGTCGCAAGAGACCTTTGCTTTCCGGCACGGTTCGCAGGCAAGGGTTCAGGTAAGTCTTCGTCCAACGAGGAAGCTTCGGTACAAGCTTACCTTGCTGTTTTCCATTCCGGCGTCTTGGGAGACCGCCTCTGGGGCCGTTCGAAGCCATCCCGCGCCACCCAAAGAGAAAAGAAATATGGGTTGGGGGAGCTGGTAACTCGGAATTGGGAGGTGAGCATTTGTCCCGGCAGGTCTCAAGCGAGAAGGTTTGGGAAGGGATGAGGTTTTGAAGCGGGATTCTCGGAGCTCGGCATCGGGGTTCACGCAGAAGCGGAGTTCAAGTCCCTGGTACACGAGAATGGGTGCAGGAGTTGACGCACGTTGTAGCCGAGAACACCAAATCTTCTCCAAAGGTCAACCATTTCAAGATTATATAGAAACACCGAACTTAATGTGAATATCTTAAAACTTACAGTATAAAGGCAACTTTACATTGCCTACTAAATATATTAGACATATAATCTCTATCGGCATTCTCTATCACTAGTGTTAAGTACACTCATTCCTCACCCAATTTTGGGTGGCTCGGTTAACTGGGACCCGTGCGAGAATTGCTGCACCTCCTTGTGGTAGCTCTGTAAGCAATGGATCAACGGCCTTGGTCCTACCAATGAAGAGCTTCAATGCGGCTAATTGACCTTCCGTAACGAGGGCCATCACAGGGGTTATTCTTGCTTCAGTGACTTCACCCATATTATTCCACGAAATGCTCAAATTTGGAAGCGGAAAGCATGTTTCTAAGACTCACTCAAACTTGAGTTTGAATCTTGACTCCCCCCCGTTTCCTTCCTACTCTTCATTTCAGTTCTAACTAGCCATCACATTGTCACCGAAGTCGAAAAGCCCTTTCTCCCAGAAACCTCCATCAAGGGAGGGCATTGATTTGGGAGCTTGTAGGCATTTTCTTCTCTAGAAATCAGATGGAGCTTTCCACCTCGGATCGCAGGACTATTTTCCACCTCCTACGAGAGAATCAAGATCACTGAGAACTCTCGACCGATTTATTCAAGGAAGCTTTTGCATTCTTAATAGCATGGGTATCATAGCACACCCCCACTAGCCACCAGTCATCCATTTCTTTCCCATTCTCCAAGGCAGATCCGCAAACCCCGTCATCAGTACCATCTTGTCATCCCGACCCCAACCCATCATCCAAACCCTGCCAGTCATAAACACGCAAAGAGTCGAGAGAAAAGAACTACGCAACCCGGTTATTCCCGCGCCCCCGACCATGAAAAGACCAAAAGCAAATTGGTATTTCCTCTTTCCTTGACACGCAAACTTCTATGTTGTATCTTTCAATGTCTGACGCCTCATACTTTTCTCTCGGGACCGACGAAACGTAAGAACTAAAACCGAAAGAAGGAAAACCAAGGCAAAAAAAAAACAAAAATGACGTTAAAATCACATGTTGGTATTTGGGTATTGCGCGCCAGGGTATATCCAGCCAGTGTTACTTCACCATGACTATAGGAAATAGGAGAGGAAAACGCATTCAAGAACGCGGTGGGCCAATAGGGCCTGGGTATCCTGAGTTGGTAGAATGAGAGGTGCTTGGGCGTCCGCTATCGCGCCCGCTGTCGATCGAAGCCCGAACTGTGTGTTTGGGGGTTGCATCGCCTGGATGTTGGAGTTGAGAGGGTTTGTGATCATTGCTGCTCCCGCTGCCATTCCCAAAGTGGCGGGTGGGCCATGGTGTGGTATCGTCGTCCGGCAAGTTGACACCACTGTCGTTCCATGGGTTGCGGTCCGCATTGAAGCTTCTTGTTGACTCGATGGAGATCAAGGAAGACTTCGACACGTTGCTGGAACCGTTCTTGAAGAAAGAACCAGCTGGTGAGTGAGAGCTGTTCTTGCGACGATCCAGGAAGGAAGATATCGAAGACATGCTACCAGGTTTGCGAAGCTTGTCGAAGATTGTGCTGCGCTCCCGAGCAACTTCCTCACCAAAGGTAGACTTAGTTGGCGAATCTGTAGATACAGGAGGAGCATGTTGAAGAAGCTTAGAGTCAAAATATTGAAGAGATTCCTCAAACGAATCTGACTTGGGTCGCGGGATGGCACCTTTGACGGTAGTAGCTTCGATACCAGCGGCTGCCAGGTTCGAGTTCAGAAAATCAATTGCATCCCTGACACCCCCGGCGTTGTTTCGAGTGAATGTCCAAAGGAGAGTCACGGTAGGCTTACCATCTTCCGTAAGTTCATTTTCATCTTCCTTAACATGTACTTCAACAACGTATTGTGCCTTCAGCTTGGGGACCAAGTCCTTCGTGAATTGCGTCGACTCAAGGAACTTGATTAATTCCGGAGTACTAGCAAGGACCAGCTCGTGATTGTCGGGGACCATGCCTAAGAATTCGTCCACACAATGAGGAACCTGCCATTCCGGGCCAGAGATTGTGACATCGTCGCTAGCGGTCTCGGTGCTGGGGAAGATAATCTTGCAGTTCCACTTCTTCTCCAATTCCTCGAGCTGACCTAGACGTGCAATGAGTTGTCGGTGATACAATCGATCGACGTTAACGGTCTGGGATGTGAATTCCGAGTCAACTCGGTCGACCATATCCAAAATCTCGGATTTGACAAGCTCCAAATTTTGAGCGTTGCGAGCAGGTGTGCGGCAGATGACATTGTCAACCTTGATATCATCGTCCTCGCGGCCCACACCGCCACGGTCCATGGCGTTGGAAAACTTGACAAAGACAGAATGCTTCTTCATGATCCGCTGGATGTGTTGTCCTCCAATCCCAATGATACGCTTATGATATTGGTCCGGAACATGGAACGAGATCGAGGCAGGCATTTCTTGCTCCACCAACATCAACCCGGACTTCATAGCCTCATAGTTTGCCCCACAAACATCGATATTGAAGTTGTACTCGTTGAATCCGTCGAAGATGATCTGGACGCTGCTTTGACCCATAATCTTGTTGATCTTGCCATTCTTCTTGCCACTGACGAATTCCTTGTGCTCATTTGCCAGCTCAATCTTAACCCTGATCTGATATTGGGATCGAGTGACGAATCTGATTTCCGAAATGACCATCAGTGCTGCTTTGACCGCATCATCGGAACCTGTAATTGTGAAGGTAAGCTTGTCAAATGCCACGTCAGCGTCAGAGTTGGCGCAGATGTCCGAGAGCATAGTTCGAATATCGTTTGGCGAGGGAAGACGTGAAGTATCGGCTTGCTGAATCCACCACGAAGCACTGTAAAATTGGCCGGTCTGCCATAGAGTTAGCACAATCCTACATTCAGTCTTGGGGTGATTACCAGAGACATGACATCCCTAACAGTGCGCTCCACGTGAAGCCCCTCAACACCTTGAATACGGATCATGCTACGTTGAGAAGCCAATGCCGGGAATTGGATGAAAGTTCCATTGGTTTCCATGATCTTGCGAACTTTATCCAGTCTGCTCAACAGGATACTATCGATCTTTGCCGCAGAGACGATTGCATCCTTCATGAAGATCCTTGTCCTAGTTACGAGTTCGTGTATCTTTTGCTTCGCTAAGGCGATGTTCTGCGGCGTATCACCAGTGATGAAAATCTCTTCTGGGTTGCGTCGTTGAGCTCCAGTAGGGCAGTATCTGTAAACTTGCGAGAATGGAGGCGGGAAATAGATGGCCGTATTGGTTGTTGACTCGATAAGCTTGATATTCTTCCGAGACCGTCCACATACAACAGTGTGAAGGGATAATTCGAGCATGGTGCCATCGACTACACGTCCGAGCTAGATTAATGTTAGCAAATAATATTCCATCCATCCATTTCTCCAGAGAAAGACATACGAGTCTATCAATGAAGATTAACACTCTTGTCTTGGCATGCTCTGCACTCTCCATGTCTCCATAAATAGCGACTCTCCATCTTTGATCACGACCGGCATCTCCATTTGCGTTTTGTCCGTCGACGAGGGAGGCAAACTTGGGACCGAGAAGAAAGACGTCCACCCCACAGAAAGCTGCAATCTGATCGAGATGTTCCACCACGTGTGACTTCAGAGCAGTTTGAGCTGTGTCGATGACCAGCTCCCCATCGACATCTACCACCGCGCATCGCTTGAAAGGTGTCAGTATCAGCATTCACATAGCAGAGACTCTTTGACTTACCAGTGCCAGCGGCGTGTCGTTGAGAATAGTCTCCCTACTCTTGTGGACGAGCTCCGGGCTTCCGGAGAGGCACACATTTGTTACCTGTCCTTTGACACGCTTGGGCTCGGATGATTTGACATAAGCTTCTATGGGTAGAGGACCGCTGGTGAGATCTTTGCAGAGCTTCCGTAGGTTCGTGACATTCTGGGCGTGGACCGGTAACTCATAGATCGGGACATCGTCTGGCGCGTCTGCGGGGTGTGTCCACCGCTCAACTGCCCCTACGGTCGCGTACAAAATATCCTCAACATTGGGGCCAGCAAGGTCCGAAGCAAAGGGTACGTTGAAGGAGTAGTGTATAGGGGTCTCTGCGGACGTTGGCGAGAGGATTGGGGAGGATCCATTGATTCCCTTGTGTTGAGGTGTGATGGCGGTCATATTCATGTTTGGCCGCGACATGCCAAATCCAGGCCCCATCCTCTCAGACCAATGCCGCATGTTCGCTAATTTGTTCATCGTGAGGCTTTCGTCGAGGTGAAGAGAGCGTGGTGGTGGGAAGAGAGTCTCGTGCCTGGGCAGGGACAGACAGACGGGAGACGAAGACGATTCGGCTGATGCTGGATCAGTAAGCTCAGCTTCGAGGGTTTTAGCGAGAACACGCTTCACTGCCACAATTCGGGTTCTTGGCCACGCAGGGGGTTCCAGGCAAGGAGATTGGTGCGCACACTTTCTCGACTGCAAGCACGAAACAGGAAAGACCAGAGAATTGCTTTGTTCTGCTGCGTGGAAGCAAGATTATTGCGAAACAAAGCACCCTCCCTCTAGGTACAGCACAATCGGCGGCGTGGATGGGCGTTGCGGCTGTGTCGCAGGTGTTTTGTTTCGAGAACTTCGAGAAATCAACTGTGGGCTGTTCTGTTGAGTGCAGATCCAGGTCCTGGTCCTGTTGGTCATCTAACAACCCGGGGACCGACCCTTCCGGGTGTTCTAGCAGACCCAGAGACTTGTGAAGCTCTTCCTGCCCAAGATGCTGTGTCGATGTGATGACGGAGCGCCTTCCCCGTATTCGTACGCTCGATTTTAGTCCTTTGTTGAAAGGGCACCAGTCAAGGCCTCCTAGGAGTGAGAGCAAATCAGAGCTATCTGAACATCATGGAAGTCAAAACCCAGATCCATTTTGCCGTGGAGCCCAGCTTGGATTGGTTGGCCCCCTCCCCGCAATCTGATCTAGAACTTCATAGCAGCATCCGTAAGGACCGTACAAGCATCATCGTTCACATAATAATTGGTTTGGAGACGTAGCTCCTTGAGGGGCAGTCAAAGTTTTACTCCGAACAGAGTTGGTTGAAGCTCCTAATGTACTAGATAATTTAGTTCATTCATATCCTCGAGGAGCGGATTTGGTTGGATGTCACGGTCTCACGAACCAGAAACATCTCGAGTGCCGGACTTGTGACAGCCCATATGGTTCGAGTACCTCGTAAAGAAGCTCGTTGTTCAGTCCTGATGTTGATCTGTGCATTTGGGTGGATCGACAGGGCTCGAACGGAAGCCATCCGCAGCCTTGGTCAGTTCTGTAACTGTTCACCCCCACGCACACGAGCCGTCCTCCATATTGAAAAATGTTGGTTCCAGCAGTAGTGTTAGAAGGGTTGGTGACTTCATGCGCCTTAGTTTCTGTAAATCAAATATTTGCATCCTCTACGCATTTTCGGAGCGGACTGCCGCCAGCACCAAATTTCCGTAGGGTAATACGATGGCGAGGAGTAGCCAATGAGACATGACTAGGAATTGTGGAAAACCATTCAAGACCCCGATTTGACTTTCAAACATATGCTACCATGTTGAGATGTTTCTATAGCTACTTGAAAGACTCTTGAAGGCGGTATTACAGATTGATGGACTCGGTTTGTGTGACGTAGAGCAACACTTTTCACTGATGAACTGGATGGCGGAATAATTTGAGGAGTACTTCTATTTTTGAAAGCAATGCAAGAGCGGGCTACTCTACAGTACGAGTTCCAATGGTGCGTTAACACCTTCATCTCATGGCAGCAGTGGCATCCGGGGAAAGCTCTTTGGTATGGAAACCAACTGAATGCCTTCACACCAGCCACACTCTATGATCATCGAAATCAACGTCAAAAATGCTCTTTCGATACTTGAACTTGTTAATCCTGACATTATCACATCCATCATGCTCCTCTTTTCCTCGTTTTCCCTACTGTCGGTACACTTCCCTCCGAACATCGTCTGCGTATACGAGCACAGATGACTCCCTAGCTCTAGGTCTCTCAATAAAAGCAATCTCAGCTGGTCTTCTACTGGGAACCTCCTCGTAATATCGATCATCTTCAACCACAGGGACTTGGCGGCGGGGAATGGCATCCATGGGTCGAACGCTGAACTCTCTTTGTGATTGAGGAATCGCTTCTCTGCGAACCTCTGGGCGGACACTTGACGCGTATTCTCTTGGAGGTGGCTCCGGGCGAACGCTTTGAAGTCTTCCCGCGTATTCCCTAGGAATCTCATATCTCACTGCTTCCGGTCTGGTGCTCGGTGCTCTCTGTACATGTTCGCGAGGTGCTTCACTCATCTGACGACGCTCCGGCGCATCTCTGACTTGCATGTACCCATCTCCAGGGGGTGCCATTGTAGGGCGGTCCGAATATTCTCTTTGGCGGTAAGAGCGGTATTCTGGCTGGGCGGGAATTGTATACTCTGGCTGTGTAACGACACGTCGAGGGACAGCAACAGGTGATGCAGGTCTTCGATAAACAACCCCGTCTTCTTCGTAAGCATCGACCGGAATACGGCTTGACACGGTTCTGACCGGTGCTCGCTCGTAGATCACCTCAGAATCGCGGTATCGGATGGGAGGGGCGACAGATTGTCTGATGATAGGTGCTGGGACAGGCTCATAGTACTTTCGGCCAAACCCGTCCATCACAATGCGTACAGTCTGTCGAGGAGGGGCCATAGCGATTGGGGAGCGTCGCTCACGCATGATCGGGGATCTAGATCGTTCACGATCTGCATCAGGACGGACGCTGGCTCGAACGGGATAGTACCTGGGTTCCTCCTGAACTCTGCGATCAACAATGGCCTGTGATGCTGCTCGAACTGTACGAATTTCACTTGCACCATAAGGAACAGAGAAACCTGGCGGGGACTGAGGTCGTCGTGCATACTGTCCAGAATCCACGCGTCGATACTCATCATCTTCTCTCTCAACGCGACGGTAGACAGGCTCTGGCCGACGCAACTCAGGCTCATATCGATCTTCGTGCCGCTCATATGTTCGGGGACCTCGTACTTCTTGAATTCGCTCGGTGATGCGCTCTTGCGGCTCTTCCTGGGGTTCTTGTCGGGGCTCGTCGTAATTGAGTTCAGCTGCAAATTGGCCGGATTGCCGTTGTCTCTTCTGAGGGCGGGGCAATGGTGCTACTCCATACGGCGAAGGGGATCGGGGCTCTGGCTTGATATATGGCGAATCAGGTGTATCAGCTTTCTCTACTGCATCTTTAGCCTTCCGCTTGTTCTTCTTTTTCTTTTCCTTCTTCTTTTCCGAGCCTTTGCCGCGATTTGGGGAGCTATCCGTGCTCGAGATTCCTGACAGGTTGTTACGAAGGGCGGTAACCTGAGCAGGTTGCGCCTCATCCATGACAACAGGTCCTCGAAGGATAGGAGGTTCTCTTGCCGTGGCCAAGGGAGAGACGCGAGCGGGCTGGGGTGCAATCGGTGATAGGTTGTGTGCTCTGACCAGGGGCGATGCTGGTAGGTTCTCGAAGGCTTGCTTGAGAAGATCATCGTTCGTTCTCTGCATCTCGTTATAATTAGCTATCTGAGAACCAGGTCGATCCAAAGAAATGCGTGGTGCTGTCAAATTGGGGCGAGGTGTGCTGACTTGTACTTGTCTTTGTGTGCTTATATTGGCTGAAGATTCTTCAGCATTCACTCCTCGGGAATCGCTTGGATCGGACTTGCCCATATCTGACTGCTGATGGTGAAAATTTGAAGCCCTGGCCATGTCGGAGGAGGATGAGTGCTGCTGCTGCGAACGACCAGGCGTTGCAATTTGGTTATCATGGGATAGTGAAATACCAGTCATGACCACGTCCTGGTCACCAACATTGATTTGAGTAGAAATTTGCCCAGTAGGACGTTCGCCAACCGATACTACATCGTGTGACTGAACCTCCACAGGTTCTTTCTGACCCGCTGATGGGCTCGAAGGCTCTGGTGTATCATACTGACTTGAATAGAAAGTATTCTCGTCAAAAGAATCACTGGCAGATGAACGAGCACCAGCAGAAAGTTCTTCTGCTGCGGTGGAAGGGTGGACGATTGCAAGTGCTTTTGACAAGACTTCAGAAATATCAAAATTGGGGAGAGACTCAGACGTTTGAAGCAATGCTTTTGCCGCAAGACGCTGTTGCTCGAACTGTTCTCTCAAAGCCCTCTCTATCCTTTGTCTTTGTAATTGGATCTCAGCTTTGATAAGATCGTCAGACTTCTCCAGCAGGATAGGATTGATTTCGGCCTTGGAAGACATCGGGATATGTGCGCCACCTGCAGAGCGTTGATTATTTGGGGACTTGTTGTATACAGAAGGTAACCCTTCGAAATGCGAGCCGTTGTTAGCTGTCGGGTGCGCAGGCAGGTCTGCGCAAGGCGTCGAGTGGTTTGGAGAGGATACGTGAGGTGGATTATTTTGCTTCGAAAACAGGTGTGGTGCAATTTTTATGCGAGGGTGAGTCCCGGCCATCACAGCATCTCGAAATTGTACAATTCTTTCGTACTCCAAAATCTCACGAAGCTCGTCTGCGGTCAATGTCCCCCCATTCGCAACCGTCGGAGCAACCGCGACTTGCGCCATCTTGTACACTGCAAATTAGTCAGGGATTAAAATATGCTGTTAACAAAAGCTCCGACGAGGGAATCCAAGAAATAGAAGCAAAGTTACGTAGAACGCAAGATGTCGATGAGTTGCTAAAACGAGCGATGATTTCGATGAATTTGAAGTGAAGGATGAAGGAGGCTTGCGACGAGACGCAGTCCAATTTCAAATGCGGCAATACCCGGCCAAGCTAGCTCTCGGCTCCGTTGCCTCTTTGAGCTCTCCGTCATTCTCTGGAATGACTCTTGTCCTCCGAGGAGCTCATGCGCCACTCATGCTACGGGTTTCCTAATTGTCAAGTTGTTTTAAAGAAATCCTCTCCCTCCACGAAGATCCCCACATTGTGTTTTCGGAAGAAATTTCGTCAACAAAGAACGAGCCATGGCAGACAATCGGCCGGTCTTCTTTTTCGATATTGACAACTGTGTAATTTTATCCCTTCCCATGTTCTGATATTAACTAACGAACTTTTGGGCAGCTTTACCCAAAGAGTTGGTATATCTTGGGTGAATAGTTCCACTACTCTTACTAACAATTGCAGGTAAAAGGGTTCATGACCACATGTCTGAGCTCATCGATCAATACTTCATCAAACATTTAGAGCTGAGCAGGGAAGATGCCTACAGGCTTCATCAGGAGTACTATAAGACGTACGGTCTAGCGATAGAGGGGTTAGTTCGTCATCACAAGATCGATCCATTAGAATACAATCGCCAAGTCGACGACGCTCTTCCTCTTGAGTCGATCATCTTCCCGGATCCAACTTTACGGAAGCTGCTTCAAGATATTGACAAGAGCAAGGTCAAGCTTTGGCTCTTTACCAACGCTTATGTCACTCATGGACAGCGGGTAGTGCGTCTGCTGAAAGTGGATGATTTGTTCGAAGGAATGACCTTTTGCGACTATGCTCAGGATACGATGATATGCAAGCCTCACCCAGAAATGTTCGCGAAGGCAATGAGGGAAGCCAACGTCAAGGAGATGAAGGACTGCTACTTTGTTGGTAAGTATAAGCTACACGCATAGCGAGATTGGAAATTAACAACTCTAGACGATTCCTTCTTAAATTGTAAGAAGGCTGAGGAGCTTGGCTGGACCACTGCTCATCTCGTAGAGGAAGGGGAGCCTGAACCAGCCGTGAAGGCTTGCAAGAATCAAATCAGGCACTTGGAGGAACTCAGAGCTCTTTTTCCACAACTTTTCAAGGCCCAATAGACACTATTTTTTGCAGAGGAGATGGGAAAGTATAACCACTTCAGCTGGATGACAAGTTAATTCAGTGACAAATGGCGTTTGTTATCTTTAGACCTAGAATAGATGAAAGATCAAGTGCCATTCCGTGGCTAAAATCCATCGACCGGGAATGTATGTACGCCGTAAAACTCCGCCCAGGGTATTTCCAAACGCCAGCTGATGCTCAGCATAGTGTCGCTAATGGGCGATATGGTGGGCTTCAATTCTCCTAGGCCCTCTCGGTCATCGAATAAAGCACGAAGGACTATGCGCTAAGTACCTTCTCTCGGGATGTACTAGCTAGGGATGTGGCCCCATGGTGAGGTCGATTTGGGCCGACGGCTCAGGATCCTCCACCTCATGGCCGCTTCACACTCCTCAAGACAGTGTCTAGCCTGGCAAGCACAGCTTCTTTCTCCTTCACTGCTTCCTTCCGCTCCTCCTCAGCAATCTTCAGCTCTTCCTCCAGTTGCTGAATCGTCTGCTCCTGATCCTTCTCATTGTTCTCCAGTCCAGGAAGTATTGAGATCAGGTATTCGATCTGCTGTTCTTTGAGAATTAAATCTTGCGCGAGTTCCTTTTGCCCGTCTTTGAAGACGTCAGCAGGGTAAGGGTCAACTGAGAACATCAGCCTCAAGTCATGCTGTGTGGTTTGTGCCCGAATCGCCTACCGTTTCGGTCTCCTGGATCTTCGCCTTCGTTTTTCTGTTGCTGCCGCACCGTATCGGTTTTGCTCAAGGTCTGGAGATCGTGATGCTTGTGGACGTAGTAAATGGATGCGACAAATTGGTTGGCAAGCTGGCAAGAACTGTTAGCAGACTCCAGATCGGTTAGATGACGCACATACTTGGTCCACCGCATCCTGAAGCTGTGTCAGTATGTCAGCCATGTTTGCAATGGGAAGTGGTTGTTGAGATGGAATTGCTTGAAAATGGACGAGGCTGACGTCGAAAACGCGCCAAGCACAGCTGCCAAGCGGCCAATCAGAAATAAACAGGCTCCATCAATTTGCCGACCTTCCTCAACCTCACTTCCAAACAAACTTCTATACAACCACGGAAAGTCGTTACCTTTAAAAAGAGCCATTGCGTTTAATTACCGGAAAGGCTTGCATTTAGTTCTTCATAATTTGAATTTCAGATAATATTCCTCCCATGAAATCACACAAACATAGTTGCCCCTTTTCCACATGTTTCGGCCATCATACCAACCACGGTTGCTCCGAACAGCAAAGCAATCACTCTGCAAATACTCAACAAACGGGGCCACGGAGGGCCTAGTCTATCCTGACTCACAAAGCCAAAGCCACCATGACCTCCCCAGCTTCCTAGAATACGCCACCCGCATAAACATGGACCCGAAGAGCACCACTTATGTCGGAACACACTATGAGTACACCGTTCAAAACGCCCTAGAACGGCTCGGAATATCTCTCAAACGGATCGGCGGGAAGTCCGACTACGGGATTGACCTTCTTGGCACGTGGTCTGTTCCGTCCGCACTCCAACCGCTCAAGGTTCTTGTTCAGTGTAAAGCTTTTGCAAGGAAGATTGAGCCGTCTCAGGCGAGGGAGCTGGAAGGTGCGTTTGTGGGTGCTCCCATTGGTTGGAGAGAAGCTGGAGTGCTTGGTCTGTTGGTCTCACAGAAATCGGCCACAAAAGGGGTAAGGGAGGCTCTGGGGAGGAGTAGATGGCCGATGGGCTATGTGCTCTGTGGAGATGATGGGAAGATTCTACAAATGTTGTGGAATAGAAAGGCGCAGCAGGAAGGTTTGGAGGGTATTGAGGTGGGGTTGAAGTATGGGGGTGGCGATCGAAATGAGAAGGAGGTCATCCTGATGTGGAAAGGGGAGCCCATCTCCGGATGATCATCCCCACTGATTGCGCTGAATGACCCTAGATCCAACACGATTGTTTGGACTGCCAGCCTCTGGGATGGCAATCAGCCTGATTCATCTCGTGGCCAGCTTGCCAGCAGGTTACAGCTTTAAAAAGAGCCGTGCTGTCCTCCTGGTGCTATCCAACAGACACACGTCACGGCCTCCTCGTATTGCCTCAAAGTTCGATTCGATCTTCCAATCATCTAGGTCGGGTCCGTGTTAGAGTACCAACCATGTGTCACCAGGTCATAAAAATATTCGAATGCGGTCATAATAAGCCGTCGAAAGCAGTGAGATGCAAAAGGCCAACAAGCAAATGCGGTGGGATCTTTCTTAGACAGGATCTTGAGAATACAAAAGGGCTTTGTGTAGTAAGTCGCTCCGTTGTAGCGAACAGCGCCTTGCTAACTGTTCAGTCTTGTCGAAGAGCGGCGACATTGAAATCAGTTCAGCAGCAACGCTCAGTGGCCGGAGCTGGTGAGGGAAAGGATGAGGGATACTGGTCGTGAAGGTCAACAGTAAAGATTCACGGTGCAAGAAGTTTGGCAGCGAATCAACTCTATGAGATGAGCACTGCAAGCAATTACGAACGATATTCTCCATTGGCTACAGAAACTGGGCCAGCCGTACAGTGTAATGTAGCTGAAGCCAAAGCCACTTCTTTTGCTTCAATGTATTCTTCTCCTCTTTTACAAATGATTTTTGGTTGCGTTTGCAAAGGTACCATTTGTGTGTGTTCTTTCCATCTTCTTCCACAATTCCATTGCTTATCTCCATCATCCCCTGACACTTCACACACTGGACACTAGCAAGAATCTACTGTTTAACAACTACCCATTGTCTCCCATGTCAACTGGTCTCTCTCCCTCCATCCCACTTCTCCCTTGGCAACTCCTTTTCACGCCTGGTAACTTCACTATTCCAAGTCAACCGCGCGGTAACACGAGGCTGCCAGTCTTCTTTTCGATACTTTGCTCAAAGCGAAGCTCCTCGGAAAACTCAGCACCCTGTGACAAAGTTGAGCGACGGATGTCCATTTCCTTCTTGTCGCAGTGGCCGCAGTGAAATTTGCCTATGTAGAGTTCTGTGCGATAGCCAGAAGAACCTAGTTGTCGGTGCCTGTAGAATAATTTTTGTTGCAATGCTTTGTCTGCTTTTTCTGCGTTCTTCTTTCCCAAACCGAAGAGGGAGAGGAAACCTTTGCGCTCTTTGGCTGACATTTTGTCGAGGTTAGGGAAGATATTTGTGGTGGGAAGCCTCGACAGATTTCAAGGGAAATCACAATGATAAGGGACACAGTGCGCCGGTATGGTTGGGTTGCTTACCTGCTGGCCTTGAGCCGTGCAACTGTACAATGTACGAGCTGAGATGTGGACTTCCTGCAGAGAAGTGGGGAGTATTGAGAATTTAGCAGCAGCCGAGGAGATGTGAAGAGAGTTTTGTGTGAAAGTGTGCTTAAGAATAGGCTAGGTCTAAATTCCCGGTACCAAAACTAGACAGACTTTTCCATCTTGGAGGCACAAAGTATGGCCGACATGGCATAGCCATCACGTATAAAGCCGAGACCAGCCAAATGTTAATTGATTATAAGATGTGAAAAATACGTTGTAGTACGGCGCCGATACTTGATATGTTAGGAAAATATCACAAGGTAAGTGATGAAATATCTGCGATCAAAAGAGGACCCATGTGATTTCAGGAGTGTTCATCGTCAAATGGATATGGAAAAGAAGTTTTCTTTCTAGCTCTAAACCTTAGGTGACCAGCAGTAGCACATTCAATAGACTTCCTTCTGGACTAGCACCAACCCCTTCTTCTCATTTAACCTTGCTTCTTCGTCAGAAGATTTCTCCCAGCCCTCCTTCGCCATCCTGAGGAACTACCGAAAATCTTTCTCTCCATTTAGCTTCACAATCCGATGATGAAGCACCAATATGCCTTTGCACTCCACACACTGCAGATTGGAAAAGCACTCCTCCTTAACAACATCATATCCCTTCCCATACATCGCGTCGGCTCCCCGCGGACGATTCACGGTGTTGCACTTCTCCGATGCAAGCTCCTCCTACAGTTTCCGAAGCATGAGTTGCCAGTCCTTCGAGATCAGGACCGGTTTCGCTATTCCCTGCTCCTCCTTCAATTGCTTGCTCAAAGCGCATCTCTTCCTGTATCCCCTCCAGCGTCTCTGGAAATGAGCAATAGGAGGTGGTGTTCGGTTGAAAGTGAGGACAGGAACATGGATTGTATTTTTCTTCAGTTCGGTATCCTGAATTGCTGAGGTCTAGCCGTTCGCCGCAATTATCGAAGGAGAATACCATTTTGTTCGGAACGACTCCACCCTTCCTTTTCAGACTGCCTTTAATCTTTTGGAAAAGAGCGGCGAGCATGTACTTAGACTTTAGGGTAACGAGCACCGGTGAACTGATGACATTGGCGAAGGGTGGACTGGCCATCTTATGTGGAAGGAAAAAGTCAGTTATTAACGAGACTGAGAGTTGGATAGATGAGTAACTATACCGTAGGCACTTAGTGTTGAAAGCGGACTGATAAAGGTCGGCAAAATGCAACCGAAAATCCTTGGCCCTGGAGGAGCACGGACACATTCCACCTTTATGTCAGGAAGACGTTATATTTTGTCTTCGAGAGTCTGACTAGGGTATCTCTAGCATAGATAGTAAGATGCTCCTCTACCAATAAACCTAAATGTTGTTAAAGATGACAGCGAGACAGCGGGAACTAATAATGACCAAGGTTTCGCTCACTTCAGCGTGTCAAGGTCCCAGAATGTTCGCCCGATGAAAACGAAGAAGAGGATAAAATTACAAGAAGATGATGCAAACAAGTGAAGAATTTACCATCGACGAGGGCTGAAATGGCGAAAACGTGAGAGTGGGTAGATCCAATAGCAGCAGGCACAAAAAAAGAGGATACAACAATGTCGAGAGCTTCAGATGAGATTCCTCCTCGGCACCACTTAGTCTACCAATTCCATTTGCTCTCGAAAGAAATTAGCCTCTTTGACCATCTCTTCCTCCGTTCTATTCTTCCTCTCTGACTCCTCAGGCTTCGCAAACTTTCCCTGATTCACGGGACGACTCCTATCCCAGAGTGCACCTCCAACATTACCCTCCTCACTCTCCATTCTGTCGTAGATCTGGTCGTTTTGAGGAGAATCTTTCGGTCTAGGGATAATGTGGACATGAACATGCGGTACGGTCTGACCCGCTGATACGCCATCCTGCATAGCGACGTTGAATGCTCCATCCTCAAGCTTACCCCCGAACCCCCCCTTCTCCGACTCCGGATCCTTAAAGTAGACCTTCGCCAACATCCTTTGCACCTTCTGGACGGTCATGTAAAGATCGGTGACTTCATTGGCATTGAGATCTGTGAACCGTGGGACAATGCGATTCGAGACGACAAGCACGTGACCTGGGAGAAGGGGCTTGATATTGACCAGGCAATAGGAGTGTAGGGTGCTGTAGAATACCTGACCCCATGTATCAGATTGGGAGATATGATGAGGGGTCTAGGGAATGCCTACCTGGCTTGTGATCTCATACGGTCCAAAATAAGTGAGCTTCCAGGAGTAGGAGCTCATTTTGCGGACCTGACGGGAGAAGAGATGGGCCCTGGGGGTGTGAAGCAACAAGATCATAACCCTCAAGATCGATGTCCTAGATGCTCTTCTAAGAGGTTAAAATTGGATGGTTGACCCGTGTCTGAATTATGAAGCACAGCGACAGGTAACGAAGTTGAAGGTGGTCCCTGCCTCGCTTCTCATTTAGAACTAGCAGGGGTCAGCAAACCACTGTTTTCGAAACAAACCAACTTCGGACGACCTCCTTCTCCACACCCCTCATCTACGAGAAACATCCCACGAGAAAGCGTCAAACTTCGCTCACAGTACATCGAATGAACACCGCTTGAACCATGTAGCCCCAAGTATTTTGTTTATCCGACACTGTGCTAGTTTTCGACTGGTGCAGCTTGGTGATTTCGGACGCTACCGAATGGATGCAAATCTTAATGACGGAGGAAGTTTCTCCGCCTCATGCTCCTTTCATTTGCAAGGCCATTGTATATATCTTGTTCTATTTTTCTCCTTCTGCGTCTCATCTGCTATCAGTCCTGATCAGTCATTCTTTTCCATATTTCTGTCTGGCCTATTAGCGCAAGCTCGCTGTCTATTCGTTTCATCAACTGCTTAGCCAGTTCACATTTCGTTCACTCTTACCACCATGTTTCAACGTCTCCTATTCTTCAGCTCCTTAAATCTCGCTTTTGGTAGCACGATACTTTGGGATGGACGGTTCAACGATATGACGTCCAGCACGGAACTCGACAGTTGGTCTTGGTCGAACCAAGTTGGCCCTTATCAGTATTACATTGTTTGTTTCCCTGCCCAAGCTTACGAACTCCTACTCAATTGTTCCTAGCATGGCTCGGAGAATGTGACGTCGTATGTTAACCTCGACTCTTCCTTCAAAAATCCCGCAGACACGAGCAGCTCTCAAGGAGTCAAAATTACTCTGGATAGCACATCCTACTGGAACGGACAAACCATGAGACGAACCGAGCTCATTCCACAGACATCAGCTGCAATCAATATGGGGACTGTCTTTTATCATTTCAGCATGCAACGCCTTGCCACCGACGCTCCGAGCGAGTTCCGGGAACATCAAATAGCTTTCTTCGAGAACCACTTCACAGAGATGAAAGCTGGATGGATCAGCGGGGAGTCCGCAACTAGTGATCCTACTCTTAGGTGGGATGTCAACTCAGCTTCCCAATGGAATACGACTTGGGAAGCAGGTGTATGGCACAATATTGCTTACGCAATTAATTTCGATGCTGGCACCGTTGCGTTCTACCATTCCACAGTATGTAGTTCTCCTGATATAATGTCCCACTTCTCTAGGAACAATTAATCGAGGAATTACTGACTCCGCGTTACCTAGGGCGCTGATGACCTCGCACTTACAGTTCCTGAAGTTAGTGTTTCTGCATCGTCAAACGGCGCGGACTGGCACCTCGGCGTTCTGGAGCTTCCACGGGATGGCTATACCGATGCGACAGAAAACTTCTTCTTCAGCGGGGTATATGTCGAGAGTGGTGACCTAACAACGATCGTCTCTGGGCCTGGTTCGAACACTACCTCAGCTGGTTCATCTGCAACCTCCTCTTCCACAACTTCATCTGCGCAATCGTCGGCCGCCAGCTCAAGCCCCCCGTCAACAACGCCTTCCGCTTTTACAACAACCTTCCCAAATACCACCCAGAGCCTACCAAGTAGTACCTTCTCAACTGTCGTTAGCTCTAGTTCTGCCATTTCTAACCCGTCTGGCGACATGGGAGATAACTACGACTGTGAGTAATCATCTGGGTGATTCGTATCCATGCAGATGAGTTCTGGGACACATGCAAGGCATGTAATGTTACTTTCGATGTACATATTTAAGTGTTCAGGGTGTTTCTGGACAACAAAAATCTAGATATTGGTTAGTTGTTCCTCTCTAGCCTGTAGGACTTGGAGTCCCCGCCAAAAATCTCCTGAAAGTTTGAATTCAGAGGCAACGACTTTGATTACTGGTACTCGTACCTCAATTCCTACCATCCAGCTGCAGGTATTCAGGGAATCCACTCCTTAAGGGGGACCGATTTAACCCAATTGGGTAGTTGCATTGTCAAATGAGGGTTTCCCAATTCCCCCAGCTGCAGCCCTGTTGCTCACATCTCGCCGATGATCTCGGCCCTTCAAACCTTTTTAATGCTTGGTGACTATATCAAGTAATTGTACCATATTGTACCGGAACATTGCTAGTGCATGGTACAGCTATTCGTCCTAAAGGCTCGTATGAACCCTGATAGCACGTGGCAGAATAGTAATCAGACACAACTAGAAGTCTAAAGTGGTGATCTGACCCATAGGACACCAATCTTCCCGAAGTACCTGTACAAAGCAATCAAGGCTCATGAAAGAGGCGAGTACCTTCTGAGTAAGGTATAAATACCTGAATCTGCAGTTGAAAAGGGACTTGTTTTCGAGTCTTAATCTCCACTCAAGTTTTCTTCCTCAGAATTATTTTACACTGATATCAAAACCCCTTCGCGCAAAGGCCATGGCCCAAGTTACCGTCCAAACCGCCAAGACTCGGGTTGTCACCACCTACCCTACGATGGAATAAATCTGGCATAACGTGTTCTTGGACCCTCCACCAGGGTACCGCTCCTCTTCTTAATGCACTTCCGAGGCATCATCGGCGACCGGGACATACGTGATATTCTCTGAGCCGAAATCTCCTCTTTCAGATGTGCGCGAGGTGTTTCTCCTCTCTAAACATGTCTTTAGAGCAAAGACCCCGTGAAACACTATTTCAACTCCCAAATCATTGCCAATCAAGCAATACTGACCCCAAGGACCCAAGATCGCCTATCCTCTTCGACAATGCCGGTGTCGGTCACAACTCTGGATACGTCGACGATAACATCACTGATATGGCAGCTTATATCATCGAGTTGCTTGATCTTCTCAAGGTCAAGGAGTTAGCATCCTAGGTTTCAGTCTCGGCGGCGAAGTTGCTCCACTCTTAGGGCTCAATGCCCACCAGGCCTTGTCCAAAAGTTGGTGCTGGATGGCACCGTAGCTATAGCTGGCCCCGGTATGGAGGCAGGAATGACCGATGAAGGTGTTCAGATACATGTGTTCGGATAGGTGCCTGTTCGTGACGATTTGTTGTACTTGTTCTTCAAACCTACCGAGTCGAACAAAGCAGCTGGACGTAGCCGGTGGGATCGAAATCACGGACGCTCCAAGGACACATCCGGAGAAGATAGAGAGGGATGTGTCTCTGAGGGCATGGCAGAAGGAGGGGCAGGAATGATGGCTTTGATTGCGGCGTTGACGAAGGCGGGGGATGTTGCCCATACTGCGGACGGGTGTTACAATCGCCTGGGAATTATCAAGATACCTGTTCTGGTTGCACAGGAGCACAGTGATGTTATGATCCCAACTGTGAACAGTTATCAGCTGTCTCAGAACTTTCCGAATGCTTGGTTGTTGATCTACCCTGATCCGGAACACGGATTTTTGTTTCAATTTCCAGAACAGTTCACCCAGCAGGTCAATGAGTTCCTGGATGGTGGTAGATATTGCTACCGTCTTTTGATATTGCTATAGCTCAACATTCAAACGAAATTCAATCTCCAATACTTCCGTTCCAATGATCTATATCTTCTCTTTCCTCAATTTATTTTCCAGACATAGCCTTTTGCTTATCCTGCCCAATCTTCTGCACAGAAGGACGCTGCATAAGTCTCTGATTCCAAGCATGATAGCTAGGATAATTCTTCTCGATCTCAAGACTTCCAGCCTCATCACCAAAGATCCAAGGAACCATCATATCCCAAGTGACAAACGACAAGTCCGCATAGGTGCTACACACATTGTTATCCCCATTCCTTTCTCCACGAAAATTCAAAGAGCGCTCACCATTTATCACCAACCAAATACTCCTTCCCAGTGCTGCTCAAATGCTTATCCAACACTTGCAGAACCCGCTTGATTTGATCCTTATACCTATCCCTCGCGCTAGCAATCTTCTCAGGATGGAACTTTTCGAACCAAGCAGCTTGCCCGAAATACGGGCCCTGGCCGCTCATCTGGAAATGCAGCCATTGCTTCACCTGATACTTCTCCGGCGACTTGGTGTAAGTCAAGGAATGCGTGGTGTCGTACGTGTCAACTAGGTATTCTATGATTGCGCCAGATTCCCCCAGAGTGATGCTTGTGTTTGGGTCCTCGATTGCGGGCACGCGGCCGTTGGGGTTGAGTTTTTCGAAAGCGGGCTTTTTGAGGTCACCCATGTCTGGAGTATTGTCAATGGATGAAAGGAGAGCGGAGGCAAGAGGGAAGTTTACCCATGTACTTTGTTTCGTAAGGAATTTTCAGCTCCTCGAGGATGATGGCAACTTTCCAGGGGTTGGGCCCGGTGGCTGAGAGACGTCAGTGACGTTGTCCTGGGTGGGAAAGGTGCAATTACCATGACCGTAAAGAGTGATAGGTTTGTTACTCATAATTCTGGTTGATCAGTGATACTTAGAAAGGAATTTGATGCCAGTTGTTCAAAGAGAAGAAGGGTTTGGGAGCTCTATATACTTCTCTTGCTTAAAGCTCCTACCAATGACTTCATGTGGGGATTCAGAGATCCCGCAACTTTGGGTTTTTACCCAATGTAGGCAAGTGCTGGCGATAGTCCCTGACGCAGGTACTTGGAGTTGTTGTGTTGTCCAATAAGAAGCTTTGTGTGGATCCGGGAAAGTCTATGACGGCGTCGAAGCCTGCTGAGGAGGCTCCACAACGCTCTCCGCTTTAGATCTGGTGATCACTAAGAAGTTATTCATGCTTTGTAACAGAGACTAACAAATTATTAATATTCTGCCAAGAGAGGGGAAGACGGTCTACGCAGGTGCAGGCCTTAATGTTTGTTACACCGCCTTGAGTTCTGCTAAGCAAAAGTCGGCTACAGCGCATTGCTACAGGGCATTTCGGCGCAACCCCCGCAAAGGCGGTGTAACAAACATTAGGACCGCACCAGCGTAGATGAGAAGATGTCAACAGATTGTTCAAGAAACTGTGGACAAACGAAGGATTCCAACACCACTTGTGCCAGCGAAGCGAACAAGAAGAAAGTTGCATAGCACAAGTAGAGAATTTATGATAGTGGTTGAAGGTCAACGAAATTTCATATGCTAATTACTCCATACATTCATCTACTCACAGTCCTCTCAATAGCTCTTCAATGGTGATCGGCTTCCTGACAGCATTCGAGAATCCTTCATGAAAACTCACCCAAACCTTATTGTCGTCCTTACTATCCTGCTTCTTGCCCAGGTTTCCCTCTGCTCGAGCATTACCATCGATCTCTCCGAGAGGCATGACTTCCTCTCTGACGACTCTTCCAAAGAAGTCTTTCTTCGCTCCTAGAACTCGCTCCTGTGCATGGTGTCCTTTATTATCTTTGTTCAATATCGAAAACTCGATGTCGTCTTCGGGATTTCCGGCCTTGTAGCGCGCCTGCCTAGCTGCATTCTCGCGAACGATGATGTTTTTCTGGTATTCTTGGTCCAGTACTTGGCGGACGGCATATCGCACTGGAGCAGGCGCCCCCTCAGAAGATAAAGCAGTCTCAAATGTGACCAGTGTATCCAGTGGTCTAAACGATGTTGATGAGTTGCATGCAGATGGACAGGGAAGGGGTGTTACTCACGGCTCCATTCGGTACACCCATTGCGTCGTTCTGCTTCCGAATTCTGCTTCGAGCTTACCACGCTCAAATATGACACCGACAGCCCCCATAACATCTACGGACCTTTTGACCATCGCCTTCTCGGCTTCTTTTCTCACACTCGCAATTCCTCTCTGATCACCACTCCCACCAACAATAATGGGTTTGATCTCAGGAGTGAGCATTCTGACTAGATACGGCAGCAAGTCTGTGGCGATATCTTCAGGGCTTCTGAAACTCCTCAGTAAGGTAGCATTCAGGCTCGCCTGCAGAGCGAGAATGGTTGCCCGTTTCGACTTTTCCGCCTCGTGGGCTTCATAATCCGCTCTGGGTCCTGTAAATGGAAGCGGATCTTCCGCTTCTTCTTCCTCTCCCCACTTCGTCTGTTCGTTTGGTCCACCAAAGTAGTGTCGAGCAGGCGATGAGAAAAGGTGGTGACATGCAAGGACGGGTTGGCTCAGGTATGGTGCTAATTCGAAATCTTGGTTTGTGAAAACTCGATGCGAGCATGTATCGTGGAAATGTAGCCATTCGTATGCTGCGTCGGGCTTTGATAATATCGAGTCATCGTTGAAGGGTTGGCTGGGATACTGGCTGAAGATCTCGGTTACAATGCGATCGATATCCCCACTCGTGTCGACCATCTCTCTCAGTCTGGACATTCCAGCCTTCTTCGCCAACTCAGCAACACCCAACTGAGTCTTCGGTTGATCATCCGTGATATCGGGGACCGGATTGACAATTCCTGTTTTCGGAAAACCAGCTCCTTCCAAGAAGACTCGATTCACGACTTCTTTGGCACCTCCCCGTCCGACCCCTCGAGCACCGCCTCCCCCATGTGAGAGATCAGCCATCATGTTTTGTTCAACCCATTTTCGCGTCAAGCGTGCAGTGCCATCTTTCGTGGAAGCCTTCAGTTTCCCTGCGGCCCACTCTCCCACCACCATGATACCCCTGAGATCGCCTTCTCCGTTCCCTTCTCTACCCTTCCGAGATTCCGAGGCATTGACTCCCCAGGTAGCTTCGCACAGCCTCCGAACAGCGTCGCTGTCGCATGAGACTCCTTCTTTCTCAAAGACAGACTTCATACGTGTGATAACTGCATCCAGAGGGGGCTTCCGAACATGGATGATTTCTGCATAGTTGGATTGACGCAGAGGTCTGAGAGATGGATGATACACATCGTTGCAGATAAGTATCAGAGGTCGCATCAGTTTGAAATCATCTCCTTTCTTCTTTTTCCGGGTTTGGGTAGGGCCAACCGTAGCAGAATTCTTCTGGTCCAGGAGGATAAGGTCAATCAGAGCTTTGATGAAACCACCTTCTCCGGAGCCACCAGAACCCCCAACCACCCCGTCTACTTCATCCACAACCACACACAAGGGATGGGCATTTTTTTTCACTTGCCCAGATTTCGTTGTTATCGTTGACCCAGTCTTGACACTCTCCGTGCCAACGCTGGTCCGTATCCGTCCTTTCACGACGTCTCGACTTCGTTCGTCACTTGCATTAATTTCCATAACTTCGTAGCCTGCTTGTCTTGCGCAGACGTGTGCCAGGGTAGTTTTGCCAAGACCAGGAGGCCCGGTCAAGAGCAATATCTTTCTATGAGGTTTCTCTTCTTCTGCTTCTGCACCAGGCCGTTTAGTGACCACAGGTTTTGTCTTGCCTGACTTCGGAAAAACAAGAGGATCCCAAGCCTTCAGCCATCGTAGAACCTGTCGGTGTGTACGATCATCCCCAACCAGCTCCATAAAGTGCCTGGCTCGGTATTTCTCCGTCCACATAAGGGTTCTTCGTGGTTTGGCAGTGTTTCCAATATTCTCCACCGACGGTATCGGCTGCTCCGCACTTTGGGCTCTCTTGGCCTTGTCTGCGGTCTCTTTATTTGCTTCGTCAATCAACGAATGGATATCGATTCCGTAGTAACTCTTCTTTGCCCTTCCAGCTTTTGTAGTTGACCTAGCTGCAGCCAGTTGCTCAAAAGGAACAGGAGCAGCTTTCTTTCGTTGCTGAATCGATGTCGTACTTCCAGAGCAGGTTACTACGTTGGCGGTTTTCATAAGGCTCTTACTAAGAAAGAAAGGCATTGCCACAGGATCGACTGCCTCACCATCATCGTGGATAGAAGCGGAGATAGAAGCGGAGATAATAGCTGGAATAGATTTGGATATGTCGTTCAGCACTTCCCCAAGGCTTTTGCTAGGCTTTGGAAGCTGCTGTTCCACATCTGCTCCGACTTTATTGCTTTCGGTTACTGGTTCTTCCGGAGATTGAGACCGGGAGCCCTCTAACATCCTCCGTTTCGGCGCAGGTTCTTCCCGTACGAAATCATCCTCATCTGAGTCCTCCTCAATCAAGAAACCACTGATGGTCTTCGGCTTTCGCACGTCTGCTGGCTTCGCATGGCGTGGGCGTTTGGCCACCGGTGGCGAGGAGCTTTGAGGATACGAGATAGGAGAAGACGCAGACGGCATCTTGAAGGTGGGTGGGGAGGATGGAAATGTCGAGTCGTTTTGTGGTCTCCTTTTTGATCTCAGAGGAGTTTCTACCATATGATTAGCAAATGACAGATAAATTTCCTTCAAATGTCAAGGCACCTTCGATATGATCCGCCTCGCTGCGAAAAGTCTCCCCAAGTTGCCAGGCTCGGTGTTGAATTACTTCTCCTGCCTTGTTCTTCCTCGCGATCGTTTCCTGCTGAACGAGATGCAGAGCTTCGAAATCGTCTGAATTTGTACTGGAAGGAAGTACAACTGGGTCGAATTCCTCCTCCCAATCATGCAGGGCCGGATCCAAAGTAAAGGGCAATAATGGCGACGAAATTGAGTCCATTGAAAACACTCATTGTACTTGCGTCCGTTTAGCCTAGACGCGTCGCGTCGATGTGAACCACTTCAACGCAAGCGAGTCGAGTTGAGTGCCAAGCGATTCCGCCCCTTGACTCCCAGCCGGAGCGGAACGGAAGCCGAGACGGCAATGATGACGAGGTCCCTCGTCCTTCCCCGCATCCAGAGCCGAACAACCTCAAATACCCAATATTCCCGCGATCACAAGTTATTCCCATCAACCGCTACTTATGCCCAGATAAACTGTGTCCCACAGCAGCAGCTGGGGGGAACAAATATGGAGCAGATTGGTCCCGGGCCCCCGGCTCTTTTCACCGCAATATCGCCAACGCGACTGAGAGCACCGGCTTCGGATCCCCGATCAAAAACGAAGACGGATCATTGCAGGTGCCGCCAACGAAGAAGCAAAAACGAAACAAACCTACTTTATCTTGCTTTGAATGTGTAGAAAGAAAGACCAAGGTTAGTGACTGACTCTTCGGTAATTCTGAAAAGTGTGCATTTGAGTTTCGCATTTACCCTATTTCCGGAGTCCCAATCAAGTACTGTAGCGTGGCAGAAGTCATTGAGAGAAACTTTAACTATTTGCTTTCCATTTCCATACTTCAGATTTTTGTAACCCTTCGCTCACGTGTTTTTCGATTCAATTTCACTTTTGAGAGAATTCAAGTGTACTTCCAGGTTCAATCTCAGAATCATGAACCCACTTTTCATCTGGGATGCCTCACCTTCTGCTCCTCCAAATATATTCCCGCAATATGAAAACACGAACCCTTGCTGACCAATGAAACAGTGCGATAGAGGCCGACCTCACTGTCTTGCTTGCGAGTATCCACAGAATAAAATTCTATGTCCTGGAGCTAACCATGGTCAAGGTATAAAACGACAAACTGAGTGTAAATATGCCACCGTTGCTAATATCCTGGAGTGAGTGCCGCCAGTTAACCCTATGCATACAGAAGACTGACCATACCAGGGAGACGAATCGCTCTGTTAGTAATGCTCGACGGATGACAAAGCCTCCAAAGAAAAAACCACCGTTATCAAATGGATTCGAAGGACCCAAGCAAGCTCCGAACCCTTTTGAGAGAAGTGCTTCAAGAGGCTCAACATCCTCATCTACTGGCTTACTCTCCAATGTTCCATATTCGCACCCCACTGCTTCAAACGTCTTCGGCATCGGCTCAGAGCATCCATTTGCAAATTATTGGACATGCCAAGGAGGCCTACCGGAGACAATCTCTGTCTTACCTGAGAAGCTGCAAGCGGACATCCTGCTGGAGCGGTATTTCGAGTGTGTTGATCCAGTCTACCCAATGATACACCGGCAAACATTTTATGCCGACTATGAGCATTTCTGGTCCCTGCCCCAAGATGAAAAGAATCGGGTTGACGGTGCACTCGTCGCCTTGACGTTTGCCATGCTAGCAATGGGAACCCAATTCGTGACGACAACCTCACCCCGAGAACGACAGCAAACGGCTGAATTCTACGTCTCCGCAGGTCATCAATCGCTACGCATGAGCTCCTACCTCAATAAGGCTTCCGTCCGCTCCATTCAAGCCATGGTCCTTATAACCTACTTCCTCATAAACGACAACCACGCCTCGGACGGCTGGGCCTTCGCTGGGATCCTAATCCGCCAAGCCTATGCCATGGGCTTACACAGAGATCCCAACATCGTCTGTCCCAACGCCAGCATCTTCGAGAAGCAAGTCCGGCGGAAACTTTGGCAGGCCGTACTCCTCCAAGACACCTTCCTAACCGTCCTCCTCTCGCTTCCTCCGTCAGCTACCCATACAGACGTCAACGTCGAAGACCTCATCGACGACTCGTCCTCCATCGCAAACACTAACCCCACAGACACAGCTTACATCCGGGGCTGCTGGACGCTCGCCAACCTCGTCCAAGAAACCATCTGCTCACCCCGCTCCCTCGACCTCCCCATCTGTGCCACTCCGCGCCAAAAATCCAAACTTCTCGCTGACTTCCGGGCCGTATACCGATCTTTCCCGGACATTTTTCGCTCCTGGGACGCAGAATCCATCGGCCAACTCTGCGCAGCAAATAAGCGTATCGTCCGTCAAACGTTATTCTTGACGAGCAACTACTTTCACAATGTGATGTTGTTGCATAGTAGTGCGAGCGCAGAGGTGCCTGTTAATGTGAGGGGAGCGCTGGAGGCAGCACATGACGCGATTCACGCATTTTTCTTACTGTATCAATTGTTCGAGAGCGAAGCGAAGGTGTGGTGGGTGTTTAATCACAGGGCATTCTTGGAGGCGATGTGCATCGGGAATATACTTCGAGAAGAAGCAAAGCTGGAAGGTGGAGAGGAATTACTACTGAAGGATCCGCTATTTCTGAGGGCTAAGGCTGATATTGGTGAGTACTACTTTGTTCCACTAAGTTGGTTTCTGGAGAGGGGTGCTAATTACGAGACAGTGAGAATGATCGAGATAATGCAACTAATGAGTGAAGGGGAACACGGTTCTGCCGTGGCGTTGACGAGGGTTTCTGTGTTAAGTACCTATCTGCCTGAAGCACAAATATCTCCGCAGATATCAACAATATAGCTCAGCGTGGCTGCATAATAACTACTGCAGCACGCTGCCACTTCAATGAAACCCAGTTTATCATCGCTTGCTTGCTTCCTTGCTTGAATCAAATCCCTCCCTATCCAGCACCATTGCTCATGAGCAATCTTTCCCCGTAACCGAAAAACGCCAGTCATGCTCAAACGCTCCGAGGGATTAAATAGACTATCTCATGAAAATCATCATCACAGACCCGAGCTTGAAGATGACTTGAGAAGCGAAGTCTAGGTCATTTCGTATAATCCACATTATGGTCCTAGCTCATAAGTGACTCGCGAAGGAAAATCTAGTCATTTCTTCTGTGCGAACTTCCGAAGTGGTCTCGAAACCAGGACACAGGGCCTCCTCCACCGCCACTACTACCTCCTCCTCCGGAATGGGAACTTCGTCGTCGTTCTCGTTCCGATTCTCGAGAACGGTCACTGCCACTTGTGTTGCCTCTCCTATGCGTCTCGCTGGCCTCCGAGGGTCGGCGGTAGGAATTCGAGAAGGAACCAGGCATGCGTGTTGCATAGTCATCACTCTCTTGGGGTTCACGGCTTGCTCCGCCTGGTTGCCATCGTCTCGTGTCTCCTGGGGTTCCATCTTCTGGTGGTGTGACTCTTCCGAGACCGCGAATAGCATCTAATCTCGCCTGATTCCTCGTTGAATCAACTGGATCGCTGCGACGAAGAGGCATTCTGGTCGAGCTCAATCGTCGAGCTCTGTACTCGTTTCGAGAAGAAGGCGTGCTCTGGCTTGATCTCCTGCTGCTTGATGGCCCAGCGTCGCCGCCGTCAATTCCTTTCCTGCAAATTGGGCAGGTATTGTGCTCGCTCAACCATGCCCCGGCGCAGGTCTCGTGAAACCAGTGGTTGCATGGTAAGAGAACCACTTCGTCACCAATGTGTACGTCGTCCATACATACACTGCACTCTCCCTTTCCTTCGGGCCCGAGTAATTTCTCATCCAACTTCTTCTTCGGGAGTGCTGCAATGGCATCTGGAGATGCTGGGCCGGGTGCGTTTGAAGTGGGGTGCTGTTCCATCAACGTGGAGATGATCTGGTCCAAAGCTTCTTGCGTATAGACAGCATCTCCAGTACGTGCATTTGCAGGGTTGAGCATTGCTGAGAAGAGCGCCTGGAAAGAGGCTGGCATCCCAGGAGGACCTTCGGCATGGTGGCCAGGTGCACCCATGGGACCAAGTATGCTTCCAATAATCCTAACAAGTTCGTCAGGAGGTGCTCTAGTGTTAATCACAAATAGGGAACGGCCATTAGGGGGATTTGGAGTGGAAGGGGGGTCGTACGTAGCTAGATCATCAACTGGTGGTCCTCCAGGTTGAGGTCCATTCGCATCTCTTGGCCGGAGGCGTCCACCAGATGTGGTAGTAAAAGTAAATCGTCCTCCGACAACTTGTGGTCCTCCATTACTACCTCCTAGTCTGAATCCAGTCCCATAAGGTCCTTGCGTGAACAATGTATCGGGACCTGATCTACCAGGCTGGCCAGGTCGAAATCCAGGTCCCATCAAGGTTCCAATCATATTCTGGAAATCTCGCATGACATTGTCGGGATCTTCTTGAGGATTAGGATCTCTCCGTCGTCGACTACCACCAAATCCACGTGGGTTAGTCGTCCTGACGGTCCGGGAAATCAGCACAGAGCCTCCTGGTCCTTGTGTAATATGTTCCTCAATGTCTGCTTCCTCGGGATCTGAGAATTCTTCCCCTCCCCACGGATTGTGGTTGCGAAGGCTATGGAGAGATCGGAAGCCAGGTGGAGTGGGAGGGTCGTCGTTGGCTGGTCCTGGTCTACCTGGTCGAGGATCACTCTCAACTGTGATCTGCGAAGCTGTTAGAATATCATCCAATCCAACATTTGTGCCAGAGTTTCTTACGATCTCAGTAATCTCGCCCTGACAATTTGGGCAGACTAAGCCGCTCTCGTCTTGATACCACTCATGGTCGCACTGATGGCAGTACACTACTTCTCGTGGGCCCGAAGCGTCCAAGTGCCTGCTCCCGCCTCCAGGTCGTGAGGGATGGTCTGCCATGGCGTCTCGAATGCCCTGATAGGCGGCGAGGGCAGTCAGACCGAGACTCAATGCCAGACCGGTATTTCGAATCGCTCGGAACGCCAGAGTGTTAGATTATGGGGGTCTTCGGGTGATAATATTCGCCTTCGTTCAAAAGATCTAGCGGGGGCCAGTGATCGGGGATGACAACCGGCTCTTCGTTGTGTGGCGCAAGCTTCCGAACTGCCTCGTGGATTGACCTTGAAAGGCGCTGACTTGATAATCAAATGAGGGGTTGTGGAAGTGTAGAGATCGATGTTTGAATGCTTGAAGAAACCGTCGAGGAATTTGTGTGCTCGTATTACGGCGACGTATCAGGAGCAATGTTCGATGCGAGCCTGGAAGGTTGAAGATCTCGTGGTCGTCAACGAGACAAGCTGACCAGAGGGTCTTGGGTCTTGGTGACGCACAAGTAATCGCTAAAAACCCCTGTCGCCGATAGAGAGTTGCCAGTAACATGCATATGAAAGGATAGGAAACGTGAAGGGGCGAATAGAGGTTGTGCAGAGGGTGTTTCAGTTTATCCTCCAGTGAGAGGTGTTTTCGTGTGCTCTGGCAAACACAGTTAACGTGTCCGAATCGTTTTCGATGGAGTTCTTTTGGATTCCTAAAAAAAAATTAAAAAAGGTTCGCCTCGTGTTTCCGAGATAGGACCGCCAGGACCAGAAATCTTGAATGTATTTTAGAACGTGAACGCGGACTTCGACAGCAGTGCTGAATGATGGGAGTTGAAAAGTGTTAATTGATACATTAAATCTCGCTGCTATTGGTATATTAGACAAGTCCATCAGTCATTCCTCCCATCCTCTATATTTCCTACCACGCATTATCTTGTCCTCCTTCCCACACCCTTGAAAATCATCCCTCCCACAACTCCAGCAGCAATAGCTACGCCACTGAGAATAGCAACACCCATCAAACCCTCTCTAGCAACCTTGTTATCGATCAACTCCCTCAGACTGCTTGCTTGCAGGTTTGCTGGTTCCTTCTCCAACAACAAGTCGTTGTATCTTCGTGCCTCGCCATAGTTCCCCAGTTTGTAGTTTCCCAGTGCCAGGTAGTACAGACATTCTCGTCTTCGTTCTGGCGAGGTGCGGAAGATATCCGACAGGAGACGGACGCCTTCTTGTTGATCTTGGCGGCCGTTCGATTTGATCAAACCCTTGGAAAGTATTAGCATTGCTACATCATATAATCTCCAGGCAGCCAACATACCCATGCAAAGTTGAACTTAGTTTGTACTCCAACATGTTCTCCTTCCTTTTCGTATTGTGATCGTAGAACCTGCAGCTCTGCTGGCTTCAGTGGGCTGATGAAATGTTAGTATTGAACTTGGGAATGAGGTGGGGTACTGGAATGGAAACGAGAGAGAAGGTATATCGGGGAACTTGACTGACCTTTCTGCATCGGCAGCATCTAAATGCACACGTTTCGTTAGCATAGCTGTTTCCAGTTGAAGAGCGTAGAGGAAGATGGCAAAACGGGTATGCAGCTTCGTATCCAAGACGTTGTCTGCCATACTTACAAGGAAGAGAGGAGCCCATGATTTCTTTTATGTTCTCAAATAAGGACATCCGAAGTTTGTGTAATGAGGAAGTTGCGATGTGGTGTGCCTTTTAGGTTGGTTGAAGGTTCATGGGTCGAGCTCTGTGTGGCGTAGGTCAGTCGGGGCTGTGGCTTGTGATCCCAGGCCGACGTCACTACGAGATACGAAGTAAGGTTTCATGGTTGCCCGGCAACGAAAACGGGAAGGAAACGCTGACACCTTGTTTTCGAAGCCGAAGACTGCAAGCGATAAAGAAAAGACGCACTTTTTAAACTCGCATTGCTTCATTGCTCCTAATACTCAAAATAATATCAGCGCACATAAATCGTAGCAATGCTTCTCGACGAAGATCCCGCGACTGTAAGTTTTCCAAAATACGGCCAGGAGCGCAATACTAACATCTCCAGCTCATCCACCACACGATTGGCAACTTCAACATTACACCCGACAAGCTCGCAGTTTCACGCATAAATGAATCGCTATCAACACTTCAACAAGCTCGCGATCTGCGAGTACGAGAAGCTGAAAGTGCACTGAAGAGTACGGTTCCCTAGAATGGGTGGTAGATCAGTGCTGACTGTAAACAGAGCTCTCCCGAAAACTCACAACACTGAATAACCACCACCTTGAGACGATTGCTTCACATTCAGTTACCGCACATGCGTCAGAGATTGCTACTCTCGATACACAAAAATTCCGAATTGCAAAGTCTGCGAATGATCTGGAGATTGAGTCAGAGCGTTTATCGTCACAACTTGCAGATCTTCAGGCACGGCTACAAGAGTTAGAGCTGCAAGGTGTAGATGGCGGCGAAAATGCGAGGAGAGGTCTGTTGTATGATGAGATCAGTCTGAAGCTTAAGGTCTACAGAAGTTTGGGTGTCGATGTGGACAGGGACGAAAAGGGCCAGTACGCGAAAGCTGTGATTCGAAATGGAAACAAGGGAGACGTTCACGTAATCAATATGGATGGGAAGTTCTCGCAGTTTTTTTATGCGAATTACTTCTGGTCGACGATGTAGAATTGAAGGGAATCGAGCGGCTGGGAAGGATATCATTGGGTATTGGCGTTGGACGGCGTGTTTTGATAGCAGGATTCACGTGCCACATACCAGAGGAAATTGGTGATTAGGCAGATTTTGTACGAGTTGAATGACTGAATGATCTGTTTTGTACAGAACCCACTTCTTAAATCCCATTCCTACGCCAGTAACCCAAAATCCGAACGCCATATCTTCATCCCATTCATTATCATGAATCATACCCAGCGGCCTCTACCTTTGCTTCATACTCAAAATAGAAGATCCCTTCGAGCTGCCAGAACTGACAGAAGATATTCTTTTCAAGGTCTTAGGACTACCCGCAGTGTGCGGGAAGTAGCCCTCGCCAAGTCCAACCATCGAACTCGGTGGCGTTCTTGCCTTCGAAGTATTCATGGTAGCCTCTGGACTGTAACTCCTGTTGGCTCTCGTATCACCAGGCATACTGCCACCCGTCAAACTCCTATGATGTCTCCTTGTATGCTCCGCCGGTAGCTCCAGCCTCGAATTAATGCCCGTCCATAAAGCATCCTCATCATCTGAACTTTTATCTAGCCGCCAACCACCAACGCCTTCGTAATCTCGTGTTGGACCAACAGATTGACTCAGCCCCATAACCGTCTCGCTCGAGACCGGAGTGAGCGAGCCTGTGGCAGACAATGAGCTGCTCGTGCTGCCTCTCCGCTTCCTCCTCGCTGGAGAAATCGTGGGCTGATTCTGGAAAGACTTGCTTCGTTTGAAGTAGGCAGATGCTGGTCTGGCGCCGAGAAGGTAGTATGGTATTACGGCGAGAGCGAGCTCGATGTAGATGAGAACTACTCGGAAGGCGAGAATTGAGAAGGCGAGAAAGGTGGTGAGAGTTGCGAGGAGGGCGATGGGCACCGTGAAGATGAAGAGGAAGGGGAGGATTAGGCTGTAGACTGGATTGAGGAGCGCCATTTCCTCGTCGATTGTGTAATTGTCATTTCTGTGGTGAGAATGCGAAACGAATGAGGGGAAGGGTCTTCTTTATGGAGGAGCGGGTTTGCTGAGCGAGAGTCTGGATGCTCCTCGCATGTGAAATCGCCCGGCAAGTGTGGGGTAGCTTGAGCCTAGGCCAGCCTGGGCAATTGTGGCGTTCAGGCTTCTGCATCGCTAAAACTTACTCGAGGAACAACTTGAAGTTTCACACCTCCAACCTCCGCGCACCAGTGACTTTTGAGGTCGAACCATGAAACCCCAGCTCCTGTATGAGAAAGTCGGTTGAAGGGTGATCGATTCTATCAACTAGGGGTTCGTATGGCTTCAGGTCCAGCTCATGATGCCTTTCCGTGGCATCTTGGTGTCTTTGATGCCCATTGCCACCCAACCGACACCATGAGTACGGCCTCATCGATCCCGAGAATGAAAGCACGTGTCTTAACAGTGATGGCCACAAGAGGTCAAGACCAAGAGCTTGTTGCTCAAGTTGCTGAGACATACGGGTTGAAATCATCCGATACGAGCAGGAGAGTGGAGAACGAATGCCTGGTTCCCTGCTTTGGATGGCATCCTTGGTTTTCTTATCAAATGTATGACGATAACGAGAAACCCGTATCAGGCTCCAGCTCGGAAGACTTCAAGATTCAGCATTATCAATCTGTCTTGACGCCAAAGCCTGAAGATTCAGCCTTTCTCTCTTCCCTTCCGGCTCCACGTTCACTGCAAGCATTCCTTGGGGAGACGAGGAGCTATCTGGAGAAATATCCTGTAGCACTTGTTGGTGAAATTGGGTTGGACAAAGGATTCCGGCTTCCGGGCATCCAATCATCCGGCTCGGAGGTATCGAGAGACCATTCTCTCACTCCTGGCGGTCGGGAAGGCAGACGCCTCACTCCATATCGAGTCAAGATGGATCACCAAAAGGCCGTTCTAAAAGCGCAACTCAGGCTTGCGGGAGAGATGAAGCGTGCTGTATCTATTCATGGAGTTCAAGTACACGGAGTCTTGTTTGATACTCTGCAGGAGACATGGAAAGGCTACGAAAAAGAGGTCCCCAGCAAGGAGAGAAAGAAGGTAGAGAAAATACCGCCACCTGAGGATGACGAGCCAGAAGAGCCTTCGAAAGAGGAGCCGCTGAAACCCTTCCCTCCTCGAATATGCCTACATTCCTATTCAGGACCACCGGAGCCTCTGAAACAATACTTGCATCCCTCAACCCCTGCCGATATCTTCTTTTCATTCTCTGCTGTCATCAACATGTCAAGCCCAACCAGTTCAAAAGCAGTCGAGGTCATCAAAGAAGTACCGGATGATCGTATCTTGGTTGAGAGCGATTTACATATTGCTGGTGATGAGATGGATAGTAAGCTGGAGGAGATGTGCCGGAAGATTTGCGAAATAAAAGAGTGGAGCCTGGAAGACGGAGTGACCAAACTCGGAGATAATTGGCATCGATTCGTTTTTGGATAGTATGAAAGAGACAGCATTGAGATCAAGTCTAGCTAACGGAAAGGAGGCTCTAGCACCAAGCTGAATATTTGGGGACACTTGGTTGAATGAGCAGGAGAGGGAAAGGGTGGTTCTCTGGGGTACCTAGTTGAATGGATGAGTGAGGGTCAACAATTGTTCAAGGGAAGTTGATCGAAGGAGTAGAAGAGGGGAAAGGTGATTTGCTCAAAACGCTCTTGGTCGAATGAGACATTTTCTTGTGAAGAGAGTGGACTTACTTTCCAACTTTTAAATTCTCCAAGACTTCTTAAATTTATGAAACTTAACTTGTGATTCTACCAGCTTCCGCGCAGACATCTAAGGAACGCCCTGCCTGCTTCAACTCGGCAAGACTTCTTCTATTGACAACAACAATATTAGCCGCAACAAACACCCCTACCTTTTCCGGAACGTTCTTCAATTCGATGATTAGTCTGGAGTCTTGGCTATTCGACCACGCAACTCCGGTCGATTGACCTCTAAGCCGCTGCGTCACCTTTAACCCTGCACCGCCTTCCCATCACAGAAGCTATTTGATCAAAGGACTTCCGTACATCGACCTCCACTGCTTTCTTCACTCTACTGTCTTTCTTCATTCGACCACACGACGCTGATCGAATGAAATCCACCAGAATTGTTGCATAGCAAGGTCATTCGACCACCTGACTTTGGTACATTGAACTCTGCCACAATTGCTTCATCACAAAATCCATTCGACGACCACACCACTCTCGTCGAATAAAATCCACTGCTAGTGCTTCATAGCCAAACCATTCGACTATACGACTTTTGTACATTGTCCAAGATGTCAGACAAGTCAAGTCCGGAACGTCCTTCTTTGTTGGACATGGAATTGTCAGATGCCGATGACACTACTGACAATATGAAGGATAACAATGAAGACGAGCTGAATGACAATAACATCGACAAGCTGCACGACCCTACAGGTCAATACGCCAGTGGTAAGCCTGGAGTTTCATTGTACCCAGTAGCACACGGATATTCTTCACATTAGCCCCTTCCAGCACCTCATGACTAATCTTTCATAGCATATGCTCGCGCCACCAAAGCCAACCAGCCTACTTCACCGGCTCCTAGCTCCTCTCCATCTCCTCAACCACCTATCCGCAAGCGTGCCCGCAGATCTCGCAGCCGAGTCCCATCTCCAGAACCAAATCGTAGCCTTCAAGCTCAGGACCCTGCCTCCCCTCCAAATCAAAATTCGTTTGCATTCTCCCACCAATACGGCCGGCGAGAGCACGACCGCCTTTATGATTCCCCTCGAGGATTTGGAGAACCCGCCAACCGACATGGCCCTGCTGTTGCCCGTGTTGTCAGCCGCCATTATATGCCTTCCCAATATAATAGCACCCGTTCCGGTATGTAGCTGTCAGCTTCTCTTCTTTGAAACTTCCAGAACCTCGGCAATGCAAAATTTCTAAGCCTGTGCTGGGGGTTTTTTTTTCTGCCCAAGCTTCGCTTGTTTGTCATATCCTCTCCTTATAATCTTCTACCGGCCGGTGTTCCTCTTCTAACACCGTCTGATAATACTTCTTTCACCGTCTGATCTCTACCTTGGGTCACTGCTCAGGCTTAATCTCCCTTCACCGTCTGATCTCGCCTTCCCACACTGTCACTTCTGCACCTTCCTTCACCGTCTGATCTCGCCTCCCCATACTGCCACTTCTGCACCTTCCTTTATCGTCTGGTCTCGCCTTCTCACACTACCACATCTGCATCTTCTTTCATTGCTTGATCTCACGTTTTCACAATACAAATCTTTACTTTCTGACACCTTCTAACCGTATCCCCTTTCGCCGTCTGATCTCACCGCCGGATATCACGTTCTCACATAACACATCTTTACTTTCTTGCAACTTCTACTTCTATCTTCTTTCACCGTCTGATCTCGCTTTCTTCCACTGTCGCATCGACACCTTCCCTTACCGTCCGTTCTCCCAGTGCCTTGTGGCTAACTTTAGAAGACAACATTGCCGAAGTTGGAGCAGTCCCTCAACCCCTTTATAAGCTGGCGTCTCGCCTCGTTCCATCATCTTCACAATACAGTCTTCACTCGAGTATGTGCTCCTCAGTTTCCATTTTTCAATGCCACTAACTCCTCTCACACTCCGATATTCTCTCCACCTTTCACATTTCCCTTTCTGACCGCTGCTTCGCTTTGCGCCTATCTCCTCACTTTATGCCGAATTATCACTGACTTTGAAAGATAATCCCACCGAGTTTGAGCTCGCTTCGGTACCCCTTTCTAAGCGAGGTTATCACCCCCTTTCATTCACTTCACAATACGACATTCCTGACTACGAGCAATCACCTCCTCCATCCGTCCGACCATCTTGCCTCCAACAACCTACTTCCATCCAATACCAGAATACCCATTACGAGGGCCAAGGCCCTTCACGAGAGCTTGTACCTTACAACGGCAACTACACAGCAGAAAGACGTGCAACCATGAATCGCCAACCAAAGAGAGGCTACGAGTCAGTCAGAGACGGCGATTCGGAGAGTGGTACGTAATAAGTAGTCTTGTTCAAATAATTTCAATTACTAAATAAGAAGTAGGTATCTTCGTCAAGGTGGATGGATATCGAGTTGAACAAGCAGGGCAGAGTGGCAAGCGCTTCTCTCAAGATAGCCTCCATTCCTATGAAAATATCCGTTCCCGACCGCAACCTGGTCAACTCCCAGGTGATGAGTACTTCAACAATCCTGGCAAGAACTTGCGCCAATCTCGCTACTCTGGAGGCCAGAACAATTGGGGAATCAATAATATACCCGTTCTGGTCCCGGAGGATGAAGTCACGGACGCCGCATTGCTCAAGCGTGGTCTTAATCGTGGAGACGGGGCAAAGGTCTGCAAGCGCGGTTATGGAGCCAACGATCCTGAGAACATTGCCATCGTCAATATGTTCGAGAAGGATCGAATGTCCTTTGAAGACATATGCAAGAAGCTCAATTCTGACCGAGTCCTGAACGGCAGAGACCCCACTCTTAGTGCAAACGGCTGCCAAAATCGTTATAATCGAAATGCTCCGATCCTCTTTAGCGCCGAGGGAAGAGAGTTTATTCCCCTTGGTTCTCGCAAGCGTGGGCAGCGAATGGACGATATTCCACCCACAAAACCAAGAGCTAAGGCAGTTTGGAATGATGAGCTTGACACTGCTCTGGTATTGGCTGTCAGAGAATGGGAGAGCAGGAAGTGGGATGATGTTGCGGTGCTCTTCAAGCGGAAGACTGGTGTTGATATGGATGCCGGAGCTTGCGCCAACCGCCACCACATCATCTAAGTGTGGGGAAAGCAAGTTGTCGAGTGAGGTGGGGTGGATTCTTGACAACAAATTACCTGGAGTTGGTATTTGATGGACATGGGTGGATACTTGACAATGGCTGTGTTCAGATGATATGGCGTTGCTTTCTACACTTCTTGCGTTGCTTTAAAAGTTCGCGTTCCTCTTCGTAAATTGCATTCTGCACTGGTTTTTAGATACCTACACTTCACTGCCAAAGCCATCGCGCTGATTTCTAGATTAGACGAAATAAACCACACATATCCAATCCTTTGTCATGAATAAATGACAATGACTGTTAAGTTCTAACTCACCGTCCGATATTCACATGCGCAAAGAATAAAGAGTATAAGATTTTTTTAATAGTCTAATTGTCACATCGGCAGAGAATAAAGAGCATAATTTTTTTTTCAATATCCTACCCACTGTCAGATGTCCATATGCGTGAAGAATAAAGAGTATAAGGTCTTACAGTCTCTAATTATTGTCCGAAGTTCACACCGGCAGAGAATAAACAGTAACATCCTGATCTTTTATACTCGTTTTCAACATCCCTGGTTAAGCTGAACATTGCAAAATACCCACTCTCTCAATGTGCGCCATCTTTATTTAAATTGAAAGTCTACTCTACTCAAGCATCTCCAGGATTCTAGATTTCGATTTCGTGCCCCAAGTTACTAGGTCGAATCAAATGTCTAACTTCCACTTAGGACATTGCAAATGAGTGCCTGTTTTCCTATTCATTATTACCAAATAATCAATATTGACATATAATATTCTCAGTTTGACAGTGACTGAGGAAGGTATTCTTGTCCGGATATTCCTCGTAGCGTAAGCTCCTTGCTCTTGCCGAGATCAGCAACACTAAAATGTCCTTGAAGCAATTACTAAATGTCCCAGCCTTATTAGAACATTGAACTTGGAAACAAATATTTGTAAGATTACCACCATGCTCTGGGACATTGAGGCAAGTGGGTCTGCTAAATGTTCAGAATTTCTGTGAACAATGCGCACTTGTTCATGGCCACTATGTCTCGAGGGTAGAAACCGAGCCTATAACAGTTTGGTCAACTTGAAACTTCAGGTTCTTCTGAGAAGGAATCAAAGAAATCTAACCATCTCGTCTCTCTCAAGTGTTTAAAGAAACCTCTCTTTGGGTACAACAAGCGCCGCACCCCAATTCACTTTCTGCTTGCACTCGTCCTTCTCCTATATCGATACACAAAATTTTCATTTTGTTTGCTGATGCAATAATCTACCACCAGTAAGTAAACTTTGCATGAAGAAACCAAATAAAGTCCCTTACCTACTCAGATCTATAGCAGCCCGTTGTCTTATTCCTCCGCTCTTGGCGCAAAAGCAACCCAGGCACAGGTGAAACGGCTTGAAATATAGATATTCCTGACATATAAAGTTGATACAATAATAAGACCTGGAGCGTGGAATCTGTTGCGTAAACATACCTGCCATACTATATTTTAGTGTTAGTTTCTATGCAAAGAAAGAAAAGGTGGACCCATGAGGAACGAACATGGAGCTGTGATTGCCGTTGAATAGCAATTATTGGTCTCGAGTTTGGCGTAGCGAAGTTGACTAACTTCGTTTCTGAATTTACTGGTAGGATTGAAGTGCTGGGTAACATGCTCCAGTCTTGTCGGGTGCGCTCCGGCGAGTACTGCGGCTGGACGGCCAGGAGCACCGCAGTAGCAGTAAGAACGAAATGCATGATGGAGTAGGTAGAAGATAGTTGAGGGATGAAAAATTGGTGCTGTCCAACTCACCAAGCTAGAACATAGAGGACGTTACTTAACCCCCTTGGCCGCACTCAAGAGAAGTTTACTTCCACACGTTTTCCTACATTCTAAGCACGAACACTATTAAAGCAGTGTGATGTGACTGAGTGAACGCAACGCCTCTGCCGCAGATGTGTCAATGAATAATACTCAGTGGATAGCTGAACGTGAGTATCGAACCCGTGGCCATTCCGCGAATGTACGTACCCGAGATAGAAACCGAAAGTAGCTATGTGTAGCAGAACTTTAACCGTGAGACATCGCAAATCAGCCGGGTTCTTAGGGAAATGCAGTAAAATGATAAACAATGAAGTTGACAAGGAACATGGAAACCAATGAACTCTTGAAAGTCCTCTATTTCATAATTACCCTATTTTCTCGATTTAAAACAGAATGTTGCTGCAAACTGGCAGTGTGATATCGGCAGCATTGAAAGGGGGTTTATATTTGAGTTTGCACTCTTTCTCGCAAGATGCACGTCAGAGAAAAATATGGGAGAGGAAAGCCACGCTCGTGATTCGTAAAATTTCCGGTGTGCACTAAAAATATGGAAAATCATACCCCAAACAATAGGACATTCAGAAAAGAATGAATTAGTTTGGAGGTCTATCGGAGTTCGCTAGAGCCCCTGACTAGCCTAACTAAGTCTAGTGCCGGCATTGCTGCCTGGTGACCTCATGACTCCCAAAGGCGCGTCGCGTCGAAATCAATTTACGCGTTCCTGACACCAAATCACCAACTCTCCTTTACATTCATGCCATTGCTTTGCTGCGCTTTGTATCTCTACTTTTGCGTCCCTAGATCGAGTCAATCGCTTTCAGGATAATTTTGTTGAATGTGAGGAGTTCAAGGACACTTGAGTTGCCACCCCAGGATCCCCGGACTCGAGGCCGAGTCTCTTCATTGGACCGAAGGAAGGGCTGTTGCTTGATGTGAGTTCTCGAATGCTGTCCCAGGTTGAAATTGATTAGCTTTCTATTTTTATACGATCGAGGACTGAAATTGATAGATCTAGGATTATTCATCGCCACCTTCCAAGAATCTCTAGTCAAGAAAGCTCTTCTGGCTCGAATCTGGAGCTGCTCATTGGGCCAAGTCAAAATTCCGGTCTGCAAAGATACTTCTCTGATTTCTCGACTGCGCTCCAACCTCTTTCTCGCCAATTGTCCCTTTCAACTCATCTAATTCTCTACTTCCTGTAATGGCGTCGTCTTCGAGCGTGGGAGATCGCTCTCCCGATCCTGAGTCCAGACTTCCCACTAGTGCACCCTCGTCACCTCCCGAGCAACCGATTGATGAGGAAATGAAATTCGCTACCACGGAGGAGAAGGCTATGTTCGAAGAAGAGAAAAGGGCTCAAGCTGAGAATGATCGAGCGGAAGAGAGACGCCGAAAACTTGCTCTGAAGAAGAGAAAGCAAATACAAGAGTCCAAAACCGAGCGCGAGGCCAAAGCAAAACAACTTGACGATCTACTTATGAACTGTGCGAAGTTTTCGGATATTTTGACAAAGAAGACTGAGGTCCTTGGGCGTGTAGGCAGTGGTTTCGATGGCAAAGCTTTGGGAGAACATGATCTGGTGATGGCAAAGCAACCAAAGTGTATGATTGGTGGTACTATGCGAGACTATCAATTGGAAGGTCTTACGTGGATGTACGAGATTTGTTCTCAAGGCATGTCTGGTATTCTGGCGGACGAGATGGGTCTCGGAAAGACGATCCAGACGATCTCGCTGATTGCCAAGTTGCGAGAGGAATTTGATTACATGGGACCTCATTTGATCGTGGCGCCTCTGAGTACGCTGTCGAACTGGATGGAGGAGTGCAACAAATGGATTCCCAGTATCCCAGTCGCATTCTACCATGGCACTCCACCTCACCGAAGGGACGTCTTTCAAAAACAGCTGATGAAGAACTTCGTCGGTGGCCGGGTGAACAAAAAGTTTCCTGTGGTATTGACGACGCCTGAAATTGTTATTAGGGATGCTAATGATTTATCGAAAATAAAATGGGAGCTCATAATCATTGTAAGTTTATTCCTCCGCATGCTTGATTTCTCTTACTGATTCCAATTTATAGGATGAAGGGCATCGTTTAAAGAACTCTGACTCGAAGCTGTTTCGCATCCTTCGAACATTCACATCAGTCACTCGTTTCCTCATTACTGGCACTCCGTTACAAAATAATTTGAAGGAGCTTTGGTCTCTCCTGAACTTCCTGCTCCCCACCATCTTCGCAAATTGGGAACAATTTGAGAGTTGGTTCGACTTCAGCGACCTTCAAGACGAAGAAGGCACAGAAGAATTTTTACAAGACCAAATTAAGCAGGATCTGGTGAAGAAGATGCACTTGATCTTGCAACCCCTGCTACTTCGACGAATCAAGGCAGATGTCGAGCATTTACTGCCAAAGAAACGAGAATACGTTCTTTATGCACCGATGACTCAGGAACAGACAGATCTTTACAATGTCATAAACAATAAGAATATTGATACACGGCAGTATCTCGAAGATAAGGTCGTCGAACGCCTGACGGGAGCAACAAACACACCAGCGATGTCTCGAAAAGCCAGCCCTACCACTGTTGCATCGCAGACAGAGAAATCGGATAGCGAGGAGGATATCCCGCTTAGGAAACTGGCCATCAAGAAACCAGGACGGGGACGGCCAAAAAAAGCCACACCAAAAGCTGCTACCCCAAAAAATGCATTCGAGCAGATGATGCAGAAGAAGACGCCTGCCACTGCCAAGGGCAAAACAGCCAATCTGAAGCGGAAATCGCAAGAAGCTCTCTCGTCGCCACTCACAAAATCATCCAAGTCAAGCAGACAATCCACCCCAGCGAGTAGCGTACGAGGCAGAAAGACCAGGAAATGGAAATCTTACACGGAGGCAGACGCCACGGACGAGGACGAGTTGAGTGATGATGAGTTTGAACAGAAGCTAGCGGAAGAAATGGCAGGTCAGGATGAGGATCAAGGCAGTGAAGGAAGCCAAGAGGAGATTGAGCGAGCCAAGACCCTGGAGCTTGCAAGTAAGTTGCATTTAACACTTCCCAGTGGCCATTTCTAACGATCCACAGGACGAGAAATCGGAACCAAGAAGCTGGGCAACCCACTCATGCAACTCCGACTAGTCTGCAACTCTCCTCATAATTTCTACAGCCCTTGGTCAGCAAACTCCGGTCTAGAAGTTGACGAAACCCTCGTTACCTCATCCGGAAAGATGCTCCTCCTCGACCGCCTGCTCCCTGCCCTCTTCGAGCGCGGCCACAAAGTCCTCATATTCTCACAATTCAAAACCCAACTTGACATCCTCGAAGACTACTCCCGGGAACTGCGAAAATGGAATGTCTGCCGAATCGATGGCTCGGTAGCACAAGACGACCGCCGTCAACAGATCAAGGAGTTCAATGAGAATCCTGCCTTCAAGCTCTTTTTGCTTTCAACGAGAGCTGGGGGTCAGGGTATCAACTTGGCAAGTGCTGATACTGTCATCTTGTTCGATAGCGACTGGAACCCGCAGCAAGATCTCCAAGCTCAAGACCGAGCGCACAGAATCGGCCAAAAGAATCCGGTCGTGATATACCGACTTGCCACGAAAGGAACAGTAGAAGAAGACCTCCTTCTCTCCGCTGATGCAAAACGTCGTCTAGAAAAGTTGGTTATCAAGAAAGGAGGCTTCAAGACTATGCACCAGAAGATGGAGAACGAAGAAGCGATGTCAAAAGAGGCGTTGAAGGCGCTACTGTTGAAGGATGGAGAAGTGTATAAGTATAAAGGCGGAGATGAGATTCTGAGTGATGCGGATATAGATGTTTTGACTGATAGGAGTGAGGAGGCTTATGTGAGGGCTGAAAAGGGACTGGGCGACGCGGAGGGTTTTAGGATTGTGGAGACGAAGGCTGCAGGGTTGATGACGGGGATGGGGGGGAAGAAGGAGAGGTGATGCTTTGAGGTGTGCTTGGTGGGAGAGTTCCTGTGTATTAGAGTCAATTTGCACGAGTATTTAATGTTTCAGTTCGTTTCAACTATTCGGAAAACGAATGCTTTATACTACACTCTTCAGCAATGAAGTGTTTAATTGCGATTGTGCCGAGTCTAATATAGAACTTCTTCTCCAACTCGGATTTTGTAGCCGTTGCCGTTGATTGAAGATTCTTGAATTCCTCGCAGGCTTTTTTGCCGAGCGGAGAAATATCTCGTCGGACTATCTCGAAACCCTCATTTGTCGTGCGGGAGAGATCGAAAGAAGTTTAAGAGTCAGAATTTCGCGCTTGCAGTTGCTGCTGTGGTTCTTCAATAGTAGGAACATGAATCGCCTAAGATATTTGCGTTTGGGGAGTCAGTAAGGATCATTTAAATCAGGTGTGGATAATCCATTCTGGAAAAGGGGCTATAGCTATGCTTACATGGGTATAAGAAGGGTTCTTGAGCTCGAGGATAGAACCTCTTCCCCACAGATATCACCCAATCTCACAGAAGCGATCAAGGTGGTCGTCATGTCGAAACCAGCTAACATCTACTCCCCTCCCCTAGTCGCTGGTTTCCCCAGGGGCATGGAAAAGCCCTAACTTTATCCACAAACCCGTTCCCACAGCTCTGTTTTCTCTCCTTCAGCCTTAATTTTCTTCTTGTCAAGCCTCATTCTGCTGTCACGAACAAGGTCTTCCGACCACGCACAAAACTTGGCTATGCTGATAGATATTGGAAGCCCTGGAGAAATTCGGCGGGGAAATAGTTGATATCTTCGAACCGTATCAGGGGGAATTGGAAACTAGAATCAGAATCACATTCGCCGTCGTGGAGATGACATCTTCCTGGATTTTGGTGTGCCAAGGATAGAGCGGGGTTCGAGAAGGGAAGATATGACGGGAAGCTTTTATATTCGATCTTCGCCCTCGCAAGTTGCTGTTGGCCGCTCCAAATTTGTGAAGAAGAGTGGGGCTATCTCACCCCTCCTTCTTCTCCATCCACAAAGCTTGGCCCATTCAAGAACAAACAGACGCTCCCCACGTCCAGTCTGACCTTTGTATCAGTGTGCCAAACGTGCGCCCTCAATTCCAAAGCGGAAGTGGAGTTACGTCAAATAATAACAAACCAGAAATTGACATCAAAGCCCAAACTTCAGCCAGCGCATTGATAAATCACTTATTCCCAACTTCTCTCCTCAATAACGACTACCTCACAAATGCCGTATCCACAAATAATTCAAGCATCTGCCATCACAGGATCCATAATCCCCGGGCATTCCCTTGTCCTTCCAGCCGGCTTGAAACCATAATTGTATGTAGGGAAGCTGTGATAATCCATTATAAAGACTGCCTTCGTCTGACCTTTATAACTCTAACGCAATTTAGACACTGCTGCGACTTCCTGTTTGCATTCCTAAAGCCCCTATTTCCCACATCCGCCAGCCATCCGTAGATTATATTCACACTATACCAATCCTTCTCCCCAAGCAAAGCACCGCCAAGATATTTCCTGTCTCTGCAGCAGTAAAGCGGCTTCCCTTCTCATAAGACTTCCAATCTTCAAAACAGTTTTTATTCGGATTCCAGCCGTCCCCAGACGATCTTCAAGCTCTGACACTCCTCCCCCTTCCAGCACAACCAAGATATTTATACCTTTGTTCCAGCAACACGTCCCCTGTCACCCATCCTCTCCCAACCTTCAGCACCGTGTGCAATTTGTGCGCTGGCAGGCCACGGACATAAAAGAACCCGTGCCGATACTCCTAGCCCCCCCTCTTTATCGAGCTTGCGTATCGGAACGGATCAACCACGACGCCTAAATTGATGCGCGCGCCCCCTTTCCAGCTCGCTAGTTCTCGATACGAGGATATACCGAGCCCCCCTTTCCTTCACCGCTTTTGGCCGTAGCCGAAGTGACGTCTGGTGGCTTAGTCTTGTAGGAACTGTATGGGTGCAGCTGGTGACTGTCTGTCTAAAGAGTGTAGACACCTTCCTGTAGGTGCGCGATCGATGTTGTATTTTCGTGGCTGTGATGTGATGTGTAATCGTATGCGCGAAGGGGGTGGGTTTGTTGTAATGGTAAATATGTTAGCGGAGGACGGGGAGGGTTGTGTGGTAGTGTTGGTGAACAAGAAGGGGGAGGGCAATGTGGTAGTGCTGATGAGCAAGGAGGAGGGTAGTAGTACGGTAGTGCTAGTGAGCAAGGCGGAGGAGGGCAGTGTAGTAGTGTTACGAACAAAAAGGACGGTAGTGTGGTCATGCTGGTGAACAAAGAAGAGGAGGAGATTTGTTACGCAGCTGTTAGGAGCGTCGACACCAAAATGCGCCTGCTGTTTGTTAGCCAGAATCGATCAGAGATAGCAGAAGGGAATGATGCCACCTCCAGCTTGTAGCTACGGGTTGCGCGGATGAAGTGGAAGGTACTGGGCAGCGTATGATTTGGAGACGACAAAGGCGATTTGGGAAGGAGAGAGGACAAACTCCCTAGACCTCGATCTCTTGCTTTGTCACTCTCACGCAAAGGGGAATTGATTGTAATTTAGATGGCCACAGAGAGCTAATTTGGTATTAATCACTGCCGATTACAGGCTTATCATTTCTCATCATTTGCTACTTCTTCGCCTTCATAACGCTTCAGTAGAACTCCACCCATTACAGCTCCTGATCGCAGCAGAAACAGATTAAGCACCACCAATAGCCTCCTTGTTGTGAAGATCAAGGATCACGTCTTCGGCAGTCTCGTCCGTACCCTGAAGATCATCTTCGAGGAGAACGGTGTCGTGGATCTTCATCAAGATGACAGGGGTGGCACAGACGAGGGCTACCATGAGTAGGACCCAGTTGGAAATGAACTCGGCCTTGAAGGTCATCTTGTGAGAGTCGCGGGACCACATGACAGCTGCGCCGGCCGACTGAATGCCCTTGTAGAAACCGACGTAGTTGGCAGAGCGGCGTCCAGAGTTGGAAAGAGCGCCCATGAACCTGTACGATGTCAGTACTTAGAAGGAGGCTATTAGGGGGGGGTCAAAACATACCAATAGACCGAAGCTTGCCAGAGAGAGTCGTAGAGGCCGTAGAAGAAGTACAGGAACATTGGTCCGACGTAGCCAGAGTCAGCCCAGTCAACTGGCTTGAGAGCGTTGGGATTGACAGGCTGATCAGTGCCCTTAATGAGAGAGTGATCAACGTCAAAGCGAGTGTAGTTTTGGTAAGCGTATCCACCTCCCCAAATGGCCATGGTGGCAACATAGAGCATGGCGAGACAAGCCTTGGCACGAACAGAGCGGCGGAACTTCTCGATGTCAAGAGCGTAGCCTAGAATCAATGCACCAATGATCTGTGCTGCGTAGTAGAGAAGGCCGTTCAAAGCTCTAGTACGAACGTCGAACCGGGCAGCGTTAACAGCGTTTTGTTGGTAGGTGTAGAACCAGTTGGAGCACCAGAACATTGGGAAGAGAAGGATGACATATGGTTCAAATTCCAAGGTTTCCCAAAGGCCCTTGAACTCGGTCTGCCAAGATGGGTTCTTCATCAACACGACCTTGGTGTTGTCTGGCCGAATAATATCCTTAGCGTTGCAAAGGAGTAGAGCAAGGACAGCGCCGAGGAACATGAGCACAATGAAGCCAATGTAGGTACCGTCGCTAACAGTGCCGGCATCAGTCTGGTGGATATTCTGAGCGAGCGGGATCTAAGAGAATTAGTCAAATTCAACGAGGAAAAGAGGCGGTCTGGTTCAAAGGCGAATTTGAGCGCGTGAAAAGAGCAGGTTTTAAGATGCGAACAAAAAGGTGCTCACCAGACTGCCAATGACAGCGCCCATGTTAAAGATTGCCCAGAACCAGGCGAAGTATCGGCCCTTAGAGATTTCATGAGGGTAGGAGATCATGATAGTGCCTTGGGCAGTCCACAACAAACCAGCACAGATACCGAGAAGAGCCCCAGCGAAGATGTTGAAGCCACCAACATAGGCATGCTCGGAGGCAAGTAAGCTGATAGTGTAAATGCAGTAGCCGACACCACCGAAGGACAGAGTAAGCTTAACACCGAGCTTGTTGACGAAGGTTCCACCGAAGAAACCGAAGACGGCGAAGGTGCTGTAAAGTGCAGTGTTCTTGTAAACAAGGCCATCAGCTTGAAATTTTGGAAAAATTAGAGATGAAGTAGTTACCATATTGTCGGCGAGTGTCGCGTCAGACTTTCCACCTCCACCCATACCACCAAGCGCGTTGAACATTCCGGGGCAAAGGAAGCAGACCAATGCAACCATGACCAATTGGAATTTTGGGGAAGCATACCAGACGTGGTGCTTCTGGTTCAGGACCTTGTACTTCCATCCGCCGGGGAGAACGAGTTCTTGGGGTCCGTCGTGAGCGGCTGGGGAGGAGTCATGGAACGGAGCAGTTGTCGCGACAGGAGCAGTGCCTGCCTCTTCAACCTTTTCCGCCATCTCGAATTAAGATTGGGACGGAAGATCTGAAGGTTGGGGGTTGCGATCTGTCAAGTCAAGTCGAGGTGGGATGTATTAAGTTGAGTTCACGATGACGAGGGTGTGCCGAAGTAGGAGGAGGCCCAGAGACCGGGATTCGGAGCTCGCTTGAGAACGGCAGAAAAAAAAAGGGACAGTAAAGGAGAAGGAGAGCTGCGTGATGTTATACAATTCACCACGCGAGCGAGCGAGCTTATTTTTTTTCGCACTGATAACGCAGCGTGAGACGAGGCCGAGAGGGGCCTTTCTCCGCACATCGCGAGTGGAGACGGGGCTTGATGAGGGAGGGGTCCTGGGCTGCTGGCGTGCCTCTGAGTGGTGAGGGAAGAAAGGGAGGAGCTGCATACCCCAGTGGCTGGATGGCTGGTTGCATGGGCTGTCAGATAGCCCGTACCGTACAGTACGGCACCAAGCACCAAGCACCAAGCACCACAGCTCACCCGCTCACCCGCTCACCAGCCCACCCATGCAGATCATTCTATGTAACGTGTGATACCTGGGCCTTGCCCAGCAGGCCTCAGGAGCCGCCACAACGGGCTCTGGAGTCTGGAGTCTGGAGTCTGGAGTCTGGAGTCTGCACTCTGCACTCTGCACGCGCTGTTTGGCAGCCGTTTATCGCAAATAGCCATGGCCCCTTATCCTCGACGCTCTCTCGTGCGGCCGGGTTCGAGGTTGCAGCTACAGTACAGTACAGCCTTCACATGCTGGCTCCCATGGCGCGGGGAACACAGGAACCTCAGTCTCAGTCTCAGTCTCCGTCCCCGTCTCCGGATCCGCAAGAATGCCCGCGCCTGTAACGCCACCACTACAGATTCGTATTTTGGTCCAACGTCAACCGCGTGCGGCCTCCACGCAGCCAGTGGGCGCGATCGCAGCGTGTGCCGGCCACGAATGGCAGTGATGATCTCTCTCCGATGACAGACAGGGCGGGCCTCACGCGCCACGGCATACGGCAGAGTCCCATGTAAATAAAGCTTGCGGCAGGGGTAGTCAAGCCGGCACCGAGAGGGCTTGCGATCCTGGTCCCGAAGGTCTCTGGACGAAGGCCGCCCCGGTTTTGATTAACTGGATCGACTGGGCCACATCCAACCATGTCGCCTATTGAAAGCCAAAAAGCCCCCCCTTAAACCTTCGAGAACGCCCCCCGACAGCGACACGTGATAGCCGGCCCGAAGCGCTGTGTCAGGCCTATGGCAGTGACAATCGATGGTTACAGCGAGTCCAGCTCGTGGCTGCTGTTGCACCCCGTGGTTACATGCTGCTGTGTCTTCTGCGTTGGGACGCTCGCCCTATACGAGGTCGAATTGCGGATGGAGGACGCTGTCGTGCCAGCATGCCGGGTCTTATCTTTGCCATGGCATTGATGATTGATGGCAAGCTCTGGCGAGTCTGGACGCTGGGTACAACAAAGGTGGAGAGCGCAGTGGCAGGTAGTAGTGTGGCTGATGGCTGATGGCTGATGGCTCTTGAGTCTTGACTCTTGAGTGTTGGTTACTTCCCTCAGTCATGCTCCTCCCTGCCTGCGGTTATCAAACAGAAAGTGCTTTCTGTTTTAGAAACAGAGCAGCTCATATTTATCTGGGACGCTCTTGATTGGGTGTGCATTTGTTCCTTCAAGTGGGATTGCACGACGTCTTCAGGTTTCTGGAGCCTCCGTGGCACTGCCTAAGTTGCATCCGCTCACCCACTGCGTCGTGAGGGTGCCCTCCCAAGTGGGGGAGCGAGTCTTAAAATGGGAAGCCCCTCTCTAGATGCATATTTGGATTTTTGTTTTTGACATCCACGCGCGACCCAATTGCTTCACGTTACACGACCCAGCCCTGGAGGAGGCTGGTCTAGTTCAGATCCTCGGGACTGAACATATTTTCTTTACACCGCCAACAGGAGACCTTTCATGTCGCTTTTGTTTTCTTTGCCCTATGTCAGAAAAGGTGCACATGCCAAATATTCCTTCGTAGCCGTGAGGAATACTTGACATGACAACCATGCTTCGGCTCGAGACGCGAGTTCCTGCAGTTTCCTTCCACAAGCCGCCTGCAAGCATCATCTTCTGAAATACCACGAGAGCTGATTGAGCCGTAGAACCATGACCCAGACGCTGTCCTGAAGTTTCCAAACCCTCCTCCTATTCTTCGGCTTCATATATGCTGATGACCACACCACAGGTCGTCAGCGTTGATACTGTTGTCAACCACCGGACTTATGAAGGTTTGAAGATGAACGGTGGTTTAGTTTACTTGAGGACCACAACTCTGGACTGGCCCGACATTGTGTGTGCAGTTGCGGTCTTCCAACCCGACTGTTTTAAGAAAGGTCAAAATCAACTTTTGCGGCCAGCTACTCACGTACAACACCAACTCGGCAGGCCTCGTCTGAGTTGCCCCTTGCATCTCCAGTCAGCTACGAAGCTTTGTATTTCAAAGGTTGGCCCGTCTCTGCCCTGTAAGGCTCACATCAGCTCCACGCACTATATTCATGCACACACGACATATTTGAGTTTTCGTGCTACCAGCATCCGGCGGAACTTCGCATCTGCTTCGAATCACATCCTACCTTATAGGCAAAACCGCATGCAGCGAAACCCCCTCCCAGACTGTCATTACCCTTTCAAGGAGGACACCAAGGCTATCATTACACCCTACCAAATCCACAATTTCCGCACTTCGTTTCAAATAGATGTTAGCACGCCTTCCACTGTTGACGAAATCAAAATCTCTGGATGTGCCAGATTCCCGATCAACAGCCACACAATGCTGTAATCCAGGGAATTCGATCTCCTCTCTTTGAACACGCGAAATCATACTGCCGCCATCCACATCCTGAAATTCAAAGTTTAGGAAACCGTCGCACAGCGTCGGCCCCTCTCGAACGGGATCCTCCCCTCTCCCTCACCGCTGAAAAGAATTCTCAATGCACTCCTGATAATCTCTTCAAGAGAAGAATTGCACGACATCTCCCCTCTTGTTTCTCATTCGACCAGCTTACTGCGTAACCACAGGCCTTCTTCCAAAAACAGACTCCCACAACATCCACATGCCCTACCGCCGGAAACTTGCAGTCTCGCCCCCCTAGCGAGTTCAGAACTGCCTCTCGGGGGTCGGGGTAACTGTCACGAGCCGTTAAGTGACAGCGGCTAGCTGCAGAGTTGGCCAAAGAGAGGGAGAAAATCAGGACAGGGGGTCCCTATTGCCACGGCAGACGCTGCGGGGCTCTCGGTTGGGTCGTGCTTCGAGGGCGAATACACAGAGGGCTGGGTTGCAGCGTGGAGCCCTCGAAGCGCATGGCCATTGTATTGAGCTGGACAACTTATCCCTCTCCTTACAGACAAAGTCAAGCTTCTATCAAACTGATCTGCAAAAATTAGAAAGGTTTTCTTAATTCGGTTTAAAATTTGTCACAAATGAATACACCATCTCCCAACTCAGCTCTATTTACAACCCCCGCTCTCAATGTAGTATCAAAACCAGGGTATATACCAGCAATCCCCACGTCCAATTCCTTCCCCTCTCCGTTCCTTTTCAATTCCATTCCAGCTACCACTTAAAAAGCAGTCCCCATAACAAGCCCGGATTGCTTCTGAACACTCAACGTCCGGCCCTCTGCACGAGTATCAGCATCCGCTCCCTCCTAACGCCGTTACCTGGCAGTGAGTGTGGAGGAGACTTACTAACGAGCCAAACGATCAAGCTAGGCAATTTCATGTTTCCGAAGCGACCTGTGCCTCTGCTGCGGCCGAGCGCGACGGCGAGCATTGCTGGGGGCGTGTGAGAATACGCTTGGAAAGGAAAGGAAAAGGGGGGAGAGGGAACGCACGGTCACCGTCTGACTTGTAGGCTACGGGCTGCTTTCCTCTGAGTACGAGATCGAGGTTCTTGGCTACGGCCGCTGCTTGTTTCTCTTTGATTTCTCGGATCAGCATCCCGCTTTACTTTTGGAGATTGGGAAGAGGAAGGAGGGCTCGAAAAACTAACCGGTGTAAACAAACTGCCCCGGTTGACAATCCACAATGTCCCCCGCAGCCCACACATCGCTCACGCTCTTGACCCTCAAGAACTGGTCGACCATCACGTCGCCCTTCTCGTTCAGTAGCTTCTTCGGCACGTATTCCGTGTTTGGGAGCAGGCCGATGGTGGGCAGGTACAGATCTACCGTCATGGTCGAGCCGTTTGAGAGCGCGAGTTCCGTTTGTCCGGTGCTGAGGGTGGAGGCGGAGGTTATCTTTGTGGAATAGAGGAGCGAGACATGCAGTTTCTTGAGCTCGGTCTCCGAGAAGGTGGCTACGTGCGGTGGCACGCCGACGAGGAGTTGGGAGCCGCCTGTTATCTGATGGAAGTTAGGAGAAGGGCTTTTGTGGGGAAGGAAGGGTGGATTACGAGGGTGATTTCCTTGTTCTTGCCGTACTCGAAACCTAGTTCTCCAGCTGCTTCGACCCCTGTTGGTCCTGGAAGAGGGTCAGCATTCTGTGTCTCCATATTTGTAGATAATCAGAGAAGCTAGGTTTAAAAGATGCAGACAGTTCCTTCAAGCGTGTATCTTGCTGAACAAGCTGACAGCCCGTCCCGCTCCTGGTTTGCCTGTCTTTCTCCCATTACCGAAGCCTGAGAAATTGGCCAACTCACCAGCACCACCAATAACAATTGACTTCGCAGCCTTTACTTGCTTCTGCACCTTATGTAGCCCATCTCTCGTTGCCTCGTAACCTGCCAAAGAGGCCTTCCACGGAACATCACCAATGGCACGTGAACCAGTAGCCAGAACCAAGATATCATATGCCTGCTCTCTTTCTCCGCTTGCCGTCGAAATCGTAACCATCTTTGAGGTGGGATCGAGGGCAGAAGCAGCGCCAAGGACGAATTCTGCCTTCTCTTTGTAGCCTGCGAGTCCATCGGGAATGCTTGCGAAAACCTAGAAAAGTCAGGATGGGTGATTTAACGTGTTTTTTGGTGGAGGAGTTTCACCTTATCATCAGGGATTTGGCCAGGTACGATGGCTATGTTTTGTCTCCAGTCAGAGAGCTCTTCAAGCTGGCTGAGGTAGCTTACCTCTCACTGCGGCGAGATTCCAGTAGTGGTGATCCGTTGGAGACACTACAATTACTTTGTACGTATCCTTCAGACCAGGGAGAGTGTGCTTGAGAAGCCTGGGCAGCTAAGTCAGTCATCTGTTCTCCAATTGGACCTGGGCGAGGTCTGTACTTGTGTGCGATTTGCAAGCCAGCAAATGAGGCACCTAGAATGAGGATTGTCTTCGACATCTTTGAAGTCAACAGCGCGTGGTAGTTCCTGCGGAAGTACAGTGTGGGTAAACAAGAGAAGAGGGTGTTCCAGCTGAAACTTCTGTCTGCGAAATACGATGCTATGATATGGGGAACAGGACAATAAAAAGAAATTTGTACGATCTGACCGAGACAATACTTCGCTGCTGCTTAGCACGCTGTACCTGATGCTCGCAAAGCGAGCTATCCAATGGCACAGCATAATGTCCGGCAGGGTGCGATTTATCAGCGCTCTGACTTGCGCATGACCGAGCTGTGGACTTCTCCACATTGGGGAAGTTGAAGGTGAAGTCTTTCCTAAACTTTGGAATTGTGATCTCTGCCGAGTATTCGTACAGGCAAGACATGATTGGATCATTTTCGATCAGTGGACAAGGATCTGCGGGACAGACGTGCAACTGCCGCGTGTTTGGGCCATCTTTGCTGCAATTCTCGGTCATCCGACGAATCAATGTCAGCACGTCCTCGGGACGGAGCTTGAGCGAGCGACCGGAGGTCCGTCTTGGCCCATGTTCAAAAAGGGGCACAACAATTATTATCAAGAAAAGGTACGAACGACTTCGAATCATGATTACGCAAGGTCTCGAAGATGCATTTGCAAATTCCAGATAATTCAGATGATTATGGAGCTCCTACTTCACGAATAACTTCGAAGAACCTTTTCGGGTCATGCGCGAAACGACCCAGAAACAAACCATCAACACCCTCTTTCATGGCCTCAAACGTCCCAGGTCCAGCGGACCCCCCGTACAGGAATCGCACAGGCCGCGTCCCGCAAAGCTTTCGAAGCTCCTTCGCAACACTGACAACATACTCGGCTGATGCAGGTTTAGGTTGTCCAATCGCCCAGACGGGCTCATATGCGAAGATGATTTCCTCGTCGGTGACTTCGAGGATTGACTCGATTTGAGGCCGGCATTCTTCCACCGCCTCTTCGATCGTGCCTTTCGTCTTCTCTCCTATACACACCAGAGGTGTCATGCCATTCCGAATAGCAGCTTTCGCTTTCTTGCCAACTTGAGCATCTGTCTCTCCGAACAGTCTCCTCCTCTCCGCATGCCCAAGCTCGACCAGCGAGCAACCGATGTGTTTCAGTACAGCAGGTGACACTTCCCCGGTATATGCGCCATTATCTTCCCAGAAACAATCCTGGGCTCCGAGTCGTATGGTAGGGGCCTCGAGACGGAGCATAGTGCTCGCAGCTGTTAGAGAAAGGAAGTCGGGGATAATGAAGATGTCGACATTGTGTGACAATGCATGGGGAGCAAGAGGAGCACAGTCTCTGATATACTGTGCGGTGGTCTCTAAGTTGAAGTACATCTTGAGAGAGACTCCCACTGTCCTCTTAGGAGCTTGGCCTGCCATGACGTCTATTGATATGAGGATACAATTTAGAAATGGGCAGCTCAGTTACTTGCCTGATTTATCCTATATCTCCACCGCCTGGACAATCACTGTTAATTAAACCTACTAACGATTGAGGATGATTGAAAGTGGGCAGCAATCCGCTAAGAAAGGCATCCTGCTAGGAGAAAAAGCCGAACAAGCATCCCCTAGCTTGAGAAAACATTGGAGCTTCCCCACCATCGGGTTACCTATTTGGGCCTTCCGGTGCAGATGCCCTTTGCCACTTGACGGGGTCTGAACAATTCATCCAGCAAAAGCACAACCACAGCGTGCGCGGCAGGAAATATGTTGAAGGGTTCTATTACCCGTCTGATTTCTCAACTTTTTCTCCCTCCTTAACAACATTCTCATCCACTCCCATAATTCTTCTCCAGCGCAGCATACTTTCAACGCTTCATCCCCAGTTACCCCGCATCCCCACATTATGACAGAAGTAAAGCCCCTGAGAATAGTAGTTGGTGGCGACGATGGTACTTACCTAGTCCCAACCGCCTTCCACTATACTGACACAATTCACAGCTGGATTTGAATACAAAGCCGCCATCACAGCAGACCTGAAAGCCAACCCTCTCGTCGCATCCGTCCACGATGTTGGTACGCATCCCAACCCTGCCCCATTCTCTCCCCCCCATTTTCACACTTGCTCACGTATACATTACAACAGGGCCACACTCAGCATCCGACAAAACCGCATACCCACACTTCGCCGTCGACGCCGCCAAGCTCATAAAGTCAGGGGAAGCCGACCGCGCACTGCTGATCTGCGGCACCGGGCTGGGCGTCGCGATTTCCGCGAACAAGGTCACTGGCATCCGAGCCGTGACGGCACATGATAGCTTCAGTGTTGAGAGGGCGGTGCTGAGCAATGATGCGCAGGTGCTGTGTTTGGGGCAGAGGGTCATTGGGTTGGAGCTTGCGAGACGGTTGGTGAAGGAGTGGTTGGGGTATCGGTTTGATCCTGTGAGTTAAGCTTCCGTGAGGAGGGGAAAGGCTAATATTTGGATAGAATTCTGCTTCGGCTGCTAAGGTGGAGGCAATCAATAAACATGACTTGGAGAACTAGAGGAGCGCACTTGGGACAAGGGTTGGAAGACCTTAAAAAGAAGGGTTGATGTGAGGGAGGGCTCAAAATCTAGAACTCTTCGATTTATCGGAGGCTTAATTTAACATCGGACAAAAACATCGATTAAATCCGAAACTGTCTATCTCTTCTGGTCTTGTGCTAGAACACCGCTCACTGTTGTTACATTACTGGTTCCATCCCTTTTCAATACGCCCAAACACCGATGCACCGGCCCCCAAGCCCGCCCCCTCGCAAAAAGGTGGAATAAACTTGCTGCTCCACCAATTACTATGCTGCATTAGCATCATCATATCATCACAGCTTCCCTTCTCTCTTCTTCGTCTGCCTAGCCGTCTCTTCCATCTCCTTTCTCATAACTTCATTAAACTCCTCCCATCCATCAAGATAAACGTGATGTCCGGCCTTCTTGATGATCAGTACTTTTGCGGAACCGTTCTCCCGCTTCTTCTCTTCCTCGGTTGCCGTCTTTAACGTTTTCTCTTTCTCTTCCTTCAATTTCTGCTCGGCAGCAAAGCCACCTGCAATATCCATCCAATCGTTTTCGCCATACATCATTACAATGGGGATACCAGTCTCCTTGACCAATGTCTGACTCGTCGATGACGAAGAAGTAGATGGCTTGGCATCTGCAATCTTCTGAGTGAGCTGTGATTGCGCCAGCGAAGGAAGAGGTTGACGTCCCACCCCCTGTATGCGTCTGATCAGCGGACTTCGAGCAAATGCTCCAGGGGCGAGAATATATGCAAGAGCATATTCTCCGCTTCCTCTTTGGCGAAATAGAGAGTATGCGTAGGTGTGAAGGACCTCGGACTCGGTTTCTGCAAGGTGTGAGAAACGACGGGATGTCCAGCCTGACACAAATCGAGGACCCAGAGGACCTGACCAGCGCACGATGCTGAATGGAGAGATATTGGCATCCCAGAGATAGCTTAGCCACTTCGGGATGGGCCTACGAGCGGGCCCATCAGGTGTCTTCTTGGATTTCCCCGATTCTGCTTTTGAGCGGGCGTTCAGGAAATTATTGTTGTCGCCGTTGGTTTTGAGGTTACCGTTTCTGTTCACAATATCATCCTCCTGGTCTTGTAAGAACTCATTGGCCATGGCTGAGTCTTCTGGTTCTGGCATGTCTGCTGCCATTGCGTAGGGATCCTCTGGAATTCCGACAGGTGACGCAAGGATGAGCTTGTTGAGGTGTCCAGGATACTTCAGCGCGTATGCTACCGCCATATAGCCTCCCAAACTATGGCCCAACAGTGTGAACTTGTCGATCTTCTTCATCACCCGCCATTCTTCCAATGCATCTATAAACCAGTTCTCCGCTTCCGTGATCTTGCCGGCCTGGTCCTTTGCGTGTATCTTGAAGTGTGGTCTGCTGCTTCGTCCCATTCCTAGCATATCTAGTGCGTATAATTTCCAGCCTTTGACTCGACTCAGGCCCTCAAAGTTCTTGTAGAAGAATCCAAGCCCAGCTCCGTATCCATGTAGCATAACTAGGTTCTCCTCGACTTCTTCTCCAACACGTTCCACGGAAAACTCATTCAGTGCTCTGTCTCTTCCACTCAATTTGACGAGGTTCGAATGCCATGACCTCGGACCATACGGATCGGTTATTGAATTGGTTCGGACCGGCGCGGAGTCTCTAGCAGGATCTATGTTGATCGAGCTAGTTGATTGGCGTGCAGAGACAGGAGCTGAGCCAGTCTGCGTGTGGGTCGGAGGCTTTTGTAGGTATGGGATAAAAGATAGGACATTGTGTTCAGCCATTGCTGGTGTAACACTCGCCCACCACTGATGGAATCCCGCTTTGTATCCCAGAGGGAAATAGCCTCCCTTAGTCTGTTCATTATTCGCTTTGGCGCGTTGGGAAGCTAGCATTGCTTGTTGACCACGGTCTGATGGCGATTCTGAGCTGGGAGAGGCAGACATCGTGGAGTAGGTGGGGCCTTCAGGTCTGGTTCTGGGAGTGGAAATGTGTCTCAGGTGAGGAATCGCAGTGTAGCCTAGGAATGAGTCTGTTGGAAGTGATCGCAACAACAGCGACGGCAGGCTCGTTGGCTGATACAACTTGAAAGAGTGTTGAAGAGAGGCAGGGGCACCTCTCAAATATCATAAATGGTTGTTTCTTTGGGGGCGGATTTAAGGAAAGCGCGCAACTCCGTGAGTCTCGATGGAGATAGTGAAGTGATGACGTGAACGTCCGATGTACTTTGAGAAATTTCTGAGGGGGCTTGAACAAGGAGAAGTCCGGGATTGAGTGGTGTATGGGTACGAGAAACAAATGGAAGGGGAGAAGGCTGTTCCTGCAGATTCGATTCGATTCATGGGCGGCTAGTTCTCGTCGGACTCGTTGAAGTCCAGCCGGAGAGTCGGCGCAATTGTTGACCGGCCTGATGGGCCTCCCCATGCCATTTTGTGACAGCCGATGACCTGGACACTGTTCAGCTGGATTCTAGTTTGTACTATTCCTTTACTAGTATCTAACTGAATTAATTAATGATGGAAATAATGAAATTTGTCTGGCATAAATTAGAAATGCACAGTAAAGATCAGCAGGTTGCTAGGCCCCCTGCGCGGTTGTAGCTTGATGACGACCCAAAGCTCAACATCTCGTGCCTCAAAGACAACCGCGGCTTACCGACAGCAACAACACTTCTCCAAAAGCATATGCCAGCTCGATGAAACCAAGTCTCAGGCTTCCAGTAGTGCAGCTATCACTTCGCTCTTTGGATTGCTTCAAGAGTTCCCTGAAAGGTAGCTCTTAAATGTACGAGCCCTCGACAGCGGTTGCGACCAAAGAGTAATCTGCCACCAGCCATGAAATCCCAATAGCACAGAGCTCGAAGCCCGATCGCGATGTCGAATCTGGATCAACTGGTGAAGGGGGCGCCTCCCCCTGGAAACCAGTATTCCATACCCTCGATCAGTCCCATCATACCCCCTGAAACCTCGAATCCGTCTTCTTTGCCAGACCCATTGGCATCTCTCCCCTCGTCGCCTCCCCAGATCTACCTCAATCTTCTGATCCTGGAGGCATCGTTACGCGCACAATGGCTCCAGCTACGAACTAGACGGCGACAGCATACGTTCTTCTTGACATTACTTGGGTTGTGGAATCTTTATTTTGGATATGCCCTGTTCCTTGCGCCAAGAGAAGACGGCAGTGGTGTCGGAGGTTCGGTATACTGGGTTGTTGAGGTCACGGAGAAGGTCTGCTTCATGGGAGGTATCGTGACGGGGATTCTGATTTGGGGGACCGGGCAATGGGAGCGAGGGATACGCTGGCCCAGACGTTGGGTATACACGACAAATAGAGGTTTAAGAGGATTCAATTGCAAGCTGGTGGTGATCAAGCAATCTTGGTGGAGGGAAATACTGTCTACCTTATCATTCCTCTTCTCGTACGGCCTATTTTCGAGCAGTATTGGAAGCTCATATCGATATGTGGATCAGTCCCTTTTGATCGAATCAGAGAAGGCTCAACAGAAAAACGGAGGGCATCATGCACTTCCCAACATACACGAAGATGGTGAGACAGCGGGTTACGAGGAGGATCTTGCACCTGGAGGAGATTATGTCAAGCTACTCTTGCTTCCCAAGCCTTTTTCTCCCAATTTTCGGGAGAACTGGGATATATACCGTACGGAGTATTGGGAGAAGGAAAACGAACGTCGGGCGCTACTACGCCAGAAGCTCAAGGAGAGAGATAGGAAGATTGCAAAGCAGCAAGGTGGGTGGCTGTGGTGGACAGGATATCGTGGTTGGAAGCGTGGTAAGGGACAAGACCTGGAGAAGACTCATCATGGGGGCCACAAGATTCATGAGAAGGACCCGAAACGTACTCGAAGCGGGAGCGTTCGTTCTGGGTCTCATTCTCGAACCTCATCTCGAAGCACCACTCCCACTCTCGAGTTGGAAGACGGCCCTGTTGGAGGACATGTGCGGCGAGGATCTAATGCTTCCGACAGGAGAAGGAAGAAGACTGCACCTGGAGCAAGAGTCCAGAAGCTCACACCTGCTGGATCAAGATCTGCAACTCCCGAGATTCCCTCTCCTTTGGTCAGAGAGAACAGCGTCTCCTCTAATGAACGGCCTCCTACTCCTGTGACGGGGGATAGAGAAAGTTCAAAGTCTTTGAGAGCTTCAGCGCAATCCAGCGGCAGCCCTGCAAGGAAGCCCAGTTCTGGCAGAGCAGCAAAGCAGACTTAGATAGTAAATAAAGTACATGCTACGAAACTCCAAAATTTTGAGAACTTTGTGCTAGCACTGATTCACTGAGAGGAAATCCGTTTCCGGCGGCTGACTAAAATACGCTATGATAGGCGAAGGCATCCAATTCTCGATGACCTTCGCCTTCGCTTGGACTCACATCTTCTTGCCCTAAATCCGATCGATAGAGATGTCCAATTCATGAACATCCGCGAACCTGTGCTGACAATTCCAGAAGACCGCCTCACCTATCTGAGCTCTCCGAAGAGGCACCGGCCGGGCGGGCGGGAAATTTTGTAGACTCGATAAGGACTTTCCCAGCCTTGTCTCCAGGACCAACTCGAGCCATTTGAAGATCGGACCTGTACTGCATGAATAGCATGGATTGGGGCATGCAAGACAATGGTATTAATTCAGGCCATCCGGGTATTGCAGTCGAACAACCATTCGCGAACAAGAGCCGACCAGAAGCCCATATGATCACTGCATCTCAATTACGGGGAGCGACTCCGGTCGGCGGATATTCTTGGCGGGTATGTCATCTTTGTCTACGGAAATGTGCATTAGCTAACTGTCTGCCAGCCGCCGTCTCCACCTCATATCCATGTGCCGCAGGCTCCAGAGGACCAGCAACTTGTCTTACCTGCATATAATGGAATGAATTATGATCTGGAGGAGAGGGAGATCCTCAAGGTGATTACGCGAAACCACAACGTTGTTGTCGGAGTCAAGGATTGGAAGTATGAAATGAGGAGAAGTGCGCAGGCCATACAACCCTTTCTATACCTCGGACCCTCTTCTGCCACTCGAGACTTGGACTTCATGCGGAGGGAAGGCGTCACTATGTTGCTGGTGATCAGAAACACAATGACTGCAGCTGCAAGCTTGTTGAGTGGGGACAAAGTTGCGAGAGAATTGGGGATCCAAGCGGCTGCTGTGGATGTAGCTGGCAACCAAGAGCTCATCGCAGCCTTTCCAAGAGCCTGCAAAATCATCAATGACCATCTTCTTTCCCAATTTCGCCAAGGCATCGCGAACGGTACAGTTCATTCCGGAGCAATAACCACACCCGGCAAGGTGTTTGTCTTCTGCGAGTCTGGCAATGAACGATCAGCAGCTGTGGTTGCAGCTTATCTCATGAATATGTTCAACCTCGATCTGATATCGGCAATACAATATGTCCAGACGCAACGCTTCTGTGTTGCTTTCGACGATGGGTTGAAGAACCTGCTGTTGAATTACGAGGAGTTACTCAACGCCCAACGATGTGTCTCTGCAGCTACGATGACAACACAAATAAGAAGTGTCCCAAGTAACGCAAGGCCAAAAAGGCGCAGAGAGGAGGATTCAGACAACGAGGTGGGGATGTCTCTTGACAATTCAGATGATGAGAGATTCGCCGGTCGTGGTGGATTTGTTCCTTTCCAAGATAACTGGGCGTCTTGATTCATTGTGAGCATTGAGAAGCGATTTGTATCCGGAGTAGATTCTTTGATTTGGGATAGCGATGGATATGGCTTTGGAGTTGGGTGATGACACTTGCATTTGCTCTCTCGTCGGGCTGGCGTTACGAAATACCCATGGGATCACGATTTTCTAGCTGGTAGGTGGGAAGCATGACGGCGGCTACATTGGCATATAGATTAGGCGTTATGAGATCTTTCACACTGTTTCCTTTCTTGCTTTTTGGTGCTGCTTTGCTTTACTTGCTCTACTATTCCCTTGCGAGTTGCTTTCTGTAATACATCCAGTGTCATATTCCCCAAAGACGCTGCGGAAGCCTCGCCGTCAATGCCACTTATCTGCGGTTTCCTCGTTGCCCATTCATCCAGTTACCACAATCAGTTATTCGCAGCGTCCTTGTCGCCATCCTCATCCTCATCGTCATCGATGGGAGGCAGAATAGCTCCAATGATTGCTCTACCATACTCTTTGCCTCGGTGGCGGTTGATACTTTCAATGATCTGCTTCCGCAGGGGTGAATCTGCAAATCGGGTCCGAACGTAATTCTCTGCCGCAGCAACGTCGTCCGGCTGAACCATGTGATCCTCAGGGGCTTTCGACGGGAGATTTCTCTTGCTTTGTTGTTCAACGAGGTCCAGCTTGCTGCGCTGCTCGGCGGTCATTTCTCCGCTGACGGATATTTTGGCGATGGCGAGAATTGTTTGTGCGATTTCATCAGCATCGGCGTCGAACTGCCCTTGACGCTCAAATTCCAAGCGAAGAAGATGGTACATGTCGACCGACGCTTGATCGCTGAAGTCAAGTTGGTAGGTCAACTCCAAGTCGCTTGCCTGCGTAGCTTCCTGGATCACGCTCCATATAACTAGCTTCATTGTGTCTGTCAGGGAGGTCCATTGTCCAAGGTCGGGCTGGGATATTGACGGGGTAGCCGCGGGAATGTCCTTGAGCAACTGGGGCACTGCCAGAACTTGGCAGCCACCTCGAGCCTTGGATTGTCCAACCAGTTCAGGAACAGTGGGTTGAGATTGTTCGGCGGTTGCTGGAACAATGGGCGGCGGTTGGGGCGTGCCAAGGATATTGCGACGTGGTCTCCCCGGGTCCACTCCTTGGGAGAGTCTGGCCGGAGTAGTGATGCGCTCGCGGAGTCTCATTTGGCTGGCGGTGGTGTAGAAGTTGTGGGAAGGTTGCTTGACGAGGGAAGAAGATCGAAAGTGCCGTTTTGTGTTCGAATTTTCTAAATTGGCGATCAGCCTTGTGTGCTTCCAAGCCCTTCAGGAGTGAACCTCTCGGCTCAACTGCTGAGCAAAGAGTGAATCTGTGAGTTTACTTTCCCCCTGAAGATATGAACCAGTCTGCACCGTCTCCGAACTTCGAGAATTGAGGAGAAGAAGTCAAAGTTGGAGGGCATTCAACCTTAAGAGGGAGATTGTCGTACTCGGCAGTGTGATGATCGCTGCACTCGAAGTATGAGGGCTATTGCATCAAAATCAAGAAGATGGTTTCAGCAAGTTGGAGACATTCAATTTGGAAGAAGAGGACCATTCCAACCGAACTCGAAGGGCATTCAGCTCAATGTAGAAGGGTTATTGCACACAAAGTCGGAGGGTCACTGTACTTGAAGTAAGAAAGATAACGTCCGAAAAAGGAGATCATTACAGCCAAAGTTGTAGGGATTTCCGCCCCAAGTAGGAGAATTGTTCTACTGAAAGCTGTAGTTTATTCAACTTCAAGTGCCAGCGCTTGGTTGCTCTAGAAGTCGTAGGACATTGGCATTGTGATATTCCACACTTGATAATAGGGATGGAACCTGCACAACCCCTTTTCATGGCCTGCGCCACATTTTTTTTTTACCTCAGGCATGTGGTAAACTCAGCCACACCCCAACGTCAACCGTCTTCGAAGCTCTCCGCACTTGAAATAGACAGGAGATAACCATCAATGAATATTGATGGCTGCTGAATCGACTACTTCGTATCGCGAATCTTTGTCCTGCGCGAACAACTAATCTCTAATATCCTTGTTCCGAACCTCCGATCTACCACGTTAGACCCAGAACACTTTACGCAAGCTTCACCGGCTGAGTTGCTGACAGCCTCCACCATGTCAAACAAGCGCATAGAACAAAGCGAGATCGAGAAGTACTGGGAGATTTTCGCATCACTGTCAAATGGTGGAACGCATCTGACGGGCGCTCAAGCTGCGCCTGTGTTAAAGAACAGCCAGCTGCGCGATGATCAGCTCGAGCGGATATGGGACCTTGCGGACGTGGATAACGACGGGAACCTGGATTTTGAGGAGTTCTGCGTCGCAATGAGGCTCATTTTTGACCTGGTCAATGGAGTATGTATTGCACACAATTCGAATCATCACCTCTGACTCGAGGCTTTGCAGGAATATGCGGATGTACCACCACAACTGCCAGACTGGCTGGTTCCAGAATCGAAAGCACATTTGGTACAGGCAAACCGGGCATTGACTGGACGACAAGTTCAGTTTGAGCGGATCGAGGACGACGATGATTCTCCAGGACTGAAGGACGGGTTCGATTGGTATATGAGCCCCTCAGACAAGTCGAAATACGAGGAAATCTACAGTGCCAATCGGGGTGCGAGAGGAGACATAACTTGTGAGATGATCATCATATAGGCGCAGTGGGTAGTAGCTGACATCACATTTTACAGTCGAATCTCTGGATTCCCTGTACTCCTCCCTCGACGTGCCAGACACCGATATCCGATCAGCATGGAATCTCATCAACCCGTCAGCTTCGCCAGCGATCTCGAAAGACGCCACTCTGGCTTTCCTACATATCCTTAATAACCGCCACGAAGGCTACCGCATTCCAAGAACTGTTCCCCCTTCTCTCCGAGCTAGCTTCGAACGCAACCAGATTGACTATCAGATCGACAATCAGCGCACATCATCACCAGCTCAGCGATGGGGCTCCACTGGTGGGGAGGAGACGAGCACTGGGCGTAAAGCAAAGTTTGGGGACACTTATCTGAGTCGAATGGGCATGGGAGGGAAGTCGAGCTACAAGCCTTCTGGGACAGACTTCTCAGCGACAAAGACAACGGAGGACTGGGAAGAGGTGCGGCTGAAAAAGCAGTTGGCCGAGCTCGAGGCTAAGGTTGAAAAGGTTGAAGCTGCGTCGGCGAGTCGGTCTGGTGGCCGTCGTGATACTAGGCCAGCACTCGTCAAGCGAGAGCTAGAGCAGCTGCTAGATTACAAACGGCGGGAGTTGAGGGATTTGGAGTCCGGCGAAGGAAAGAGCAAGGTCGGGGCCAGTTTGAAAGGTGTCTCCGACGAAATATCAACCGTTAAGGAGCAAGTGGATGGGCTTGAGGCACATTTGAGATCACGCCAACAGATTTTGGCAGAGTTGCAGCAGGAGATTGAGTTTGAGAAGTCAAGTAGATAGAATCCAGAAATGCAGATCGATCATGCAAAGGCCCAGTGGCGGTGCTCATGTTCAGGGCTGCCAACCCTCAGCAGTCCAGACCCGATGAATTAACTACAAGTGCATTTGCTACCCCAACTCGGGTTGACATAAGATAATACCGTGCTTGTTCTCTTTACGTACGTGTAGCATAGAGAATCCGGAGTCTCAATTTCAGAATGCAACTGGAGCCCTGGCGTTGAGTTGGTCACGTGGTCGGCTCAATCAATTCACCTTTATAGATTTGAATAGTGACCTTTCTCCTGTTGAATCAGATGGCTTGATAGTCATCGGTAGCGTTAGAATCGTTTACCACAATAACTTGCGTCTCTAACTCACCCTCCACGAGTGGTTAGAATGGCAGACAACCTCTCCTGTGACCTCTGGCGCGGTTTACCCACAAGTTGCTGAGAAGACACCAGGACTTAAACTTAGGTACTTCTTGGTAGGGGATGTGAGATCTAGCAAGAATTGCCCAGCTAAGTTGTAACTCATACCGCATCCTTATACAGGCTCTGGTTCGGTTAATACCTTGCGAGTATCTCCGGAGAATCCATAATCCACCCCAGCTTTCAAGAGAGCAGCTGGTCCTTAACACCACACTCTCGCCTGTGTGTTGGTTCGAATCCATCCACCTGTACGTCAGTACCAATTTTTTTTAATAAGATCATTGGTAAGCTCCCATTCTACAAATAATAAGAACAACTAACCTCTTCACATACCACTTTTTTTATTAATCTATCTACTTATATGTTGATTCAAATCCATCCATAGAAAGAATAAGCACGATTTGTAGTGTCGCTAGTATTACATTACGTCTAGTTGATATGAACATCGGCTATAAATGTGGTTTTTCTGTTTTCTGTTTTGTTTTTTTGGCTCGTGGTCCTCACTTACCAAGGAGATTTTTAATATCTCTCGATTTATTGATCTCCGCTCGCTAAGCGAGAGCGAGAAGAGGGCTGCGGCCACAGTATTAACTCAAATACTTTCGCGATCTCTTCTCTTACGAGCTTTGCTAAACTAGTAAAGCCGTCTGAGGTGGAGTTGTAACGACAAACGGGTCAATAAAAGCGAACCATAGGAAGAGAGAATTCGTCGTAGCATATTGGGAAGTTTTAATGTCTTAAATCTAGGCAAATATAATTCTAACAAGTCTTTGGTCCGAACGCCGTTGCTCTTTCATAATGCAGTGGTATCATATACTTCCGTTTTCAAGCCATTTCCCATGCAACCCTCTAATCCAAGCCATGCAGTTCATGAATATATGGTTCTTTTGGCTGATTGGAAATGCCCGATATGATGATCCTTGGCATCCTTGAGTTGATCCTCCGGCACGCCATTAGGAAGATCCGCTGTCGATACCGGTGAAGGAAAGCCTGCGGAGTTAACTGGATCCGTTTGTGACCTCGACGTTTGTCTTTCCATCCCTCAGTATTATCCCAGACAAACATGAGCCGAAGTTCGTACTCACACTTCAGACCCACGTTGTGGGGTCGTCGCAGATGCTGTATCGAGGCCTGCGTTCACTTCGGCCAGTGTTGGCTTCGAAGCATTTCCATGAGGCTGAGGAAGGGTGCTCACGTCGACATCTAGATCTTCTTCTCCGCTGGGGCCACTAGGTTTGACCCCCTCTTCGGTAGTAGCAACAGCATCATCCGCTTCGTTGCTTTTCACGCTGCTGGCTTTGCTGATATCTGCGCTCAATGGACTTTCTGTCCTTAAGCCAAGATCTTGGCCAAGGCCGGGTGATGTGTCGTTTCCTCCTTTCCAGTCTGCTGGTTGCATGTCCACAACCGGCGAATTTATTCTTGGCTCGTGGATGATGTCCTCTTTCCTTCCTTGTCCCGGTTCCGGATCACATGCTTTCCATACAACAGCCAGGCGGTCTAGAGCTCTGGTACCTTTCCTACTCGATCCTTTGATGCCGTCCATTTTGTCCCACTCGATTTCGAAGACTCCGGTATCGTCAGCCTTGCCGTTCTGCTCAGGACCATTTCCTTCGAAGTACGCATTAAACCAGACGTGAGCAACTGCAGTGACCATAGTCCAGCCTATCGAAGCCTTATTCCTCCGCTCGAAGTCAATGTTGATATCGCTTGTTGGAAGAATGACTCTTGTCGATGGCTTAAAAATGACGGCGCCACCGCCCGCCTCTGCGCCAGTATCCACACTCGCCGAGCTCGAACCCCCGGACTCTGAAGGTTGTGGCATACTGAGTTTCCCGCCATCAAGCTGATCGGAACTCTTGCTCGGGGCGATCCTCCCTTGATTTTGAAACCCCGCCATATCAGAAATCATGTCCGTGAATCCTCCACCGCCCGGTGTGTTCCCTTCAATCACAACTCTCTCTTTCTTCGTAAAGACGTGGAACAGTTTAATCTTCTTTCCTTCATCAACGTATCCCTCCACCTGCACCTTGACCCCATCCCTCAAGCCCCAGACATGAACTTCCATGATTTCGATTTGACGCTCAACGTACACCTTGCCGGCCTTGGTCCAACGATCGACATACCCCACCCAACGCAGCTGACTCGGTATTGAGACGCCCTGGCCGAATCCTGGCCGCATTCTCCGTTCCGTAAATCGTGCCAATGCTTCCTCGGGTTTCCACCCACACTCAGAGATCAAATAACTGCAAGCCATTGTACCACTGCGTCCCTTGCCCGCCTTGCAATGAACAACCACAACTCTATCCTTGCCTCCCTTCTTTTCCTCTCCCTCAAGCAACCAGTTTCTCATTCCCGCAACGATCAACCCCACAAGCCTGAACGGCGGCGGGTGATGATCCGGCCAAGGATAATGCCTGATCCTCCCATAAACCTCACTATCAGGATACCCAGTCCCCTCTGCTCGAAACTCCCATATCTTCCACTCTTCCCCGTGTTTGTAGTCTAGAAATTTGACGAGCTGATCGAGAGGGTTGCGGTATGCGCGTTGGGGGTACGTGCCACTGGGGCCAGAAGTTGCGATGATGAATGGGGTAACGTAGCAGAGGTCGAGCCCGGCTTCTGGATGGCGGGAGCGTGGCCCTGCGACGATTTGGCGAAGGAGAGACGCCATGTTGTTTGTCGTTATTCAGAGAGGAGTTTGAATGGGGGCATCTTGCTGGTCTGGTGTTGATAAGGCTTTGGTTTGGGCGTCGCGAGAGACGTCATAGCTGGCTTAGCGATCAACAGGGCCTCTGTTTACGGGATGCACAGCCACGATTTCCTTAGCGAGCCCCTGAGCGGATCTGGCGGGCTGATATGATAATGTTGTTGTTTGTTGACTTAAGGTGAGGAGTGGGTTCAGCAATTACTTTGAGATATGAGCAACATTAATCCAACGGCTACAGAAAGTTGATGGTTGGTGTCAGACCAAGTTGAAATGTGCGAAGTCCTTCAGGGCAACTAGAAGATTCCATATCAATAAATCTTGGAAGCCATTGATTGTTCCTCGCCGGTAGGGAAATGGACTGGATGGCAAGAAGAGAGTTGACATTGGTAAATAGCTTCTTCTAGGTTGTATGAAGAGCTTTTCCTAAATGCTATGTTGGCCGAGCACAACCGAACTGCAGATTGAATGGGGTTTGGTTGCACAATCGGAGACGGCTGTGCGTCAGGAACTCTTTCTCCATACCACCGATGATTCCTGGGGCTTTGGAAGCTTCTCGAGAGTGTTTGGAACTGAGGAGTATTGAGTATAAAAACCTCCAACTAGCTACCAGCCATCCAGCAACGATGTAACTTCGAGAGAAAATCACCACACTGTAAACCTCGTGATAGAGTCCGCCGCAGGGGTCTTTGTGTACGCTCGCCCCTCCAACCCCCCTTTCCCCAAAAGACCAAGGAAGGCCCTTGCACTGGCCCAGAGATACACTTGGCAATCATGTAATATTGACAGTGAACACTTAGACTCTGTCCGGACTAAATCTGTACCAGTGTGCTGTAGACCCGGATGAAATTATTTGATGCTTCGCTGTCAAGCACCTGCTTGCTATCAACCATTTAGATAGCCAAGGGACGGAATTAGAGGGAAGGATGGTGTTTTATTCAGAGAGGCGAAGCCCGGCTAAGTACACCCAGCTCAGTCATCCAAGTTGACGGATCCCAATTTTCTGATGCATTAGACTTCCGTTTCCCGCATCCCAGATCTTAGGCCCTGGCCCTTGCGCAGTGCTCTCCGTTGGGCCACTGATTGACGAATCCGTCCAGGTTTCGGACCAATGCCTCGACATCTTGGTGGAACTTGAAATTCTTCTTGTCAATCTATGAAGAATCTTCAGTTACACGGAGCAACCCAATGATGGAGTTGGTTGTACAAAGTACTTTTGAACAATCAGAAGAAGCTGTGAAAGATAGCCCCATGATTTTGAAAGTCGGTACTTTGTGATATAACATTCGTTCTGAGCTGTTCATAAGGATACGAAGTATTCTGGCATATTCGCCTTGTGAATTTTAAAATCAAGGTGTACCAATAAAATGCAGTACATCAGCAAGGATTCAGCTTGCCAGAAGCACTTACTTTTTAGACTCGAGGCACGAAATATTCAGGGATATTCGGGGATTCAAAAATGGGCTTCGTGGCTTCACGAACGAGAACGAGAGATTTAGAGTTGAGGAGAAGGAGTGTAGGTTCAAACATTATCAATTTCATTTTAACCATGGTATAGAACGCCAACGCTATGCATCAAAAGCACTCATCCACTCATCCCTTGTCATCTCTCATGATCCCCAATCTCAAAAGCCCAAACCCGTGCCCTCGATGCTGGGCTCGACATACATTGGGAATGTCTCTCTCGTAATAGCCGTCTTGTCTGGAAGCTGAAGGTATCCTTCACTTCCACTGCCACTCTGAAAAATACTTTGCGTTTCGAGAGACAAGTCTTGAGTGCCTTTGATATTTTCAACCATTGGCGTCTCAGCAGGCGTCTCTTGCTCGCAAATTCCCATAACTGCCTTGACATCACTCGTTTTCCTTTTATGTGCCAAGCTCCGAACACTTCCAAAGCAAGTAGCCGCATCCCAATCTTCATCAGCATCATAAATCTCAGGGATGTGTTGGTGACCTGCTCGCTCCATGTCTTTCAGAGCTTCCAGAATAATAGAGTGCTTCCACAGTGGTAGAAGCCTGTGACCTAGGTTCTCCAGGATACACCATTGAGTGAAGTTTATTTGCTGACAGGTCCACAATCCGTTGCCCCATTTCTCGGCATACTTTTTCGTGGTCTGCTGTGCATCGTCCGAAAACTTGACTGCCAAGATCAACGCGGAGAGAACAACGAGCTCGGGGAGGACGGAATCAATATGCTGCTCCTCAAGCCTCTCGTCAAGATTCCCAAAAGAGCAGGGCATATGTTGCGCCACAAGTGGACAGCCTTTGCGCCATTGTAGTGCGAAGCGAGAATTCAGCGAATCGAGTATACTGACAGCGAGAGCGATGGTCTCGAGGGGGAGATTTGCTCGCGTGATGATTGTATGGACGAGCGGAACAGAGGTCGTTATTAAGGAGGTGGACGACGGTATCAGGTTTGTTAGGTGAATTGCCGGGCCTAAAACGCAAGGTATGTAATCAGCCTGAATTCAGAAGCTGGGGTCAGAATCTGGGGAATCATGTACCTAGGAGCTCAGGGTCTGGAACTTCTCCTGGCGAGAAAATCGCCTCTGGAGACTGCTGGCGTGTGCTGGCGTTCGAGTGTGATGAGTGAGGTGGAGTGGGTAGGCTCGAAAGGGGGACGTAGGTTTTGGAGAAGTATGACTCGTCAAAGGAGGACGAGAGTGACGAAGATCGAGATCGGGAGGCCATTGGAGGCGTCATTGCGTTGTTCGTGATTTCCATGGTTCTTCGGAAGCTCGGTGAGGTAGTCATGTTGGTGGGGGGTAGAGGGGCCCCTTTTCTATTCAAGTATGGTTCGAGATGAAATGAGGGGTTGGCCTTGGCAAGTCAAGAGGCGTCTCGAGTATTTATCAATCTTTCTCTTGGGGTGCCATGAAACTGCAGGCTACCTTGAGCATGTAGCCGAATCGTGTAGGGTAATTCTGATTAGGGGTGTTGAATGCGAGATACGTTGGGTAATCCTGAGAAACGAATGTGAGGAACGATCGTGAATCTGCTGCTGACTCCGTTCAACGCAATAGAATGCTTTTATTGTGCCATGCCTTTCCGCCAGAGCAAAGCGCGGTGCGATGCCAGGCTATATATCAAACGAAGGTAGTCTTGCGTTGTGGGGCCAATAGTGAGGTTGGCTCGAGCCTTGGTGCGGTGAGGTGAGGAAGGGGGTGGCTCTGCATGTCTTTCCTTTAGCGATTTAGTAGCTTGGTGTCGTCTGACAGTGAGACATGAATGCGAGGACAGACACAGGGAAAGAATCGGATCATCCCGAGCAAGTAGCTGGTCGCTTCTTCTGCTTTGTTTGTGCCTGCCCCGTCATGAGACAATGCAAGCTCTCCCGAGCGGAAGAAGCAGTGACAACTCGATTTGCACGCCAAATGGATATTGCGTCTCAAGATGGCACCACTCCTCGTATTCCAGAGAGAGCAAGCACTATGTGGCCAGAGCACCAGATCTGTGCAAACCGCTCTGCCGTAATGTGCATCCTGATTCATCATTGCTGGTGAGGTGATGCATAATGCTTCTGCATTTTAATCATAATTTATTAGCCAGGAACCAAAAAAACCTACGGCGGGGAAACCCTGCCCGCACAAAAACGCACATGCATGAGCACGGCATCTTAGAGTTTATTGTCTGCAATAATTAATTGTACATGGGATGGCGAGTATATGCATGATATTACTTGCTTGTCGAGTTTTCTTATTCCTTTCGTCCAGAATGAGGTTATTTGAAGGTATTCTTACTTCGTCATCCATGAAGTGGGAAGATCCCGATCCGACGGTGCCGCCTTTTCACTAAACTCAGCACGGCCCAGCGCTAGAATCGTGTTTTTCGTGATAGCGGATCTGGTGGGGAAAATCGTCGTCACAGGAAACGGCCGAGATTCTATTTAAAGCAGAAAAGCGCCATAAGAGAACGGGCTTGAGGATTTCCTCCGTTTGAAAAGAAGATTATTTAATTTTGAAAAAGGGTCTTCGGAAACAAGGAGCGAGATCCTTCGAATATATTACTGACGAGGGAGGTGCCCAATGACAAGCATTGAGTTCGTGGAAGAAGCTGGCAAGGGATCCACCACCGCCATTTTTGATACCCGGCCAAGGACTTCGGGTACTGCCGATCAATGTGCAATGATCCCAGCATTTGAAGTTTCTTGATATGCTTCAATCCGGCAGTCTTTCGACATTCTCTGAATGTTAGTGCGGGTGCTTCCACAGGAGCATGTTGAGGAAGCGTCCAGCCGTTGAGTCTGTAACTATCTACTTCCTTGGATCTGACCTTGGACATATGGGGCCAAGGAGGATCTCATGGGACTTTCATGTGAGATGAAAGTGATCGCCCTCCCCCTTCTTACCCACAATCCCAAGCCTCACCTTCCTCCTCCACCTACTCTCCCTCTCCGCACTCTCCCTGGCCTCTCTCTTTTTCTTTTTGCGTTCATACACGGCCCGCACACATTTTCTTGTCCTCTCTCGTCCCTCGTCAAAATTTGCTCTCGCAAGCGCAACGATATTGTCAATATCTTCAGGGGTATAGACGAAGTTCCATGTACTCATGTAATCACTTGTCACCGGATCGACACCTTCGACTTTGGGATTGCTCAGGAATGGGAAATAAACAACTGCGATACCGGCGTCTGGCTCCATAAGTTCCCAATCTTCCTTGACAGCTTTGGATGGGACATCATCTGTGCTGGACGACCGTTCTTGGGTGCTCCCCACCCATACAGTGCAATATCCCAGGTCTCCAAAATCATCATCGTTCTGACTGATTGATACCTTTTTGCCATTTTCCTCGACGTCTTTCAGATGCTCAATTTGATCTGCTTTCGCGTCTTCCAGCTTGGCATCGGCTTCAGCTGCAGAGCTTGCTTGGGCTTCGTCAAGCTGACCTGTGGTCTTCTCTATACTGTCCTTTTCTTTGGGCCAACCAACTCCAACAGGCCAGCCTTTGATCCCGCGCTGTCGTGCATATCCATCTGCCACAGACAGCCAATTTTCGGTTTTGATATCTGCACTGGCGTCAAATGCTATCAGAATATCAACATCTCTACCAGGCCGGAGCAGGGGATAAATTGGAAGATTGTTCGACATTCCCGCATCCATGAGTTGCAGGTGTGTGTTCTTGTAGATGCTTTCCGGTGCCGTCTTCGGTAATTTGTCGTCCATCTTGTACGCAAAATTGGGAATAGAAGCTGGCAGTATCGGGTGCACTTTACTCAAGTCTTCATTGCGCCCCTCGATCATATCGTCAATGCCGCCGAAGCCAACAAGACCTTTGACTAAAGGCCGAACCTCTTTGTAATAGTGGGATAGGGTTGCACAGAAGGCGGATCCGAATATTCCAAGCATCAATGGTAGTCGGAGTTCCGGCACACGGAATCCGCCCTCGTCTTGCGCAAGGTCCTTTCCGTTCTCAAACTTCCTACCTATAGCCCAAGTTGGGATCCCAGCGCCAAATTCCTCGCAAAACATCTCATATGGCGAGATTTCGAACCACTGAAACCAGGCTTCCTTTTTCGCCTTTGCTTTCGTCTCCTGCGAGGGGGAGTCTGTGGCTTTCTCAAGCCCTGACGACTCTTCAATAATAGGTATTTCGTGACGTACTGCGGTGTAAATCGGCATAGGATGTTCGCCATTCTTGAGATAATCTTGTTGGTTCGATATCTTAAGATCTCTGTCGTCGACGCCAACTTCTCCTTTTGGAACAAGCAATCTTGCAGCGAGCAGCAGCCCGTAAACATCAACTAGTCCAAAATCGGCTTCTGGGTCTCCCTTCAACTTTTCAACGAAGCCACTTAAGAGGAACTTGTTCGTAGGAGCAGAGTTTAAAGCAGCAAGAGCAACGGGTGGGTAAGCAATGTGCACGCCAATTCGGGCCTTCAAATGATCAACAATTTTGTCGAGGCGTCGGCCACCGAGTGATGAGTGAAATAGTGCTTGTAACCAACAGCTCCCGGAGACACCAGCAGTGTAGGTCGCACAGTCGAACAATCCATCTTCACTTGAAGCAAGGAGGGAGCCCGTGCCTGCTACTAAAGCCCTCAAACCACCTCCAGATCCGACCATAGCAATACACGGCACATCATCTGGATGGACTTCCTCCTCCGGAAGACCAAGGTATTTTGCCAATGCTGTCGTTGTGGCCTTCTTCCGCTTCATAAGGAACTCTCTCTCCTCTTTACATAGTTCCGAAGAGACTCTAACGGAAGCCGCGTATTCGATTTCCGGGTTTGTGTATGGATCGTGTGCTTCTTGCCAAATCTCATCTGCCAATGACCCTGGAGCCATTGAGAGCTCCCTCTGCAACTTGCCGATGTAGTCTGGCAAAACTTTTGCCCAATCTGGCATCACGAAGTCCTTGATTTTACCGGCTACCGAGCCCCATTCAAGATCTGCGACGGAAGAGAACAAGGCGAATTTTGTGCTGAAGTTCCCCCAAGCTGAATCATCCGCAGGAGTTTGTAGATCCTGGTGGAATGGGAGAGCTTTCATGCGCTCTGCATTTTGGACAACAATTTCGTGCTTCCTATCTTGTATAGCTTGGTGTTTTTGTCGTTCGGCTCGTATCTCGCTGCGCAGACGGGTGGGTGGAAGAGGTTGGACATAGTCGTTTCGGTAGAGGATGTAGGTCAGAGAACCCGCGATTACCACGGAAGTGACCCCAATCAAGGTGCCACGGGAGGGCGACATCTTATACTTCTTCTTCTTCTCCTCTGATTTGGATTTGCCGAAGAGGGATCGAGATTGCTGCTGCCATGGCCGGCTCCTTCTCGTGTTATGGAGCTGTTGAATCTCGAGAGACAGCTTCGGATAGGCAGGGCGAGAAATACGTCGAAGCATTGAGGGAAGCATAGTGAATAGGGAGGGTCAAAAGCCCTTTAATAAAGTAGGTCAGCATGGATTAAAAGAGTAACATGGTGGTGGGCAAAGTAAGGGCCTCCGGAGTGGAGGAAAACAAGGCACCAGACATGGAAATGTGGAAATCGCATTGTGCTTTTTGGTGGGAAGTGTGGCGCTGTGGCTGGTGCGCCTTTCATCTGAAGATCCCCACACCCCCCAGTCAACGGCACGTGTGCATGTAAAAAGGAAGAGGGTTTACTTCAAGACATAATTTGGATTTTAATATTTCAAATTTTCAGTGTTGCTTTGCTCCACAAGTCTGGAGATATAATTGTTCAATACCGATGAGAAAATTGCAACACAAACTTCAGCGCACCAAAACCACTTGGGAACAATCCCATCTAGAGTGAGGATATTTTGCCACCCAGTCCAACTGTTGCAAGAAAGAGTGGCCAGAATTCATCAAAATAAATCTCCGACTGACGCCAAATTCTATGGCGGCCGGGGTCGATTGGTCTCTGGAAAAAGCAGGTTCTCTGGACGTTTGGCTAAACATTGAACTTTTACTGCCCGACGGCAGGAACTCTGGGTGAATCAGGCACGCAGAGAGGGTGCGCTTGAAATTTTGCACAAGTACCAGAATAAATCCACAGATCGATTCACAGCCTCCGAAATACTGTCATTTGCTCCCTCACATTTCCCCCCTTCACGGAAGCGTGAATGCCTGAACCAGTCAGTTAGTTACTTGACCGTTTTCTGCCAGCTTCTCCGCCCGTCACGAACTGTAAACGGCCTAGCGCCTGTTTTATCTAGCATCATGTTTCCGCTAGGACGCTCCGCTTGGTCTCTCAAGATCCAGGAGTCAACGATGGCCGTAGGTCTAGGCTCACGACAAGCAGCGGATGAAGAGGCACGGGCAGAGGTGGAGGTTCTGAACTCGAGACTGGAGAAAACCCGCATCTTGAATACGAAACTCGCAGCGTCGCTGTCCAGGCTCGAAGGAAGCGGGAAGAGTGTGCAGGAGGCCATTGGCCCATTGTATGGAAACACGCATAGGCTTCAGGTTCTTGGGACGAGTATGTGTTGAAAATCGAGCTCGGCTGGAGCTCTTTTAGTTGACTGTTCGCAGATATCGATGGCATCATTTCAGCAATCGAGAGGATTAGACAACCTTCCGACATCAAGAGCAATGAGGAGGATATCATCCGGAAAGGGTCAGCGTCCTCCAATATCGATTTATCGATATTTTCGAAGTACTAATGGAATTGTAGTCCCGAGAAGGCCGGACTGGCGGCCTTCCTCAGCTCCGTGAAGCGTGTGAACAAGGCCCTCTCCGAACTCAGGCAGACGAACCTCCGGTCGAACCAACAAGCTGTGGCAGATCTCACGAGGCTGCTAAAATCAGGGAATACGCAATTAGAGACCCATTTCCAGAAGATCCTGCAGGAAGACTCGCGGCCGATCGAGCCCCTCCACTTCATTACGAAAGACAAACCTTTCCCGATGCTCTCACAGGACAAGACGACCCGGCTCGGACTGATCAATTCATACATTGTCTCAGCTAACAGACAGTCTGGAGCCGCTCCCGGAGAATCGCCGATGCTGCAAGTATATGCAGGCGTTCGAGGACCATATCTTACTGCAACCCTGCAAAATCTGGCTGCTGCGTCGGTCAACACCGCAAAGAAGAAGACGCCGGATGCACTGTATCGTCAAGGGACGAACGGCATGGGCACATATGCAAAGGGCATGGAGGGGGCGTTCCTCGCCGAGTACGACAATATCTGCGCCCTGTTCTCTAGGGACGAATGGGGAAAGGTCTTCAATCTGACATGCCAAGGAGCCATTTCGGAACTGGCAAGGACTCTCCGCGAATTAAACTCACATATCAAGGCAAACCTGACCACTGACTGCTATCTTGCCTACGAGATAATCGAGATCATGTCAAGCCTCAGCTCAAGCCTGGAGGACAGGACAGGGGAGTTGAAGCCATCGTTCGCGGCAGCGCTAAAACCTGTCCGTGAGACCGGGAAGTCATCCTTGGCGGAGCTTCTCGAAGACACACGTCGTCGGGTCAGTACCCTGCCGATGATTCCTGCCGATGCTGCTGCCGTGCCGATCACCTCCGAGACAATGACCCGACTTCAGACCATGGTCGATTTCCTCCGTCCCATTTCAAGCATTATGATCTCGTTAGGAGATGGTGGTTGGAAGGCAACTGCTGCATCTAACAGCTCCTCTGACCAAATACCCAGTCTAAACTCATTCGATGTTGGTGCTGATGGAAAGCAAATATTTGCACACTACAGCATCGATACCATTGACAGCCTTCTCGCAGCACTCGAGCAAAAAGGCAAGCCACTGCTGAAAGGAAAGCAGGCTCTGGGCGTTTTTCTAGCGAACAATGCGACGATTGTCGACCGCATGATTCGGAACTCGGACTTGCAGCCTCTCCTCTCCTCGCGAATGGCTGACGTCGATAAATGGCGCAAAAACGGGGCACAGCTGTACACTGCGGCGTGGCGTGAACCCTGTGGCCATCTCTTAGATGTTCAGTACACCAATCGTGGATCCCAAAGACCGCCTTCTGGCTCAGCAGCTGCAATTGATTCAGCAGCTATTCTTAAGGGCCTTAGTAGCAAGGACAAAGATGCGATCAAGGAGAAATTCAGGCTGTTTAATACGAGTTTCGACGACCTCATCGCGAAGCATAAGAGTCTAAATATGGAAAGAGAGGTCCGGGAGATGTTGGCTCGCCAGGTGCAGCAAATGATCGAGCCATTATACTGCCGCTTCTGGGATCGATACCACGAGGTGGACAAAGGGAAGGGGAAATATGTAAAGTATGACAAGGGGAGCATCTCGGCAGTTTTTCTAAGCCTGTCATAATGGAGCGGGATTGCAGAAACTGGCTTGGGATTCAGGCATGATACCAGGAATGGCGTTCTGGTTCATTGATATTGGTACATGGTTCGTCGAGCGACACATTGCGAGTCAGATAAGAATGTAAGAATACATGATAGCACCCATATGTGCTACCCCGCTTCAGCCCATCCTGTCCGTCCCTTCCCAATAACTCCCAAAATGCCTTCCTGCAGTATCCCATGCATCCCATAACCCTACAAGTTCAAAAAAAACTCCGGTCCAACAGGAAAACCAGCCGTCAGACATGACTCGCTAGCTCGTGGGTATCGAATTGAAAGGACAGTAAATTTGAAATTGGCGGTCATCTCAGAGACACTGAAGGATTGGGGTGTTAGTATATCTTGTGGAGAAGATTTTGAGGGTGCTGCAGTTCCCAGGACATTTGGATAGGGGGGGCAATGTAGGGAGATGCATACGTCTGTGGTATCGCACCAACCGCAATTTTCATGGTTTCCATACTCTTCCGCCTTACAACAGTAGCCGCAGCAGTTATTGACGAGGGGAGTTGGATTGACATCGTCCATTTTGATTTTCTGGAGAATAAACTTGACTGATGGTGGAGAGTGATGGTCTTGGCGGCTGACGGTAGGTTGTGTAGAGTTTGAATGTCGTGCAAGCTGAAAATCGGTTGTTGGAGACTTGTTGCTGTTCAGTCGATGCGGACCTGGAAAGGGGGCAGCAACCCACTCATATATAATCAGAGCAGCCAAGAATCGGATTCTAATCAGCTGTTCAACCCCACTTTCTTATTTATTTCTAGAAACCAAAATACATCTGTCTGTCACTGTCCGGGCGTCCATAAGCCTGGTGATATGGTTATTAGACATATATGCACGGTGCACAGCCTGGACGAAGCATGCAGCAGGCGGTGTATCCTTAGACAGAGCTCGGAGAAACGAGGAAAAGTGAGGCTGTCGCCTGGCCTGATAATCGACTGATGTGATGTAAAATGATAGGCACCCCCCACGCGGTGCCTAATTCTTGCTCTAGGGAAGATTCCAAAAATTGACTTTCTGTGCTGAGCTGAGAACGGAAAATCGATACGTCAGATCTACTACGTGCAAAATGGATTGAAGCGACAGGGATGGCGGGTTCGCCAAACGGCTTCCAAGGCTGAGGGCCTGATATGATAACCTCATGCATAGTTGCTCGCAAGGCGTTCGTTTCTATTCCTTGCTGACATGCAGTTGGAGAAAATAGACGCGCGTGATTGATGCCAGCTACAGATCTGCATCCGCTTATTGGGGACCTTCCCCTCGACTTCCCCTCTCTTCGTGTCCCCTATCTATCGAACGAACATGGATAGATTGTGCGAGTTTCGGTGTTGTTTGTTCGTGGGTGCAGCAGAGATTATGTGCCAGTGCCTTGGATATCAGACCACAGGGAGGAGTGAAAGGTCGCAGGGTTGAAGCTGCACACCGGTTCATGAAGACCGGGACCCATCAGGGTTCACCAACATTCACGGGATGCCCCGGTCTCACATTGGAGGGCGTTTGCATGAGCCCTCATGGGCTTCGGTAAGCGATTCCGGAAAGGACGGGTCGACACGTCTGACAATTTGAGACAATTTTTGATGTTGACAACGTCGAAGTCACGAGGCGCGGAGCGGGTGTTTCGACCAGTCGGCACAAGCCGAGTATGTAAATCTGGTCCTGATCCAAAAAAAGCAACCTTGCGTCGGAATAACGTTCTCGTGTTGTTTCAGCAGGGAGATCGACAATGGCGGCCAGTGGCAGCCACGTGTTGGTCGTTGTGCTGGAATTGGAATGCTCCCCAACGTCCTTGATCCTGGGCTGTGAGGTTCCTTGTGGCACTCGGGGTGTCACCAGCATGGGGTGCTGCTGTTCCCTGGATCGATTGCTGTCTGGGTTGATCGCGATCCGCAAGGTCGGGTTTGCGGAGGTTTCACAAACGGTCCCTTCTTTGTGTCTGTGGTCAAGTTACCAGATATGATCCCGCATGCCTCCCAGTTCCTGCTCGTATTCGTTGGTTGGAAAGACTAGAGCATTATTAGACCCCGCTCTGAATGTCTAAGCCATGTTTTCACTGCGTGGTTGGGCAAGAAGCACTCTCCTCGCCGTCCCTTCCGAGGTAGAGTCGAGATTCGTTGGTATTTCCTCCCCATGGTCATGATGGCGGAAGCACCCCCCTGGGTCCGATGATCGGGCATCCAGAAAAGGGGACATTTTCTGGAATAAGCTGTGGTCTGGTACGACGGGAGTAGTCACCATCGAGCGTGTTCCACTCTAGTCTGGTCCAGCATTGACTGGCGACGATGTGATTGGGTAGGATTAAATAGATGTTGGGAAGCTGTTAGATAGACACAGCCAGAGTTTCGATTGGCCAAGAGACCCTTTCCGTGGCCACTGCCATATCTTGAGGATGCCGTGGGAACGAATCGTCCCTGAAGTTCCATTGCGAGACAATTTGAGAAAATTGAGTGCCAACATGGGCTGGTAAGCAGCGGGAATCCACATTGTCCCCTCTTACCTGAATCCTGACCCAACCACAGGTCCTCACCTTCTCCACTCTCATTTATTCCGGAAGGCTTGCCCCAGGTGAACATCAAATTCGAAACACCACCACTGAAGTGATGAGTGGAGAAGGCACACGTTCGGAAAGTCTTGAGGAAAGGAAAGTCTGGAGATAATTTATAGTACCGTGTGGAGATGCGGAGCCGTAACGCCACCTGAAACCGGTCCACCCGTTAGGGATATCCTTGATTCTTCGGCGGCACAGGTGCGAAGTATCTGGTAGTTGGGAACTGGAACCCGAAAGGCGGGGCAACTAATTCGAAACATAGCTCAGGCGTCCCTTCTTGACCCCACACACTGCACAGCCTCTTCCATCAAGCTTTCCATACGAGGCTGGAAGGTGATAAACAATACTACGTGTATGAAAATGCTGCTGTCTCGTCAGGCATTCCAGCGTTTAGTTAATGGACGTCCATCAATGAAACAGACAAGCCCAGCTTCGCCTTGCAGGCTGCATACTAGGCTATGGTCGTACTGAATAGGTACTGTAAAATGAATACGAGTCTGCACAAGACTTTCAATATTGAGTTAGGCTGTAAAACGCGCGGGGAGTTCAACGTTGAGTAGACTCAATTGGTTTGCAGACAGTCGGAAAAGAGTTGTGGAAAGTTCGCTCAACTTGTTTTTCCGATACCTGCTTCAATGTTCAAACTTGCTCTGATACAATGAGAATGTCAGCTCACAGATGAGAAGCCTTCCTCTCACAGTGCCTCATATCGCGACTTTGACTGCAGTAACCTCAGTATTTGGAAGAAAGGATTTTCGCAGAATAATTAGAAGTGTACACGGGAGCTTCACTCGGAACCTCGAAATATTTAGATGATACCTCCTGACATCCTTGAGTGGGGATTCGTGTCCTTCTTGGTTGGGCATCGCAGGCATCAGCCACTTATGCTGCGCAATACGATGCCGACTGCAGCTTTTGCTATGGCGCATGAAATTTTCCTTGCATTTCACCTTCCAAGCCACTGCTTACGGCCTTCCGTAAGAATCTCAATAAAAAATTGACCTCAGTAATTTACCATTAAGGGGGGGGCGTAAGCATCCGCAGCAATCGATGCTAGGCACCAGGCATGGTGCCAATTGAGGGACTTCAGACTTAGTATAAATAGAGACTCGAGCTAAACACCATCCTTCATTCTACTCTTTGAGACTTCAAAGCAAGGAGGAGATTTCTTGACATTGATTTTTAAAAGTGAACCCCCACCGCCACGATCGCTGACGTCTCTAAGCGTCGAAGCTAGCTGCCCCGCTACAACCTCCACTCCCCGCCATTCTCACTCAGGCACAAGCACAAACAAATAAAAACTTGACCACGAGCTCAACTTGCAATCTAGACCCTCCAAATTGCATTGTATGTGCGAATTCACTTCTTTACCCCCTTGCAAACCGGAGTGCTGACACTGACCGAGCCATTCCCACCTTCTCAACGAGAACCCAACAAATCCGTCATCATGTCCGCATTCGACACCGCTGTCGCAGACTCGAAGAAGCTGACTTCTAAGCCCTCAAACGATGACCTGCTGATGCTTTACGGTACGCACATCATCTGCGGATGGTAGGGGCATGTTCTGACGCGGTATATATAGGATTGTTCAAGGTTGCGACTGGCGAGGATATTACGAAGGCAGAGCAGCCCGGAACTTTCGATCTTAAGGTATGATGGCACTAGCTACCGCTCTTTGAGCTATGGGTGAATACTTGGAGAAGTATATGCACTGATGTAGATTGTGGGAATAGGGCAAGGCGAAGAAGAGAGCGTGGCAGAAGGTTGTTGACGAGGGCATTACCTCCGATGAGGCGAAGGAACGATACGTTAAGTTGGTGGAGGAGATGAAGGAGAAGTACGGATATGATGCTACTAAGGAGCCGGAGGCTGTCGGTGGGGGTTCTTAGAGGCCTGAGAAGCGGGTATTTAGACACAATGTTAGTCGAGAAGATATCTGACTTTTCATGATACTGAATGGAGGCTTTGCGCTGCTTTTTAGCATAGCTCAATGGATGCTTCGCATATGCTCTGGTATCTATTTTTGATTGGGTCATCAACAATTTCATGGGTATCTCTAGGACAATGGTAGCATAGTGAGCTCAGCCAACCAGGTAAAAGAGCACGTGCTCAACCTCAGTTACTCCAGCCTATAAGCCATACCCTTCCAGTCAAGCTCGTTGTAGGATTTCGTTGCGCACCATGGCTCGTCATCTCTTGCGTAAGGGATAAGAGGAAGATCATAAGGCATCCGCGCCCCAATCACCAACTCGCCAGGCTGCTTCCCCGTAACCGGTGGTGTGTCTGTCTTGAAAGTGGGAACCATAGTAGCGTTCTCTCCGAACAGTGCAGGCCATAAAAGGACCCCCAACTCATAACTACTCACTCGGCTCTCTCCAGCAGGGTTCCGAGCTTCACCCCATGCTTGTTTGGATAGGTTTGCCGACGTTACCAACACCCAGTCAATTGTAGAATGTGTTCTGTCCGAGAATCTGATGTAAGTTTTGATATGTGGAGCAGCCCGTTTCCTACCCGCGTCATTCGTCGTTGCAGAAGACGCTGCTGATTACTGTTAGCTTAACACATGTTGTCTGCTAAAGGAAGCATCAAACCTGAGGCATGCTGAGGCCCATCTCCTGCCCAGTGATAAAGGATTGGCTTTATGTATTGAAGTTGCTTAGCCTGTGCAGCAGTTTGGATTTTGGTGTCTGGAATTCTCGAAGTTAGCATACACACGTTTCAATATGGAGAAACATAAATCAGGATGTGCAACCGTGGTTACGATACTAGAAATAGGAAGCTCGAGAGTATCATACGAATAGCGCTACCAGATGCATAACCATTCAGACTTCTCCGAATCTCATCTGCGGTGGGAAATATAACGTGGAACTTCGGCTTTGATTTTAGGTTCTTTGAGGTTTTTAAGACTTCGAACAAAGTCTTATCCAGCCATTTGTCATTCTGACCAAGTGTTGCAATGGAAGAGATCTGAATAAAGATATCTGGCTCCGGGCCAGACACTGGAACCGACTTCAACACGTTTTTCAAGCCCGCCCAGCCCCACCAAGTTTGCGAGTCGGTATCCATATCTTGCCTTCCAGGCACGCTACCAACAAGAGCGGCTCGAATCTCCGAAAAGTCGTACTTGATGAGTTGTTCAATTAATGGTTTGCAGATTGTTCTTTTCGAATCATATGCTCGGAGGTAGTTGAGAAAGTCGGACTTGAATTTAGACCCACTACCCATTTGCCAAGATTGCGTCGAAGGGGCGCTGTTATTGCTTAGGTGCAGCAATGGGGACTTCCACACTGCCTGTGTCATATTTTCCCAGTCAAAAGGGATCATATTGGCAGTGTGGATGATGACTTGAGCCTTGGCATCATGTCGAATGAGAATCAGCATCTGGACATTTGATTAGCTGCAATTGCTCTTTGCTTGAACGAAAAGTTACCTTTGTATGGTGAGTGCCAAACATCTCGGGCAGGTATGCCGTATGAAGAGTAACATTGGGATATTTGGTAGCTTGCTCCTGCAATTCTTGTTAGGTCTCTTTGGATGTTGTTCCAACTTTATCGGCCACGTTCATGGCTTAGACCACCCGTCAGGTATTTAAAATTGACAAATGAACAGAAGAGCCGACGAGTTTATTCACCATGAGGTTTCGGCGGCCCTGATCCTCCTGCTTCCAAAATCCGTGAATCACGTGCACTTTGACAAAATCTCGAACATCTTCATCAAATGCATCCATCAGGAAGTCGAGGTCGTGGAGATAGTTAAATTCCCAGCATTCTGAGATAAGAGTGTCTCCGAGAATATCTTTCAGAGAGACTGTGTCGACGTTTGAGGATGGAGGAAGATCCGCGATCCGCGTGAGCTGAAAGGGTGATTTCATGGCTTTAGGGAGCTCCTCAAGGACTTGCGTCTTCCGACGAAGCGGAGGAGGAGAAACTGAAGAATCTGGAGAACAAAATGAGCGGCTCGAATCATTTTGAATGCCTTGAATGTTGCTGACCAAGTCTACGCTTCTTATGAGAGGGTTCGTCGGACGCGTCTGCCATCTTTCTGTGCGGTTTCAGAGCGCCGCACAAGTGTGTGGCAATCTTCTTCTCCTTTCCGTGGAACAAAACAGCTGTGTTTGGCAGAGTCACCCTTAAGATCGTGGAAATGGTTTGTTCAAGGTGCAGGTTGAAGGTCACGTGTGTTTGGATCCCCTTTTAGACTGCACGGCGCGCTAAACCCGAAGCGACCCTTCCGCCTCTGGAAAGGTGTCAGGGACGTGATAACGAAAAGGCCCGTCAACTTCCACTCGTTCAAGCAGGAGCATTGAGACGACCACGACCGCGGAATTCGACCTTTGTACAATATTGCGCTGCACTTCTCTTTCACACGCTCTGCGATTGACACTCGAATTTCCTTCAACGGCGGTCTGGCCGCTCCGCCCCCAGTCCAGCCTCAGGAGAAGGAGGCAATCTCACCAAAATGCGTCTCCTTCCGATTTCATTACTCTACGCTCTTTTAGCATCTGTAGCATTTTCAGAAAACGCCGAAAAAAGGATAGGGGACAGTGAGGTATCCATTGAAGAAGATGTCAGCGACGGGCCACAGCCAACGACTTTTAATGGGGTGAAGGTGCCTGTGTTGCCAGAACTCGACGGGGAGAAATTCAATGGCACGATCAAAGAAGGCTATTGGCTTGTGAAGCATCACTCGTGAGTTCATCCCGTGAAAAAGGTGTCCCCAGATTCAGATACTAACCTCTCCCCCCTCATGCAGACCATGGTGCGGTCATTGTATCGCCTTTGCACCAATATGGCAGACCTTATATGAATACTACTACACTTCGAAACCCGTTCCGGCCGGTTCCACGACAGACAGTGCTTCTACTTCGATGAACACCTTTACAGCGTATTACAATTTTCATTTTGGGTCCCTGGACTGCACTGCATTTGGATCAGCATGCACGGCGCACGGCGTGGGGGCCTTCCCAACTCTTATACTCTATAATGATGGCGAAGAGCTCAAGAGATTTGAGGGAAGCAAGAACATGAAGGACTTGAGTGCTTTTGTGGAGGACATGTTGGAGACAATTCGCCCCGGATCTCGGCCGATTGGAGGTCCAAATCTACCCAAGGCCAAGGACAAAACCAGCCCAGACTATCAGGGTCCTGAGCTTGCTCCCGCCGCATCGACCGGTGAGAAGGCGTCGACCATCGAGAAGCAGAAGGACAAGAAGTTGACTCCGGAAGTGAGTAAGGACGCGAAGGCACCGATCAAGACGAAATCGCCTTTAAAAGCCACTCCAGTCAAAAAGAAGAAACCAACCAAGCCCACGAAGGCGCCTTCCACTCCAAACCCCTTGGGGAAGTCGCTCTCCTTCACAGCAGAAAGCTTCCAGAACTTAGTTACAATGTCGCAAGAGCCGTGGTTCATCAAATTCTATGCACCATGGTGTGGACATTGTCAAGCCATGGCACCAAATTGGGTCCAACTTGCCAAAGAAATGAAAGGAAGGTTGAATATTGGCGAGGTCAATTGTGACGTGGAATCAAGGTTGTGCAAGGACGTCCGGCTACGAGGTTATCCTACGATTCTCTTCTTCCGAGGTGGTGAGCGTGTCGAATATGATGGTCTCCGAGGCTTGGGTGATTTTGTCACATATGCCAACAAAGCCATCGAGATTGGTGACGGGGTCAAAGACGTTGATGCTTCTGAGTTTAAGGAAATGGAGGAGAAGGAAGAAGTCATCTTCGTCTACTTCTATGACCATGCTACGACGAGCGAGGACTTTGCCGCGTTGGAAAGGATCCCTCTGAGTTTGATCGGCCATGCCAAGCTGGTAAAGACTAACAGCGCTCTCCTTGCAGAGAGATTTAAGATTACTACCTGGCCTAGACTCCTCGTCTCACGCGATGGTCGCCCGACATACTACACTGCACTGGCTCCCCAGGACATGCGAGATTTCCGAAAAGTTCTCAACTGGATGCAGTCGGTTTGGCTACCCATTGTTCCGGAGCTTACGGCTTCAAATTCGAGGGAGATCATGGATGGCAAATTGGTTGTCCTTGGTATACTCACTCGTGAGCGACCAGACGAGTTTATGATCGGGAAGAAGGAGATGAAGAGTGCGGCATTGGAATGGATGGACAAGCAAACAACTGCTTTCCAACGAGAACGCCAAGAACTGAGAGATGCGAAGCAATTGAGAATCGAAGAAGCAGAGGATCGTAATGACCAACGAGCATTGAGAGCGGCGAAGAGTATTCGAATCAACATGGACAAATCCGAACAGAAAGAAGTTGGATTTGCTTGGGTAGACGGCGTCTTTTGGGAGAGGTGGATTCGAACTACATATGGTATCGAGGTTGCCAAGGATGGCGAGAAAGTAGTCATTAATGACGAAGATGTGAGTTCTTCCATAACCCATGCTACAGGAGCAAGACTAATTATTGCCGCAGAACCGAAGGTATTGGGACAACACCGTTACTGGTAACTCAATCATGGCATCACGAACATCCATCCTTGAGACACTACCCAAGGTCGTCATCTCACCCCCAAAAATTAAGCCCAAATCCACCATTTCGAGCTTCGAGAAATTCTTCTTCGATATCAGAGGAGCAATTTCCGGCCATCCGATCCTATCAATAGGATTCATTGCCGGAATGGTAGTGAGCGGATTCATGTGGGGACGAAAACGGTTACGGAGAAGTAGAGGAGGCTACTTCAGACTCGACGAGAAGGATGGTCTGTTAGGCGGCAGCACGAACGGCAAGGTAGATTAATAAGGCTCCTGTGTACTATAAAGAAAGGGTCGGTTGGGCTTTTCCTGGGTTCTGGTGGGTGTTCATTGTACCTCCTTTGAAGCATAGTTCTGCGTTGAATGATCTCTTTGCTACTTTTGTCTATGGAAATCTAAATCATTGTCCGTAACTCCGGTTTTACTCCGCAATCATCTGTCTGAGAGAAATCAAGCAGCACCCTGCTTCGACTTCTCCTTCTCCCACCGCTGCAGAATCCCAATAACACCCGCGCTGCCAACCACAACACACCACTGCCCATCACTACTCCACGCAACCTGCCTTCCCATGAACCCCAATCCCTTTACCGTCTCCATCTGGTGCGCCTCAACCTCCATCAACGGCTCCCCCATCTCGTACTTCTTCTCCCACAGCGAGCGGCTTTTCGCCCAGTCTATCTGCCCCTTTCCCACATCGGAGTTTTTATCCGTGGCGTTATCTGACCCTGTGTGATGGCTTGACGAGGACTCTGTGGGACTTGCTTCGCGGGCAATGCGGGCTACTGCTCCGCCGCGGTTGCGGCGTTGAAAGGGTAGTAGGAAAGGATGGTTCCGTGGATTTGAGGCCGAGGGGAGACGGAGGTCGAGTGCACCTGAATCAGAAGTTCTTTCTATTCTTGGGTTGGTGGTGCCTCCTGGGAAGTAGTCAATCACGTCGAAGTATTCTTCGAAGCGTGCGAGGTCCCAGAAGAAGACTTTGGAGACGCCGTTACAGAATGCGAGGATGGGGTTACTGGTTTTGGAGCCTTCGAAGATGGAGAAGCGCATGAAGATGATTTCGCTGTCGGGGATGGAGAATTGCAGGTGCCGGGTGTAGAAGGAGGTTGAGGAGGGGGGGGAGAAGGCTGAGCGGGTGTCGCGGTTCGGGTCGTGTGTTGTGGGAGCTGAGGATGGAGATGGTGGGGGATCCGTCGGCGAGAAGCTGTTGATGGACCAGAGGACTATGCAGTGTTCCCGGGCTGCTTTCGAGAATATTAGGTCGCCATACCAGGCTACGCTAATTGGAGGTTAAGACCTGGAAATATTGGAGTGTAAGAGAACGAACCAATCGACAATATCAGCATGTATCTCGGATGTGGAGAAGTGAGGGTAGTATATTCTTGTAGGCTTGTTGGTGCCAGTGTTGATATCTGGAAACTCTGGCAAAACCCACTTGTAATTTCAGCAATAACTTCTCGTGCAACAGGACGGAGACTAACAAGATTTATCATATGATCTATTCCCCCTGACAGAAGATACCGCCCGCTGGAGTGAAATGACTTATAATTGTCAGCAAAACACTGAATCAAGCGGCCGGGAGGATCCTTTACCAGACTCAAAACCGTTTCCTTGTGCCCATCTCCTTCAAGAATTGCAGCACAGGGCCTGTCCTTGTGTGCTGGATCAAGGCTCCATATCCTCACTGTTGAATCCTCTGATGCTGAGGCCAGGATGTGGGGGTTGATCGGAGAAACTGCGAGATCATTGACTTCCTAAAGAGGTCAGCTACAGAAGGTTGTCCTTGTGGTTGGCTGACTTTACCCCCCCATGACCAGCTAACGTCTTGTTCGTATCAGCGTATATTTCTTTTCCCGGACCAAGTCTCGTACCCGAAGTAACTTGCCGTCTAAAGCATTAATAATCTTTATCTTCCCGTTACCTCCAGTGACACACAGTAGAGGAGCGCCAGTCTCAAGATCTTTGCTCCAAGCACAAGCATAGTGAACCGCATCAGCCTATCTAGCTTGTCAGCTAGTCCTTGTTGCTCACTAAGAATGACAACTCACATCTTCATCTACAATCAGCTGAATGACCTCCATTTTTGGACTTTCTTTTCCCGGAGGGCGGCACACTAGTATCTGCAGTCACGTCAGAGGTACCATCGGATGCTGTGGAGACTCGGCAGAAGGGACCTACCCGCTTTCCGCCGGCAACAGCAAAAACAGGATCGACGCCAGGCTGGGTGTATGGATAGAATTTCACGGACCAGAAATCTGAGTTGGGCGTCAGACCACCAGGCAGGTCTCAGTGTTGGGGATCCACATACCTTCAGTTCCCTACAGCACGCAAGCTCCGTTAGCACTCCATCTAGCAAACAATGAGGTGACACACGGATAACCCTCGGAAACAAGTCCTCCCATGTCACTTACCTGCATCTGATGTGCCTCCTTGAAATGGGGAAGTTCCCATTCGACCTTATCTTTCTGCAGAGACATGGTGTTTTCTTCTGCGACTTCCTTGATACGCTGGGGAAACGATTGGCTTGGGAGGGGCTGGATGAGGCTCAAGACCCGTTGGTAAGGCCGCGGCTCTCGGTCCAAGACTTGAAGATCGATGAGGAGGGAGGCGATCTTGTAGCGCTTTACTGACGAGAGACACAGCTTTGCAGCTATGCAAAGAGTGATCTGCTAGCAACAGGGCACAGATAGGCCTCTGGCTGAGGGGCTATGAGCTCAGAATTAGACTGCATTCATGTACTGAAAGATGCAAGTCAGCTGACACTATCGCAGAGGCAGAGAAAGGAGAGATGCACTATTCTGCCCACAACGGATGAACTGCATCCCTGGGCAGATCCCATTGGCGGCCGTGCGTGGACAAGGCTTCTCCGCAATCCTGCTTTGCACATCGCAAAAGAAAATAAACATGTAGCGCGCAAACAGACAGCATGCAGATGTTCGGATCATGGTGAAACATACCGCGAGACTGAGAACCCTAGATGCAGCCTGCCATCGTGCAGCGGAGTTTTGAAAGCTTCGACTTAAGGGGGGATGCCGGTTGATAGGGCGGGGTGGCGCATTGGCTCCGGTTTGAAGTCTGGTGGGTGGTGTGGGCGAGAATTGGGCGGCTTGCAAGGTGTATCTTCAATCTCGGTTGAGTCTTGAGATCTGCTGGACCTGGACCTGGACCAATGATCAATGATTGATTCCAAATTCCCAAAAGCTCTTAAGTATTGACTGAGTGGCTCAATGGCCCCTTCTTCTCCCGTAGTTGGTGGTTGTGGCTAGTGAGTGGGTGAATAATGAAGAATAAATATTGAGTGGCTTTTTTCCCGTCCATGGGTGTCAGTCCCACTCCCTCATTCCGGTCCTGCGTACAGTAGCGTCTCGGCTGATGAACCGTTTGAACGCCAATATCAGCTTCCGCATCACGTCGCCAATGCCAATGCCAGTGCCAGTGCCAGCGCCAGTACCAATGCTAATGCCAATGGCATACACAATTGTGGACCAGTTCGTCACGACTCACGCAGCTGTTGCAGCTTGCAGCTCGCAGCTCCTCCAGCAAAGAGCAGACGAGTAGATTAGCAGATGATCGATCCGATGTCTGCACCCTAGTCCTCAACTCCAACTGTGCCTCCAGATCGATCGACAGTCACCGCCGGAGCCGATGAGCACCTCCGTAATTGATAGCGACTCTGATATTGGACGGCATGTTCCAGCTGCGCGACCGACTTTCTGGGTCTAACCCGCAGGCCAGGCGCAGGCCTTGCACTCACACACGCAAAACTCACAGGCATTGCAGAGGACCGTGCGAGCAAATTCAAGCGCAAAGCGCCCCGCCAAAGAGTGCGGTGAGGAAGCCACCTCCGCGTCGGAGGCTTTTCTCTATTTTTAAAATAGCGTCAACTGCTCAAGGTCGGCGAGGTTTGCTTGGTGGGCCCCAGCCTCCCAGCCCCAGCCCCAGCCCAGCTTCCCAGCTTCCCGAGTACTGTACGGTACAGTACGTACCAGCACTCCCTTACGGAGTACAGTACCGTTCACCATCGCAGGGGTGTTAGCGTCCCGGAAATGCCAGCAGTTCTCAAACGTCTGCTGTTAACTCTCAACAATGCGCAGCGCAGCCTCCCGGACCCAGGGCCGTGTTCCAGCAGCGTTGTACAGCAGAAAACCTTGATTGTTGGATCCCAGAGATCAGAATAGAGATTGTGGGAAGCAGCAGGTTGCACGGAGATGCGCTCTGAGGTCCCAATGGCAGAGCTATTGGTTCTGCTCCGTTGGAAACTGCCCCTTGTGACCTTGTCGAGGTTGCAGTCCAGCTTTGACTTCAGACGACTCCGACACTTGCATCCCCAGGACCGGGTCGACTTCCAATCCGTGCCGCCCTCCCGCAGGGCCAAGGAGTGAAGCTTGGAAGTTGGGACTCCTCAGACGAGTGACTAGTCTGGACTTTGAAGGGACGGAAGGGAAGAGACGCTCGCGGAGATGCTGATATTGGCACTGCGCGTGCAACGTACGGTAAGGACTTCAAATTACCTACGGGTCGACAGCGACGACGTTGCAGGAGGTAGGGGCCTTGATGTGTTGCTCTTGCACGAGTGAGTGCTCAACGCAAGACACACAGAAGTGTAGAAGCTGCTTGACCTTCACATCTGATAGAAGTATTTCCGATGTCCTTCCCCCAAGTCACGGTCAACCACTCGAGCCTCGAAACCGATAACATACCGGTTTGGTGATCGCCAGGCCAGAGCGCCCTGGGTGGCGTCACTAACTTGATGGAGGCCGAAGCGGGAGCGTTGGCCGAGGGTCCCTCTCAACCTCCACTTTCCCACCTTTAGTTTTGCATCCCTTCGCTGCGCCAAAAACGCCGTGTGCAGACAGACATGTTTAGTATGTTTACATGCTTCACTTATGCGCCAATGACCGACCCCACCGCGGCCGGGGTGCTGCTGTGTATCCTTGACGCCTTTGACGCCCTCTCCCCCTCTCCCCTCCCTCCCCTCCCCACCAATTCGAGCCTGTGACAGCGGCAGACGAGAGCGACCTCCTCCTTCCCTGTCGATTCCCAGCAAGATTTGGCTCCAGTTTTCGCAAGCAATCCCTAAATCAGCCCCTGCTGCGTTTGCTCCCATCAATATCAGAACCGCCGTTTTTAATATAGGTTCCATCGACACCCCCCGCTTCACTCAATTGCAGTTATTGCACTTCGTGGAAGTGTTTGAAGATCAGAGATTATAATATCAGCTGAATTCCGGACCTGTGAATGGCGGTTCATTTCACCACCTGTTATACCACTGCTTCCTTTTGAAATCCTCAGTCTTTTAAGCAGCTCCCTTGGAACCCTATTTCCAAGCGACGATTCCCCGCTATCAACTCGAATGTACCACCAGGCCATTCTTACAACGAAAAGGACAACATTACACAAATACAACGTTCCACTCAACCCCTTCACCGCGAATCCATAATATCCTCCAATCTCTTATTGCCTTGGGGCAATTATTGAAATTCCTCGTCTGCTGCTCTTCACCCACGCGATTGGCGTATCGCGACAAACGACATCCCGTCTACCCGCAGGACTGAGCATCTTTTTAGAGATACAAACGCCAGATCCTCGAAATGGGGACGACGTTCATGACCATACATAGTCAGTACGATTTGTTATACTGAAAGGTGCTTAACTGCTAAACATCTCCTAGATCTTACCCCCGACGCCAACGTCTTGTTTGCTTCCGAGTAAGATCTACCCACCTACCTCCCAATATTTTTAACACATACTAAGGCGTCTATTCCAGGTCTATTGTGGATATCTTGGGCTATGATCCACGTCAAGTAATAGGCAGATCATGCTTCGATTACTTTCATCCTGATGAAGTACCATTTGCTCGCAATGTCCACAGCCGAGGAGTGCTACTCGACAAAGCTGCCGTTCTAAATTATGCCAGGATCCGAAACAGTGACGGGTTGTGGGTTGGCTGTGAATGTGTTTTCACAGTTGTGTATGAGGTTTTGGTTGCTTGCACGAGCATCTATAGGGGAGATGCAAAGAACGAACGTATGCTGCTAATCATCACATTTCACTGCATGCACTGACCCAGATTCAGGGCGAGCTGCGGAAGCTCCAGCTATCCGCCGTCTTTTTGCTTCGTCTCCACGAGACCCTCGATACCACATGTTGGAACATCTATCCTCAAAGTTCAGAACTCCTCCTCAAGCATCACTTCTTGAGCCTCGTGCAGCCTTGATCCTTAACCGATTCACGCGCACACTTACTGTCATGTATGCGACCAACGCTGTCTCAAGCATACTGGGAATAAAGCCAGAACAGTTCAAGGACAAGAGTTTCTACGAATGCATCCAAGAAAATTGCCTGATGGAGGCCATTCGATGCTTGGAGAGTGCCAAGGCCAACGACTCTATCGCCTATCTTCGATTTTGGTACCGCGATCCCCGCCGCCAAGAGGACTTTGATGAAGAGATGCGGGAGGCTAGTCAAAGCAGTGATTCTGAAGATGGTGGCGTGGAGCTCAATGGCCACATGGACGTTGACTCCGACCCTGTCGCTGAAGGTAGCACTTCTCACTTAGGACGTGATACTTCTGGAGACGATATGGCCATGGTGCGAAACACATCACCCAACCACTCAAGGAGAAATTCTCGCACCAACTCTGGAAAAAGCGCAGACATGGAAAGGAACTCATCCGATACCTTGTTCGACGGCTTGCGGGCTTCCTGTTCGTCAACCTCCTCGTTGGTCGGAGTCTCTCCCTCGGAGCATCGACGAAGGCGACAAGCCCAGGTTGCACCACGCGAGGTAGATCCTTACGAGATAGAAGCTGTCATTTCATGTACGTCGGATGGGTTGGTAGTAGTACTGCGCCGTGCTCGCCCAATGATTCCTTCCCTTCAGCCTCCCATACCCGTACCACACTTTCCAAACGGCCTTTTTGCAGCACCCTGGGGAGCAAATCCGATCAGGCCCCACCAGTATCAGCCAGATGCACGCAATCCTTTTTTACACGGACTTCGGGCGCCTCCAATCCCGCCAGGTGGCCCTCCGGTGGACGAATTCATGAATTCAATTCGAGAAGTTGCGGTATTTGCTTGGTCGTTGACGGGCATCAATGGAAACATTGCTTCGTACGGCCACGGTACTCCTCGGGGAGAAGCTGTCCCAGCTGCCGGGCTCCCTATTTGGGATCCCCTTGGACAGCCGAGTCCTGGTTATCTTCCACCGGTGAATCAAGCCCTCGAAAGATGGAGCCGGATTGGTCGGATGACGAAGGAACCTTATGATGGAAACAAAGTGTCTTATCAGCATGCCCATCAGGAGGCAAACATTCGGAACCAGAATGGCTTTGGCTCGGGGCCTATGGGACCTGATAACCCCCCTTCAACGGATTTCGCTCCCCACGCCAGCCAGCTCGCTCAAATTCATCAGGCTCAATTCCATAATCAGCATGAACTAGTCCAAGGACAAGGCGGGTGGTCAGCTAGGCCGCTAGCACAGGGTCCAACGGAAGGGACACGCGGGAATAGGCATCTTTGGTATTAAAAAGGGTTTCTGGCTGATGATCTGGGCCTATTCAGTGTTTGGCGCAGGCGGAGGCAATTTTGAGAAAGAACACTTTTACTCACCTGGGGATATACTTATATATGATTTAATGATATGTACAATGTACAAAAGAAGTCTCTGCTTACGCAGTATGAGTTTTTTAGAGGCTGAACCAAAAAAAGAGTGAATCTGTAAAGCACGTGACCAATACTCACGGTCTAGCCATATACAATCTAGCGTTAAAGCTTTGGCCAACACCGCGCAGCTTCATGAGGACAAGGTGGTGGAATTTGAGAGCTCAGAAGACGAAAATCTGAACATCGACGATTCTTCGATTTCGGGTCACACTGAGCAGATTTTGTCTTGAGAGTTACTCCTACAGGTCTCTGCATGGTGTGATTGCCCCTAAAACCACCCCTCGACAACACGATGGCATCGTCATCGAATCCATACGAGCACTACAACTCCCCCCAAGTCGAAGACGACGACTTCATAGATCCCGACGATGGTACACAGCTCTCAAACCCTCTCATTCAAACCACCTAAGCTAACAATCTCCCCCAGCGAACCTTGACGACCTCGACGACCCCATCCAACCCAGCTCCTCCCGTGCTCTCTTAACAGGCAACATCTCGTCCAGCTCCTCCTCCCGACCCCTCAACGAATCCTACCTCACCTCGCGCTTCCCCGGCGAAGACCGCCGCGCCCCTACAAACACAATTGATGAATCAGTATGGGAGACCCTGCGTCGAGATCTCCTCGCCGTCTGGTCCAAGATGCGCGAGGTCTTGTACCCTAAATACCTGTTCGGCGGCTCGATGCTAGAGAATACCACCAGTCTGCGCGGCGCGTATGAGAATATCAGAGGCGCAGGCATTTATGGGGCGAGGGATGAGCTGGTTGGTTTAGCTGGGAGAGCGCTGGATCCTGATGCGCTGTTGGCGCAGGGGAATATGAGCGAGGGATTGAGGGACTGGGATCTTTGGGGTCCGTTGGTGTTTTGTCTATTGTTGAGTCTGTTTTTAAGCTTTAGGGCCGATAAGGAGCAGAAGGAGTTGGTGTTTTCGGGGGTGTTTGCTATGGTTTGGATTGGGAAGGCGGTGGTTACTATGCAGATTAAGCTGTTGGGTGGGAATATGTAAGTGTTATTTGCCGAGGGGTGTGATGGGCTTGCTAATTGGGAGAGAAGTTCCTTCGCACAGAGCGTCTGTATCATCGGATACACGCTCTTCCCACTCGTCATTGCATCTCTGCTTTCAGTCTTCCATCTCCCTACCATCGCGAGGATACCCGTCTATCTTTTCCTTGTCGCTTGGTCGTTAGCGGCAGGAGTCAGTATTCTTGGTGGAAGTGGTGTGGTCAAAAACAGAGTTGGGCTTGCGGTCTACCCACTCTTCGTGTTCTATTTGGGACTGGGATGCTTATGTTTTATCAGCTAGGTTCTTATAATTGGAAAGTCAGGTTCGAGAATACAAGAGTCCAGCGAGATGGAACGCTGTTCTGATGGTGCGTAGTGTACTTTTACATCTGGCGTTCTTAACAATTAAAGATACCATTGGACCAGATCCTCGGACTTTGCTCATGATTTAGAATGTTGAGGTTTGTAGCTTTAGGAACCAAAACTCAATATACCAGTTGCAATGGAACATTTACGGAAGAATTGTTTGTCATTGTACGAGTCAATGATAGAACATTGATGATGTTCAGCTGAAAACACACTTCTCAATATATCGCAGTTTCATCCCATCTTTTCTCACTGTCAAGGACAATTTTATTGTCATTTCTACAAGGCTCCACTCTAGGAGTACAAAATGCGGTCAACTGCAAACAGTTCAAGATTTTGCAATAGACCTGCACGTCCGAACGCATTCCCCCCCCCCCCCCCCCCCCCCCCCCCCCCCCCCCCCCCCTGGTGTAAGGAAGGGTTCAAATTAAACAAAGGGGTTACGAGTCCATGTCCCCATGCGCTCACCCTGGTTCTTTGTTTGATCTTTGCCGCCGCTCTTCTAAGCGAAAGAAATATCTTTTATGGAGTGGGTATACGCTAGTTCCGTACCTTGCAAATGGGAAGCCCAGGCTGTGTGCCTGAATGTGTTTAATAATAAAAAACTAGGACATCAGCTGTGGAGGGGTGTTGAGAATTTCGACTCTACTTCTCTTTCCATGAAATAAATCAAGGTCCTGGAAAAATATTAGGCATATTGAATACAAGGAAATGATTAGAACAAGCTAATAGAATATAAAGCGGCCAATGCATGCTTCTCGAGGCGTGACCCAGTCACTTGGTACTCGATCACAAGGCTGAGATATGACGGATATCAGGCTGACAGCAGAGGTTGTCTCAAAGAAAAGTGCTGTGCAGCCGACTAAGAAATTAACAAAGAAAACCGGACAAATAATTTATTGCAAAGTTAATACTCGTGAATCTATCTTGAACAAATCACAAGTGAAGTCTAATTAATCCACTGTATAGCAAAATATTTGAAAATAAAACGACTGGCCAGCGCATCTCCAACACGCTAGCGTGACCTGCCTCGAGGCAAAACCCCGGGGGATACTCCGCCGAATCACACAGCCGCAAATTGCTTCCATCAGAGAGGCACAACGCAACTTCCAAACAAAACATTCACAACAACTTAATGGGGATCACGAGCCACATTGCTATGTCCTCGTCTGCCGCAGCAGACGCAGTTGCCCCCGAGAAAGCTGATCAGTCGCCCGTGAATCAAGATCCTGACCCAGACGTCATGGAATCCAATCACGACCTGCCAGCACGGACAATGGCCGACGCAGACAAGAAAGAGCAGACACAACTGGAGAAGGACGATCCAGCTACCACTGCTGCCAGGGAAGAACTGAAGCACACAAGCATCTCGGACAGAATTACTCCGACCAGTCGAGTCGAACCTCCTAACACTGAAGCTGAGCCCGAAGCTGAAGATAAGCCCATGGAAGAGAGAGCCAACACACCCGATGCTGAGCCCAGCGACGCACAAGATGAGGAGATGAGAGAGAGGTTATCGTCGCCGAAGAAGAAACGAGGTCGAGACCAAGATGACGATACTGGCAGAGAGTTGGACGATGGCGATGGCGACAAGCAAGGATCCGCAGCCGATGGCAGTGTCTTGAATGGTAACCGAACAATACGATCCGGGCCAGAAAAGAAGCGCCCTAGGGACACATCAGAGGACGAGGAGCTTTCAAAGAGTGCAGAGAAGGCTGCAGGGGAAAAGGTAGGATGTCTTGGCCAAACCTCTTGAGCCTCACAAGAGCTAATTGCCCCTTTACAGGCCGGCATATCTACGAGTCTGGCAGCAAAGGCAGCATCTACAGATAAGGAAGAAACCACCTCACAAAGATCCACTTCGGGCGGCAGCAAGCCACAAACATCAAAATCTGCATTTGCGAGCTCTGGCTTTGCATCTTTGGCGAACACTAGCACATCTCCGTTTGGCAGCCTTGGAGCAAGCAAGCCTAGCATATTCAGTTCGGGTGCTCAACCGGCTACATCTGGCTTTGGTGCATTAGCAGCAAAATCATCGAATACAACACCTACGACAACCAGCAGCGGATTCGGAGCTTTGGCCGGAGATAAGCCTGCCACCGGTTTTGGCTTTGGAAGCGGTACGACTTCAGGATTCGGTGGTCTCTCTGGCGGAAGTGCTTTCGGATCAAAACTTGGTAATGGCTTTGCAGGGGGGGCTGGTCCGAAATTGTCAAGTTTTGCTGCCCCCGGGAAGGATAACGAGATCATAGGGAGCAAGCCTGCCAAGGCATTCGGAGCTCCAGAGAGTGATGAGGATGAGGGAAGTGACGAAGATGACAGTGAAGGGGACGAGAATTCCGATGAGGACGAAGGTTTCGCAGAAGAGAAAAAGAAGTCCAAGCTTCACAAAAGTTTGTCTCTCTATCAAACCTACCACAAAACTTGCTGACTCTGTTGCTTTAGTCCATATTGAAGATGGAGAGGCTGGCGAAGCAACTCTCCTGCAATTGCGTGCTAAGCTATTTGCTCTTGACAAAGAAGCTGGCTGGAAGGAACGAGGAGTCGGAACACTCAAAATTAACGTCCCGAAGTCTTGCGTCAGCTATGATGAAAATGGCCAACCAATACCGGGCTCGTTCGATGCATCAGGACTCGAGGACGAAGATGCTGATCCAAATGCGCCCCAAGTCGCTCGTCTCATCATGCGCCAAGAGAACACGCATCGGGTAGTTTTGAATACCATGATCGTCCGAGCGATGGAGTTCAAGCCCAAGTCAGGTTCAAGCGCGGGTCAACTTATGTTTACGGCTTTTGAAGGCGATAAGGAACTCAAGCCCATAAACATGCTGCTCAAGGTAAGGTCCCCATGATCTCCAGGCATGTATTAGCTAACAACTGCTAGATGTCGGAACCAAATGGCAAGCTTTTCAAAGAAGAGATTGAATCCATTCAACATGAGCTTTAAACTAAGCCTTACCAGAGGACAGATAAACCACTACTTTCGACATACAACTGATATCACCGGAGTCGATTTCTTTTGTCCTAGAGATACATGAGATGTGTATGGTGGAATGGGGCTTTTTCAGTACTATTGGAGTGCTTTTGAGACAGGAGTTTTTAGGCATAAAGCATAGCGAAGGAAAACGTAAGGACGGGGACGGCATGGCTTTGACAGTGTGTATACCCATCACGCTCTCCGAATATGATACCATGCTTGGACGCAAAATACCACAGAAACAAGTAATGGACTGGTTTTCATGTCTTTTGAACCCCTTTAAGTGATGCACGTGATCGACGCGCCAAAACGCTCCACGCGAACGCGGTTTAAATGTCGTCAGGACTCGACCTTCATCAAACCGCCCTCCATGCTAACCCTTCACCCACCAAGCCTGCAATGCCAAAATTACAAGCTGCGACAGTATCCAACCAGATAGTTCGAAAACGCAAGCGAAAAGATGTTGCAGATACAGATTGCCCCTCCCCGGCAACGACCTCTGACGCTGGATCTGAGGCCTCATCTAGCATCTCCACAATCCCCACGAAAACGCAAGATGGCGGGGCAAAACCACGACGCACACCTAAACCCAAACCCAAAGCAAAGCAACCCCCTACACTCTCTCGCAATGCCTCCTCCTTCTCAACTCCCATCACAAGCGCGATCCCCTGGCCGGCATCCTTCCAAGCTCTCGAGAAGACACACCGAGCGCTCAATCTTGTCTTCACATTCTGCTCCACGCGGAAGCACTTGGCTACCACATTCAATACCATAAAGTCATCGGTGGAAGGACATATCAAGCGTGATTTGACAATTGAGGAGGTGGCTCAGATTGTAGCTCTGCGACCCGGTGGGATGAACCTTGCTTATGTAGATGAAGCCATGCTGCAAGTTGATGTCAGGGGGGCAGAAAGAGATGAGACATTTAAAGGCGGAAGAGCCAAGGATTGGCATGCTGCAGGCCCTCCTCCGGATGCCTCAGTTGGAGGCATCACGGGTGTAGAAGGACTTGGTTTCGGTGAAGGTGCAATCGAAGATGGAAAAGAGGTTCTCTTCTTCGAGTTCGTTGATGGAGACTTGAAGAGACAGGTACAGTCTAAGGCCACAGGCGAGGCAGTGAAAGCCACGAAAAAACTGAGGAATGAAGACTTGAAAATGCCGGTATTCAGTCAGAAGCAAATGATGCGTCTGATCGAGAAGCGGAATAGCAAGTTTACAAGTGCAATCAACGCTTTCTTGAATCGATGTCAGGCTGAGTACTTGGATCCGGAAGAGACGTTGAAGAAAGAGGCGGAAGCGTATATCCCGGAGCCGAGCTTCTCTCGAAGCACTACGCCCAGGCCAGATTTTAGTGTATTGCCGAAGACGATCCCAACGGAAAGAAAAGCTATTTCCGAGATTATCAAGGAGCTTAAGGATAGTGAGTGGTATACTGGGCAGATTGTTCCTGATGGTCATCGAGTATTCGATCCACAAGAAGCAATCTATGGCGACTTGAACTTCCAGCTCAGCCAAGATCTGGTCAATGCTTTGTATAACACCAAGAATATCACGCAACTGTACGCTCACCAGGCTGAAGCTATCAACAATTTGTATGATGGCCATCACGTTGTTGTAGCTACCTCGACAAGCTCGGGGAAGTCTCTCATTTACCAGATTCCTGTTCTCCATGAACTCGAAAGAGATCACAACACGAGAGCGATGTATATATTTCCCACCAAAGCTCTTGCGCAAGATCAGAGACGGAGTCTGAAGGAGATGATGAGATTCATGACCGGTCTCGAAGAAACCATTGTCGAGACTTTTGATGGAGATACTGACATGGCTGATCGGAATTTGATTCGTGAGGAAGGTCGAATCATCTTCACAAATCCAGATATGCTACACATCACAATTCTGCCACAAGAGGAGAGGTGGCGGACGTTTTTAAAGAATCTCAAATACGTGGTAGTTGATGAGATACACGTCTACAATGGGCTATTTGGTTCTCATGTAGCCCTGATCATGAGACGTCTAAGAAGGATATGTGCGGCCGTGGGAAACCGTCACATCAAATTCATCTCTTGTTCGGCGACAGTGGCGAATCCTGAGGAGCATTTCAAGACCATCTTCGGGATTGATAAAGTTCGTATGACGGACTTTGACGGCTCGCCATCTGGGAGAAAGGAGTTTCTGTGCTGGAATACACCTTTCAAAGATCCTGGAGACTCTGCTAGTGGTCGAGGAGATACAATGGCTGAGGCAGCGAGGCTGTTCTGCCAGCTGATTCTTAGAGGTGTCCGAGTTATTGCATTTTGTAGGATAAGGAAAGGCTGCGAAGCTCTCGTTGGAGCTGTGAAGTCAGAATTGACTACCTTGGAACGTCCAGAATGCATGGCTCGAGTTATGGGGTATCGAGGAGGGTACACACCTCAAGACAGACGACGTATTGAGAGCGAGATGTTCGAGGGGAAGCTCATGGGTATCATTGCCACCACTGCTCTTGAACTTGGTGTTGATATTGGCTCGTTGGATGCTGTGATCACAGTTGGCTTCCCATATTCAATCGCAAATCTGCGACAACAAAGCGGTCGAGCTGGTCGAAGAAACAAGGATTCGTTGTCTGTTCTTGTTGGGGATTGTTTCCCAACTGATCAGTTCTACATGCAGAATCCCGATGAGATCTTCACCAAGCCAAATTGCGAGCTGCAGGTCGACTTGCAGAACTTGCTCGTGCTGGAAGGCCACATCCAGTGTGCTGCGTACGAGATGCCGATCCGAGCAGACGAAGATGCTATTTATTTCGGCAAGAACCTTCGAGAAATAGCAGAAGAGAGGATGATCAAGGACGAACTTGGATTTTTTCATTGCCATGACCGCTTCCGCCCCGTTCCTTCCAAATATGTGGCGATCCGAGACACCGAGGAGGAACACTTCGCAATTGTTGATATCAGTCATGGCAAGAACATTGTCTTGGAAGAATTGGAAGCATCTCGAGCGTTCTTTACGCTGTATGATGGGGGTATTTTCCTCCACCAAGGCAATACATACTTGGTTAAAGAGTTCAACCCAGAGCGCAAGATCGCCAAGGTTGAGCTGGTCCGAGTAGATTGGACGACTTCACAGCGCGATTTCACCGATATCGATCCTATCGAGACGGAAGCCATTCGACGCATCCCCAAATCTCTCTCACGAGCTTTCTATGGAGCAATCAAGATTCAGCAAACAGTATTCGGTTTCTTCAAGGTCGACAAGAAGCGACGCATTCTAGATGCTGTACAAGTTGATAATCCTCCAATCGTCATTTTCAGCAAAGGCATGTGGCTCGATGTCCCCAAGCAAGCCCTCGATATCCTGGTTGAAAGGCGTCTTAGTGTAGCAGGTGCAATCCACGCCGCCGAACACGCGGTCCTAAGTCTCATGCCCAACTTCGTAGTCAGCATGCCAGGTGACGTCCGTACCGAATGCAAAGTCGGCCTGAAAGAATTCGCGCAGAAAGAATCTACCCGCAAACGGCCAGCTCGGCTGACATTCTACGATGCCAAAGGTGGCGCGGGAGGCTCTGGCATCAGCACCAAAGCTTTCGAGTTCATCGATTTGCTACTCAAGCAAGCAGTGCGGAGAGTGGAAGCTTGCCATTGTCATGAGGGCTGTCTGGAGTGCGTTACGAGTGAGCAGTGCAAGCATGCCAATGAGGTCATGAGTAAAGCGGGTAGCGAGGTAATTTTGAAGAGCTTGCTTAATATGGAGATTGACATCGATGCTTTGCCTATGGGGCCCGAAGAGCTGAGCCCTGCAGGAATTGAAACAGTCGTCTTGGCGCAACCGGTGTTGCCCAGGGGAAGAATGGTCGATGTCGTAGACGTCGATAGGAGCCTTGGCGGAAGGGAAGAGAGGATCGTGGGGAGGTTGGATGAAGATGGAGTTGAAACAGAGGTGGCGATTAAGCAAGAGCCAGAGGATTGAGAGCTTTGATATGATTGATGATTGATGGTAATGTTTACATATGGCGCAGCCTCGGTGTATAAGCAAGGTAGATGAGGTATAGGTCTCCTCATCGCAATCCATGGACTCTTCTCGAGGGTTGTAGGGACAGCTTTGGGCCTCGCTCGTACTATATGCAACTATTATGGATAAGACAGCAGCCAACTTCCTTCTGTAGCTCAGAGGGGTTGAAGCCACCTGACTGCGGTCCAACACCTTACTTCACAATGCCGTCTTCTTTGGAAGGTATTTCAAGAACAAGGTTGCTCGAGGAAAGTCTGTCCGAGTCTTATGTCGTTGGTTCTGCCACAAATAATTGTGTTTCAAGCACAATGAATTATTCCACCAACTATTCCAGCATTCAATGCTCCGCAGTTCTCGATTTAAGGACATTTAAAAATTTGGAGGGATATTTCGAGCAACGTCAGGCCCCCTTGAATCTAGCGAAGCTCCTCCTTTGAACCACGCAGCGCCGCATTTTTAAATCTAACCAATGACATATAGGCTGCCTAGAATAGGCGCATAAAACAGGAACCTCAAGCCTCCTAGTCCACTGTCCTCCTTCTCTTACAACATCATCGAACAGGCTTGACAGGAATACCTTTTGCCACTACAACTTCAACACCAGTTCTTTCAACTCGTCAACACCACACATCATCCCCCACATCCTATCGCAAACATGTTAGGTAGACATTCGAGAGTCTCCAAGTTAAAGGAGGATGCGTCGGAAGAGGACATCCCCGACTTCACTCGCCAAACATCCACCGCTAATTCTCGACGTCTGCTTGGTCCTACTTCTGCTCCTCGCACTGGGAACTTCCATCCTAGTAACCAGACCATCCCAGCGGAGGTCCATGGTAACGATGGAAGCGACGACGATGAAGGTTTATTTAAACCTCTGCTTTCTTATTCCTTCATCGATGGACTAACAGCTTCATCAGGTGGCGTTGCAGTGCTCTCTCATCCAATGAAGGCTTCAACAGAAGTCGTTCACGCCCCTCCTGCTCGCCGTGCTGCATCTTCGTCAAGCTCGTCTGGTCAACTTGTGCGTACTATGACCCCAAAGGAAGTCGAAGGCTGGGCGCACACTCACAACTGGGTGTTTCTGCAGTCCCTGAGCGTTTCGATGGCTGCTCACAACCTCGACGCTGATCCGCAAACTCCTGCTATCCACCATCCCATGATTGCGAGCACTCTGCGCACACCGTCTCCTAACTCTCCAATGGCTGCCTCTCCCGGCCCATCATACTTCATCTCCACGGGTCATCGCTCAACTCAAACCTCGCTCACGACGCCCGACCCCTCCCCAGCTTCAGGACAGAACCCCCAGTCCGCGCTGACCCCGACACCACACCCATTCCGACCAAACAACATGGTCTTGGAGAGAATGGGCCTCCAACTTGTTCCGCCCCCGCAGGGGCTGACTGGTAGCAATTACCTTGGTAGAAGACACACACCACTCAACGCTCGAGAAGTCGAAGGCCTTCTGGACTTCGAGAACTGCGCACTTTTCCTGACCAAGATCCCAGTTGAAGTTACTCTGCCCGAGTTATTCAGCGTTATCACTACCGGTGCAGTGTTTTGTCTTCACATCAACCCAGCTAACGGCATCCACACAACCATGGCAGCAAAGCTTGCGTTTATGGCTCCAGAAGCCGCGGCAGCGTTCCTTAGACAGATCCAAAGTCCACGAGGTGTCATTCTTCATGGACAACCCATTCAAGGCCGATATAATCGAAATGGATACGTTCGCAACGAGAACATCTGGCAGTCCCGAGTCCTCGAAATCGTTGGTCCGACTCCCATGATGACTCTGGAGTACTGGACCTCTCACTTCTCGAAGTTCTCGGAGTTTGAATTAGAGGCTTATCGATTAGCGTCCACCAATGTTGATGGTGTGAGTTTTATGCAGTTTCGGTTCGCTCGTATCGATGGTCAGGCTCAGACTTGCCTGCAGTGCATCAGAACCGATCCAAGTCTTTCTGGTGTTGTCCAAGCAAGATATGGTGTCGATCCTTGTGGTTCGACTGCTTCTTAAGCATTCGCAACATTCGGAAGGCCGAATGCGATTTCTGGAGCCGTAGGGATTGGTACTTTTGGCTTCTTACCTGATCGGTTTCTCTTTTTCTAGTATTTTTATTTGTTGACGTTTTTGAGCATATTATGGGCGAAATCAGCCTTGAATAATCACATGATACCCAGGAGCACAGGTCATTTGGATTGGATGCGCTTTGGGTCCCTTACGGATTTGAGAAGGTAGCTAGACAGAAGGACTGCAACGTCTGCAAATTCAGCAACAGTCTATTATGTCCAACGATATATGAACTACGAATACATAAAACAGTTCCCTGACGTCTTTTTTGTTCTCTAAGTTGAAATTTATCTACATAGTATACGAATTATTGAGGCGAACATCGGGGGCGGTGTCTTATTCGTTCGCTTAAATTATTACTTAGCCGAGATAAAAGGGGCTCACATCGCCTTCGACTTAATAATAGGTGTCTCTTCTGTAATGGGGTTTGCGTGTAGGGTTTCCCAAGATATCTTAGAAGTCCTAGGCAGGTATGAATTAAAAGTCTAAAGGTTTCTGCCCCTCCGGTTCAGAGCCAACGGCCAACATTCTTGTGTATCTTCCATACCGAGCCATATGACCGTTCCTTGTACGCAGTAAGAGAATCGGGGATAAATATGACTTGGGAAACATGGATTTATGTACATGTGACACTAAAACTTAGAAACTGCGACATAACAATAGAGCCCTCAACATTTCTTCATTAAAAAACTAGTAGATTGTCAAAACTCCAATTGGCATCTCATCTAGAATTGCAGCTAGTGCATGGGGGAGCTCGACAGAAAACTCCCTTTCTTTCATAGCACGACACTATTAAGTTGTGACCCTTAGATCGGGTGTCCCTTTGCCATGTCACTTAAGAGCCATTACAGTGTTTTTGAAGCAAAAGGGGAAGACAACAAGTCCAAGAGAACTTCTCCGTGAGATAAATTGCTCGTATCTTGTCTGGATCCTCCAGCATCGGCTCAATCCTGTGAGACTCTCGGTTAGATAGACACCGCAGCATTTCTCTGTGTTGATTTAAATCTACCAGACATGCGTTCGCGTCCCCGCTAGGATGCCCTTGGTTCTTGGTCGAGATTTCCTAGTATCTGACCCCGAGCTCCCGTATGCTGTAGAAGACAGACTCCCAAATAGAAATTCAGAAAATTTTCTCGCTCAAAATTGCGTCTGCAATATTGGTCAGTGCTTCACAGCACTCCACAATGAGCGGTTACCGGGTTGTGTACCTGGGGAAAAGCAATATTTCCCAACAGCTTGTGTTATTGGTGTTTCTAACAAGAACTCCGCCGGCCAGGGATTCCTCTTGCTTGTATTGATTGGCAAGAGCAAACTTACCCTCAAGCAATCCATCAATAGGAAGTAATTCACCTGCACAATACAATCCGGGAGGAGGCAATCATTTTGAAAGAGAAAATCCATTACTTAGAGGACTTCCAGTGGCAAATCAAATTGATTTCTACAGGCTTTATAACCGTCTCACCTGCCCACAATAGTGTAGAAAACTTAGACTTAAATCGATTATTTCCCAAATAGCTTGCTAGAGACTGCTGTATAAAGAATCAATAGACAATCTGATCTGGAATTTGAGAAGATCCTAGGGAGTAGCCCTCACTAGATCTTGTTGTGGAATGTTGCTGTTTCTAGTCATGTGTTCAACCCCTTTCCTGCAAGCCTCTCTTCCAAACATCTCTTCAGCAGACATATTCAAACACGTTAGAAACAAGTAAATAAGCGAATTTCTCAAAATTTTGATAATCGGTTTGAGTCGTATGTCTCGGGGCGATTTGTGGCGGTGAATGACGGCGCGAAAATTTTGATGTAAATTTGTAAATTTGTTGACAAGAGGCATCTTTCCAAGATTGGACACGTATTTGGTGGTCAAGTCCTCGTTCGGTTCCATCTTCCTACCTCAACCACCAGCCATACATCCAAGGTTAAGATCAATACCACAAAGGGACCCCCATCTGGACTCTTTTTGCAAGACTTATCTCCAGAGCTTGCTAGCTGCGCGATACCTTTCGAAGCACTCTCACACATCTTCCGTCACGCCCTCCACTTCCTTTGCAGTGCGTTCGTTGGTCTGCAAGTTCTCCATACCTGTCTTAAGTGGATTAGCACATCCAAACTTGTCTTTTGCAGTCATCCAAATTTCGCAGTCTCCCACTCAACAAACTCCCTGCAAAGCGACATTCTCCTAGATTTCAGGCATGCCTTCTCCCAACTCAAACCAGATCCCACAGCAAGGAGCTCCGAAAACACCTGTTAATTACCAAATGAGACATGGCTCTGGTAAGCTCTACTTTGTTGTCACCAACTGAGCATACTGATCAATGCATAGGTGTCCCCATCCCTCCTTATCCCCTAATTGGCGAGTCATTCGTCGAATTCGCAACCGCTCAGCAAGAAGCAGCCAGAACTCATGCCTATTTTCGTGAGCACCACGGCATGGAGGTGGACGCGTTTGGATTTGCGCAATTCCACCGACGCCCTGAACCAGCGGCAAACCAGCTCGAGGGCGCACAGGAATCCAACATTGAAACAGCGCAGGTAGAAGAACCACCTTCATCCCTTGCTCTCGAGTCCGCGCGCGTTCTGTAAGTATTGGATGAACGTTCCGAGAAGAGCTACGCTGATACTGTTTCTCAGATCCGAGGAGGAGGATGATGCCCAGTATGAGCAGATGGGAGAATCCGATCAAGCTCGTAATCCATACGAGCTGAATTCTCGGCCGATCATCTCGAGGGAAAATCCCGAGTTCAGAGAGGTAGCATTGCGCCTAGAATCCATGCAAGAATCATCTGGTCTTGCTTCTATTCAGACGCCTCCATCGGGAAGAACGTTCAGACCATCCATGATGGCCCTCGAGAAGTACGGCCTCGTTGATCGGCCAAGCCGAGACTCGAAATACCTTGGCCATAAATTCAAGGAGCACCGGCACGCTGTGCCAGACGCCTTGAATTGTGGCCTCTGGCTCTCATGCCTTGATCCCATGACCACGGTAGAAGAACTCTTTGGTGTAATTCGGACAGGTGCTGTGTACGCCTTGAATATTACGCCTCCGCAGGATGGCTATCCTACAGCAGCTGCAAGTGTCTATTTTATGGCGCACTCCGGTGCTGAGCAGTTCCTCGGGCAGGTAAATAGCCGCCAAGGTATTATCATCCGATCCTCGAGGATTAAGGCCATCTACAACAAGCATGGGCAGGAGCAGCAGTCGAATCTCGAGCGAACCCGTGTTTTGCGTATTTCGGGGCCCGCTCAAGAGATGACCCGCGACTTCTGGGAGAAGTTTTTTGAACGGCGTGTCGACTACCAACTGAGCCATATTATGCAAAGATCAAGGAATGGTGGTCGGCGGGACATGGAGTTTGGCTTTGCACGAATCGACGGTCAAGCCTGTTCCGTCAAACTCGCGATTGAGGCCGAACCGGCCTTCCGTGGAATTTTTCAAGTAGGTTACGGCAAGGATCCTTGTGACCCACATGGGAGACCACAGTAAGCGGTGTTGAGGTTGGAGCCTTGCTTGCGTGCCAGGGAAGGAATGATGATTGATGACTGGTGGACATCCAAGGAGAATATTGGGAAATGGAGTTGGATCCTCGAGAGTGAAGCAATGGATGCTTCCTTAGAATAGAACAAACAAAGGAACTTGGCCATTTGGAAAATGTTGTCCAACACTAGCCTGATAGAGTGGAAGGCTTTTGTTGTGAAGCTCATCCTCTAAGGCAGTCTAGATTCCTGTCTCGCCCGTTTAGTGACTAATAAGGAACGTGAACAAAGACCCACTGCAACTGATATGCATCTGCTAAAGTAAAGGTGAGCAAACTGGCAAGGGTGAGCCGACTGATCAAGTTGCCAATCCATGTGACTGAGGGTCCTGTCCAGTGACCCAATGGGGGTTGTATAGACATCACGTGACGTGTATCGAGCTCTTTTTCTCATCTGACATTCTTGCTTCATGCAAGGTTGTGCTAGCAGCACGCTACCCCGCACGCAAGCGGAGGCTAAGTATCTGCGTTCCGAAAAGTGGTGCGTTAGCTGCGCAGGCCACGAGGTTATAGCCCCCGAAACACTATGCTGGCAGCCATTTAGTAAACAACCACGTCGACTTTTCGTCCTTGCCGGAACAACACAAAGGCCTCAACTTCAAAGATTCGGTCTGTTGCTGTGGTATTCAAAATTTTGTTGCTGGACCAGAGAAAGGGTTTATTGTCGTACAAAAGGAGCCTCTCCGGGCTGGCTTCTCGCCAGAACCATCTCCTTTCGGACTCACCCTACAATTTCCCCGACTTCAACTTGCAATTGTTGTGTTTGTGTTCACAAAACTGTTTCTCGCGAGGCTCATCGTCATAGGAACCCAACTGTGTCGCTTTCTTCAACTCGAAGATCCAACGACGCCAAGTCTCGTCAAGACTTGAATCGAACTTGAGAAAGAGAGGACCCAAGTCAACATACGTCTAACAAGATCAGAAACCACCTCGATCTATAGGACATAAAGCTCAAGATGGCTCTCAAGGACGCGGATCTTGAGGGATGTTCTTCTCGATCTCCAAAGCAACGACAAGATTCGGGGTACGCGTCTATCGGCCCGGGTGAGGAGAGCCAACTCACCAGGAGTCTTTCCCTGGTCACGACTCGTAGCGCAACACGCGTTCCAGAACATGTCGGCTCAATCAACATACCTCAATTGCTCTCCTGGAAAGACGTTCAAACACGAGGAAAGGTTGATCTTGTATTTCATGGCGATGGTAGTTCTCAAGGCAAGACACTCGACCCCAGCCAACAAAGAAACCTTTGCTCACTGAACCGCAGATCGCGTCCTCGATGCTATGATCCCCCTAACGGCTCCAGGATCAGCGGTAGCAAAGCCATCTCGTTTCGAAGACACTTTCGATCGGATGCGGAAGATTCAACTGAAGCATAGGCCAGCACCGATCACAACCACATCCAGCGTTGGTAGTTGTGCCCAAAAGGACTCGATCAACTCTGCCAAGGAGGATATCCGCAGCGAGCCACCAAGTGCATCTTCTAACGTGACTACATGGTCGTCGCTCTTTCACAATCCTAGCTCTTCTGTAGCAATCTCGAATGCTTCACTCGAAGTCGCTGCCGATGAGGCAACCTCATACCAAGATTCAACGCGTAAGCAAGAGATCTTGCACCTGCCCACTTGGAGAAGTCCAGCCAAGGCTGCTCAAGAGAATGGCCACCGACACATCTTGACCGCCAATCGAGTCTCTTCACCCGAGCAGACAGATAATATACGCGCCGACGTGATTGCAGCCACAGTGAAGGCACGACAGGCAGTAATTGAGATGCAATTCGGTCCTGGAACACTTCAATCGTTTCATCCATCGCATAGAGCACTTCGACGACAGGGTGTTCTCCCAAATTACGATGTCAACAGTGTATCCACCTGCCCTACTCGATCGACTACCCCTCCAACATATCTGGGAGATCCATCCTGCGAACGCAACCGCAGTGCGAACATACCCGAGGAGGAGAATTGTGCTCTCTGGGTCTGTGGTCTTCCTGGACATGTAACCTATAAAGGACTCCTAGCTGCGATTCGGGGCATGGGTAAGATCTATGCATCAGTCATTAATCCGCCAACTGGAGAGATCAAGACCAGCGCTGCAAAAATCGTGTTCTTCCAGAGATTCCAGGCAGAAAAGCTGTTTGATGTTATCGAAGCCGGCCAATTCGTCGTGTTGGGGAAGGTCGTAAACAGGGTCGCATGGAACAAAATCAAGAGCAGTGCCTATCCTCACCTATGCCATAGCCGTGCGATCCGAATTACTGGTCCTCGCAATTTGATGGATTTTGATTTCTTCGAAAAGTTCTTCCTCCACAAGTTTGAATATGATCTGGACAGAAGAGGAGTGGTTTTCTGCAACCGCCCCGGTCTGGTTTCTCATGAGTGGCACTTTGGATCCCTCCGTTGCCAGGTAAGTTTATCTTCACACTAATTTGCTGTTCGATTGTGTGGGAGCTGAGAGTCAGGGAACTTGTCGGGAGCTTGTCAGGGCTTGCATGCGCATTTGTCTCGCGAGCTTGGCCCTCAACTCCGAGTTCCCTCTACGAAGTCAGCAATTATACATGCTAACTTGGTGATAAAGGCAGCTTCTGCGAAGACAGCGATCGAGCGGGAGTTTAAAGGCATATTCGAGGTGGAGTGGGCGGTTGACCCGTGCGAGTTTCTCTGAATTCGGATGCTCAAGAAGGCCTTTGTTGCTTCCCCCGCACATGGGAACCTGGAGTCATGGGCAGAGACACATTCGCGGAACGGAAATGTTGTATGATTTCATGATGGCGGAATCGGTACTCGGTGGTTAGATATTTTCCTTTTCTGGTGTGGGAGTAATCTGAGGGGCTGGTGACTAAACCCTTCTGCCGAAGGTGGTTTCTATGCATTGTAGTCAGCTTCAGGCCAGCCATTGCACGGTGGTACATAGCAAGAAAAGAAAATGAGAATTGACCTCAATCTAAAAGGAAAATCGCGATCGACCATCCTCGTGCCAGGTCATAGTCATCTTCACTCATTGTGTGATGGCTGTCCTCTCCCCATGTGCTATATTTTTGTTTCGACTGTCACTTTTAGTGGTCGTAGATACTTATTTTCTCACTTTGTCCTCGATGTGAATCTGTGTCCACTGGCTGGCGGGACAAAGCACAGTCTGTAAGGGGACTTGACAGTATGGATCAAGTTGCTATTTCGTGTTTCAGCTTCTCAGGTTTTTTTGATGCCACTTGGCTGCACTTCAGACCGACTGATCGAGATCTGCATTGTTGATTCCATGAATCTGAGAACCGGGCCCGCGTTTCGCTTTGTGACCTTGATCAGAGGTTCTGGGATAGTTGAAAGACTCAACAAACAAATTTGACATTGGACAAGGTTATTTTCAATTGAAATGGTTGTAGAGATGCAGCGTGTTCATGAAGAGTTGTTGTTGATGAAGGTTCTCGGTGAAGTGTCGTCGAAATTGACGAAAGGCTGGGGTCCGATATAGGATCTGGGTCACGTGTAGGCCACCCACAACAAAACGGCCTCATTGGCACAATTCACTTCATGTAAAGCAAATAGTCAGAGAGGACAATACCTGTCATAAAGGTGAGGAGCCTCACTATTCCAGTACGATTTAGGACTAGTTTGTTCTTAGAAAAGACAATTTTATAATGGTCAAGGCAATCAATCATGCTACATTCTTTGTCAGGTGGGACAACCCTTCTGATCTAAGAAAGTGTTTGGCAAATAACTTTTTAAGTACTGACATCTGGAAGGTGGTCTATATTGAATCTCACATATCTATTTCGGGGCATCTGATCTATTTCAAGGAGCAATTTCTGGCAGAGAAGTTAGTAGATTGACGTCAGATTATAAACAGGTCCCAATCCCTTGGACCATCTAAATATTCATGTGGAAATCATCCTAGCAAGTCTGTTCAAGGCCAAGAATACTTGAACTACTCGATACCTAGGACAGAGTAACAATAAAATCCCTTCAGCCAATTCTGTTGATGTAAACCACCTGGCAACTGGTCACTCACTAAGGTCCAGCGAAGGGCCAATGATATTTTCGAAGCAGCAGCAGGTCCACCTATCCAACGGGAATCTTTGTAATTCGTGCTAGCAATCGGTAAGCCTTGACTCAACTTTCCACCCCTCCACTTCGGCCGGCTGCATTTAAGCTCCACACTTCGAAGACTTGGCCAAATTGCTCTTGACCACACAGGAAATAGCCAAATAGCATTGGAATATATACAGACGTTAAGCAGAAATGGCCTCATTCTTTCAACCGAGTGGTCTCCTGTGTTTCCCGAGTTTCCGCCTCGCAAGGCGCCGGGCGAATCAACTCTCACGGCAGAATGAGAGGTCACAGAGATCTAAAAGTGCTGGCTCCTCCTTCCGATGCAACAAATAAGTACTCGAGTCTGATGGGATAGCGATGTGTGATGGCATAGAGAGTTAAGTGCTATGCCAAGTACGATTGTGGGGTCTCAAAAACTGCAAGTTGACCGGAATGCCCATACTTCTTTCAAGGAGCAACGTCGCCGTAGACATCTTATACTAAACAGTCTTGGTAGATTTATATATGTATAAGGCTCTCTAGGAAACTGATAGGCATGATGCTTCCTGCTGCGAAGTATCAACAAGAAAGATCAAACAAGTGTTATAATGGGCTCACAGCATTATGCATCCTGGATTGCCTTCTGAATCTTAGGGAATTTTGCACGGCTGTGGAGATTGCCCTTCTTCCCCGACTATAATTGCATTTGCTAGGTTCGTAGAAATGAGGAGTGATTTCCAGCTAAGGTGCGCTGTGAACCATGAGTTGGGGTTACTGTTGATCATATCCTTGGCTGCAGACCCCTTGATCTTAATATCTTAATTCGATCATGACCAGGAAGTGGGAAAATGGAGAGAGGTATTTTGCGGAGGATAACTTCACTTCCACAAAGTAAATTTCTTGTTGCTTGGGCAGGAGATTAATGCAGCGTTTTGGCGAAGGCTCTCTACAAACCCTAGGGCTGGATCGTTTTGATTACTGCTCTCACAAAGCTTCTGGACACATCGCAAATAATTCATGACCATCAATCAAGAGATTCTTCTCAACAGGCCTCCCAGATAATCGAATTCTCTCCCCTTATCGGGCTGGGATCCAGCATGGAGAGCGCTTGGTATAGGAGGGGCCGATTTGGACCGCAAATCCACGAAATGAATCGTAAGAAACCCTACACAGATTACAGAGGTATTAAGCTTATTGACTCTAGTTCAAGAAGTTGAAGACCATGTTAGATAGCCATTACAAAACCCGGGCGTTCTCTATCGGGCTGACCAGATTCGATTTATACAAACTTACCCATTCATGTGGAATACGAGACATTTGGCTATGAAAGAGAGAAAGTAACGTAAGCTACGGAACCTGTTATCGCGGCTCTTTAGTGTGACATTTTGATAGTTTTTGAGGAATAGGAGCTTTGGCGTTGTAGCAAAGACGAGAGGGCAAGATTGGTAGAATATGTTAGACACATGATCGAGCTTGGTCGTACGTAGCTATTAACCTCACTTGAGTGGAAGTACTGACTTAATAGTAGAATGGAATGGCTTAGTTGTACACTTCCCCAGATTACTCATCGATGAGACCTTCTTCCATGGCACATGGGCATTTAGTGAGACTCCGCTTCACTGGGCGAACGATGTCCGGACTATCTCCACTGGAGATCATCGTCCAGACTTGACGGAAACGCCATCTCAAATTGCAAATACTTCTGGCGGCAACATTGTTTAAAATTTTTTTGGCCAAACAGCGAGAGATCCGACGACTTCAGCGTGGGGCGACACAGCTGCAGCACCTGCTGTATCGGTCAATGGGGGTCGGCAAGCTGGCTCAATTCGGGGCCTTTCAGGCTGTCAGCGTGTCAACATAGGAAGAGCATGAGACACGTAGATGATGGACAAATGAATAAGATAAGCTAGGATAGGGAAATACATACAGAAAAAGATCACGAAAAGAGCTTGAAAAAGTCTATTCCTACAATTGTGGTTTGCGGGTTTGTTGCATGAATATATAATTCCTGTTTTCGAAGTGTTTTGGTTCGGATAACTCAAATTTATGGGAAATTTTAGCGTCTCTAGCGTTTCTTTTCAGTCCATGCATGTGGAACCTAGTCACGCTCTTATTTTCTTTCGCTCTCCTGTAGAGAAGACCGAAAAGATCTTGCCATCCTTGGGAAAGCCAGTGTTTCCCAAACGCTCATGAGCATAGCTATTTGTTGCAACAATCTTGAACACAGGAGAAGCAGGCACCGCACTAGCGGTGTATTGGTGGAAAGCTATTTCAATTGTTAAAGTTTCACAGGAGTTTTAAGAATACAAGCCCCGCGATTGTAGACATGCTAGTTCCACACCAAATCCTTCTTCGATGACAATGCTGATATTTAGAAGAATACTCGGGAAATACTTCTACATCGAATCCTTGCCTGGAACATTACACCAATACTGATCAATGCACTCAAACCGCGAACCAGAAGAATGCGTATTCCGATATAACTTGAAAACCTCGGCGCATCTTAATAATCAGCTGAACCCCCTCAAGTTGCTCTAGCAGAACAGGTGTCCCATTCGCACCAGAAGTGTATACCGGAAGAACATCAGTCTTGCTCGACCGGATTCGGGTAGAAATATGCCGCAACCGCAATGTTGACGTAGACGATAACGCAAAGGGAGCCCTCGAGATAGTTCGATTTCGAATCTCTCAGGAAATTACCAACGACAAGGATGCCGAGGATCAAAACGATGATGTTGAAGAGGTCGAAGTTTAAATCCATCTTTTTGTTGATTACCCAACCGACAAGCACAACAAGCGGGCCATTGAAGAGGGACGTCTGAATAGTGGCTCCTAGGACATGGGCAAGAGCCATGTTCATCTGATTGTCCCAAGCTTCATCGATGGCCCCGAGATGCTCTGCGAATTTTTCAACAACGGGGACGAGAATCAGACCAATGAAACTGTCAGAAACTCCGCGCTCTCTCACGATGAATTCAATATGCTCCACCAAGTTGATGGCAATGATTGTGACCAAAGTAATGGCAATAGACAGGGCAAGAATGCATTCGGTGAAGGTAAGTTTCTCTTTCTCTTCAAGCTCATCCTCCAGCTCCTGGTTCTCTTCCTCCTCGAAAATGGCGTCATAAATACTTTCGTGGGTTCGAATCTGGAAATAGACGTAAACGAAGTAAGAGATGATGAGGAGGCAGGATGTGATGCGTGAGACGTTAAGCACCTTTTCGCCGACGATTTCGGGGTCGGTGTTTCCAGCAGCCTTCACTGCAGTAAAGAAAGCAGCGGGAATGATTAGTCCGAAGCCACTGAAGATAGGTCAGTACAAAACCCTTCACCATAGAACGACTTAACGTACGCAGTCAACAGAAGATCACTTCCAACCTCAGCCACGACCGGAGAAAACTCGAGCTCAGTGTGTCGGATACCGCCAACGACGAAACATACGCCTAAACACAACAGCTGGGTAGCTAAGACAGATCCAAGAATTGCAGCCTGAATGACTTGAAATTGGTTGTTCTTGACCAGGACCATAAACATGACGACCTCGACAACAGAACCAAGAGTCGTCTCGACCAGAACACCAAACACCTTATGCAATTTACGAGCGAATTCTTGACCGGCAAAGCCAATTAGATTGGCACAAGGAATCATCGCAAGATAGTTGAGAACAAAGATGGCGAGATGGAGGTCGGTTCGGGAATAAGTGACGGCAATTGCTGTTGGTACGACTGGCCAGAGGATATTGCAGATTCGAGATGCTCTGCTGGTAGACAACCAGCAGATCTTGAAGAATCTTTTCAGATGTATGCCCTTCCGGCCACTTTCTCCTGCGGGCTGAATGCGTATAGTGACAGTACGTCTTTGGATCTTATCCGGAGGTAGCAGTGCGGAACGTGAACCGCTTCGTTCGCGAGAGCGGGACCTGGAGTACCGAGAGTACCTAGTTGATGACCCCGAAATCAACTTGGTGGGCGACCTGGAAGGCAATCTCGAGAAAGCGCCGTCCAGGGTTTCGGATTCTTCTTTTTTGGATTCTTGACCCATGGCTGAGACCCCACCCTCGGTTGATTGTCGGTTTAGTTTGTTGGTGGTGGAATTTCGCAGTTTGTGAGTTCAGAAAAGAGAGAAGGCTGACGTGTCGGGTCTTGCTTCCTCGTTCGCCGTTGCTCTTTTCGATTATCTCTCCAAATTTGGAAGCGACGCCTATACAATAAGACTAATCCATTCATAGCTACTGCAGCAAGCATAAATGGAAGTGATACTCTCCAGGCCTACTGCTCGTTGATGAACCAGTTTTGAGCCGGAACCGCTCCTCACGTTCATCTCGACGAAGAGCACCATGGCGCAGTTCTCGATGAGAGACACTCTCGGTTACCGAATTGGATGAGGATCATTCCACAGAAGTCTGTAATTACGCTGCTATGGTAGACATGAAGCGCTCAGGGCCTGTGTGCTCTTTTGGCCGTGGAAGGGAAAGGCGATGGTTCGGAGATGGGATGTCATCGTTGCCGTGTCGTGAATTTTTGTGGGGCGTCTCCTTTGACTCCACCAATCGCTTAGCCTGGTCTGCCCCTATTCCACCAGCAGGCTGGGAATGATGTGACAGAAGCATGGGCATCAAATTGACAAAGTTGTCAATTTTTTGAATACTATTTACAGCTTTAAAGATTAGTATTTGGCCTTCCCATCTCTAGATCCTCTACAGCCGTCAAATTAATCCAACCTCCGTCAACACCAGGAAAAGCTGTGAACATATTTCAAGGCTTACTCAATTGCCCCTTTCTGAAAACCTTAAAGAATCCAACCGGAATAATCAATTGAGCCCCCAATCAGACCCAAAACCAATAATTCCCATGCAATGATGTTCCCACTCCTGCCGAAAAGTCCGGAAACACATCGCCAGGCCCGTCCCTAGTCGGTGCTGTCGCTTTCGCCAACATCATGACCAATGTGCCTAGAATCTGGGCCATCATTATTGTCCCAGCAAAATGGGTCCTCGTTAACGTTTGCAAGAGCATCATACCGAGACCCACGCCCTGGAGTGAATCTAGGATTCCCAACCAGAGCCATACTGCTCGACCTCCCAAAGCACCTCCCACTGGCCCACCAACAAACCATGGAAGCCAGAGTCCGAATGACGATGTTCCCCAAAGCATTTGTGCCCAGCGTGGAGCACCTAGGCCTATAGCAAAGATGGGCATAATCCAGGGATGGGCCTTGCTTAGTCAGCTGAAAAAAGCCAAAACGAGCATCCACAGGATGATGAAGAACAAGACGATCAAGAGAACTATAGTCCAGGTTGGTGCGTATTTTGAACTCCACAGATAAGTCCAGTTCCTACCATAGGGCATTGAGAGAAAATAGTTTTGCATCACGACAGTGATGAAGAACCAGGCCGTAATTGGTCGACGAAGGAGGGCAGTGTAGAAAGCAGGAATTTTGCCAGGTCTTTGGCGATAGTAGGGTGGAAGAGACAAGGAGAGGGCTATCCCGACGAACCAAAGAAGTGCCGATATTGGGAGCGCGATGGCAGTCAATTTCGTTGAAGTAGCATTTGCGTTCTCCCTTATTGATGAGGACGCGGTACGGGCCCAGTAGAACAAAGCGGCCAGAAGTATTTGTTGTGTTCCTTGAATGATTGAAGCCCGATAAACCCAAGACTTGACAGTTGCCCCTCCTAGAACAGAAGTAACGAGGTAAGCATTGCTCAGCCAATCAGGGGCTAGCCACTTACCTTCGGCACCAAAATTGAGTGCGGTGAAAAGCGATCCACTCGAAGAAGCGGTCACATACACGCCGGTGGCAGCTCTCGCCATCCAGTCCCGACGAACACCACCGGGCAATGACGCCAATATGCCAATTAAAAGGAAAGATAGTCCATAGAAGAAGAATGGTAAAGAAAGTGCGAAAATCGATTTGAAAGACCGAAACATGAGCCACCACATGCAAGAGGTCGCAACATATATAGTGCCAAGAATATATAACTTTTCACTCGTTTCCTCTCCACTGTCTGCAAGACTACCCGTGAAAAGAGTGATCTGATAAGAGTTAACAGCAATGATCTGCCCAAAGACGAGAAGGAGCGAATAAATTGGCCAGCCCAGGACTTTCGTCACCATCCATCGCTTCAAGAATGATTCATGGTCGTGGTCATCGTCCAACATGAACTCATCGGTCTCGTTGACGACAGTAGAGGATTCGGAAATCTGCTCGTGCGAAGTACTGGACTCTGACTCCACTGCCGGGGTCCATCCAAACAAACTTGCGAGCGAAGATCCTCTCCGTTCAATGTATATAGAGCCGTCCGAGCTGGAAGCTTTCGAGGCACGTCCGCGATCGCGTTTGGCCTCCCGCCTCCTCTTATTCCATTCCATCTCGCTCTCAATGAGGTATTTTTCAATGCAAAGACGGCCTTCAGACGTTTTGCCATCAAGCTTGTGGAGCATGTTTTGAAAAGCACGGTAGTACTTTTCGTCGGTATCCTTGAACGTTGGGTCGGTCTTCTGAAGGTTGAAATCTTTCCTGTCTCCGACCGCTTCGTCAAAGCTGAGAATTGAAAATGTCCTAGTCCCTGGTGATTGTAAATGGCCCTCTGGGGGGAGACTCGTCGCTCCCACTCGTCTCCCCGGCCTGCCACTAATAGGAGATCCGTTTGCAGACGACTCTGCGCTATTTGACCTGCTTCTGCTTCGGGAGTTGGCTGTAAGTGAACTGGGTGATGATCGGGTACCGCTTCGGTCTCTGTGAAAGTCGACCTCAGAGAAAACAGTTGGGACGACTGGATGCGCGCAGAATCGGGAAGGTAACCGAAGTCTCAACTGTCTTTCTCCACAGCTCGTTCTCATCACGGTGCTATGAATTTGATCCAACTCTTCCGCCCATTTAGCCACCGGAAATCGTTGTATCGCTGATTGTGCTCTCATCATCGCCCTCATTTCTGTTTTCGATGCAACAGCATCTTCGATCGATTTCTTAAATTGTTGGTGAAGATGCTTGGTCGTCGTTGACTCGACCGTGTACCACCAGCCAGGCAATGATCCCAAGCCACCGACTCTTGCTCCAACACCAAGGGCACCTTTCCGACCAAATTCGACTGCCACAAGACCAAAAGGTTCGTCTCGGGATGGGATCAACGCAAACTCCGCTCCCATGAAAATGAAGGGAGGCACCGCAGTGTATTCTGGCTTTGAATATACCCGTCCTGGATATATCTTCATAATTTCGCCCAATTTTAGAGCAGCGAATTTGCCGTACAAGTCGACAGTAGGCCCGATACAGATCAATTGTGCCCTGGGGTGTCTTTCTAACACTGATGGGAAGACATCGGCGATCAAGTCAACCCCCTTTTGTTTTGACCAGCGACCAATAAATACAAACAGCTCTGCAGTGGGATCAAGATCTAGGCCCGCCCACTCCTGGGCTTTCTGCCGAAGTACTCCTCGACAGAACTCAAAAGCGGGGCCAACCTCTATAACCTGCTTCGCCTCTGTTGGATTCCACGGTTCTGTATCACTCGGGTCTGGATTTGGCAATCGGCCTATTTGCTTCAAACCCCACTTCACAACGGTCAGTTGTCAAGAATCGACAGTGGGACGGAAGGAGGAAGGAAAAGGACCTACGAAGATGGGATATCTGGTATATGACCGTTTCCCGTATTTGCTCGACACTCCGACAGCTCCCAATCCTCCCTGGTAGACCCTCAAATAACTTGAAGCAGAATGCAAGAGGTTGAAGCTCTCTCCAAACTGGATGTACTTCTGGATGACCGCCATATCCAGATTGAAAACCTTGCTGATCTCAACTGCCTCTTTTCTTGTACGCATCAGCTATACACCCTGGAAGTCTGCATTGTGAAGCGAGAGAACAACAGGAAGTTTCTGGGGGAGCAGATACAATGGGGCCGCTGCTCCATGGTAATCATTGATATGGTATAGGTCAATAGGAAACCGCTTGATGGTTTCTGCAATACAGGCATTCCAGGTGCTGTAGTAGATTGCAGAGTTCAGATCACCCGTGCTACAGTTATATTAGCACCCGAACAGTCTTGCGGCTGACCCCGAATAAAGTCATTGGAAGATATCGGGACTTGCCTTGGAGGATATGGCTTTGACTTATCCTGTTGCCTAAAGATTGGAGCGTCCAGCAGGACATAAGTAATGTTCCTCAGCTTATGATATTGGACGAAAACGGAGAAGGAATTGCTAAGAATCGTTATGTGCATAGGCTCAGCTTTCTGGTCAATCGGGTAGTCAATCCCGCCCACGCAAGGCACGACCCATATCAAGTTCTGGTCTACCAGAGCTTTCCCCATCAATCTGTATTAAGTCAGTCTTGATGTGCATGCAAGAAGATAGGATTAGTACTCTGCCATACTCCTAGACCCCCGATTTTAATTTTGATATTCCAATCTTCGATCCCGTACTCCATTGTCGCGATGAGAATCGTACGTTGCTTTCCCGCTTCTGTCATGGTGGGCACGGGAGGTCCGACAGTTGATCTTAAGTAGCTTTGGAATCTAGAAGCGGCTGACAGAACTTTATTTGGAGCTCCCAGATATTTCTGGGCCAACTTCTCGGAATCTATCCTGTGTCTGAATAGTGTGATACCTTCCTTCTGATCCACCCCGCTTTCGTTAAGTTTAACACTAAATTAAGTCAGTCAACTCCCGGAAAGGGGGAAAGGAGCGGACGTACGAGTAGAACGCACTCATATATATCCAAACGCTCACCATTCCGGTCGACACGGGGATCGTCCAAAGAAGCACGTATACAAAGATCTGTGTACGGTGGCTACCAACAGGAACTCTCCGAAAGCCAAGCGTGCCATCATTCACCTCCAACCGGAAGGCCAGATACGGTGTTGGAGGAGACGCGAAGTTGATCATGGCTTCTCCCAAGGAATCTGGCAGCATACGATCCAATACACCATCATTGTCAATATCCCCAAATACCATTGTTTGGTCAAGCTGCCCGTCGGGATTAGTTCCCCACACGTTCACTTGTAGAGTAGATGGCCATTCGGCCATCAAATAAAACTTCCAAATGCTGTCATGTGGATCGAGATAGAAATCATTCTTTAATCCTTGATCAAACCCAAACTTGTTGAATGGTCCTTCGGCAAAAAGGTGGGGATATCGTCGAGGCTGCGAATACGTCTTCTCCATGCTGCTGAGATCCGCATGCTGGACATGGTCACTGCTACCAGTGAGCCGACTCCAGTATTGCAAGGTGACATGCTCGCCATCCCAATACTGCCTTTTTGTTCCAGACCATGGTTGCGGTACTAATGTTGTATTCCCACCACCATAATCTTCCCAAGCACTCCATGAACTCGCCCAATTCAGGGAATAACGAAACTTGTCAGCACCGGCCGCTTTGTGGGACACGTAGAGATCTTCCGAACTTTGATTCCTGAATAGTATCTCCCGGCTGTAGTTCGCGAGGGGTGGGAAAACCATGGGATTGTTCTCTTGGCCGATGCGGAAGAGGAAGCGGTCTTTGGAATTAGTGAAGCTTTGGTGTCTAAGTGTGGTTGCATTCTGGACTGTAATAGATTGTATTCCATTCGAGACGTTCAGCAACGTTGCCTTCCATGCCCATGTGGAAGGAATTCCTCCGACATACAGTGGGATGTCTGGTGTTGGAAGCACTGCGCACGAAATTTTGTTTTGGTCGAGTTGAGCAGAGATGTTGTTTATTGTTGTGGAGGAAATTAATAAATTGGATGTAATGTGGTTGCAGTCCATGATTTCTGAAAAATGCAGCTCGATATCAACGGTTTCGGTTTCATTTGGCCGGACAGTTGATAGAATCCTAGTATCGTGTCCAGGTAGGAAGTTGGTAACCATTGGTAGAGGAGCTACCCAGCGGTCTTTGGGAACGTATGCCTTGAACCCATACGCATCTAGTTCTAATTCGGCTGCGCAGCCATTGAACTCTTCAGAGCCATCGATGCCAAGCTTCCTTGGCCCGGCTTCCAGTTCAAATTCGTCATGTGGTGCAAGGATATTTTTGACGACTGTTCCTTGAGGGAAGGGAGCAATGAATGCAGTTTCGTTCGAAGAACAGTTGAAAGAGTATTTGACTCTGTGGTCGTCATTCTGGTAAACTAGCCAGATCGGTTGGCTTTCACCAGATTCGTCCAATTTTTGTAAGTTTGGGTACTGGTAACGCATGACACTCCAAATGCCAATTTCTGTGGCTGCACCGCTTGATCCAGGGAGGAAGATATCCCGAGACTGATTAGAAAGAGACTGCAATAGATAGCCATCGTTGAGAACAGGATACCGGTTGCTCAGTCGAGCGTGATACATGGATTTGATGATATTCCGAATCGGATGTGCCGGGTCTCTGTGATCCAAGCTGACCGAGTCATCATGGCAGCCATGCAATGCTGAATCGACGGAGAAGTTGTAGTATTGAAATGATCCCAGCCCATAACAGCCATGAATTTGCCAGGCTGGGCTCGATGACATCGCCTGTCTGCCATATATATAGTTGTCGGCGGTACTGTCGAGGACATAGAAGGCTTGCTCCTCACCCCAGAGTAATAGAGGAATGCCTGGCATATGGAGAGTAGTGATAAACAACCCGAGAAGCATCTTTTTTGTTCCGTCCTTGATAGCTGGCCAGCGAAAGACATCCTGATTTGTAACACCATACATGTGTCTCGGATCAAACTCTCCTGTATTGGCATTTACAAGATCATTTGTTGCGAGCATTATGTTCCAGGCATCCACGAAGTTTGTCGGAACATCGTATGCAATTGTCAAATTGCCTTCCATGCCCAGGAAAATCGTAAGTGATCGGTAGATACTATAGTGAAAGGCTGCCGCATCGAAAGCATTCTTGTCCTTATTGCGAAGGAAGAAGCTGCTGTCCGAAAAGTTTGCCGCACTCACTGCTTGGCCGGGATTATCGGGAACCTGGTCAGGTTGTCTTCCGCGGCCGAGATAAACTGATCCCAAGGTATCGCCAAATGTTATCTCCCCTGAAATAAAGAAGTTTGTCTTCCCGAAACGACGGGCACACTGTCGAATGAATTCTCCGGAGTCGGCTAGGGCATCGACCGTAACTTGAGCCCCTTTGTCAATCCGGAACCCATCGATATCGAGCATGGTGATTAGAAGGCATGAAAAGTGCTCGATCTTTTGGCGAACGGACGGGACCCATTCTCTGAGGCGATCTTGAACAGAGGAGAAAGTGCAGAGCTGGCGGTGCCAGATTGGAACGGCGACAAAAGCCCCGACGTCGCCATACTATTAAACGATTAACTTTGTGATCGCGAGTTGTATCTTCATTACTCACTTGATCGAATTCGCTGTCATAACATCCCCTCAATTGAGCAACATTGGGATCAGTAGATTTTGTAACAGGAAAGCCGGACTCGTCCCAAAATCTAGGATATTGGCAGATTGCATTATACGTGTTTCCGAAGTCGAAGTCGAGGTAATGCCGATCGCTTTTCCATTCCACTTGGTATTCAGTTGGGCTAAACGGTGCTGAAGCATTCTCAAATCCTTTGAAACCTATCAGGTCGCCCATGCTGAATAGCAAATGTTAGCCCAGGCAAAGACAAGAGTCTTCGAGGAGGTTTGCTTGCGTTGACATGGTATTGTCCAGTATAACATACATTCCACGGCTGTGGATCTCTGTGACTGCAGCTCGCTATTCGAAAATTTTGCCAAAATGTCGATCCAAGAGTGTAAAATCAAGCGGCTGTCGTGTTGTCAGTATAGAACTCGTGATTTTTTGGGGAAGGTCTTACCGAATAACTGTCTGCTTTCCATGGAAGGTTCACAAACGGGGATCCCGCGATATAAATACCCTTCAAGATAGTTAGTGTCCAAACGTCTGTGAATACTCCGGACTACTGGCTTTAATCCCTATTCCTTGAATATAGTCGAGAGTATCAACCAAACCCGCTATATCTCCACCATGTCTGAACTGATTACTCATTACATCATGTTCAAATACTGTTCCATTAATATCATCGTTGCTTGGATCCCCATTCACAAAGCGGTCGAGAAAAAGAGTGTAAAATGGAAAGCGCCAATTCGAGGGTGACGGTTGGTAACTGTGATTTGGCCATTCCCCCCAATATTCGAGAGGGTTCGAAGCTGTCTTGTTCTCGTTCAAGTTGTATTCGATTTCTTGGTAATCAAACTTTAAGGAAGAAACAAAGTTGAAGGCAAACGAAATGAGAATTATAATTAACGATATCATTTTGCCATATGAAGTAGATTTGGAGTCAGGTGAGGGATATCCAGGTTTTTGAGGGAATGCAGAAGGCCTCGAATCGAGGTCATAATTTCAGTAGAACATTGATGTATCCACGTAGGACCGAGAGAAAGACTGTAGATCTGGGAGATGAATGTATTGGCTGAGAGATAGCATTGTAATCTTGTTCGCTCTTTCCGTATGAAGGAAATCGCGGATCACACTCCCGACTTCTCCTGAAGAGCAAGCCAACAGCAACGTTTAAAATACCCCTGAAATTCACGGCCGGAAGAATCTCTCTGCACGAAGTCGAGGTATTGCTTGAAAAGTTGGAGAACCAGACAATGATGAAATGGAGATCAACACCGTGAAACTGCCAAAAGGGCCACAAGCTGGCTTTTGATCTCTGAGCAGAACACTTGCCACTTATGGAAAGGCTAGTATCATGATGGCTAGCGTAGTTCATCAGGAGGCAACTCCAGACGTTCTGGCTGCGCAGTGCCATGTTCAATCTTGCTTGAGGATTGGGAGGAAAAGGAGGCAGGTAGATGGAGAGCACTGACTTCAGTGGGTCCTCACAGCTCTATCAACCGGTGTCTCGGTTATCGCCGTCTGACTCCGGACTCCTGGGGAAAAGAGGGTTGAACAATATTCGACGATCTCGGATGGTAGCGACTTGCTGCATCACACAAATCAAGCCCTCATTGCCGAGTTTCAAGCTTTGGAGCACTGCGTGACTCTAAACATGAGATCCTCGTAGCACAGGAAATATGTGCTACATATCGGACATACATCAACCATAAAACTATGCATGCTTATGGGACACAAAATTTCACCGATCGTACGAGCTCTGCCTCCCCTTCCACCAGGCTCTAGTCTCCACCACTGGCGGATCAGCAACCATCATAAAGGAGCACTTTGGAGACCTCGTGGAAGCCATACCGATGGGAAACTCGTTGCTGAGGACATGGGGTACTTGAGGGATGGATCCTGCCAGCGTATGCAGGAAGTGAGTGAATGGTGAAGAAGTCCTGTGGCGGGAGGCACGGACTTGTAAAAGCAGCGTTCCTTCGCGAAAACGCGCTCAAGAGGCCGCAACGCCTCTGAAACCTTCTCCCTGTATATATTTTGCCTCTGGAGCCCTGAGCAAGTGAGAGGCAAAGGGCACGCAGAAATCCTAGGCAGTTTGATACGAACAGATTTTTTTATGTCCCACAAGTGGGGGACAACGGTTGTGAGGTTCTGCACATGGCCTCTCTGTTCCGCTCATCCCGACAAATCGTCGTTGAATGAACACGACGAGCCAAGGGCGTTCGTGATCTCAAAGCACTCCTCCCAAACAAAGCCAATCTTCATTCGAGCGGTTGTAGCAATTGGTATAGATTGTCCCGAGAGTCTTTTCAAGACAGTGAGGATTGAATGTCGGGTAGTGGTACGAGGCAGCCGAACAGATCCGGTCCGCAGACAAATGATCATACTTCGAGCGGATTTGTTAGAGGCTTTGAAAGCATATCCCATTATTGCTGTTCAGCGACAAATGCACACATTAAAGCTAGAAGAATGGGATGCTGATCTCAAGTATCGGATAAGAGTTCACCAAGTGGATCTCTCCAAATATGTCAGGCGTGAAACAATTACCAGTTGACATCATCTCTTGAATACTATTTTCATCCCACGCCTCCCAAGATATTGAACCTTACATTCTCAGCGTTCCCAATTGCTTCAGTACACGTGCCATCTCGCAATTTCTCTAGAAGATGGCCCCCGCAATTCCAAAAGGATCCCTTGTCCTTGTCACAGGCGCCAATGGGCACATTGGCTCTCGTGTTGCAGACCAGCTCAGGGAAGCGGGCTATCATGTGCGGGGAACAGCTTGACATGTCTCCAAAGTCCAAAGTCTTAGGTGCTCTATAGGAAAAGAAATTTGGCGAAGAAACATTCGAGCTAGCAACATTGGAAGATATGGCCAAAGATGGGGCATTTGACGAAGCCATCAAAGGTAGACAACATCACGGAAGAGCAAAACATAAGCTAGTGAACTTCAGGCGTGTCCGGAGTTGTTCACGTTGCTTCCAATCTTACTCTCGATCCCGACCCAAACAAGGTTATCTCGGAAGTTCCAGCAGGTGTCAACGGAATCCTTCAATCGGCGGCAAAAGAACCCAGTGTGAAGCGGTTTGTTTTTGCCTACTTCTCCACAGCTATCGCAGCCCCGATACCTAACGAAGAACTTACAATCGACAAAAATGGATGGAACGAGGCAGATGTCAAAGCTGCATGGGCTCCTCCACCTTACGATGGTGACAGAAAATTAGCTGTACATGGATCGAGTAAGACGGAAGCAGAAAAAGTTCACTGGAAGTTTGTGAAAGAGCAGAAACCTGGCTTCAATGCCACCAGTGTTTTGCCAAACGCCAACTTCGGGAAGATTCTGGCCAAGGGTCAACTTGCCAGTACCCACGATTGGGTGACTAGTCTTTCGCAGGAAATATCGATGCCCTGAAGAATTCACCACCCCGTGAGTGTGGAAGGAACATGCAGAAAGAAGTAGCTGCTGGCGGATTTTTCAGAATAGTTTGTAGATGTCCAGGACACTGCCAGGCTACACGTTGCCGCTCTGATCAACCCGGAGGGTCAAAATGAGCGAATCCTCGCCTTTGCAGAACCGTACTATGCAAAGTAAGTGAAACTAGATTCGAGAGCCCCAAAAATTATCTAACAATGAGCAGTGATATTTTGAAAATCTCAAGGAAGCTACGACCAGATCAGAATTTCCTGGAGGACTTCGTTGATGACAACGTTCGAGATATATCGAAAGTCTCCAATGGGAGGGGAGCGGAGTTGCTAAAGAAAGACTTTGGATGGCCGGGCTGGCCCAGTTTGAGAGAGTCTCTGAGGCTCAATATTGAAGATCTGTAAGGATGTTATCATGCGTGATAGAATCGGAATTATACCAAGACCAGACGCAGCAGTCCATCCCATTTGATCACGTGAACGATATTCGCTTCGGTGGTACATTGGAAAGTTCCAACTTGAATGCAGCACACTCAAATATGTAATATTTAGTGTGAGGTTCAACGCAGTTGCCAATTATCAAGGCGCCATCAAGTTTTCCACTTCTTAGTCATATTTCTCGAGTTCCATTTGCTTCACTGTCCTCGTCCTCTCAGTGGCCTGGCAATCTTGCGTCAGACATGCAGCATGCAGCGGCACCACCCACAAATCACAGTCTTTCATCTGATCGGGCAAGGAAATTCGCACCCCACTAACCCGGCTGTTAACACTGCAACAGTGGCAACTCGGCGAGGCATGAGTAAGTCTTTACCGTCTGCGGCTCCGGGCAGAGCTGGCTAGAGAGATATGCTGGCGCTGGCCCTGCGATAAAACGTGGCGCCCCTCATGCCCTAAGTTCTTGATCATTGGATTCCCTCACATTTGTATGCCCAACCTCGACTTTCCGTTGATGTTTATTGGTGATGTGTCGGTATATCGAGACATTTCACGAGTACAGCGGCTGTCGCCTGAAGGACACCCTTCCCAACGGCCAGCCCACCCGATTCGCAGCCTTCGTCAAAGGAGTCACGAATTTCGTTTCTGGGCAAAACCATGGCGGTGATGGAGCGAACGGGGAGATTCATGGGGAAGGAGGACCGGAGCATCATCAAATCACAGAGAAGAACATTTTGCAGTGCGAAGATGCTGTGAAGGATCCGAGGCAGAAGGACAAGCCTGAAGAAGACCGCGTCTGTCCGAACCCGAAGTATTTGCGAGGTGAGGCGGCGAGGGAACAGATCGAGAGTATACAATACACCAGACAAACTGGGACTTGCCCAGTTTGTGCTGCTGTAGAGAAGGCTATCAGAGAAAAGACGAATCCGACTGTTATTGTAGGTTTTGTCCCGAAAATTTGCTAGCAAGACTGATGTTTGGATAGCGGAGGTTTGAGCGAGGCCACAAAACTTCAGCGAATGGTCAAAAGACACACGGCACTGCGGATCCAAAAGTGAGGCATTCCCCTGCGAATTGAGATGTCAACCTGCTGACCATTGGAAGGGGGCTGGGACAACGAAAAAGGAGCCAATTGTACACGGGCCCGTCATGGTTAGAAAGCCTAATAAGTCCAAGAAGAAGCAGTGAGTTTCTTGTCTTCCTGTTCGGAAATGATCTTGTCCTTGCTAATACACGATTCGCAGAGACGAAACGTGCCGTATGATGTAGATGGGGAAATAGCGAATGTTCATGGTATTGGAGTCATTTTAGAGTTGGGAACGAGAGCCTTTTTCTTGAAAACGTTTTGTTTCTTATACCCTGACATGATATGTATATGAACGCCAACTGAAAAGTTTTGGCAGGAATCCAACTCCTTTATCGTCCCTCTTCTTTTCCCTCCCACGACTACGTTTCTTATCCCATTTGTCGGGGTCGGGATCGTACTTGCGGGGCTTATGCCTGGGGGTTTTGGCATGTTCAACGTATTTATATTTCGCGGCAGCTTCTCGATCGGGCGACAATTCCTGTGGCTCGAGGTTCAGGTATTCCTGTGAATCAACGAGGGTCGAGCTCGACTCGAAGCCTTGGTAAGCGACGTCCTCCAAGTCGTCAACCAGCTCTTGAGCGCTGTTGTATCCTTGAGTCCAGCACTTTCTGATGACCCTGTCAAGTTCCGGTATTCTCTTTAGCCTAGGAAACTTGGCTCTCTTATAAAGTCCGTGGACTTCTCTCCAAGTCTTGTCGGAGTATGGAGGCTGACCAGTTGCCATCTCCCATATCCCAGACCCGAGAGCGAAGATATCGGAGAGCTGGTTGGGTGCATTGATCCCAGGGAGTTTGCTTCGAACCTCATAGTCGACTGTCGGTGGTGATCCATCGAGCGAGGAGCCTGCGAAGTCTCCCAGTTTTACGGTACCGTCGGCTGAGAGCATCATGTTGTGACAGCCAACTATTGAAATCTCAATTTAAAGAACGTCTGCAAGAAAGATCCACGTCTTACCGTCAACTTGAACGACTCCACAACGGTGGATATATGCAAGTCCTTGGGCTGCCTCGCATGCCCACTTCTTGACCATATCTTCTGGAGGCTGTGTATTTCTGTACCTCGATCGAAGACGCTTCCTTATCGTATCATCGCATCGTTCAAGGACCAGGCCGGAGGGATTGTCGACCTCATAACACCTCAAGACATGTTTGTTGTGTTGCTGGTTCAATCCTCGATATATCTCTCGTTCTGTTTCGAGATCCTCAATACTCCTTTGAGTTCCGATATCGATCTTGACCACCCTCTTTTCATCGATTGCGAGGACTAGCCCTGAGACACCATTGCCCAGGGGCTCCAGATTGTGTATGTTACCGTCCCATAGTCTGCATCTCGATTTTCGTTTTCGCCCTGGGTCAGACGACACTCCCATTTCACTCGCGCATCAGGTGGAAAATTCGGGTCTGAAGAACGATAAAAATCAGCTGAATAATTCATCACAAGAGATTCGTCGCTCATTACCTGCAAATCTTAGTGCGCTTGTGGAAATCAAATGGTTACTGAACAGTGAGGGTGAAGAGTATCATAGATGAATTGGTCACAACTGGGATCGCACGGAGCAAACGACAGAAAGTCACGACGGAGAAGAGGACATCAGCGCTGACAACCGGACACCCCACTTTGGGTGGTCTATCGGGCAGCCAGTAAGATTTGACAAGCGTGATTCCAGCGCATGGTGCCCAAGAAGTTCTCATGCATGCGATCGAAAAATATGGCGAGACTTGGGGCGGCCCGAAGGAGGGTCGTTACAGGCTCTCCGTGGCTGGGATTTTGGTGTTTGGACGGCGGCGTTTAACCAGGGTCTGCAGATGACATCCACCGCTGAGAGTCCATTTGACAGAATTCATCCACTTGCAGACGCACACATGCAGCTGAATGATCGGAGGTGAACTTTCCAGAATTGGCCAATTACCTGGATATGCGTTTAACAAAGCCTCTGGCTGAAATAGCCCGCGGGCTGAAGCACAGAGGGTGATATCACGTGTTTTGAGTCACGTGTTGTCTTACTGTATTCTTCCAAGCTATTGACTACTAAATGGCACGAGGAACCAATCTTGAGCTTATTTGCCCTCCTTCATGGGCTTTAGCCTTATGCGAGGGGCTGTGAGTGAGATAATTTCTTCCTAAACTGATTCGGCTACTTTCGAATTTCAATCTCCCCCGAACTACTGACTGAGCAACTTTTTGAAACAGAGCCTTAGAAACCATTAACTTTTGAATATGAAAGGATTGCAACGCAAATTTTTGAATTCATCCTAACGTTGCCGATTCTCAAGACCATTCTATGTGTCTACCGCAACGACTTTACTTAATTTGAAAAGCAAACTCCTTTCTTCAACACCAACCCACCTTCTCTACACTCTATTAAACAGTTCAATGCAATAAGACTTCATCTTATATCTTTATAGAACCACACCGCATCCTTCAATGATCCATCTAGAGGAGATATCATATACCTTGGCACTTCTCCAACCTGTATTTCATCAGCGTTTCCTCAACACTTCACGATAAATCACTCACCCTAATATATCCCAACCTCGGATACACCAACTCGGCCGGACTATCCTTCTCAGTATCCAGCATCTGCCTCCATTTAGCAACCTCTCTCGCCCTCATCATAATTCTCAACTCACCAACAGCGTCCTCCCCTCCACCTTTGCAACCTCCTCCAGCTTCAGCATCATCCTCTTCGTAACCCCCTTTCTCCTCCACTCAGGCAACACAAGTAATTTCTCAACCCACGCCGTGTGCGGCACCGTCTGAGTCTGCGGCTTATCCAACATCACTACCCCGGCTACTTCTTCTTTGCCAGTCGTTTGGCTGGTGACCATCTGTATGATAATGTGCCTGTTTCCACTCGCTACTTCTTTCGCGCGGTCTTCCCACCAGTTTTGCATGACAGGTTGATCCAGCGGTGGGATAAAGGTCGCAATGGTGTATGTTGGCTGCGTTATACAGGCTACATGGACGGCGACGAGGGAGGGAATGAGATGAGAGTGGACTTGGGGATCGTAAAGAATTGCTTCGTCCATCTTGGATTGGGAGTAGATTGGGATTGGGAACCGTTTGGCAGAACGACAAGTACAAAAGAAAGTTGAGAGAATGAAGTGTGAAATATACTCAAATCTTGGCTCCTTCTTAACTGAGTAACGCCCTGTTCATGACTTCTGCTTGTACCTAACTAAAATTAGGCAGAAGCCGAAAGTGGGGGTCTGTCACATGATAGATAATAAGACGCTTTCTCTGTCAGTCGAAGAGATATACAGAGGTAATTGAAGAAATAAGAATGGTCAAGAAAAGGATTGAGGCCGGGGCAGCGCAGCTCCGAGTTGTCCAATTCTAAGGGGCTAATCTCGTAACGAGATAAGCGAAACTACCCCTGAAGCTTGCCGAGCAAAGCTTCGGGGAGTCAAACGAGAACTGATCAACGGCTCTGTGACTCCGAAGGAAAAGATCTATTACTATCGAACAGACTCCAGTATACAGTAAGAAACGACCCCTTGACCCCATCATTACATCGTGAGATCTCAAATCAGTGACAGTCTGTCAACAACCTTTAATCGTGAACGACTCTCATCCAAAGATCGTCTTCCACCCCATTTCATCCATAACATCCATCCAAAACACCTCCTGACCCAGATCCGCCCTTTCCCACGTCTCCTTGACCAACATCTCCGCCTTGACAATCGGTTTCGCCGGCAAACTAAATTGGAACTCCTGCAGCCTCGTCGTCACAAACCTCCTCGCACTGGCGATATCAACTTCTCTGTTTGTTAAGCTGTTGGATATTGAGCTGGATGTCGCGGGTGTGAATTGAGATAGAGGATCGGAGATTGAGATTGGTGGAGGAGAAAAATGAAGCTCGCTAGCAGCAGCGATGAGGACAATTGGTTGGAGACAGCGGGTTCCTGAGGTGGATGGGAGCTTCTCGAGAAGAGAGATGGTGTGCATAGCAAGAGATATGAGGAAATCGGATGGTGGTTGAGTCGTCGGGATTGGGAGGAAAGGAGAGATCTGGTTGGCAGAGGAAGAGGAGGCGAAAGTGTTGTCGGTGAAGGGAACCCGTTTAAAGAGGATGGACGGAAATATGCGGTATATTTCAAGGAGGCCCGCGCAACGATAGGCTTCAGCAAGGTAGATGTATTGCTGAACTGGGGTGTTTTCGTCACCTGCATCCACTAGACTTGATACTGACGGAGTTTCGAATGAGAGAAGCTCTTCCTCCAAAGCCTGTGCTTTTGCTGTTGTTTCGATGGTTGCTATTGAATCCTGTGGGAACTCCATCTCCAATCCGAGATCCAGTGATAAGAAATCCAGCGATGATGCAGCATCTTGAGCTTTGATCTTCCGGTAGTTTCGAATAAGTCGACCCACCTGTGCGAATAATTTTTGGACTTTTGGTGCAACGCCGGTCCAAGGGTGAGGAAAGATTTGACCTCCCTCATTCCCTGATGTTGAACTATCACTTCCCGGAGTCATTGAAGTATTCAATCCCTCCATATCAAATTCCCCAAAGCCAAATTCGTCGATATCGTCCTCTACGAAACCAGCCAACATGTCCCAATAAAGGATGCACTGCTCGAAAAAGTCGTTTTGCCGCCGTGCCCTGTTATCGACAGCACCTACTTGCTGGTCAAGTCTGCGCCTATTCAATCTTTTCGCTGTCTTCAAGTGAACCAGGCCCAAATCTTTCGGGTCATGCCATGCGGTCGTTTGTCCAACCAGAAGCACTGTCAACAGAGTCTTGTCGAGATTCTCGGAAGGATCTCTGCCTCCTTGAGGAACCCGGTAAAGAGACCTGTATGTTTCCCGTTGCATCTGTATCCCGACGGGAGACATCCGTGGGAAATGGTTTGCGAGATAAGCTGCTGCCATGCTTTGTATAGCATAGTAAATAGGAGCCGACCCATCCCATAATCGCCCGACTGTCGACCGGAAAGGATTGAGTGTGCCGTCAAACGATGAGAAGATCTGACACACGTAGCTGAAGTAATACTCGACTAGCATGGTTGGTAGATGAAGTAAGAATTCAGGGACTGTGGAGCGGTGAAGTTGCTGGCGAATCGCTGTGAGACTGTCTGTATAGGTACCCGAGTCTCGTCGAGTAGCGTCCATGGGCGACTGGTGATAGTTCATGCTCAATGGGCTCTCAACACCTGGCTCTCGTTCCCCTTCGACAACAGTGTTGCTTCCGTCGGCCGGCTCTTTCCCCGAATCATTATGTTCATGCCCCGAGACAGAATTTGCTAAGTTGAGAGCCAGCGTCCTCGATTCAGGTGGAAGCGAATCATTTGAACCCTTCGATAGCAGCTTCTCATGCTTGGTTGACCATACCAATGCCTTCGGCTTGTAGCCTGGGCACTCTATGTTCTTTTTCACGCATTGGTAACAGCCCGGCTTCATTTCATCACATTTCAACTATAAGGAGTCAATCTTTGTTCCAAGACACTGGAGTCAAGGACGAAGTACTCGTTTTGTCTTGCATCGAAGACAGCCTCCTCGTGACTTCGGGGCTCTTCGTGGATTCCCAACCACATTCTGGCGAGGCCCTTGGCTCCCCTCCTTTGAGCTCGAATCGGGGGCAGGCGAACTCACCATACCGTGCCTTATCTATTCGGCCTTCGAAATCAAGAGTGGGGGGTTTCAAGACTCAGCACAATATAGCAGTCTGTATATATATAACTTGTTGCAAGAAGATACAGGGTATGCATGAAGAAAAGAAACAGCTGCTCTTCTTCAAGATCCGTAGATGCCCCAGGCTAGGGCTAAAGCGGATTTATCAATGTGTTGGTCAACTTGTGATGCCACCGCGATTGTCCCGCAAAGATATAGTGGATTGTGGCTTGGCCTAGCCACATCACGTGTAAGATCCCTGTCATTGTTGAAGAGAAACTGAAGCCCGGAGTTGTCGAGTCATGGTGGAGCATGTTTGAACGAGTCCCCATTTTCAAGCAAAGCAAGGCTACTTTCATGGTATCCAAAAATGAAAACGAGACAGAGTGAAAACGGCCGACCTTGAAACCAGTACCCCAAACTCCAAGCTGAGGGTTCCCTAAGAACCAGTAATTGTTCAAGAAGTCGCTGAATCAATTCCTCCCTGGTTAATCTTTTCCACCTGCTTGAAAATTCCCATCGTATGCTCCCAGACAGTCTTGCCAACCCCTTTCTCTCGATAATCTGACAAGATTTTCTCATTACCACTGATATCCCCATTCCAGTTCACAAGATAAGCTCCACTTCCGACTTTCCCATTCGAGCCCTTGCTAACAGAAAAGTCCTTTGGGAACGGCACTCCTGCTGCCAATGGCGCACCTTGGGCGGGCTTAGCTGGAGGATATATTCCGCTTGAAGCCAAAAACAATTGTCTTTGCCCAGTTTCATCTGCGCTAACAAAGAACAGCGAGAGTAAGGGCGTAGCAACCTTCATAAGAGCCCTCGCCCATATCGGCAACTCTCTCGTCAAGCCCGTATTAACGACACCTGGACTCGTATGTAGGAAGCTGATCCCATGCTCTCGAGCAGCGAATTCCTCAGCCATGAAATCATTCATGACTATTGTGTGAGCCGCACATCGTGCTCCCGAGAATGTAGTCTTGAGGTCGAGGTCCGTGAGATTTATGGCACCTTCGTGCCCAGCTCCTAGGACGGAGAGCGTTCGAGAGAAGTGTGGGGGTTCTGCGCTGGCGGTACGAAGCTGGGGAAGGAGATTGTAGACGAAACGCATGCGAGAGTAGTAGTTCAAAGTGAACTTGCGGTCGAGGCCTTCAGGATTTTCTGTTACGAATTTGTCAGTAATGTTTTGCGTGGAGTAATCTATTGTACGGAGTAGGAACCCACCATTTCGGCCGTTTAACGTCAAATTCCCTTGCGTCTGAAAGAGAAGATTGATCTTCTTCTCCCGCTTCTGAATCTCTTTGCAGACAAGATCAACCTCCTTGAGCTCCGTGACATCTGCCTTCAAGAACTCCACCTTCCCCTCCTTGTTCAATTCCCTGCATTCTTTTATGATTCGATCTGCGGCTGAAGCATTTCGTCCCACCAGGTAGACTCGCGGAGAAATTGTATTTTGGACGAAAGCCTTGAGGGTGAATTCTCCAATTCCACTTGTGCCACCAACTGTAATTGATTAGCATTCGTATAAAGAAGCTATGCATGTCGTAGAATACCGAACAGAGCTACAAGGTCAGGACCAAGCTCTCTCAGGCGGGCATTGGAGGCGTGGACGACATCGAGGGCTACCATCTTTGATAGATCCAGCAGCTATTGAGGTTGGTTCGTTTTGAGGCCAGAATGGTCATGGAACAGTCATTAGAAGTAGATCCATTTCAACATCCGGAGGGTGGAAGGCTCCCTTGCATAGCGCATGTTTTTGAGGAAGTGGTGCGGTCAAACTCGGCCGCTGGGAAGGCATCCACGACGCGTTCCGCAGCCGTGAAGCGGCCTCCTCCGCCGAGTTTCGGGTGTTAAGACGGACAAAAGTAAAGTCCGCAACTCCAGTCCAGGTTGAATATTTGAGCCGTACCAAGTACATCTCTACTTAATCTTTCTCATTACAACTTAAAATTATGTGCTGTGATGTTTCTTGATCGTCTTCAATTCCATTTCTTAACGTATGCAGTGAGATTAAATAGGTGAAAGTTTTCCCCCTACTCAATACTCTATTTAGTAAACTAGTGGATTTCGAAAGAATAAAAAAATTCATTCATTGAGATGCCCAACCTCCCTTCCTTTACATATTTTCCAATCTCAACTCATATCTCCAGCTGTAAACACCCAATCGTTACAAAGTGTGCAACTTCGAGTTCATCGTCGCCCTTCTGAACTTCTTTCCCCAGAACATAAAGACAACCATCCCAATAACCGTGAAGCCAACAGTGAGGGCCATCATCATCATCACGGGTGGAATAAACCCGTCTTTAACTGCCCAGTCATTGTAGTAAAAGATCATACCGAACTGTGATAAGTCAGTTCCAGGTTTTCGCATCTCTTAGAAGAGAACTTACTCCAAATGTGTTCTTGACTATTGTGGCCTTTATAACGGTGGAGTTAGCAATTATTGGATACTGAATGCTCAGGGAGGGCTAGGGCAATGTATGAGGAGAAATCATGAGACAGTCAAAAATAGGAATGGGGCTCTCCTACTGTGACCATGATCTGCCCTGGAATATGCTTATAGCAGTCAACCGCATACTGTGAGATATCAGTAAGACTGCAAAATGTTCCCAGCACTATGTGACACGTACCGCTATGAGAATTGCTGGGATGGAAACAACTTGGATACCCACGAAACCATATCCAATCACAACCACTGCTTGCCAAGGCCAATGACGCTGATAGCCAACCGCAGTGATCTTTCCGTGTTAGTGGCGATTCAAAATCGGATACTGGGGACTCACAGTCATTCCAACCAAGCAGATACACACGTAAGGCACCAAAGCGACCAACCTCATTTCGGCCTCCCTCACACCATTATTCCGAACTGTTGCCCTCATCGAAACCCAATCACTGATAGGCCCAGCAGTAAGCAACCCAATAACACCGCCAACCACAAATGCGAAGTTAACGAATCCAACCTGTGCCGGAGTGAAAAGATACGGTGGAGCGGCAAAGACTTGAGATTGCGTCAGATTCAGTGACAAGAGACAGTTTGCTGCAAAACCGAGTGAGAATGCAGCCCAGAGTATAATCGGGAAGCTAAATATTTGGATCGGAGCGAGGATATCTCGAAATATTAAATCTTTGCCTTCAAATTCGGGCTTGGGGATAAGTGAGAATTGATGTTTGCTGGGACGGCCAACTGGGCGTTCGGGCAGCGAGCGAACGTGATCGTTCGAGCCCTGTTGAGATTTAGATATTGAAGACGGGGCTTTCTCAGTGTCTGAGCTGGCTTGTGTCATATTGACCACTTCAACCTTCGATTCAAGCGGAGTTGTTTGTCCAGTGCTCGAACTTTTATCTGAGGCCGTGGAATCTGGTCTTCTATACAATGTTTCCGGGGACAGAAAGACCATCAGAATCAGGGACACCTGTGACTGTCAACAGGAGGATCCAACTTTAAGATAGGCCACGTACCCCTTGGAATATAGTGCAAACCCAGAAGAACCACCGCCAAGAAATATGAGCGGCGATCTATCCCCAAGATATCGGTGTCAGCATACTTCTTTCTAAATTTTCGGGAGTAGAGTCTTCCAGCAGCTGTTGGACGTTGCAACAAGATGAATTAATACGCCGAGAAGTTGGGACTTACGCTGCCAGAAATGATGGGGCCAATGAATGTCCCCATAAAATAGGCCCAGCTGACAAGGAGTGTTAGTCCACACTTCACATCCGTTCAGGTGTGACATACAAGTAGAGTCCCATCCATAGCCCCCGCTGGTGCATGAACATCACATCAGCGATAACCATTGGCATAATACTCTCATTAGCACCAGCCCCAAAGCCACTGATAACTCGTGCCCCGATGAAGCTCGCATAGCTCGTCGTGAGTGCTTGCCAAATATTGGCCAAAACACAGATCAATCCACAAATCAGAATTGCAGGACGCCTCCCAAAAACATTGCTGAAAGGAACAATGATGAAGTTTGTGTAGCCGAGCGAGATGGCCGCTGCTCCAAACAGATAATTGACTTGTGGAAGGGTTTTGTGAAATTCTTGCATAAAGATTGGGGTGAGGGGAGCAATTGAAAGGGGCGTGAGCACGCTGATGAAGACGAAAAATGCCTGGTTGATGATCACTGTGGACTTCCATCCCGTACTCCAATTCTGTGACACACAAATTAGTAAATCTTCTCTAGGTAACTTAGGATTTTTATTTTATTTTACCAAAGGGTCATTTGGTTGGTCGCTGGGCGTAGGAACCAACACGAGTTCTTCATTGGAGCTTGAATGCCTGCCATATCCTTGATCCGAAGCGAGAAGGATTTCCGTGCCTGGAATTAGCTCTGGCTCAATATGATCCAACATGGTGATGGTGGTGTTGATTTGAGAAGGAGAGAATTTGAGGGCAGTCAGAAGGTCTAATAATAAAGGTCAACTTCTCAAGTCCGGATGTGGATAGTTGTGAGTCTGCTGGGGAAGTCCGTCGACTTCTCAAGCCCAGATATGGATGGTTGTCAGTCGCTGGGGAAGTCCGCCGACTTTATGGATTTCTCAACTCAGCGCTTCCGAAACACAAAAACAGATTCGCCCGTTCTCAAATTAATCTACGCAGGTGCAGGCCCTAATGTCTGTCACACCACCTTGAGTTCTGCTAAGCAAAAGTCGGCTACGGCGCATTGCTACAGGGCATTTCAGCGCAACCCCTGCAAACGCGGTGTAACAAACATTAGAGCCTGCACCTGCGTAAACCGGTCATATTGCAGGCACATCAGTAGCGGAAGTGGTTCTGAAGGCTGAAGCTCTGTGCACGTCCACCCTGTGCGGTCAAAGTCGTCAAAATTGAGATTCGGGACTTGCACATCCTTCAAACTCGTATCCATTCCCGTGTCCTCGCAAAATATCAGGAGATGCAGGGGAGAAAATCTATGTTCTAGATTTATATTCACTTCAAAAAGGTGTCTTTCGTGGGGTTCTTGCGAGCGCTCGCTTCGCAACGTCAAGATTGAAACGCGGGTTGACTTCAATCATCCAAACTTCATGTTTCGATAAACGGTTGAGCGAAACATTTTGAACCGATGGTGGCCCTCGGGTGATAACCATGCCAATTCAATGCTCCTATTGAAAGCATGGTCGCTTCGTGCCCGGACCGAAGGAACCTGGACAATGTCAAGGCACCCATATCCCCCACTTGCGATGGACAAGAAGAGCGACACTGAACTTTCAATGTCCCCAATCAAGTTGGACATTTCAAATTCTTCCTCTCTCAAGACTCCCTCGCATTTTCGTCCATTCAGAGTCTTCTCTTTTCAGAGTCCACGGAGGTCCTGGGACTCCTCGTCCACGTTAGGGTAATCTCCGGTTTCGACTCGGGACATTGGGGGTGGTTGCCGCGTGTGCCTCAACCACTGGCCAACTAAGGTACGGTCCGTACTGTGGAGTGAAAAGCCAGCGTGAGACACTAATTTAGCGCCCGCACACCCTCAGCCCTACGCAGCCTCTCCAAGGTTCACTTATTTATTACCTTAATAACTTTTTAACCACTTTATGAATTAATACAAAATCTTATAGACGGTTAAAAGATATATATATAAATCTTATATATTCCTAAGTGTCTTATCTTTTAATTACGTACTTATTATTAGTAAACTAGTAAAAAGTAGGGATGTTTAAGCGTTCCTCTGGAGCAAAGGCAAACCACACCAAAAATCGTTTAAAGCGGGTTTCTAGCTTTTAATCTACTACCTCTCGATAGAAATGCCTCCGCACCTAAAAGAAGATTATTTATAAGACTTAAAAATAGCGTAATTAGAATATGCGCTTTTGCTTTTTAAAATCATACTTATATTTAAATAGGCAGTTATTTAGAAATCAAAGTAAGTAAGGTGAGTGAAGCATGCGCGGAGGCTAAATTAGCGGATTCACGCTGGGTTTCCACTTCGCACCAGACAATTTTGCCTCCCGCCTAGAACCCGAACTCAGCGAGGCCCTCAACAGGACGGCCTCGATTGTCCAGACGCCGCGGGCTGCGAGGCTGTTACTATGAGAAGAACTATTCAGCAAACCAGCTCGGCATCTGATCGTAATGAAGATGATGGAGGAGGCCTCGAGTTGACAAGAGAAATTTTTGTACATGCTGTCGTCGAATGGCTGATCACCTGACCTGCTGCACCTGCGAAGTGGGGATCAATCGGCTTCGGGAGGTAGATTATGGCGTCACGTGTCTTGAAATGTCTTCGTATTTTGACATTGAAGTCCTATCTGAGAATGAAACAAGATGCATATTCGTGCAGGAGACTCTGAGGAGGCGCCAGAAATCGAAGGGTGGGCGCGGCAGTCAACGGTCACACTCATGCTCAGGTTTACGCAGGAAGGCACCAAAGGCTGTATTTTTGAAAACATGTTTGTACAGTGTGCTTTTTTGTTCCCACTAGACATCACCTCGACTTAAAATGTATTTGATCACCCTTTACAACTGTACGTATCGCCAGCAAATGATCTCACTATCGACTGTGGACAGTGCAATACCCTCTTATTCGCGTAGTGGTGGTCTTCAGACGGCTTGGCCGCGGAGGTTCTGATTCAGTCCATGTCCGCGAGCACAACAACGGCTTTGAGGCCAGGTATTAATCCTTTCCTCTCGTTCTCATTTCTCCTCACGAAGTTCCTTGTTGAGATAATCGATTCTGACACGGAAGCGTCGTTCGAGACAGGATTTCTCGCATGTACGAAGACAGCCGCCTGAACACAAATTCGAACAACTCGGCCTTCGTGATCACCGGTATCTGTCGTGCCGTCCATCCTCTCTGCTTCCATTGTATTTGAGTCGAACTTTGTTCCAGGAGCATATAAGACCATCTCATAGTCTTCGATATTCAGGCAGGAGCTCGCTTTAGTCGTCAAAGCGTCAGTGAACAGTTTTACAAGATGTTCTTGTCTCTCTTTCCATGTTTTCATGGAGTCACCCCAAGTTGAAAAACCGTCCCAGCTCAGTTCTTGCGGATCTCGTGGGTTACGGGTAAAGAATGGGGCCAACGTCTGAGAAAGCTGTACAGCCAGTCTCTGGGCTTCCATCGGAAGAATCGAGGTCTTGAATTTTGGCTTCCCGATTTTGGCCTCGAAAGCAGCCAGATCAAGGTTTCTCAGGGCAAGTGCGCCATCTAAAGTATCGTTAGTCTTCAGTTCTCGAACTCGCATTGTACTGGCCCTCTTCGTTACCTTGACTAGCAAGAAGGTCTCGATACCCTTCAAGCGTGATTGACAAATTATCTTCAAAATTTGGAAAATCCGTTTCGAAAACCCAGTCCTGCAGCGCAGTCACCGTCAACGATCGTAACAGTGCCACAGGATCGATGCTCAATATCTCTCTATCCTTGGGTTGGGGAACAGAGTCTAGCCTCGACCCAGCTACCCTTTGAGCCAAGCCGAGAAGTCTGTCATGCATTTGCAGTTGAGGAATGAATGGAAATCCTTTGATCTCCAAATTACGAAATATCATGTGGCTATTGTGGTACGCCTCCTTCAAGGCGACCTTGATGTCTGTTGAAGTGCCCTGATGATTCGATGTTCGTGTTAACTTGGTGAAAGTTCCCAGTCTACTACGAGCTTGGAGCTCGTTGAGTAGACTGTGCACCTTCTTTTGCTGCTTGAACATTCTCTCCTCTATAGAAGGCCCGTGTTGTTCGTCCCTTTGCTTCTTTGCCATGTTCAAATAGTGAACGTCTCGATTCAGGTCCTCCACAAACTGTTGGCTTTCTTGGAGTTCCCTTTCCTTATCCATAAGATTCTCCTGCAGCTCCTGGATCTTAATTATTGCACTTTGTAGCCATGGATCAATCAACTCGTCCGTCTCGGTGCTGGAATCAATTTGTGAGGAGATAGATCGTGTAAGACGCTCTGCAAGTGTGCTTTTGGCTTCCGTGCACTCTTGGCAAAAGTATTTCACGCATCCAGCGTGCTGCGAGATCTTGCACTGGCTGCACTCAATCAGCTCATTCCCACTCCCACGTACTACCTCATTTACGCCACTTGTACAGAGTATCCTTTGCTCATCACAACCGTCGTCTTCGTTGCTGTTTGACAAGAGAGAAGTGGTAGAGTCTTCAGTTCCTAGTGGCCCGAATGGAATGGATGTCTCGCGATTGTAATTGAGACCATCTGGTTGTCCGTCCAAGGTATCAGAAACATCGTCTTCGCTGTCCTTGATAAGTGTAGTCGATCGCTTCTCTTTGTTCTGCAGGCTCGGATATCGCTCTTCAACGGCGAGGGGCGTATGAGGACTACAAACTGTAGCACGAGTACTGCGAGTTCGCTGCTGCACATTAGCACCACACAAAACGGTGGGATGAAGCTCGTACATCGCGTTTTGAATACGTCTTTGGTTTTTTCCTGCTTGGATTTGTTTTTGAAGATTCAATGTCGACCCGTTCAATTTCATGCTTCGCTTCAGGTGGTATCGAGGAGTCTGAGTCAAGCTTGCGCTTGCGTCCTTGAGTCTTCCCATTCTTCTCTACAGGAGGAGTATTCAACCAGGATCTTTGATTTGAAGAACCTGCATCCACTCTGGAACTACTTCGCAGTCGGCGGTTCGGGGTCGAGGGCTCGAGGAAGAAAACTATCTCCAGTTTCTCAACGGCAAGTGCAATCTCATTTCTCTGATTTTCGTTCAACCCGTGCTTATTATGGAGGGAGCGAGAACCACGGTTCTTTATGTCGTGCCAGTCCTTCGGCGAGTCTGGTCCATCTGGGCCACGATTGTTCCAAAGAGTCTTCAGTTGTCTTTCAATCTGTTCGTGGGTGAAAGCACCACCCAAATTGTCAACCACGCCTTCATCAAAGTCAATCTCCTTGTGCTTCAGGGAGAAATCGAGCCAGGCCAACAACGTTCGCTTTTCCTCCCACGACCATTTTCTGGGTTTGCGATCCGGTGCTTTCGCCTTTCTTTTCTTGGCCATTGTCGAGGTTGTCAACGGTTTCCTAGTACAAGCGATCTTTGAATGCAGATTGAGTCCGGAGTTTTCAGCGCAGCAGTCACTAAAGGTTGCTCAGCTCAATCCTGCGAACAGCAATCCCTGCGAGCAGGGTATTTTGCATGAACGTGACCAACATAGCCCTGGTCAATTTCATTGCTGTGACGCAGCAAGAAAGCCAGGTCGTCGCGCCGAACCGTCCCCATGGGACAGACGGGCCAATTAGGAGCCCCAGTTCGCGACAACGGCTAGCAGGCAACGGCGTGATGATGCAAACTCCATTCCCCTCATTGACTCACCGAGAGTTTCACACTTTCTCAAGCCCCAGAGTGGCTTTTTTGTTGGAGAAGCTGGTGGCGCAGTTTCGTTGGTGTGCGGGCTACCTACGTGTTGGCCGGCGTTTAAATACTGCCCTGTCCAAGAGCCTTTGTGCCTCGAGGTTTCTCCAACTTACAATTTGTTTTTGTTCACTTGGAAGACGCAGTCTTTTAACGAAATGGATTCCGAGCACCCTTATCTCGAAATTTTTCGACATGAATTGATAGATGAAGTTGAAGAGCGAAGGTTCCGTCGGCTTACAGGAGCCGAAGATCAGGAAATGCTAGACGCGATGGTACCAACTCCGTACCCGGCAACAGCGTCCCGCGAATCGACTGCCACGCTTAGAGCAATGTCTGAAGCGGATAGTGCTCATGGTTGGCACGGGTCAAATGCTGCCGGTGACGAAATGGACATAGATGGGAGAGAAGAGAGGACTCCAACTGTTGACGAGACGCTCACGCCTATTATTGTTGCAACAGACTTCGGAACTACCTTCTCTTCGGTTGCGTATGCCAGGCGCGGAGAGGGGATGCTGCCCGACGTTAAGATCATTGACAATTACCCCAACGAGCCTTCGCATTATACAAATGGCCATCTTAGTCGCCAAGTTCCAACGGAAAGTTGGTATCCTAATGAGCCGACACTTGAAGAGGGGTCTCGCAGTCCAACTCCAATACAGGACTACTTTCCTCAAGGAGTCTCGAATGGAAATATATACGACGCAGAAAGCGATGAGCAAGGGGACATCTTCGACGGGCCCGAGGATGAGGAACCGACCATACCTCAACCCTCTCCTTCGCCGAAATTGCGTTCCTTTGTCTGGGGCTACGGGATCCAGGCCGAGATAAACGAAGATATGGACCATAGCAAATTCAATCGCATCGCCCGATCAAAGTTGTGGTTAGATAAATCTGAACATACTGCCTCGGTCCGAGCTGAACTTGACCCAATTCTGAGGAGACTGAAGAGGAAGAAAGTCATCAAAGAAAACGAGGATGTCATAGCAGATTATTTGGGTCGGCTGTTCATGCATACAAAGGCACAGTTGAAGGAAGAGGGTGTCATTTCGGATGCTACCCCAATCGAGCATGTATTGACGGTTCCTGCGATCTGGACTGCAGACGCATGCCGAAAAATGCAGAGGGCTATGGCCATTGCAATCGAGCAGGCCAAGTTTGGTGCTGTCGAGAACCTCTTCTTGGTCTCGGAGCCAGAAGCAGCTGCCACCTATGTCCTGAGTCAATGCAAGAAGGGGAACGCGATCACCGTAAGTAGCTATTGGTACAATTTTTGGTTGAGTCATATTGCTGATGCATTCTTGCTCTCTGTAGCATGGAGAAGCGTTTCTGCTCCTAGACGCTGGCGGTGGTACTGTCGACGCCACGACTTATAGAGTGGATAACGAATCTCCATTGAGACTGTCAAAAGAATTAGTTCCTCCTGACGGTAAGCCTAATCATGTGGATCTCGCAAAAGCAAAATTAACAGTAGTAGGCTGCCTTAAAGGCTCAAGCTTCCTCAACGAGGCTTTCAAAAAACATCTGAGGCAGAGACTGGAGGGCGAAGAGGATGACATAGAGACCGATGGTTTCACAGTTACCGGTATCATAGAAAAGGTGGCCCTCGATTTTGAATACTCCATGAAGAGGGGAATAGATGTTACCGTGAAGGTAACACAACAGAATATCATGATCAAAGGACTTCGGGAAAATAGCCAGAAACGTTTCAAAGACAACCGTGTTTTGATGGACAGGTAAGTGTTAGAACATTGACCACTTGGCGTGCGACTAACAAGTGTGAGGTCCGACTTCGTACAGATATTTTATCCTTGCCTCCAGGAGATCAAGAGGCTTATGAGAAGTCAACTTATCAGCGCAAAGCACGCTGGTCATGATGTGAAGGTAAGTGTATCGCCACCTCAACTTCAAGTACAATGCTGACAATGGCCTAGAAAGTGGTTCTCATCGGCGGCTTCGGCACATCGAAATCCCTTCAGTCATTCCTGAGGGAGGCTCTGAGAGAAATAAGTCGTTTATTTAGATACCGGGGTGAAATACACCTGATCACGCACAAGGACCTGGAACGAACCGACCCGTGCGCCTCGTTGTCCGAATTTGAAACTCTGTTTGCAAGCTAACACATTACCGCAGGGAGGTCGCTGTTTCTTATGGAGCCGTGCTTCGCGCTTGGGACAAAGAAGACGGACCAGCTCGCATTACAAAGTCGAGCTACGGGTTCGAAATTATGGAAGAATACAATCCTACAAAACACCCAGAACACCTCGAAGCCAAGAGAAAATACACCGATAAACTCGACGGGATGGTTTATGTGCGGCGGGTGATCGAATGGCATGTGTGCAAGGTAGGATTTGAAGCGAAGCTTCCCCTGCTAAAATGCTAAGCTTGATGCCCCGAAAACTCTCGCTCACAATTCGACAGGGTCAATTTGTTCCCACACACAAGGAGTATTCATTACCTTCGGTGTACAGAATCTTCGCTGCAACAAAATTAACCTTCATTTGCGAGGAGAACTTGTGGGTTTCTGACTCAGATGTTCAGTCGCATTACCAGATAACACACAAGAAGAACAAAGGTAGGTCATTCTTCAGTTGTCACAACCAGATGTTGACTTACGGTTTAGGCGCCGAACTGGCAGGGACCATTAAAGCGGACATGACACCGCTCGTGAGATCGGGGAAGATACAGCTGACGTACCCCGAGGAAGGTTATGAGGGGGCCCCACACTACAGAATTGAGTTTGAGCTTGTCATGATTATCAATGGACGAAATTTGAGGTTTGAAGCTCGATGGCCGAGGGGTGGCGAAGTGCAGGGCAGCACACAGATTTGTATTGCAGCTGCTTTCAGGCCTGGAACAGACTGAAATCGTAGGAAGTTACTATAGAATTTTTATAGCTGCTTCGAACATCAGATTATAGCGATCCTTATAATATCCAGAATAAACTTATCAATCCGGTTTCTGGCTTCAGACCCCTTTCAATCGAGCCAAATTCATTGAATGAGTTCATCTCATACATTTGAACCCAAACCATAATCCTTGCTTAAATTGATATGCGGGTAGATTTCTACTCAGAAGATCTCGTCCATCGTCTGTGCACACCTTGCGTTCCCCGGCTTGCGGTGGACAGAACAAGCGATACCAATTCTCATTGCCCTCAGTTGAAGTTGGACGTTTATCTAAACTTCAAGAAAGATACGGCTTGAATCTTCCAGACTTTCCGAGATTTCCGAAGGGTTATTCAATATACAAGAACACGAACATCTGGATGGGAAGCAATTGAAAAGCCCCGTGAGGACGATACATTGCAAGGCCGGCCGAAGAAGGCGTACACACGGCTCCACTTGGCAAACCTGACATAATTTGAATAGGTACTGAGGCGATCAGGAACCTCCGCAATAATAGAGGCGGAAGGACGCCGCAGCTCGGCATGGCGATGGGATGGAAAGCTAAACGCGGTTTCGTTGGTGCTCAAGAATACCCACCACTAGCCAAAGGGTGTATTTTGGAGCACCGGCAAGGCTCCTTTCAGGGGCAACTCCCAAAGAAGTTTAGCCTTATGCAAGCACTCAAACGCGCTTTCTCGCGTGGACGCGTTCTCAATTTCGCGTCCTGGGAAGCCCCTTCAACTTCAACCACATTTCCTTCGCTCAGTGTTGAACATCACCACCACAATACCTGACCTTCAAACTCATCATGGACAGTCTACAACTTAGAGATGAAGCGGTGCGCGACCGTATTCGCGCGGCTCAAGAATTTCTTGATCCAAGTACGTCTCAATCATCCCAAGATTGAGGACGACCGCTAACCGCTCCAAGCTGATGCCGCGACACGAAGCTACAGATCAGATATTATACTGATGCTACAAAAGTTCCAGCGAAGGCTTGTAGTCAGCATTGATGAAGTACGAGGCCGCAATGCTGAACTCGCCGATGGCCTTCTTCAGCATCCTTTCGACTATGCTCAGGCATTCGATCGAGCCCTTCACGAAGTCATTCAGACTCTGCCGAAGACTACAGCAAAGCAGACATCGGAGGATACGATGTACTACTGTGCCTTTTCTGGTAGCTTCGGACAATTTGCGTGCAATCCGCGAACCCTCTCTTCCGCACATCTCAATCGCATGGTTTCTCTCGAAGGAATCGTTACCAGATGCTCTCTCGTCCGACCGAAAGTTGTCAAGAGCGTTCACTATAATGAAAAGAAGAAGATCTTTCAGTTCAGAGAATACAAGGACCAGACCATGTCAGCCAATGGCGCAAGCACATCGAGCGTCTACCCACAGGAAGACGACGAGGGCAATCCGCTGGTCACAGAATACGGATACTGCACATACAGAGATCACCAGACCATTTCAATCCAAGAAATGCCTGAACGTGCACCTGCTGGACAATTGCCGCGAGGAGTTGATGTAATCCTGGATGACGATCTTGTCGACAAGTGCAAGCCCGGTGATAGAGTTCAACTTGTCGGGATCTATCGATCCCTCGGAAATCGAAACGCAGGTCACAACACAGCACTTTTCAAGACTGTCATCCTTGCCAACAACGTCGTCATGCTGTCTTCAAAGTCCGGTGGCGGGATTGCTGCAGCTACGATTACCGACACGGACATTCGGAACATCAACAAGATTGCAAAAAAGAAGAACCTTTTCGACCTCCTCTCCCAATCTCTTGCACCTAGCATATACGGCCATGAACACATTAAGAAGGCAATCTTGCTCATGTTGCTCGGCGGACAAGAGAAGAACTTGGAAAATGGTACACATCTAAGAGGTGATATCAATATTCTCATGGTTGGTGATCCCTCGACTGCCAAGTCTCAACTTTTGCGCTTCGTTTTGAACACCGCGCCGCTTGCGATTGCTACCACTGGTAGAGGGTCCTCTGGCGTTGGTCTCACTGCTGCAGTCACATCTGATAAAGAGACCGGCGAACGGAGACTCGAGGCAGGTGCAATGGTTCTCGCTGATCGTGGAGTTGTCTGCATCGACGAGTTCGACAAGATGTCCGACATTGATCGAGTCGCCATCCACGAAGTTATGGAACAGCAGACAGTCACAATCGCCAAGGCTGGAATTCACACCTCGTTGAATGCTCGTTGCAGTGTCATTGCAGCAGCCAATCCCATCTTCGGGCAATATGACACACACAAAGACCCCCACAAGAATATCGCCCTTCCCGATTCCCTTCTATCCCGTTTCGATTTGCTATTCGTTGTTACAGACGACATCGATGATGCTCGAGATCGTCAAATCTCCGAGCATGTTCTTCGAATGCATAGATACCGACAACCAGGGACTGAAGAAGGAGCCCCGGTTAGAGAGCAATCTCAACAAACTCTCGGCGTGGGAGTCGATCAGGAGACTGATGCAAACCGTATCACAGACGTCTACGAGAAATATAACCAGATGTTGCATGCAGGTGTCACAGTGACTAGTGGTCGTGGATCAAACAAGAAGGTCGAAGTTTTGAGTATTCCGTTCGTCAAGAAATATATTCAATATGCCAAGTCAAGAATACGACCAGTCTTGACTCTGGAGGCTTCAGACCGCATCAGCGAGATCTATGTTGCTCTTCGAAATGACGATATGCAAGGAAACCAGAGAAAAACAAGCCCTATGACTGTTCGTACTCTCGAGACCATCATTCGTCTGGCAACAGCGCATGCCAAGTCACGCCTTTCAAATCGTGTCGAAGAGAGAGATGCTCTGGCTGCTGAGTCTATTCTTCGCTTTGCCTTGTTCAAGGAGGTCGTTGAGGATGAGAAGAAGAGCAAGCGTCGCAAGACTAGACCTCTCGAGGATATGTCAAGTGACAACGATAGCTCTGATTCTGATTCCGACTCACCCCCACCAACTACCAGAGCTGGGACATCACGCACTCGTACTCCAGGTACAACACGAACTCGTGGTGTTGCCACAACTCGAAGAGGTCTTGGTGGGTCTGGTTTACGGACAAATGGTGACCAGGGTGGGGATGTTGGCTCTGACGATGAGGAGGATCTTTACACGGCGTCTCCCCGCAATGCTCAGCGATCTCGACCTAACGGTACCGGCGGTGCTGCGCCCACACAGTCTCAAACTTCATTCGCTTCTTCTCTCCCAGCGTCCCAACTTCCTTCGCAATCACAATCTCAATCTCAAGAAGAAGACACAGAACTTGCAAGCGGCGCGGCTGCTCTCAACATTGCGGGCGTTACACCTGCCCGTCTGACACTTTTCCGAACAAGTTTGGGTCAATTGTTGAACACTCCGTTGTTTGATGATGATTCTGCGGAAGTCGATAATATCATCACGGCTGTTAATAGAAGTGTGGGAGGCTCTGGAGGTGGTGCTTTCGATAAAGCTGAAGCGGTGGCTGCGTTGAAGAAGATGGACGAGGCAAATAACATTATGTGAGTTTCCCAGAACTATAATTTGGAAAAACAGTGACTAACAATAAACAGGTACACTGATGGCGATCTTGTATACAAGATCTAGATGCGAAAATGAAGGGAGATGAGCAGAGGTTGGGTATGCAATGGCGTTCGGTTTGTGTTTGGGCCGAGAAGGGTAGCACTGTGTCTCCTTTCTTTAACGCTGTAATGATATTACGCAAATCGAATTGGTAGAACTGAATCTTATCAGTCTATAGTCGTTAAGTCGTGAAGCCCTAGTCTATCCCAAACGTTCCTTTACCTTCTTTACGTAGTCGTCTAATCTCTCCTCAACCTGAACACCATTCCATGTCTCCCTTCCCATCTCATCTTCCCCTAATCCAGGCATCCCCACCTGCTCTATGGCAAAGCTAGCCGCCACGTTTCCCCACGCCGCGGCTTCTTCTAACCCCTTCCCTCTTGCCAATGCAACAGACAACCCACCAAGAAACCCATTTCCTCCCCCTGTAGGATCGACAACCTTCTCCGCGTCTTCCTCACCAAAAACAGCAGGAAGCCACATCTCAACCCCAGGATCAATAGGTACCACCTCCCTCTCCAACTCTCCATCATCACCTAGCAACCCAGCAAACAAAGCCTCCATGTTCATATCCAGCGTCAACCCACCCCTCGGACGGTTCGCAGGCCTCTTTTTCTTAATCATCGAAGGGCGACGGGAGCGGCCTCCATTCTTGGCCAGGTAGACGCCTTTTACGCCGCACCGGACGACGAGCGCGTAGGACTGCAGGGGCATGCTGCTGAGGAGCTGCTCGCAGGCTCGCTCGACGGATTGAGTTGAGATGGAGCCGGTGAGGGGGTCGAGACTGAGATCTGGATCTCCCAAGAAGGCGGCGAGCTCGGAGTGGTTGGGGGAGCAGATGTCGACGTAAGGGAGTGCGTTGGTGCAGTTTAGGAGTTCGGAGGGGGTGCAGAGGTCGGGGACGGGCTCCCAGATGAAGAGTGGTTTGGGACATCCGGGGTTTACGATCTTGCGACGGCGGAGGATGGAGGTTACGAGGTCGATGCAGCGAGTTGGTGAGCAGTTTAGATGAAAGGATTTCGAGAATAGGAGCGAGGGGGTGAGAGCGTGTTCGTCGAGGCGGAGTTTGGGGGTTGTGTATTTGAAAGCTCGGTGTTGATTGGAATCATACCCATTCCAGCCCCGGGTCGTGAGTCGTGATGGGTCTGAACGAATCAGACACGATGTTTTCCAGGATTCTATTTGCGTGGTGATGCTTCCTGGGAAGTCCGATCCTTTGTCAACGATCCAGGAGATGGTCTGGGAGAGAGGTGGCGGTGAGAAAAGACGTGCTCCAAGTGCTGAGTAAGTACCTGATCCACCAAGGATGTCGAATACAGGTGGGTTTGGTGGAAGATAGTGGATTTCGTCTGAGTGCCGTTAGAATGAGTGAGGAAGAATGAGGCTGATATTTTCGGCAAAAGCAAAAAAGAGAGAACAATCTGACACAGTCAGAAAAGGTCGAAACTTTCAAAGAACGAGCATACGACAACAGAGCTGTAGCCTGTTCGTGCAGAACAGTAGCACCAGTCATGAGTCGAATCGATGATATGAAAAGATGAGAGGCTGCTCGGAACTCTTCTTGCAGTCATCAAAATTCCACATCCTCGATGAGTGCTGTAGATTCATGTCGAGAAAGTAGACAGGCACCGGTGAAAGATCAGATCAGGCCTTATAACAGTGAGAGCAACAAAGGACTCTAAATAGTAAAAAAAAACATCATTTGAAAGGTCATGAACAGCAGTATTCACCGCCAAATAAGCTTGACTTCAAGCTTGACTAGGGATGAAAGTCAATACATGAAAGAAAACCCCTCTTACCAATTATGAGCATCCCCAGGGTACAGAAATCGATCTCCTGCGATGGAGAGATTTCATCTTCCTCCATAATCTAATATGTTATTGTCTGCGCTCTCCCCCATTGATTTTGTGCACCAAATGTGTCTCAGCAAGAAGGCTGAAGTCCCGACTTTTAGCCTTGCCTCGTGAGGTAAGCGCAATTTCCAGCGAGGCTTGACAAGGGTAGGGATCACCCGCACGAAGGCACAGCAGTTCCAGAGCTCCTGAAGCTATCCCAAAGTATTTTGCCGTCTTGCGCAAGCCGATCAGGCAGCTTGAATTGTCCCTTTTACTTATAAGCATCGCTTCTGCAACTCATCTGGCCCGCCTTCAGCACATCCAGAATCTTGTCGCCCACGTCAGCAAGCCGCATTACCACGTTCCAGGCATCGTTGATCGTTCCCTCGATCGCTCTGTCACCTGGAACACCTCGCAGCAGGGACCCTGCATAGTAAAGGCAACATGGCGACCAACAACATGCATAACTTGACTACCCTCATCAAACGGTACTGTCATATCTTCTTTATCCTCCTCCAAAACTTTCCCTTCTAGACACAATCAGAAACCAGCAATTATGGATGACAAAGTGGTCCCGACCGTCTCTCGCTTTGAACTGACAGCTATCCTTCACAGGCTGGAAGCCGCCACCTCCAGACTGGAGGATATGGCAGCTTCTGCAATCGATTTACCCAAACTGAATGGCGCGGCTCCTACTCCGGCACCTACAGGTCCTCTGCCTGCCCCTCCAACTGCCAGTCGAGCCGCAGCAGAAATGCCAAAGCCCATCCCAGAGGCACTACCAGAGTCTGTCGAAGATTTTGATGCTTTTATATCCGGCACTGTCAAGAAGTTTGTGAATTTAAGTGATGAATTGGGAGGGCCAGTTGCAGAGCAGGTATGACGGATTGGCAGAAAAATGCCGAGCACTGGGCTAATGGAAAGTACAGGCCTCCAGTGTATACCAAGCGTTTGCTAAACAGCGGAAATTCATCCTTATTACCACAAAAGCAAAGAAGCCTGATATGAGCAGTCCGGTGTTTATGGAACTTTTGAAGCCTCTGCAAGAAATGATCACGGCCGTCAGCGATATACGAGATGCGAACCGCGGAAGTCCTCTTTTCAACCAACTATCTACGGTCTCAGAGAGCATTGGCGTACTCGCCTGGGTGACGGAGTCTCCTAAACCACACAAGCATGTTGAAGAGTCGTTGGGTTCTGCCCAATACTGGGGTAATCGAGTCCTAAAGGAGTTCAAGGAGAAGTAGGTTATACCGAGTATTGAGCCATGTCCGGAGCTGATTGGATTCATAGGGACCCGAAGCAAGTCGAATGGGTCAATGCCTATTACCAAATCTTCAAGGACCTCACAGAATATATCAAGCACGCTTTCCCTCAAGGCATTCCCTGGAACCCGAAGGGTGTCTCAGCTGAGGAAGCCATTAAGGCCGTTGACCAGAATCAACCTCTCCCTCCAGCCCCACACCCTAAAGCAGCTGGCGGGCCTCCTCCACCCCCGCCTCCACCCCCAGGACCACCGCCACCACCTATGAGATTTGACGATGCTCCTGCAGTGGCACCTGTTACTGCTGGTGGTCTCGATGCTGTTTTCAGCGAGTTGAACAAGGGAGAGGCTGTCACGAAAGGACTTCGAAAAGTCAATCCAGATCAGATGACACACAAGAACCCTTCGTTACGAGCTGGTGCAACAGTACCAACTCGGAGCGACAGCGCTTCTAGTGTCTCCTCTATATCTCGTGGAAAGAGCCCTGCCCCAGGAAAGAAGCCCAAGCCAGAGAGCATGCGGACGAAGAAACCTCCAGTAATGAAGCTGGACGGCAACAAGTGGATCATCGTAAGATTTCAAACTCTTGCTTGTTCTATCTTACTAATTGGCCTAGGAAAATTATGACAATGAGCCTAAACCCCTGACAATTGAAGCCGAAATATCACACTCCATCCTCATCAGTCGATGCAGTAAGACGACCATTATGGTCAAAGGCAAGGCAAACGCTATTTCAATCGACAACTCGCCACGACTCTCACTCATCGTGGAATCCTTGGTATCATCAGTTGATGTCATCAAGTCCACCAATTTTGCTCTTCAAGTCACAGGGGTACTTCCCACACTGCTTATGGACACGGTCGATGGGGCCCAAGTCTACCTGGGAAAAGAGAGCATGGGTACCGAAGTATTTACAAGTAAATGTACAGGGATCAACCTCAACATCATCGACGCCGCAGGGGATGGCGACGAGGAGGGTGATTACAAGGAGGTGGCGTTGCCAGAGCAGATCCGCTCCTATATTGGCAAGGATGGCAAGATTGCAAGTGAGATCGTGGAGCACGCAGGATGAACGTTGCGGGGTATTTGTAGGGCGTACGATTATTGTAGCATAGCGTTCACTTGATTCTCTGGGGTTTGGCCAGCGATCTTGATTATATATCTAGATTGCGGTCGATTCACATCATTCGAAGCAACCTTTTCAGACATACATACTGCACACATCCTGAAATTCTATGATTCTGGTCAATTCTGAAACATCCCATATCCTACCAACCCGATTTATTGGTGACACTTCATGGGTCATAGCCACTACACCGTCGGGCACATTCATGAAAGGACGAAGCCGGATCTGAAAGCATCTCGTTTTCCCATCTCGAAATGCATTCCATTTATGACACCCAAGATATGTACAAGCCCATCTCCCACAAAACCCAGCTCTACCACTTCTATGATCCACCATTCTTCTGGTTCTTCTCGTGCTCGATAATTTGCTTACTCCAACTAGCAAAATCAGCATCATATCGCAATCTCCCCCTTTTGTACAGAGACTTACTATCGACTAGGAAAGAATCTGCCTTCCTCGGGGAACTTTGTCCGCACCTCCCTCTCCGCGCTCAGTTTCCACATCATAGCCGTGAGCCCCACAATAACCATCCCAAATACCGCAGTATTCGCTTTCCAGTTCGATGGTTGCGAGTACCAGCCACCTGCTGGTGACCAGACGTGCTTGGGGTATCTAGCTTGGTCAAATTGTGTCCGGGATGTTCTTTGCATTCGTGGGCTGTTTGCTGGGGAATTGACTTACGGGATTTTGCCGCCGCCGCCCTGGGAGCTGTTAATGACTGATAATATCTATAGGGAGGGTCGTTGGGCTTACCATCTTGATCAATTGCTCGATTGCGCGGGGGTTTGTCTTGGACTGTTCAGCGGTCGTGAACTCGAGATGCGAGGTCGAAACTAGCGCGACGATCACGTGCTGGGTTCTATGATCGTGTGAGAAGCTCAAAAAATTAAATTTGGGAAGGAGTTGGGATCAGACCGAAATACACCGCCACGCCCCAGAACGCTCTCACGACTCTGTCTTTCATTAGAGGGTTGAAGAGGAGGCGTGACTTCTGGATTTGGAGATGAAGAGAATACGGCTGGAAAAATGGAGCGGCCAATTGCTGTCGCCGCGCACACGACCATGCTGTCTCTGGCAGCAGACAATACAGAGTCCGGCTGGCGGGACACAACAATCACGGTTCCAATCCTCCTCTGCGGCAATGGAAGAAAACCTTGTATTCGAAGACGACGATCCATCCGCTTCCTCTACCTCAAGACACCCTTCGAGTCCATACGCCTCACCATTAACAGAAGCTGCTCTGCACTCTGCAAAGCTAGCAGCTCTACACGCCCGTCTCGCACTCCCAAAGAAACTACCTTTACAAACGATGGCAAGGACATTAGTGGATCCATCTGCAGACCCGAATTTGCGCTTCAACAATGCTTCACTGGCGCAGTTAGGAGGATCCATTATCTCGTTCCATGTAGCAGAGTTCCTGCTCTGCAAATACCCCCGTCTCCCAATGGCTATCCTCTTTGCCGCCTCTGGCGCTTACAACGGGCCCCGAACACTCGCAATAATAGCGCAAGAATGGGGAGTTGAAACCGCTGCCTACCCCGGCTCAGAAGTCGATCCCGGCCTCTTACAATTCTCAAAATTGAAGCCAGGGACGAACTTGGGGGAGATTGGGATGGCAAGGAAAAACACAATTGATCAAGGTGTGTGGAGGAGGGGGATGAGCAGCCGGGTGGTGTTAGATGACGAATTTGGTGATATGATTCCGCAGCGTCGGGGGATAGAGGTTGATGCCAAGCCGACAGAGACGGCGTACTCGAATTTCGTGAAGGCGGTTGTGAGCAGTATTTACGTGCATGCTGGGAGAGATGCGGCGAAGAAGTTCGTGAAGGAGCATATTCTCAGTCGGCATTTGGAGATTACTCAGCTCTTTGATTTTAAAACCCCAGTGCAAGAACTGGCGGTGTTGTGTAAGAGGGAGGAGTTCGAGTATCCTGTTGCGAGGATACTGAGTGAGACAGGAAGGTTGTCGAGGTCGCCAGTGTTTGTGGTGGGGATTTACTCGGGGCATGAGAAGTTAGGGGAAGGGGCCGCTCCAAGTTTGGCGGAGGCGAGGATTCGAGCGAGTGTTGCGGCACTGAAGGCCTGGTATTTGTACAGTCCGGGCAATAATGTTAGGGTTCCGAGTGATATGGAGGGCGCGAATCCCAAGCCCTGGGAGCCGGTGCATATCGACATTGGGGAAATTATACACTAGGATGTGTATAGATGGTTGCTGTATAGCGAGCGGAAGGGAACGGCTTGTGTGACGAAAAGAAGAGATGGGTTACTGGCAGGCATACATAGTGTATTATTGAGACCTCATTTGTGCCATGCATTACAGGGCTAAGAGCGGCTCTTTGGAGTATCTGTGGGGATAGGTGTAGCATATTTGGGCTTCATGTAGATTCAATGGTACTCTCCAACTTCGAAAGGCTCAATTGTGAATCAGAAGTCACTCAGTCAAAATATTTTGTACATGATAATCAGTCGTTCTATGATTTGTGTGCATATGTACACAAGCAACCATCGTAGCCAACAGACAAGTGGTGCTTTGCTTGTCCATTCTGCATGAGCCAAGACCAAATTGCCATAATGAAAATGAGAGAAAACATTCGTGGAAACAGGCCTCCCCGTCCAAATAAACGCCTTTGATACAACCCCTGGCAAAATGCATGCACTTGAAGAGAATGGTGAATCGAGGGTTATCATGAGGCTTTAACAGCAACCTCAGACTTGGTATCAACCTTCTTTGTGGAAGGTTCAACTGCTTCATCATCCTCACGAGCACGCTTCTTCCCATTTGCTGAAGAGGCCTCAGTCTTGACTGCTGGAGCTTCATCTGACTTGCTGTCCACCTTCTTGGTTGGGGTCTGCTCTGCGTCGTCATCCTCTCGAGCACGCTTCTTGCCATTGGTTGCTGGGGATTCTTCGGTCTTCACTGCTGGTGACTCGTCGGGCTTGCCGTCAACTTTCTTCGCTGGCTTCTCATCATCGTCCTCCTCACGTACTCGCTTCTTATCATTCTTCTCATCACTGTCTTTCTATCAGTGCATATTTCGTCAGGTGGGAAGGTGTTTGACTTACCGGCCTTCGCGTTCACGATTTCTATCACGAGGACCACGATCATCACGTCCTCTCCCACGGCCACGACCTTTGCGATCTCCCTCCCGGTGGCCACGATCGTATTTGCGGTGATTGTCCTTGAAACCAGATGCTCGATCTTCCTCTCTTCGCTTCTTCCAGTCATCTGGATCACGATCGCCTCTGGAATCACCTCGTCCGCGGCCATCACGACCATCTCTGTCATTTCTGTAGTTACCACGGCCGCCACGATTGTTGTTACCTCGGTATCCTCCACCCCGGCTTCGAGGGGCCCAAGTCTCAGCAGGTTCCATTTTTCCGTCCTTGATGTCTTGAAGCTTTTCATCGGTGTAATCCTTCTTGGATTGGATTTTCAATGGGTACTTACCCTTCCACAATGGCTTTGGTTCAAGTGCGAGGAAGTTCTGGGCAGTCTCCTCATCTGCAAACTCGACGAACACAGACCCCTTGAACAATTTCTCTTGAGTGCGGCGAAGACGAACTGCGTTTGTCGGACCGTATTGGGCAAAGAAGGCCTCGATGTCAAATTGAGAGCTTGGTTCCTCATCACCGAAGCCTTTGACATAGACGGATCTGGGTTCTGACGAGGGCTTTACGGCGGTAGGGTTATAAGCTTGCTTGCGTTTGACTTGCTCATGGCCTTCTGGGCCAGTAATCTCAAGGAACTGGCTTTCTCTGAGTGCGGTGACAATGGCGGATATTGGCTTGAATCGTTTCATACGGCCAAATTTGCAAATCTCTGTAATTGAGACTGGGAGGTTCAATATGCCATCTGTTAAATTCCACAGGTGTTTGTCGGTTGGAAGGTTTGCATCGCTGAAGTAGAATTCGACCTTTGCAAAATACTGTCAGTGGCTAAAGGCAGTAGCAGAGCTACATTGTTGCATACCTGTGCGCGAATCTTGCTTGGGTCATCGGTGGTAGGCAAGACAGCCGGGTCGTATTTGGAATAATTTTTGCGGGTTTCATCAATCTGCGCAGAAGTCTTCAGAACACCATTGTCATCGAATCTTTCCTTATTCTCGCCAGAGGCGCCATTCTCTTCAGCCTTCTTGTCGCTCTTGTCTTCCTTGATGTCTGTGGCAGCTTCGCTCTTCTCAGTAGTCTGCTCCTCCTTGATTTCTGCTGCGCCATTGGCATCCTCCGACTCGACAGCTGCCATGACAGCTTCCTTGTCAGTTGGTGCAGATGGGTCACCGCCCTCCTTGATCACGGTCCCGTCGTTCGGGAGAGAGGTAGCTGCTGGATCAGGCTCCTTAGTTTCGGCCGTGAGGTTTGACATTTTGATTCGTGTGTGATTTTCGCCGAGTTCGGTTGAGCGAAAAGTATATGAGTTGGAGTTGGATGTCCAGGACGTGGATATATTTGTTTTAAGGCGCTGGTACTATTGTGTTGTGCTTCTATTGTATTCTTAGTATTGTGGGCGGTGAATTCAATGACTGCAACTGTGACTCGATAAAGATGGCGGGGTTGAACGCTGATTGAAAACTCGACTGAAAATAAGAGGCATTGTTTCTAGGACCGACAATACATACCTTCAAAGCCCGGGTTCCATCTAAGACAGCTAGAACGTAATTCCCGGAAGATTAACTTTACTTTGGGGAAGGTGTATGAAATTTTGAAGTGCATCGAGTGCGGGCTGCAGAAAATGCAGTGGGCTCTCCAGCTTTTTGCGCTAGCGGCCGGCCGAACCACCCCTGCTAGCCCGTTGAAGATGTCTTCGTCTTCGACCTTACCTTTCGTCGTGTGTTGACAAGCCACCGCCCTCAGAGCTCCCCTTTCTTCACCAGCTCAATGACGAGAAAGAGGTTTCACGGCCTCAAGCGGGTTGTATGTTTGCAATTACCACCACGACGACCTTTATCATAAGAGCTAATCTACCCCTTGCAGAAAATCCGGGCGACATGGAATAAATACAATCTCTTCAACCTCAGCCGTTTAAAGGCACCCAGGACGAATTTCATGACCTACTATCAACAAAAATGGTCTGCCAAATCTATCACTCGAGCCTATCATGGAGAACACATTCGAGAAGGTCAATGGGAACGGATGTTTACGCCTCTTCTAAACTCAGTCATACCAATGGATCATAGATACCTGGCAGAGCACGATGGTTCTGAACAGGCTGCGGGAAGAGGCTCTGGCCTTGAGAAGCCTATGGACTTGAACAAGATAGCCTTTGGAAGGAATCAAGTTCCATATATGCATATGACCTACGCACCGATTGAGAGACGACTCGACACGGCAATTTTCCGAGCATTGTTCGCTAGCAGTGTGAGGCAGGCACGGCAATTCGTCATTCACGGTCAAGTCAAAGTCAATGGGAAAAAGGTGGGCTCTCTGTTTAAGTTCATTGGATGGGCACGGTTGCTAATAAGTTAGATTCCGTACCCAGGATACCTTCTCAATCCAGGAGACATGTTCCAGGTCGAACCGGATCGTGTATTATTTGCGACAGGTGCACCGAAGATTAAAGTGAAAGCCCAAGCCGAGAAGCTTCGCTATGAGCGACGCATAAGCCGGCAGAGCAATATTACTCGCGACGCAGCACTGGCAAGGAGAGCGGAAAGACGGAGAGCAAAGGAGGCGAAGGAGTTGGCAGACGATACAATAGAGCTGGCTCCTAGACAACCGAAATCGGCGCCGATAGAACTAGGCGACCCAGAAGTGCGCAAGCTTCGACAGAAAGAGTTCCTCAAGCTCATCAGACAGATCGAGGACCGTATCGGCAACAAGAAAGTCCGAAGAACGGGGAAACGCAAGCAGGAACTGAGGGTCCTCTTGCGAAGGGCGAAGGCCAATGTAATTTTCATTGGAAGGAAGTCACTTCAAGAGCTGGACACGGAAATGAAAGAGATTACACAAGAGCTCCTCGGCATAACCGAAGAAGTAGAATCCGCAGACAAGGCGCCCGTGAAGAGGCTCAAGCCAGAGTCAGAGATGTCTGATAAACAGAAAGAAGCTCTAAAAAGGGCCATCGCTAGGATTCGAGAGAATCCAGCCGACACCACGAAACCTTATGCTACGCCTTGGCGACCGAGACCATACATGAGCGCCTTTGCGTTCATTCCGCGGTACCTGGAGGTCAACCACAACATCTGTTCAGCTGTGTATTTGAGGCACCCGGTTGCTAGGCCTGGTTTAGCGGAGGTGCCAACGCCATTCCCGGCCGAGACACAACAGTTGGCGTTCAATTGGTATCTGAGGAGGAGGTAGGGTGTAGGATATTGGTATGTTATGATGTATCATAGTAGAAGTCTCTAGATCAAATTCTTTTCCTCTGTACGTGCTTACGGCTGCAAGATTCTCAACTTCCGTTTTCATACCCAACGTGTTTCGGTTTCGAAGCAAATCCTTCCAGCACATGTGACTGCTTTTACAAACTCATTTTTGAACTGGTTTCATGCAGGATATAAAGTCCAGTCGCTCACACTAAATGAAGCCGGGAATTGAGTTGGGAAAGAAATCTAGTACTGCTATGCCATCAATATGATACACCACATCCCATCGTGAACCAGTCCCATCTAAAGCCCAGACCCGTATTTACAACTTAGCCTTTGGCGCCTCCAAAGTTGGAAGAAGGAGGTCTCTAATATCTCCCGCCGCTTCGTTCAAGTAGAAACTCATCCTCTCGCTTCCAAGACCCTTCGACACAATGTTGAATTGGATGCTGTATTCACGTTAGCTTCAAAGAGAACTGATTTGAACGAGGTTCGTTCCAGCTTACCTATTTTCATTAATCATATATGCAATTCCCCATCCGTCGTCAACCACTTGACTCCATCCGTAGCCATTGAAGTATTCGGAACTCAACTGACTGGTAGAGATGAACCATTTGCTTGAGTATGTGTAGGTTGGATCCTTGTAAATCGAAGGGACCTCATCATTCGGTCCAAGCAACTTCTTCAATCCAAAGAGATGTCGATCAACACCCTTTCCGTCTGAAGCTGCAGAGATGTATTCCACATGAGAATTTACTGCTTTTCGGAAGAGCGCCACAGTCTCCTTGGGCTCAATATGTGGATCACTTATTGCTTTGCAGAACGCAACAGAATCATCGGAGACGGAACGGCAGGTCTCGGTTCTTCCTTGTTGGAAACGTCGGGTAGCGGCTGATTCGTATGTGGGCCGATTCTTGCCATACATTTTGAAGTAGGCCAGTTGAATGATCATTTGTACGTATGCATCTGGCGAGCACTTGAACTTCTTGATTAGACCCTTGCCGTAGCCTTGGTATGCCTGAACGCGGAGCTCATGAGCGCCGATGACTTCGGTGAAGTCCTTTTCAGCGCGCTCGATCTCGGCTTGAACCTCCTTGTTGACGTGGAATTTGACAACAGTAGGCTCGGGTAGGTTGGAGCGGACTGATGGGTTGGAGAAATCGAGTTTGTTGTTGAAGATCACCTCGTTGACATAGTCATTAAGGCGATGGGTGGGTGTACCATCCATCATTGAGTGTTCGCCCATGAAGCCAGAAGTCCCATTTTCGTTGACGATGAACTGGAGAGGCTTATCGAACCAGCGATTGCAGCCATCACCATGCCAGTATTGGTGTGCACGCTCCTCGAGTGTGACAGGTGATGCATCGTCCAAGCAGACCACAAAGGAAGCAGATTCGATTGCCTTTAAGGCTGCTGCATTGGACGAGTGTGCCTTGAGCAGGACATCTCTCGCATCAGTCCAGATGTCACGATTCTCCGTAGTCAGGACGCCCACTGCTGGGGCCTTCTCTGCCTTTTGATAAATCCGCTTGAATTGTTGTTCCAGCTCAGATGTGTTCAATTGTTGCCCATCAACCTCATGCATGACCTTGAAGAATTGATTCTTGCGGATCACGAGAATTTGCTTGTTTTCTGATGCAGGGTACTTGACTGGGTGATCTGCGGGCTTTGCAGGTAGTCGACATGCATTGAACATCCATTGGTAACTCTCCATGGAAATGGGTAGCTTCTTCATGTATTCAGGTTCAAGTGTACCAGAGTCAACCTGTTTCTTGAACTCTAGAGCTGCGGTAGTGATGGCAGCAGCTCTTTTCGATGGATCCCGCCGCCGTCTGTCATCTCGGTGAGAGTAGAAGTAGCTGACATACGGGACGACTGGATCACGGTAGGACAGATATGCGGCATCATTCCACCATTCATAGATCCAGTTCTTGTGTTTAGGATCCTCTCGTCTGGCAATCAGCTTCTCCTGCAGTTTGCTCCCAATGCCTCCGGGCTTTATGAATTCTTGGACCGCTATTGTCGTCGACTCGAGCTCGGAGGTGGAGAGTAGAGGGTGGACGGATTTGAGGTATCGAACTGCTGTCTCCTCTAGAGTGGGTACTGGCAGTTTGGGTAGAGACTCTTCGAATCGTAGCATAGGACCCTTGGAAGGGTCTTCCCTATAACCTAGATGGTGGTCAGCCAAAGTCCAATGCGGGGTAAATATCAGAGGATATTTTGCGTACCTGCTGGCAAAGAGCTGCTCTTCCGCACACTTACCGGTGCCATTGCTACGGTCTGCCAATATGTGTTAGCAACAAGAGAACAGTGGCATGGGAACCTCATAGACATACTCTGGACAACTGGGTCAAAGTGTACCCGCTTCTTAGCACCCGACCCTTCGCGAGTGTCCTCAACATTCCTCACACAGCGTTATCGAGTAGGGAGAAGAAGAAGAATCTTAGATTTGGGAATATAAAGTTCGGCCTTTTCTTTCACGAGCTTCAGTGGAGCGGACGATCAACGTTATGCTCATGTGGTTGGTCGAAGGGAGATGTCGGTAGTGCTTCCCCGATGAGCCGAGGTCAATTCCTCCCGAGTGCCTTGGAGATTCGGACACCCCACAGCCCAAAAGCCCCCTCGCACCAGCCACAGGGGTCCATATTGGCCAAATGATGCACAAATTTTGCCAGTGTGCATTCTGGCTGGAGCGGACCGAGGGAGAGTAAACAGCCGGCAGGGCCAAAAGAAGGAAACCTTTGAGGGTTACTGACGTATCATCAAGACCAGAACTGCCAGCGGCAAAAGCTGTGTATTACAGTGGTATTCTCTACATCACGCATGATAAGCACGTGAAATCTCGGACATACGGCACAGAGTTTTCTTCTCCGCAATGTCATGTCCCATGATCGATTTTGATCCGCTCCTCAGACGTCTCCGTACATGCTCTGGCCACCAGGGTTCCAGGGCTATCGTATCAAACGCCTTTGGAATCTCTGTAAATGTCGATTTTAGCCCTCCCAACGCCCCCGAACATGCTACCGGTCCATAGATCATACCATTCAAGATGTCAGTCCACAATTATCTTTTCCGCTTGCTCTTCCGTGTTGCAGGGACATCCACCTTTGCTTTTGAAGCCTTCGAGGTCTTTGGAGACGGTGTCCCGTCTTCCTCCTCGGCCTCTTGCTCGTCATCCTCGCCGGCTTCTTCTGTCTCTTCCGCCCCTTCGTCCTCAGTCACTGTGGTGTCCTTACTCTGCTGCCGGGAACTTGACTCTGCCTTAACTCGTCCCATGGACCGATTCGTACCCCTTCCCCCTCGAGCCATCTTCGGAGGGGGAGAATTCGCAGGAGATGTCCTAGTCTCATCCGTATCATCAACCGTGCTAGCACGATTCTTCGTTGTGACTGTGTCCGCTCTTTTACGTTTTCGGACAGCTTGCGGTACTGGTGAGGTTGATCTGCCCAGCCTGGGAGGCGAAGAGGGTGTTTCGCTAGTAGCATCTCGTTTGCCTCTCATGAAGGTACGTTCATCATAATCCTCCTCTGGGAGTTTGAATTCGAGATATTTGCCTTGGTCTTCGTACTCGAAAGAGTTCTCCCGGTCATCGATAATAGGGAGGTTATATAATGTTCCAAGCTTCTCCCATATTCCTGGTATGCGAGTGTGTTTCTCGACGGTAGGATCGTAGCCATGATTTCGAAGGTGCTCTGACAATGCAATCATGCGGAAGTGCTTGTGCATGCCTTAAATATAGTTAGTACCGTCCATGGCAATAGCTTCCTATGAGCTCACCAGCCGGCTTCCATTTGATGATTCCTTTGAATAATGACGTTTCCTGCTCGTCCGTCCAAGGGTCCTTCAAGATGTCGTATGCTGGCTTTTGTGGTTCCTCAGCTTTCTGCGGTTGCGGGGTGTCAATCACCATAGCATCTTCATCTGCGGTTGGTGTTGAGACCGCAGCAGCTGCTTTGGCCTTCTTCTTGGGAGGCATCTTGAAATCAACTGGGTCGTGGTTGATTGAAGCTGGTCGATGTCGCAAAGAGTTCAGGTGCACTTCCCGGCGCTGGGAGCTAAAAAAGCACCCCTGTAAAGTGCTGTTGCCAAAGCCGAAGAAGACGCGTCAACCTCAACCTCGACGCGCCCAATGAACTCATCGACAAAATGCGAAAATGATGGATGGTCCCGACAGCAAAGATCCTGGAGAAGTCTTTGCGATACCAGATCTCTATGGCCCTTCGAAGTTCTTGAGCGATGCTTTGCAGAATCCCAGCTTTTTATTTTCAGAACTGAAGCTTGATGGTTTTCCAACCCTTCCTCAACGAGAAATCCCCTGAACTGACGAGATCATAGATATTGACGAAAGGCTACCGGTCGTTGTAGAACAATCGCAACCTGCAGACGTCTTCTTCAGTATACCTGAGATCTCTTTTGGACCTACCGAGAACGTATCCACCCCGAGCCAGTCAGTCGGCTCCCATCAAGATATAATCGAAGTGCAAGAGGATGCTGTAAGAGACGGCGGAGAGGTCTGGCTGCTGCCAGACGAACTTATTGTGGCGACTGCAAATTATCAAAGTTGGGACGCATTTGAGAACGAGAAATTCAAGGAATTACGTACGCCTTATATTACAGAGGCTGGTCCCACCGCCTTCGATACCGCAGTCGCCGCAAAGGAGGATTTCCTAAGGATCGGAAACACGGATCATGTTGTGGTAGAGGCCAAAATTTATACTTCTTCAGTCCTGGCTCTAGGACTAGGAAGAAGCTCGGTGTTCTTTACCTGGGATGAAGAGAAGCTATCATTTGTTCCAACCCTGCCCAAGCTCAGGATATCCGGTTATTCTGAGAAATCACTGGGTGGACTTCTCACCACCTTCTTCGACTGTGGGAATATCACAAGGAACCTTCAAGGATTCATTGAAAAGACTTATTCTAGAAGCACGTCGTCAGGGCGAATTGCATTAGCAGATGCAGTCTCTACGTTGCTAGCAACCATTCAATCACGATTGAGTATGTCTGCGTCCACGTACCAAAGTATCCTTCAACTCCAATCGTTGTTTCAACCGGCTCATTCGATACTTACCTGCTTCCAGCGGATTGTAGTAAACATCTCGGCCACGCGTAGCGATGAGTCAATGTTATCAACAATCTTCGAGGAGATCCAGCTTCTAGAGCATCGAACAGATTCGTTGAGAGAAATACTTCTTGAGATACTGTCTCGTGTCTCCCAACCATGGCTTGAGTTTACTGGCGAATGGCTAGGGCTGCAACGAGAGGCTGGCCTGCCACTTACGAAAGATGGAAAGGGAAAGAGCTTTGTGAAAGTGGAGAATAAGGAATGGATCGATGACCAGGGCCTGAAATTACAGGAACCAGATTACTTTTTGGACATCGATAGAGTCCCTGCATTCATCCAACCTGATGACGCTCGTGCAATGTTCGAGGTTGGCAGGAGTCTCCGGTTTCTGCGTACTCACCATGCGGATCATCCTTTAGCAAGGGCAGATATCGTTGCTTCTGCCAATCCCCCGTCACTGCAGTGGAATTTCTCATGGCAAGATATAATACAAGTTGAAGCGAAAGCTTTACAGTACGAGAAAGACCTCACCAACGCACTACTCCGCTTCGCGACAGGGAGTTTAGCAACTTCTCCGATAGAAAATGAGCCGGAAGGTTGCAATTTTGCGTTGGACTTCTTTGGCAAGCCACAGGAAGATATGCAAGCTCATGTTCTGGCTTCAATCAACACGTTTGATCAGCCATTGAATGAAAGAGTGTCGCCGGATCGTCTCTCTCTTGGCCTGGATTCATATCTCACCTCGAAAGATGGAGATCCAGGCGATCATGATTCGATCTTTGCTCCTCCGATTTCACTTGCGCCAATACTTTCTTTCAATCCAATCATTGAGGCTCAAGCACGTATAGTAAACGGATCTTGTATGAGAATGTTCTTTAATTCTCACAAACTGCGGGAACACCTGTCCGTGCAGCGAAGCTTCCATCTCTTGGGAAATGGGATCTTCTCCAGTAGACTTTCCCACGCCTTATTTGATCCAGAGCTTGAGAGCGCAGAACGACACAGGGGAGTTGCACGTTCTGGGGGTATCATGGGTCTTCGCCTGGGAGGTCGAGATAATTGGCCTCCTGCAAGTTCGGAGCTTCGACTTGCCCTGATGGGTGTTCTAATGGACAGTTACACATCAACGGAGCCACTCAACGAATCTCATGCCGGCACATACCTCGATAAAACTTCACTCCCTGGCGACCTTTCGTTCGCCGTTCGCGATATGTCGCAAGAAGAGATCGAGAAATGCTTAGACCCAGACTCCGTCGAGGCCCTCGACTTTCTTCGATTATCATACAAGCCCCCTCCACCGCTTGAAGCTGTTATTACCCCTATGATTCTATTCAAGTATGATCAAGTTTTCAGGCTTCTTCTTCGTATGACTCGAATGCTTTACGTCGTCTCAGCTCTTTTCCGCGATGCTACACACCGGAGCTCATTCTGGCAAGGCAATGACTTTGTATCTCAACGTTTCCGCATTGAAGCCCAACATTTTGTCTCGAGTGTTTGTGGGTATTTCTTCGATACTGGCATTGAAGCAACGTGGCGAATCTTTGAGCGGAAGTTGGACCAGATTGAAAAACGAATCGGTGTGGAGGGTGACAAAATCACTTTCGGCCAGAACGAAGGATTAGACAAGCTCCGAGATTATCATGAGCGCGTCTTGGATAGGATCATGTTTGCACTTCTCTTACGGAAACGACAACAGCCAGTCCTGAAGCTTCTCGAGGAGATCTTCGCCCTCATTCTGCAATTTTCGAAATATTCTCGGCAGAGGATGCTGAACCAGGAGAAGACAACTGAAGCGGATGATGAGCTCAGAGAGATTTATGCGAAGTTTTACAAGAAGGTTCGGGTATTCATCACTGTGTGCCGAGGATTGAGTGAAAAGAAAGGGTACGGGGATAAGAGAACTTTGGACACCAGGACGCCTGGGCAAGGTCTTTTTGACGGCGATGACCTCGCCGAAGAGAATACTATAGCACATCTTCTGCTGACGCTAGAGATGTCGAATTACTATTCGAGGGATGCGTAGGATCAAATCAAAAGCTCATTCAATAATATCATATCACGTGACCACTGACCCCCCTGATCTTATACAATACAATGGCGCACAAGAATTTCCTGAGACTTTACATCAGAATGATGTTAGATACTTGTACTATCCCTGCTCATTTATAATATACACTTCCAGTGGTTCACTGTTTAATTTTGAGATTCTCCAGGTTCAATCAAAATTTAGCGCGGCGCCAAGACTTTGAAGCTCTCTCCAGATTGTTTATGTCACAAGACTCTTTGCCTCACAACAACATCCATCTGCGCCATTGACCTCGACCGCCATGCGACGGACGTTTCGACAGCTCGCGGCCGTCAAGCCCGCCAGATATCTCGAGCCCGGGACTCCCACCGGCCTCACAGGGCTCAGCACCCACCCAGCGCCCCGCTCCACGCTCCTCTACCTCTACTCCAGCACGCTCGACAAGCTGAAAGAAATCCCCGAGTCGTCGCTATATCGCCAATCGACCGAAGCGCTGACCAAGCATCGCATGTCGATCGTCTCTGCCGTCGAACCCGACGGCTACAAGGAGTGGTCGGAGAAGGCGAAGAAGGTCATCGCGGAGCATCCTGAGGTGTTCAATACGCCTGAGGGCGGCGTGGATTATGATATGGGGAGGCACTTGAAGATTTTGAGGGATGGGAAGGTGTTTGTTAGGAGTAAGACTGATCAGGAGTTTGACGATACGACGCAGGAATGGGATGGGGAGGAAAATTTGGGACCCGAGTTGGAGGGAACAAGATCTACGGAAGACAGGAAAGGGCAGAGTGTTTTGGGTATGAAGAGGCCGGTAGAGGATACAAAGACTATTCTCTGGGAGGAGGAACCTGCATTGACTGCCGAACAGTAGGTATACGGATCTGCGGATGTGCTAATGGGGCTAACTTGGCATAGAGTCTCTGATTTGGAGACTAAGATTGGTGCTGGTCTAATTGAGGAGGTCATTCAAGTTGCTGAGGGAGAGATGAAGCTTGTAGATGTTATGGTGAAGTCAAAAGCGTATGTTTCGCTCTCTGCGTTCATCTGGGTACCTGCTAACCACGCTCCGCAGATGGGAAGATTTAGAGGAAAAGCCTGTTGAAGGACAGTGGACATATTTCATGCGAGACACCGGCACACCTGTCACACAACCTCCACCTCAAAAATAGACTCGACATCGGGACAGGGGATGTACACTATCAGAGACTTGTAAATAGATCATACAACGATGTTCCACTAGGCGAGGCTTCTGTGTCGGTGACCCCGAGGTTTGTTCTCATCCGGATCCTTACTTGTGAGTTGACAATCCAGGTATCAGGTATTTACAGAAAGGATTGTTGTTGGATGTCCGAAGGATGAAGGCCCTTCGGAGGCCGTTTCGGATTGGTAGGTAATGATTGGGCAAGAGTTTTGTGCGACCGCAGCTATCCTCTCGCCCAGTACTCACGGCAATCGAAGGCGCGCCGTTGTTGGACTGTTGGACCGTTTGACGATATGAGCTCTTGGGTCTCAAAAATCGGCGACAGCTAGACGCTCAGCTGTCCCTTGAGTCCGACAAGTTGACAGCCTTCAAGCTTCAGCGAATTTTCAAGGCCCCTTCTTCCATCACATGATACTCGACCTGCGGACTTTTGCAATTATTTTTCTAATGCGACCGCTCGGTCCGGCTTTGCGATTCGGGCGATGTTTATAATGGGGCAGAAAACGCATGAAGAGATTTGGTGCTTACGCCATGCGGGTGTATTTTTACTCTTTTGTGCAGGATTGCAAGGAACAGCCACACCCACACAGCCTGCATCGCCACGGATCTGACTTTCGCCAAGGCTGCGCAGCTCTAAAAAAATCGTATTCCTACCAACTACCAACGCACCCAACTGACCAAGCCCCGGGTTATCTCTCGAGCAAGGCGACACAGTTTGAGTAAAATATGTGTACTCTAAGCTTTCTCAATGGATAGTTGCCCTCAGAAAAGCGGGCCCGGCTTCTCCTTCGAGGCTGATCCCACAAATCCCTCTGTCCGACCAAGCCTCTATTCTAGTCTCATTGGATGCAAGTGCTCTACATAGGCTACAGTCTCCCACACCTCTCTCATCTTCAACTCTTTCGAAGCTTTGCCAGGAAATCTGCCGTCATGGGCACTTCAACTCTTTTCCAAGGAGACGAATTCAAGGGTTCCAATCTCTGCGCCGCTCTTCCAGAAGAGTCAACTCTGCAACTCGCCGCTAACAACATCTCACTGATGGATATGATATATGGGGTTCTCGGCCAAGGGGACGGTCCAACATCACCGACTTTGCCAATAACGGTAGAGCACAACTTGAGCAAAGCCAAAGTATTGCAATGGGCCAGTTCCCTTTCCGAGTATCAGTCCCCGGTCGATACGACTCCTCCGCCAATATACCCTGAATATGACCACTCTACACCCCAGAGTCCGTCTCCCATGGGATCGATGTTTTCGGATTCTTCAAGCCACAATTCGAGTTCAGGTCCTAAAACACCAACTCGTACAAATCCCGTTCCAATGATTCGGAAGAAGTTCAGCTGGGAAAAGGCAGAGAGAACTCCAAATCCAACGACGAAAAGACCATCAACAAGCCACAACCGTACGAACTCGTCCCCGTCACCCAGCCCAGTTCCAGCAATGAAAGCCACCATTACCAGTCTAGTGGATGACTTCATGCCAGGATTCGTACCAGACTTCGAGCCGGCTCCAGTCAAAACGAAGCACACAAAACCTCCCGTTCTCAGGATCTCTACTAAAGTGCCTCCGTATCCAGTCGCCCCGACTTCCAGACGCCCTGAGCTCGTCTACCCTCCTTCATTGCAGCATGGACCTCAAGTCGCTCATCTTGTATCTCCCCAATCATCAACCCACAGCTCTCCACTCAGACGCTCATCAGAGATCAGGAAGAGTCCCCTCAAACATTTGCACGGGAATTTCTCCCCTCTCAGACAATCAGTGCCTCATCCACCAGGGAGTACTCTCAGCCAAGAACGCCCTCGTCTTCAAGCTAGACATTCGATCTCATCGTCTCCTAACAGACCAGCTCACGTCGATGGCAGCCTCCGAGGTGGCCCAAGGCCGCCGGTCTTATCAGTGGTTATTGAAGAGCGCCCACAGATTCCAAGTACGAGTGCTTCAGTGTACTCATCAGCGACTCGCAAACCGTACGACAACAAAGGCCAGTACCGAAGGAAGAGTACGACCACACCCTCACCCGCAACGATGCTTTTGATGACCCCAGAATACCTTCGGAATCAAGCCAGATATTCGATGATGCCTCTTCCTTTAAGGCCTCTTCGGACGGAGCAGCGCATCCTTTCCCCAACCAGAGTTCCACCCAGTATTCCTGTCGATATCGTGCATAAAATGCCATCCCCAACCAGACCACCACCCAGTATACCTCTCGAAACCGAACAACAGGTGCCTAGTCAAATCAAACACTCATTAATGCCTCTACCCAACAAGCATTTTCTAGTGGAGCAACAGAAAGAGGCCCCGATCAGGCACTCATTACCAGCACCGGCGAGAAGAACACAGCAGGAATTAGAGGCGATCCCAGAACCGGCCTCGGCCAAACCAGGAGAGCCAACAGTCTTTGGGACAGATCTTGGCATTTGGGACACGAAAGGACTCTTTGCGGGGGAGCAGGGACTGCAGTTCATGATGTCGAGGCGAGTCGTCAACATGTCGAAAATGGAGTGGGAGATCCTGAGTCCAGGTGGATCTCGCGTCTTAAAATGCTATGAACAGACGAATACGCTGAGCAGGAGACGGGATTTCTTTGATGCGGAAGGAAATCAACTCTTTGATTTCCAGAAGAGAATTGGGAGTACGAGGACTGCTGAGTGCCCAAGGGGCTCAACTTTGTTTGTCATTAAGAATGGTTCATTGCATTGTAAGTTCCCCGATATCATGATCCATGTGCTACTACTGATTTGACTAGTGAGCCCACACTGGACCGTGAGCTTGGGGAGCACCTACGACAATGCTAGTACACAATGGGTAGCAAAGGGAGATGAATCAATGGGGAATGTTATTGTGACTTGGGGCGGATTCGAAGTTGGTCGTATATCGAGCGAATCGGGGCTCAAAATGCATATGGTTTGTCTCGCCCTCATTGCATCTCGTCAGCTCTTTGCTAATGAAGACCAGTATCATGTGAGTATTGCACCGGAAATGAACTATGCCGTTATGGCTGCTTTGACTGCAGTCTTGGATGACTTAAGAACGGATGAAGGCTGCTGAAAGGCTCAGTTCAGGATTTCTAGGAGTCGGTTTGCATGGAGTATTGGAAGGCACGTTGGAGTCAAGGTTTTGGGCGTCTTGCAACTGATACCACTTGTCGTTTAGTCAATCGTTGATTTTGTATGAACAATTCATTCTGTCAGTGCATCATTCTTGCCTTACCCACCTTCTTTGACATGAGGACTGGGTTACAGGTGAATCGTCACGTGATATTAAAAGGGGCTCCATTCGAGGAGTCAAGCTCGTCGACAAGACAAAGTATGGAATTTTCCCAAATTTCCTACTACTGGTACCAGACTGTGCCCGACTCCGGTTCTATCTGCCGTCCACAGATTAGCAACTGTCGTGTTGCGGTTGCCGCCGCCATCGTGTGATTTTGAAAACTCGCGTGTTTTTTTAAGATGCGATTTCGACGGAGCCTGCGCCTTCACCAAGAGCGTGCAATCGTAATCGCGAATTTCTCCTCCGGCGATATGAGTACTAGTATGAGGATACCTACACCTGGCGGTGGTACCTCCGGCTGAGCCTTAGCCTAGACTTGACGGTGCAATAAAATGTGACGGCATCTCACATTTTGCTGTGGAATCGTTCTTTTGAAATATTTGAAGTCCTCTAAAACCCTCAGGCTGCGCAACGTCGCAAACAGCGAGGCATCGTATGATATTCTCGCTCTCCCCGCATTTTTCCTGAACCCGGGTTTCCGGAAGGGGAGTGTTTAAGGGACTTCTGCAAAGCACAAACGAGGATCACTGGCCCCCGGCTGCCAAATATTGTTATCCTTCTGTATTCGTCTGGCTGTTTCTTCTGTGCCGGTACATCGGGGTACGTACTGGACAGTATGTAAGCACACGGGATCACAGATTCGCCACCCTACTGGATACAAGAAGGTTGCCTAGACACCCAACCCCAGGTGTGTCTCAAAATAATGTATTTTGTACTTGAAAGGAAGTTCACGGCACCCACTCGAACGAGTTTTGCGTATCCTACACCCGAAGAGGCGGCTTACTTTGCAGCAAAAAAACACGACCATCTTACGGTTGTGCGCAACATGTGAAATTTTTGAGGCACACTGCGGCAAAGAAGTCAAGGGAGAGAAAAATAAGCGATTGGAGAACGTATATGCTTTTCAAAAGGGTAGGAAATGTTCTACGTATTGGCCATACAATGGCACTTGCCAACCCGTTGCAAGAGTGGCTGGTCTCATATCCTGAATATCGTCAACTTGACCACAAAAGATGGATTTCGAGGGTCCCGACTCACGCTTGCTTCCTCAAATGATTATAATACAAAGCATCCGCACGAAAGCCGTTACTTCCTCAAAGAAGCTCCGCTCATCAACCTCAGCATCCTTTTTCTCTCCTCAACTGAGGGATTCTCATACTCCCCTTTCCTCGCCTTCTTAAACCCCCTTTTCTCCCACTCTTGAAAGTGTTCGACCTGAATCTTATGCCACGGCACATTCAGATCTTTCGACACCCTATTGAGAGTGACGGCGGAGTCAGTCATTGCTCGAACGGTGGGGAATTGATTCGTCCCACTACTTACCTATCCTTCCAGTAGTTCTTCCCATCACAATACTCAGGGCTCTCCGGCGCTTCTCCGGGCTCAAAGAATATGGCAGCCATCTTCTTCGCATCCTCTTGCGCCTTTCCAACTGCACGGTCCATACCTCTGATCATCTTGGCCTTATTGTAACGCGTCGGCTCCATCGTGTGCTACTGCGTCCCACGAGTACTCGAAGCCGGATTCATCGTACGTAGGTGAGCCTTTAGGTCCTTTGTCGAAATAGACGTAGAGCCTGGAAGACGAAGTTAGATGGGAGTATCTATTTCGTAGTTACAATACTTACCCGTGGAAAACATGATCCTCGTTCTCGCGCACGAACTGCTTATACTCTTGGTCCTTCTCCCACGCTGTCTTTCGGACTTTCTTCCCTGGCGGTCCTTTGAATGGTTTGATATCCGGTTTGACGTCGAAATTCACTGTTTTGATGGGACCTACGCGTCCTGGTGTCCTCTCATAGGAGGGCAAATGTGCCAATTCAGATTCGCCAGGTTGCGGCGACCAAACCTTCGACGCAGCAGGTGGCGTTGATGGCCGATGTAAATTCTCCTCGTTATAATCTTCTTGCGCCTCATTTTCTGCCTTTCTCTTCTTGCTGACGTTCGGTTTTTGCAGTGACTTGGATGTTTGGGATCTCTCCGCTTTTGGGTTGCTATTGCTCTCCTTAAGAGCCTGTCCACTGCGGAGAGAAACCATCTTGAGCTGGGAGACCAAGGGAAGCAATTAGAATGAAATTCAAAGTGTTGGGAGAGTTGGGAGAAGAAGGGAGAAGGGGATGTTACCTTAATCTTAAAGTTGTTTACTTATGACGTCACTGGCGCTCTTCAGATTCGGTCAAATCTTCGAGACGCGAACCGCGTCTGTGAACGCGCCACGAAAGTATCACAGTGCTTTTGAGTCTCTTAAATAAGATTATTTGTACAATTGCTGATTGAAGATCAACGGAGTATTCCATGAGCTTTCCAACGAGGAGCAGGGCGGGTGTGAATCTCAATTAAACATCACATGACTTCGCACTTGAGACCACATAATTCAAGATCCATGCACTGTGGCTTATTATTAGTCTATCGATGACCTTACCACCTCCTTTCATATTCCCAACAGTTCCTACAACAACCATCTAATCACATCGGGACAACATTACACCCATTCGGCCCCCTAGGATCCACCGTCCCATTCGGCATCATTCAAATCGCCTCCTCGATACTAATCACATATGCCTGCATCGGAAGGTACATCTCAAACAACCAAGTAGTATCCACACTATCCAAACACGCATCCTTCACGATATAAATCATATAATGGCGATCACTCAGACTCCGCATCGTGCTTAGGATGGCCCCGCTTGTCAAAATCCCACTCAGCACCACTCTCTTCACACTGTATGAATCAAGTAGTGTGAGCATATCCGAGTTATAGGAAGCGTTGAAGCGACACTTGATAAATGGAAATTTGTTGGGTTGGGGGACGAAACCGGTAAAAGCCGGAGGTGTTAGGCTGTAGGACGTTCTGCGAGGTGTACAGTTGGAAGCCTTTGTTGTAGGGTGAGAGCTCGGGGTAGCCGGGCGGGAAGGCGATGCGGCAGAAGCATGTTATGAGGAGGTAGGAGCTTGAGGCATGTTGTTTGCGGACAGTGGAGAGGAGGGTAGAGGAGGCGTTGGGAAGGAGGTTTTGTTTGGGCTATTGGAGGCTAATGCGATTACTGCATCGACGTAGCCGAGGAAGAAATATGCGGTTTGAGAGTCGAAGGGGACATTAGTGAAGTTAAAGTTTGAAGGTGTTCCGGTTGTGGTAGTAGAGCTTACAGTAATGCTGATCCAGCTGCGCCGAGGATAACGAGCGCAGCAAAATGCATGATGATATTGTACAGATCTTGAGACTGCAAAGAACTCTCTTCGTCCGACAATGCTTTGTCCTCAAACTATATGATTCGCCATCAGTGACGACCATGTAGATTGTGACGTATTCCCTTTCTTGCAAATGCAATGCAACCCACAACCTCGGCAGTTGTCAGAATTGCCGTTGTGGTGCCCGACTCGTTTTTAGCCCAGCAAATCCCAAACATGCTGCTAAAATGTAGCTATGTGTAGCTAAAAGCTCGTACAACATTGAGATAGCTCAGACATGCGATATTCAGTTATTCCTCCTCATCAAAAAGCCGTTTGAGGCCATCGTAGCGGCTGAAGACCTCGCCCTTGTCGTCGCAGACCGCTCCAGATTCCAGGAAGCCATCACATAGCAAGCCGTCTTCCCCAGGATAGCCTATCCAGTATTCATCGCCTCGTAGATGTATCGTTTCAAAGCCATTGTAGTCCTTGTTCCAATGGCTAAGCAAGCATAGTCTGGCGGTGGGATTCCACTTTTGACCAATGCCTAGACTGTATTTTCTGATGTGTTCCGGGAATACTGAATGATATTGCCGAGCGACATCTTCGAGTTGATAAAGAATCTCAAGGCCTCTGAAGGATTTTTGCTTGTGTCTCCTGCTTGGCAGTATGTCATGTCGAAAGAATTCGTAATCTGTGAGATTTGAATCCACCTCAACAAAATGCAGTTCATCGTCACCCCACAGCCTGTCCTGCTGCTGCTCCGCTACATGCATCTGCGAGTTCGGGAAGACTGTCAAAGTCCGTAATTCAGGACAAGCAGCTTGCAGAGCAATGAAGAGAGCTCCTCCATTGTCGTGCGTTACATTGAATGCCAGGGCCAAATGCTTGACTTTGCTTAGGCCAACAAAGCGCGTGTAGATTTCTGTCATGAACTCCATATCTGGCAAATCGAAAAGGGAGCGGTCAAGAATATCGGATCCTGACTCTTCTGTTTGCGGGGCAGTGATATCTATAACAACCGTGTCGATGTCCAGATTGGCATAAAGTATTCGGGCGGGATTCTCCAGCAGGTCGGGTCCATGATGGGGCCGATTGAGACGGACATAATTCAGCTGCACTACCTCTCGAGCCTCGCGGCAGACGCTCATGAGGCCCAGTTTCTGATTGTGCTTCGCACTGTGGGTCAGAATTCGAGGTCCTGGTAGAGCATGCTTCCAGATCAGTTGTCGTATCTCGGATGGGAAACGCTTGAAAAATGTAAAAGCTCCACGAAGAGGTGGTTCCAAGCCTTTGAATCTTGGAAGATTCGGATATGCGATCCCCTGGATCAGGTTGAGAGATGTTAAACGCCTGGATTCTGGACCAGTCAGCGAAGATAGACATTGATATGAGTACACTTACCAGCAACAGGGCCGTGTTCCACCGCTTCATCATGGCGACGGATGTTATCGCCCAACTCCTCAACAATTTGCTTCGCAAGAGTGATTGCTGTATTGCGTGTTTCAAGGCGATCATTCCAATGGGAAAACTCGCTCTCCATGGAATCCATGAGCTCTCCCCGCTCCGCGAGGGCATTTATGCAGAACTCTTGGGTTTTCTCATCGAGATCATCGAGAGAGAGTTGGGCAATGGCCAATCCCCTGATCCTCAGTGCCCTGTATAAGACCTGGAAAGTCGCGTCTTTATTTTCCTCAAATTGAACTTTGTGGATTTCATACTGCGATACGATATATAACCACTTTTCTCTAAGTCGCACCATTTGCTCTCTTGAGAGTGGTTCATCCACAAAAGCTGATTCACAGTTAGAGACAGAATCCAGTGTTCACGTGAGTGCCTCACTTGGAGTAATGCCAGTCAACTTTGAGCTGTGGAGATATCGCTTCACCGGCGGCTCAGAAGCCTCGTCTTCTTCGGCGCAGACTCGTTTCCTCTTTTGAGTCTTCTCCGAGATCATGGAGATGGGTCGGATGATGGGACGATTGGAGATGTCCATCTCGCGCTCTAGTCCCCTAGCCCCCTGGCGGCTACCGTGCAAGATTCCAGCCTAAATTCAATGCTTTCGCTGCTTTCGGACCTCGAAATATGCGCAGGAGTCGGATGGTTGTGGTTGGAAGGAAGGATGAAGCTCCGACGCGACGAAACGCGAACCGATGAAGTTGGAGTAGTGCAACAGCAGCTCCTCCCGGCTGCCGTGCAGGAGTAATCAAATATGATTAGCCGAGACAGGTAGTCACACCCCAGCCGCAAACTTTCTCACGACAAGTATTGCAAATTTGCAAAGATCTAGAGAAAGTCAAGTACAGTTGTCATTGTTAGCCATCATGGCCACCGTCCCCAAGAGTTACGGCAATGTTGCCGCCGTGCTTGAGCAAATCCCCGCTCGGCTTAAGATAATTGACAGGCCAATTCCCAAGCCTGGTCCCGATGAGATTGTGGTTCGTAATCATGCAAGTATGTAGTGCTTCGTGAACTTCACTTGTTCAAGCAGTCCGCTTTCCAGCACCTGCCAGAATTCTTGTATATTTCTGAGTTGGAATTGTTTACGCACGTCCAGCTCATCCCCGAAGCAAGAAAAACTTGAATACTGATCACATCGCAGTTGCAGCGAATCCAGCTGACTGGAAAATCCAAGACTATGGGTTCCCAATCACTAAGTTTCCCACAGTTCTCGGCAGCGACTCCTGCGGTGTGATCGTTGCAATCGGAGACTCAGTGACCAAGTTCAAGGTCCGTGACAGAGTCGCTGGATTTGCTGGGGTAATCTACAACCAGGACATCAATCATGGAGCTTTCCAAAGCTATACCCTTCTTCGAGACATTGCAACCACGAAAATCCCTGACAATATGAGCTTCGAGGAGGGATCAGTGTTCCCGATGGCTATGGCAACATCATTAATCGCACTCCATGTGTGTCTTGGCATCCCAAGATCTACTGGACCCATTACACCCCAGCAGTCAGGACTCCTGATCTGGGGAGCCTCGTCCTCTGTTGGCACTTCTGCTGTGCAATTGGCTAGAAATCTGAGATTCAAAGTCTTCGCAACCGCCAGCCCAGCCCATCACCAAACGCTCAAATCCCTGGGTGCATTCGAAGTCTTCGATTACCACGACTCCTCAGTGGTAGATAAAATCGTTGCAGCAGCAAAATCTGCCGGCACTCCCATCACTCTAGGATTTGATAGCGTCACCGAGGGAATATCATTCAAGCAAGCCGCTGATGTCCTGACTGCTTCCGGCGGCAAGGGAGGGAAATTGGTGTTGGCTCTGCCGCAGCCAGAGGGATACGCGCCTGAAGGCATTGAGATCTCTCAGACTATTGCGGCCAGGTCTTTTATGGACCAGGCAGAGCTAGGGAAATGGTTCTTCAATGACTATTTGCAGGATTGTTTGGCGAATGGGAGTATCGTGTCGGCTCCTCGATTTGAGGTCGTGCCTGGAGGAATCCAAGCTGCTCAGAACGCGCTCGACAAGTTGAAGGCTGGGGTCAGTGGGACGAAATTGGTTGTTACGGTAGACTGCGGTCATCATTGATTATCATGATAGTCTTCGAAAAGCGCAGAACAGAAAGATGCCCGCAAGGAGTAATGGTTCAATTGGTATGATTCCGGCCATCAAGGGCCATGTGCGTGAGCTCACGTGCCCTTCATCTCAGCATATCTTGAAATCGCATTCTATAGCGTAATTCATATCTGCGATGTTCTAATCGGGATTTGGTCTTTCTTTCCCCGCTCAGTTATCCTCGTAGCCAGGGCTTAACTCGTCTTGACTTTCTATATTCCGTAAGCCGTAAGTTATTCCGAATTTGACACACAATATACTTTACGCAGCATGTCTCCCTGCTCTGTCGGGGGTGGAGGCTCAAGTTGAGTGCGTAAACAAGTGATTCTAAATTCATTATGGCTCTTATAACCAAATTTAGCGACTTCTGGTCAATAGAGATCTCTAGTCGTAAGCATAGCGCAAGTTAAGTTTCTGGACATACATAGTATGTGCCCGGCTCTAACATCTACTGAGGTAGCGAAACTATCTACCAATGTAGTGACTTGAGTAACGGCGTGTGAAGATGATATGCTCTGCCACAAGTAAACCAGCGACAGCGAGTTTCTTGGTCCTAACGGATTTCTTTTGAATTTTTGATCCTCTCTCTGGACTTTCCTTCCGGGATTTTTGCGGGTTTGTGGGCAAATTTTTGAGATATGTTTGAGGGGCTGTCGCTTAGAGGTGGGTTGTTTACTTCCAAAGTTCGGGTAATTCAGTAGACTCTACGAAGGCTGCCTAGGAGGGTTACGGTATAGGAAGACGACTTTGAATTTGCCCTCTTTTGCTCCTTTTTCTGGTGCTTTGGGCAATCTTGGGCATGGGGACATTAGCGATTTCCAAGGAAATCTTGGCTCGCGGATTCACTTAACTTCAAATGTGACTGATAATTATCGATATTTGAAGGTGAATGTGATGAAAACCCCGCCGTGTCTGGCCTTTCGAATTTCAAATTTCGTAGGAAATATATTAAAGCGATGCTGTCCAACTAATTTCAGAATTCCCTTGCGCGGTAAACAGCTACGAAGGATCTGCCACTTCTCTCGCGGATCACGGCAACACTTCAAGAAACCTCCACAATCTCGATCCAAAATGGCCCGCTCTACCACATACAACACCACCGAGCTCACGACAACCCCCAAAATCCACCTCTAGCAGGCTCGGACATTGGGGTCTGGCTACGGCATTCAGCGTACTGAAACCGCAAATGCGGATATTTGCAGTTTGCACGGTCTCCTCGGCATCATTCTCTTTTTTTGCCTTTTTTATGCTTGTTCTACTCCCTCAAAGAAAATGGATAAGCATGATGAAATGAGAGCACATTGGGATGTTCGTGAGTGCTATCTATCTTGTTCTGCGTTGTTGCAAAACATTAATGAAACAGCTCGATGAGCTCAACTTTGTGAAACGGGTACATACTGGGCTAAGATATATACCAGCCTATTGAGAAGTGGCAATATTTGGCCGTTATGCCGAATTGAATGCAGTCCGATTTTAGCCATCATGTTTCTTAGGGCTTTCTTCGCTGCTTGGCCGGTTCGATGGGGGTTCCCTTTTGGCAAGAATTCAGCAATGAATGGGGAACCGTTCCTTTGGCCATCGAAACTTGCCGCATTTCTTTCTTTGCTAGGGTTTATATCAGCATTAGACTCGTAGCTTCCTTTATTGAAAGCAGAAAGGGTAAAGGGTAAGGGGGTAACCTAGTCATGTGTAAAAGGCCGCTAGTCCTCGACTAAGCTAAAAGTGTACCGCAGAAAATGAGAACTTGGATGAGTCAAACCCAAATATTAAAAGAAACGTTTTCTTCTCTCGTGAATCGCGTCCCAAGACACGAACAATTTCATCGACAACCATTGAGACGTCGCCATGGCCTCCTCACCTGCTTCCCGGCCCTTGGCTTGGCTTGACGGTGACCTGGCGCTGCCTCATATTCCGAAGTTCACACCCAGAAAACCCAAACGCCGCGACAAGTCCTCAAGGCAGATATCAAAGGTGCTGCACCTTGCTCGTACCCTCACGAGAAAGAAATCCCTAGCAGATAAGCCTCCCGCCGCAGTGGACCATCCAACTAAAAGCAACCATTCCCCACCTTCAGTACCCAACCTCAAAGGCACCATAAACCCCGCTTTTGTCTATAGTCTCCAAGTCTCGACCTTGATATCGCGAGACAGAGCCATGCTTCAAGGAAAATACTCGTCAACATCAGAAACAAATTCATCGGATTCTACAATTCTTCAGAGGAAAAGAGCCCTCGAGCATGCCAAGCTTGTCGCGGAGCAGATGGGTCAGAGGTCAAGCAAACGGTGTTGTGTAAAACGATCGGAAAAGACTTCAGACAAGGAGTTGGAGATATTTAGATTTACCGACCTTCCAACGGAGATACGGGATATGATTTACACGTTCTATTTCACGAACAACAGCGGAGAGAAGCCAAGCCTAATGTGGGCTTTTAAGATCGATGGGGTGAAGATCAACGGAGATTTCTACAATGCTGCGGAGAAGGTTTACTACACCATCAATAACTGGACCTTCAACATCAGAGATTGTCTCCAGAACTCGATTCTCGGGAATATGGACCAATTCCATGTGGAAATGATCAAGAAGATGAGAATTGAGATCCCGTAAGTCTTCTTCCCAAATGTTCGTTTCCAACATTTCTGACTAGAAGAATAGCAGAGATTTCCAAGATTGCACAAACCTCTTGAGTTCCCTGTCTAGAGCCCTCAATATCAGTGACTTAACACTGTACGCTCAGTCAGATACCGGCATTCGAAGAGCGCTTCACGAACTCATGCCCGGCTTCAAGCAACTTCGAAGGATCACCCTCTGTATCGACCTTCGCAGGGAGACCAATCGAGCACGGAGATCCAGACGAGCTTATGCCTGTCAAGAGGCCAGAGAGATGTTTGATAAATTGCTTGGTCAGGAGGGAAGATTTATTCAGGAAGCGCCCCGAGTGCAGGAGTGGAGGTGGGAGACGAATGACTTGAAGGTGTTCAAAATTTCCTGCCCGAAGAAGCACATCAAATTTGAATAAGATTGGCTAAACATTCCGAAACCTAGCACTGGTCGTATCCTAGGGTTTCACAATCTCTTTCTTCCTATGGTGGTATCTTTTCTTAACAGCTATTCCCTGCTCTTTACTTTCTACGATCTTCAATCCTGTTGCACTAACTTGACTTTCCCAACCGAAGGTAGTGGCTGTCACTGCAAATGGTTCCTCCTCTCGAGTACACGGTCCCAAAGGACCTCAAGTCTAATGAACTAAATTCCCATTCACGCCTGTGGTATGATGTGTGCTTAGGTATCTCAAATTCCCCCCCAACAGATTTTCTTCAAATTTCCACACAATTTTCAAGCACAATTCCATGCGGGTCAGCCCTCCTCTACTAGACTGCAATTTCCACTTGTGAACCTTTGTTTTCATCAGCGCAATCACTGCCCTGTTCATAGTTATCTATGTGCTTTACGATGTCATTTGGGGTTTCCCTAACAAAAAGAAATACGCTCGAATTATAAACATCCTCCGCAAGCTGGTGGAGAAAGGGCAAGGGGAATCCGACGACAGATGCCTCGATATGTATATTGAGGTTTGTGAAGACAATGCGGGGAAGTTCCAGCTGCAAGTCTTGGGTGGGACTGCTGAAGTTCATGAGCATTATATGAAGATGGGGGCTAGGAGGCTGTGGAAGGAGGCGAAGGAACTGGAGGACAAAGCTGAGGAGAAGACTTTGGAGGAGAAAGCGGAGAGTGTGGATAATCTTTGAATCGAGCGATATGTGAACGTAAAGAGAACGAGTATCTGGATTACCCCCAAAGTTTCAGTCATTGATTTCTCATCATTGTTCCCCGGGCCCTCCCCAAAACTCAAGTTCCCACTCCCCACGTCGCCCCTTCACTTCTCCTCTTTCCCGCGTTTTTCATACTCCTTCCAAACCCGTGTAACGCTCTCAGGAATCTCAATCAATAATTTTCCACCATCAATAATAATTTTCCTCTCCCCTTCCACCGTTCCCGGCTCAACCCTCTTAAACCACACCTCTGCATCTCGATCCAAAAACCTCTTCTCATCAACCATGACTACCTCACGATAATAATCAGTTAACCATTGCGGATCCTCAACCGAACTATCACTGGGTGGCTTTTCTGCAGCTCCGGCCCATGGACTCAGGTCTAGGGTCGAAGGGGAAGAAGTGGTGGTCAGGGGGCCGTGGACCTGTGGTGTGTGAGAAGGGAAGGGGAATGGGGTGGAGAAGGTGGCTACTTGTGCATAGTATTTCACCCCGCTGTATAAAAACATGGGGGTTACTATTGCGGCATGTGCGTACCAGAGGTCTGAGAATTGCTGCTGAGTTAGACCAGGTTTAGACTTGATGAGTGCTTGGTTGTTTGGCATGATTTAGGTTGCTTGAGAGGGCACTTGATGAATGGAGAAACCGACGGATTGGAGTTGAGAAGTGAAGGAGGAGAGAAGATATTTAAGAACTAAACGGTGTTCGTTGTATTGAGTTGAAGTTGGACTGAGGTTTCCACTTGAAGTCGGCCGCTTTGTGGATGCTTGGCATGAACACTGGCCAATCACGAATCCCAGCATTCCTAAAGGGGAAAGAGGGGTCGCCTGCCTAAACTTCTATCAAGAGAGGAACATATGGTTTTATATCTTCTCAAATCAAGCTTGAAAATCTCAGGATGAGAGTATGAGGTAATTGAAAATCTGTTCGTAAATACTTGAACTTCTTCCTCAAGTCTACACTCAAGTTAAACACTTCAATTCATCTTCTCTACCATACCTTTGAAGCACAGAGCTCTCCAGATCTCACTTTCCCCCTTCCTCCCCCCTCGCCTCATACCCCCTCCAAACCCTCCACACCTCCTCCTCAACCTCAATCCTACTCTCCTCACCCTCAATAACCACCCTCCTCTCACCCTTGACTGTCCCCTCACCCACCTGCACCAAATGCTCCGTCGCAAGACTCTCCAACAACCTCTTCTCATCCTTCAAAATCACTTCTTCGTAGTAATCTTTCTTCCACTGCGGCATAGGCGGGTCCGGAGCGAAGATCTTGAGCACGTCTTCTGAGGGAATTTCTGCGGCTCCCGAGAAGGGGCTTAGGTCGAGATCCGGGGTGGTGTTTGAGAGGGGGGCGTGTATTTGGGCGTAGTAAGTTACTCCACTGTGAAGGAAGAAAGGTACCACGAGCTGGGCGTGTCGGCCGTACCAGCTATCTGAGAATTCTTTGGGGGTGAGAGCTGGATTGCGCTTGAGGAGACCTTGGTTGATTGGCATGGTTGTTTCGAGACTTGACTTGTCACATGAACTAATAGAATATATGGAGGGAGGTTTGGATATTTGGGATAATGGGTTTGAAGAAGAAGTGGACTAATGAGACGACGAGGCTGGGAAAGAACGAGGCTTTGACTGAGACTCGGAACAGCTTAATCGGAAAAGACAGATATAGCGATTGTGGAATGCATGACCGCATTAGCGTAAAGTCCGACCTACGGACGTGGAGCATCTCATTGGTCGCAATTCCTGCAGCTCTGATTGGTTTGCCCTGACAAAGGTTGTTTCTACATCTTCAACACCGTACATCCCAAACATATCCCGGTATCGTTTGATTCGTGACACGCTCATATAAGGTTCTGATCTCCTCCTCGGCCATTTCGAAGAAAGCTTCGGCGAAGCTATACTGACCATACCCCGCAGAAATTGCTAGGTCGCCCCGACTTCTGAGTTTCGATGATGGCTGAGCAAGACAATACCTTCAACTCATCCTACCCCCTGTCGTTGACATCGTTTTGAAGTCTTCCCGAGATTCCTTCATGCCTTCCATCTCGGCTTTCGCCTCTGCTCGTCAGATCACCAGATAACTTTGTGATACTTCAATCTTCGTCATCCTCCTCATCGAACCTTCCCTCTTTACTAGAAGCAATCTCATGTGCCATGACTCCAACTCTCGGAAGCCTTGGATCTGGCTTCGTGCGCCATGTTTCGATATCCTTTCGCTGGCTTAAATGCTCAGCAACGACAAACGCCTGCCTGATGCCAACGGACTCCCCAATATCTCGTAGCCTCGAGATGACCCATTGTCTGATCGGTTCAGTCGTCACATCCATGCCTCCACAAAGATAAAGTGGCCACAAGACAAAGTATGCTCGGGAGCCTTCTAGCAACGAGACTGGCTTGGAACTGAAAGCCAGAGGAGTGTGGTGAGGAACGCTGGCTAGGATATCGGATCGCATCTGCACCATGGCCTCCAGCGAGCTGTCGTTCTGAGCCGCAATCTCGTATTCTGTGAATATTGGTGTCATCGCAGTACTTGCGGAAAGCAACTGGTCTCGAATAGTTTCGTGGAGCATGATCCGACATACTCTCATAGCGTTCCAGAAGGAGGCTATCCAGTTCTCGCTATAGACATGGTAATTTCCATTCCATATCAGTTCTGGGGTTTCGTCTGTATAGACAACTTTGTAATACCAGTCTTTTGGGAGATTTGCGGAACCTTCAAGGAAGCGGCGATCGATTTCTAATCCTGCTGAAACTACAGCTCGAGGGCCCACGATCTTAGTATCTAGGACAGCGGCACGGAAGATTGTGAAATCGATGATGATCCCCGACAGTAACCAAGACGGGTTGTCGCCTATGTACTTTTCTGCTTCTTTTCGTAGCTCGACAATGTGCTCCGGCATTGCAGTTGTCCTTTGTATGCAGCTAAGTATGAGATTTGATGTCACTTGAAGAAACATCTTCAATCCCGCTGGTGTTTTGAATTGGTCTTTCCCGCGAAGCTTTACCAACGCTGCAGATCCATTCACATGCTCGGCCCAAGCAGCCAAGGATCTCTCGCTGTTGCCGGTCACCGTTTCGAAAATGCTCAAGATCATAACGGAAAATAGTGTGCTGTCTTTCTTGGCTTCTGTGGGAGACCTGAGAGCGGCATTCGTGAGTTGTAAAGCTGAGACGTACTCCCTCCGAGCCCGAACCATGAGTTCTGGTGCGTGTACAGAATGTGAGAAGCTCGCAAGACCAACGGCACTCATACTGGCTAGCAGATGCCCATCGGCGCTGGTCTGGGTACATAATTCATCCGTCACGTCGAAGTTCCGAAACCAAGTCGCCGAGTTAGTGCCGAAGAAGTTAAGAGCCCGCTCTTCGGTGGTTGGGAACATAGAGAACTTGGGAGCTAAAGTCTCGACAAAGAAGCCTTCATCCTTCTCCTGAGTCCGGGCTAGCTCCATAAGTTCAGTGCTGGGACTAGACGGTTTGTTTTTTGATCTCGATGGTCCGGCAATAACAGGGCTTTCAGAACGTGACTTGGATTTCGCCTTGGACTTTTCCCGAGCTTTTGCTTTGTCGATTACAGCTTCGCTCTCATTTCGAAACATGAGATCAACTTCATTGCGGTACCCTGGACAATCACGGTGGGCTCTGATGCATTGGCTACATGATGGCGTAGCAAGGTCACACTGTGGAATGTCAGACTCATTTGTCATATTTTTTGGGCATCTCGAGAAATCACAACTCACTCGTGTCTTCCTGTTACGGCAGGCTTGGCAACCTTTCGATGGTTTGCCGCAATACACCATCCTGAACGGGGGAAAGGAACTTTGTTGAGCAAAGGATCTGTGGACTTTAATGACGCTTGAGTATATTCTGTGAAAAGAAAATCAAAGACTGAGCACCAGCTGTCTTTTTGTAATGTCATAATTAAGGGTCGATGTATGTGAGGCTAACGGCCGAATGCCTGGAGGGCCACGCAAGGCATGATGGAGAAGCAGGGGACTTTCAGCAACTCGGAGCCGCCGCATCAGAACCATAGGTAAGATTTGTAGGAGCCATCACTGCAGGATCTGATAAACTTTCCACAGAGGAGGGGTCGAAGTGCGATATGCTCCGTTGTGGCTGAGGGACGATACGCTAGGCTGAATGCAGCGCTCTTTGCGTAGCGTCGTCCGGTCGAACCGACCCGCTGTTGTCCAGCGTGGCCAATCAGGGGCATCAATTTTGGTGGATCTCAGCCCTGCCGCTAAATGCACGTGATATGCTCCACCTGATACGGCCGGAAATCGGTTCTCCCTTGCTCGGTATCTGGAAATTGGATCTTCCGTTGTCCACCGCCACATTAAAGTAGCCAATAGATTAACCGAGGCCTCCAGAGCACGTATTGCAACCAACCGTTCACAAGTCACTAAAACTATCGCGTATACGAAGTAACTCCCTAACTCACAGGGTTCTACCAAAACAGAGTGGCATGTGGCATGTTTCACAGCCAAACAAGTCCACAGACTTTGTGCTTCCCGTCTTCCAGATCGTTCTAAAGAGCATGGGAGCGGAAAGGGGATGAATTCCCTAGCCTCGACGTCTTCCAACGCTCTGGTGAAAAGTGGGCCAAGTGGTTGCTGATATGATTTTCAGTTAAACCAGAAGCTCACACTGAAACTAACGCTCAAGCTCCTAACATAGTGCCACCAGCCCACGGGTATGTACAGACACTCTCCTTCTTCCAGTATGCAATCCACAAACTCCGCTTCTCGAAAGAGCGGAAACCTTTCTTGTGCTTCCCTCTTCTCTTCCTCGCTGCCATCCCATCCCGCCAAAACTCCAATATCCAATGCACTCGTATTGCCCATATCCACGCCTCCATCCTCGACTCCTCTGGCGTACAGCTTCTCGCTCTCCTTGGGTGCATATAACCTGACGTACTTCCTCCCCACAACTTGAGACAGGATGTTGTGATACGGGTCCGTATGGAGCGGACTGATCGTACCCGCTGGTCCAAACCAGGCATTTAGTAATGGCTCATCGAGTTGAGCCAACCTAGAATACTTCTCGGCCAAAGGTGATGAATAGTGAGGCGGCGGGGGAGAAGTGAAACAGTAATCTGGAATCGCAATATCTTCTCGTAAAGACGGAATCTGGGCAAATAGATCATGCTGTGCAAGGTATCCCGTAGCAAGAGCTGATGATTCCGGATCCAAGATATAATGGCCCATGAACTCCTTGAAAGTGATGATCTTTTGGCCCCACCCTTCGTCTACATAGCTCCTGCCAAGTTCGATGGGGACCAATCTTCGTCCGCCGATGGTTTTCGAGAGAAGATACGATGGGCTCTTCCATGGGCGGCCGTTGCGAGCCGGCCAGTGATTTAGAGCTCCTTTGATGATGACTGGTTCTGGTCCAATATTGGTGTTATTCGGGTGCAGCATGTGCTTCTCGAAATCGCCAAATGATGGCTCATTCCACTTCGAAATTGGATTTGAGACAGGTGGTTCGAAAGCCTCGGATTTTGGGAATCCATCTTGCCATAACTTGTTCTCTTCATCAAGCTTTCGTCGTTTCCTTAGGGGGTAATCCTCTGGGGACTGAATCGACTCTATGTGAATCTCCTGCAGATGGTCAAATACTGATTTGACCTGCTCCTGGCTATCACTTGATGCTGGCGGGCCCGCCATGATGAGAGCCATATCGATGGTGTTTACCATCTCATCCATTTGTTCGCCACTCAGAGGCTGAAGATCCAAGTTGCCGTTTTGTTGCATCCAACTCTTTTTGACAGCTAGCGCCGAGAACTTCAGGAAACTGGCCTCTCGAAAGAGATCTCGCCAGCAAGGAGGAACATCTTTGAACGGGAAAGCGTAGAACTTTTCCGTCGCTAGAGCGATGAGATCATCTAGTCTTTGTATGACAAGATCAAAATCGCCCTCGCGATTCTTAATGGCGTTGCTGAGATGAAGCAAAAGTTTGATGATTGGAGAACCACAGGCACGGAGCACGGTCTTCATTTCTGACTCGTCTTGCAGTAGCCCAGCGAGCTTATCCGAATCGCAAAATGCTCGAAGGCAAGTATCGACCAGTTTTCCTTGTGGCGAAGAAGGGTTGAAGCGCTCCATCTTGAGAGCTGTGTGCGCTTTCGAGGAGGAAGATTTGACACGGCGAATTCTTATGGTTAGCTGATGGCAATTCTGCGCCTTGGAAGGTCAGGTTTAATCATCGCTCGTAGTCATCATCATGTCGCTGCATCTCCAGGTCTTTCACCTCAGTCAAATGCACCATCAGCGGTAGGCGATGTTCATAGATTGGTTGTATGAAGGTGCAGATTGTTCTCTGATGTGGACAAGGTTTCTGTTCGCGAGCAGAGCCTGAAAATTTAGCGTGCTATTAGCGATGGCGCGCAATGCATCAGCCCCTTTCTTTAGCGAGAACGTGATCCCACCCACCTCTCGTTAACCGCATATGGCGTGAATCACTTATGCACAGAAGAGAATTACAGTCTTCATAATGAAGGTATCCACTTTATTCACGGTACACGGCATGGAGTTTCATGGATCTTGATTTACAAAAAGAACCCATTTCTCTCGACAAAGGCATTCTTTCCTTCTAATTTCCGCAACTTTCATCCATCCACCTCTCCACATCCAAGTACTACAGCTCACATAACCTTAATCAAATATCTTCTTCAACATGGCAACCCCACAGAAACTCGTCGAAGGCATCAACGCTCTCGTCCTCGAGGTCGAGAAGGTTGTCGCTGCCGCAGCAACATCTTCAACTGAACAAACCCCTGCACAGGAAGCTACTGCTGCAGTGGAGTCCGAAGAGAATAAATCGTGTGTTCGAGGCAATGACGGTAAGTGCCCTTCCTCTGCGTAGCACGGAGAGAGATATTGACTACTTGCAGATGCACCCAAGGGCATACCAGCTGCGGCCGAGACAGAAGATCCAGCTGAGGGAGAAGCATCTGGCTCAGGAGCCAGCTCTTTCGTCGAAGTCGAGAATGACTCTGCACCCACAATGCCTAAAGAAATCAAGCTCGACTCACAGTATCTTGATGGCTATGTCGGTGAGTATTCTCGGATTCAAGAGCTGCTTTGGGTATGCTGACTTGCTGGCAGAGGCTCACAAAGAACAAGCTCGTACGAACGCTGTTCCGACTGCTAAATCTGCAGAGTCCGAGGAGTCCGAGAAAAACAAATCTTACGTTCGGGGTTATAATGGTAAGTGATCTTACATCTGTGTAACCTGTGCTGGAGAGGTTGACTTCAAGCAGATGCCATTAGTCATAAGCCGGAACAACGGGCAGCCTCACCAGGGAAACATACAGAAACTTCCAAATCCACCACCCCCTCACGCATTCTAGGTACTCCTGCCGAGTTGTTAAAGTTTTGGGATGAGAAAGCCAAGTGGAGTCAGCTTGGATATAATAGTGAGTGTTTACAGCACCAAACTGGTTTGGCGTGCTGACTTTTAGCAGATCAACTCAGGGGAATGCGAGGAGAAGAGTTCGAGAAGCCTGGAGCGTTCTATGAACAGGACGGACATAAGGCACAGGCATATTGTGCTGGATACAATTGTGAGTGTTGCTTCGTTCATGGATAATGTTGGAGATATTGACGTCTAGTAGCTGCCCGAGATACTGGCTACGCCTACCTTCGTGGTTATAGAGGTGCGTGTCATTACCTTAGTGGACTGTGTTGGGAGATACTGAGGTCTTTTAGATGCCCGATCTGGGAAGCCCTGGGACCTGCCTAAGTATGGACATAACCCAGCGGATGTAAAAGAGTATGGTGGCGAATGTTGCCATTGCGAAGAGGATCATATTGAGTGTGAATGCACTTGTGACCCAGAAAGCGAGGTGAGCACGGAAAACGAAGAAAGTTGTGAGTATCTCTAATAACTTTGATGAGTGGGCAGGTTTTCTGACTCCTAGTAGATGCAGACACGGAGAAAGACATCTGCTACCACTGCTCAGACGACTCTCGGCATGAGCGGTGCCCATGCACTTGTGGCACCTCAAAAGGATGCGATACGAACACCTTCCGCGGCACCTGCTACCATTGCTCCCACGCCGCAATCCATAAATTCTGCCCGTGCCTTTGCGGCAACTCGGTAACATATGGCCGAGAGGAGGAGTTCGGGATTCGGCCCCTTGTCCGCACTGATCCGTCCAGAACTGGGGGTTCCAGAACCACGACTCCTGGAACTGAGACGGCTAGATCTGAATCTCTTAGAACCGAGACACATAACTCAGAACGGGAAGCTCTAGAGGCAGGCTTGTGGAGGGAGGTTGCTCGTCAGAATGAAGAGTTCGCGCGATGGCAAGAACATCGTACTCGCGCCGCCGATACCCTCAGAGAAGTCATCGAAGCAATTAAGCGGTATCGAGAGGATCGAGAACAAGCAGTGGATAGAATTCGCCTTGAGCAAGAAACAGAGGAAGAATTTGCGCTGGCCAGAATCCGAGAAGCAGCACTCCTCGCGAGACGTGAGGTACAGCGTCTGATAGATCTCCGAGAGCGGGAATGGCAGCAAGACGACAGCTGGTTGGCTGTTGTACCGCGTCCTGCATGGCTAGCAGAGTTTTTCCGTGCTCGAGTGACCACCTTGGCCGCGGAGCTCCATGAGAACGCTGAAAGAGCTGCATCGGCCGCATTGTTAGGCACTCCAGACGTGCTTCGTCGATTGGGCATTCTAGAGCGGGACGATTGGGAGCTTGCAGTGGTAGACTACCGCGCCCGCATGAACGCTTTGCACGAAGAGTTCCGACTGACAGCGGCAGCAGCTCGACACCTCTCATGTGCTGACACCCGAACTATCGTCGAGCGGTATCTGGACAACCGATCATTGAGCTCTATTCTGCAGCCTGATCAAGAATCAGATAATGACGACTTACTGGGGGAGGACTTTGGTGCCGCGCCCCTGACTCGCATCCTATTTGGTGAGCGCCTTGGTCTTCGTCCAATATCACCTCCTCGCCCATCTAATGTTGACTCCCAGCCAATGCCCCTCCGCCTCGGAGGTCTTGGTCCGTTCCCCGACCTTCCTGAGAGAGTCGCATTCGCTCGCTTTAGAGGTCTTGGTCCCTTCTGCGACGACTCTGACGCACCTTGCCCTCATTCGTATGGACCTTATTGAACATGCTTAGGTTACTGTGACAGTCGAAACTTGGATCTTAGAGAGAGCCAAAACATACGTTGAGCTTGCATGTAGCTAGATAGTCAATAAATCGTTGTCCTCCAAACGAAAGTCTCTGATACATTCTTCTCCGTGAAGTTTGCGAATAAGATCACAATAAACACCCAGCATCAGAAATGGCACCATTCACAAACTGCTTAACATTGATGGTACATGACTAGAAGAGAAACGGCAGTTGTATGTACGAGCTCTGAACTAGGGTCTGGATCTCGTTCAGAACCAAAATTCCCAATCGCACTATCCATGTCCCGGTGCTGCGGGATTTTTTCAGTTTAAAATATTTTGCAGTTGTTCAAACAAGAGCGTGCAGGAGGAAAAGTCTTAAGTAGAAGCTCAAATAAAACAACTGGACCCAAAGGTAAAAGCAGAGCTTGTAAACCTCGATCTAACATAGCAGTTGCTGAACGACACTGCTCTGCTGCTCTACATCACCACTTTTGGGTTTCAGACTTTGGACTATCTTGTTTGCACATCTGTGCAATTCGGGGGGTTGGCTTTTCTCGACACAGTCCAAACTCTTGACTGGACTGTCATGTACATATGCGCAGGTGCAGGCCCTCATGTTTGTTACACCGCCTTTGCAGGGGTTGCGCTGAAATGCCCTGTAGCAATGCGCTGTAGCCGACTTTTGCTTAGCAGAACTCAAGGCGGTGTAACAAACATTAGGGCCTGCACCTGCGTACACTTGCTGCGAGAACAATGGGAGAATACGGTTTTTGGAGAGAGCTTCGCTTTGGTGCGACAGTGACAGTGGCTCAGGGGTGCAGCGTGGACTCGCTTCGACATGTGGCTCTTCACCCACAGACCTCGATCACCCAATAAGGACGGCAGATCTACTCCAGGGTTCGCACAATGAATGTGGAGATGCAGTTTCCGTCACAACTTTGTGCAGTGCTTCGAGCTCTGTGCGAAAGATTGAAAAGGCGCAAGAGAAGGGCAACTTTAAGGAAAGCTGGACTTTATATCCATCACGTGCTCGACACGTGCAGACTTCGTCCCGCCGCTCATCAGACGAACTCATTGCCGAGGATCCTCGTCATTCCCCGTCCATCCCCCGTCCATCCCAATTAAAGGGTGGCACTAAAAACATCATGCCTTTGAAACGTCAAATCAGCCACTCAGAGACGGGATATTCCACAGGGCTCCCCACCAAATGATTGATTGGCCCCTCCAAATTTCGCTGAGATGACGTTGCCGAGCGATCGTCCTGGTCTCTGGAGATTTTGACTGAGATGGAGCATCATGGAGGCTGTGTCAGACGGGCTGCCGAATAATTGACTGGTGCTTTCTGACAGCTTTTGGGGGGCACAGAGAGGATGCTTTGCCCTCATGGTGGTGGTGGTGGTTGCACGTGGGAAACATGGAAACATTCAGGAACTGTGGCACACTGGCACAGAGCAAGAGGAGTGTGCTCAGGGATTGGGCTGGTCGTATGGGAAAATGGGATGGACGGCAGCCAGATCGTGGGCCGCTGATACTGTCTCTGTAGAAACAGAGAGGTCTCCTTATCGCAGCCATCCCGCCCGAGGGTCCCTCGTCGGCAACATGCACGGCACGGCTAGAGGGCTTGCGAGGTTGTGGTTTTGTGAAGCTGTGTGGGATCTTTTTGCGCAAATAATCAGTGGCCTTCGTGCCCTCGAAGGCTAAAATAGGAGCTGCAGCGCGTATTTTGAGCATCTCGAGCATCTTCCCCCAGCGAACGGTTGATTTGGCGATGCGCGCGTTGAAATTGCGTTTCCCGGATCTGCAGTCGTGATTGGCCGTGGCCACCCGCCTAAAGCCCGCGCTTGCTCACTTGCGGTTTAGCGTCAGGAACCAGACGGGCTGAAATGGGGCCGCAAGGGCTGCAGGGATGTGTTCCTGCAGCGAAAACGAACAATCGGCCCAGTCCCCACTCGCCAGCCAGTCAGCCAAACGAAACGATCAGTACTGGTGACCATACTAGAGGCCCTCTTGACCTCTCCTTCGCAGCGCACCGCTCTCTCTCCTACTCTACCTCGCCGTCGCCTCCTGCCCACGGGGAGAATACCTTCATTCAATCGTTGCGGTCGTCCTTCTTTTATCGACTCCTTCGACGGTTTGCGACGGTTTGCTTCTACCCCCACTCTCACTTTCGCGATTTTCGATAGTTGTTTACGCTCCTTTCCCCCCGATACCAATACTTGACGACGCATTCCACGACCTCCTTGAATTCAGCCTGTCGATAATATCCAGATAATATCTACGGCCATCCCTCCCTTCCACGCGTTCCGCATATAACGCGCCTACTATTCACCACATAATATTCCATCCTTCACGATTTCGACGAGAGTGACGAGCTGAGGGTCAAGATGGTTCACGAGCATCTCCACCGCCGCCATGGGCGGGATGCGCAGCCTCACGACGAAAGTCCCTTCGACAAGGCCGCAAGTGCTATTGCCAATGTCTTCGGAGGAAACGACCAAGTACAACAAGCGTCGACCATCGTGTCTATTGTGTATGTCACGGCCTCGAAGACTTTTACGGGCGCTGTGGGAGGATATTCAACGTTAGGGCCTGTCGTCGCGACCACTTCGACACCATCACCTCCCGATGAGGGTGCTACAAACACAGGTCTTCTTGTTGGCAAGACTACCTCCAGCTCGAGCGGGATGCCAACAGCCATCACACCACCCAAAACGTCTGTTACACCTACCCAGTCGCTTTTGGCTGACACCAGCATCTCGTCTTCCGAGACCCCAACCAAGTCCTCAACAATATCAGCGGCCAGTGCAACGTCGAGCGCTACGACGAGTTCCAGTTCAGGGGGAATGAGCACTGCAGGGAAGGCCGGATTGGCGATCGGTATCTTGTTACTTATCGGAGCGGTTCTATCAGTTATACTATTTTGCTTCAAGAAGAGACGAGAGCGCCAGGAGAGACTGGATGATGAGAAGCATGAGTTTGGAGATATGAACCGACAAGCCAGCCAACGTACGACTGTGACGGCACCACGTCTCTCTCTCAGACCCGTCACTCAGTTCCTTCCAAACCTCGGTGAGAAGCGTCAAAGCAGGGGCAATGCTCTCAATATGGGTCGACCGATTGCCCAACAAAACGTCGACAGGCCAATGACTGCTCAGTCAAACAACCGAGAGAATCCATTTGGCAATCACGCCGAGACCATTGATGCCACCAACGCGAGAGGTCCAGAAGTTGTTCAAGGAATGGGTCCGGGAGGGGAAGTCTTGACGGGCGCCACTGCTGCAGCAGCTGTTGTCGGTCTTACTCGAGGTGCTTCTAAGCGTGGTTTTGGTCCCAGCCCAATTGATCTCACAAAGAAGGCTCCTTTTGCCGGTCCCGCCGGTCCCCCAAGCCCTGCTCCTACCGAGTTCAGCGTCTCATCGGAGTCATCTCCCACGCCAGCTCAGACCGCGTCTGGTGCTGCCATTGCTGCCGCTGGAGGACCTATCAATTCCGCTGTTCATCGTGTCCAACTTGACTTCAAGCCGTCTATGGATGATGAACTTGAGTTGCGTGCTGGTCAGCTGATCCGACTGTTGCATGAGTATGATGATGGATGGGTAAGTCGTTTGCTTCGTGTATCGAACTATATCTAACGTGTCTAGGCGCTCTGCATTCGTCTTGATCGTTCTCAGCAAGGTGTTGCCCCTCGGACATGTCTTTCAACTCGTCCTGTCAAGCCTCGCCCACAACAGAATGGTCCTCGAGGTCCCCCACCAGGCATGCGTGTTCCGCAGAAACCACGCCCAATGTCACCAGCTGGAAGACCCATGACTCCTAACGGGCAGCAACCTAGACCAATGTCCCCAAGCCAACAACGTCCGATGACGCCCAATGGCCAACATCCGCGACCAATGTCACCAAGTCAACAACGTCCCATGCAAGGTCGCCCTGCAAGCCCCTCGCAAATGCAAGGCAGACGGAACAGTCCTCCAGGCCCGAGCGCCATGAACCCTCAATACAACCCCTCTGGTTCTCCGCCTGCACCGGAATTCGCGTCTGGCTCCCCTCCCAACAACAGCCCAATCGGCCGAAAGCCAGTCCCTGGCCAAGCCATGTAAAGACATTTCGCCCTTCAGACTCGCGATAAGATTTGCTTTACTTGGTACAGACAGGGCATGGCGTAATGGGAGGTTCAGTCAACGATGCGAAACGAAACATGTACAGATCTTTCCCTTTTTATTCTCCTTTCATACCGGTATCTGGGAGGAGTGTCGAGTCGTGTAGCTATCTTCGATTCTTTGCAAACATCTGGATATATCGGATGTGCGCTTAGCTAGGCAGGGCAGGGCAGAAACACAGCGGCTGCTTCATTTCAGTAATGCAGTAATGTGTATTTTCCGCAGCACCTTGCGCTTCTTCTTTTGCCTTTTTGATACCTTTGTTGTATCTTCGTTCTGGCTGGATCTCCTGGTTGCTCTCTTTTTTCTGCTAATTGGGGAGAAGGCTGTGGTCCTTGCTTGTGGATTGAGGGGAGATTGGGAGAGAGGGGGGAAGGGGGGAGTGCGTAGCTGTGCTGTGCTTTTGTGCTGAGATGAAGGAGGGGATGGGTGCAATAAAAGTTGTGGTGAGGGAAGAGCAGAGCATGTAGATAGGCTACTGTATAGTGCGAATCAGAAGTTGAATGAAGCTGCCTGTTCCTTGTTGCACCTGTGACTTCGATGGATATCTTTTGCTCGCAAGTGCGAGGGAATATTAGGAGTGAGATCAAGACTGAATCGAGTGTACGGTACTTGGTTTAATTCTGCAAATCAAGCGGGCTCGTTAGCTGCATATAGTTGCTGCTTTTGGGGTCAGAAGCAAATACAAGTAAGCGCATTTTGCTACCCCTAGACGTCGACGGCAAAAGAAGGCATCAGGAGGGCGGCACCTACTATTCTTATACCTTACACTCCTCGCACTAGCATGGCTTTGCAAGGGCTGGGGACCGGTGCTGTGTCGTGCACATTCAAGGGGGTGTCCTGCGTCGTTTACGATGGACAAGGTCTACAATTTGTTGGTTGAGGAAGAAGAAAGCGCGGATGCTGTCTAGGGGTAGTACTCCGTCTTGCGGGTGTCGTCCCGCCAATGACAACAAGCAGCCGCGTGACAGCACATGTTAATTGATAGTGTTAGGAAGTCGACTTTATCTGTGTTTTAGAAAGGCGATGTACAGTACTATTTATGCATAGTATGAAGCACATTGTGGTATAGTTCCTTGTCCCTTAAGTTGGGGAACAACTCACACAAGGCTAGTGCTGTTATAGATATATTAGTTCACAAAGCGCGGCCTCCGCTCGGTAGTCCTCTTCAAGACGACTAGCAAGTCGAACACTAGAGCCTGATCATCCGCAGTTAAAACATTGAAAGTTTTCAAGGGCGCAAGAAATGGCGAGTGCAAAATCTGTGGACAGCGGTTGTCTGTGAGCTTGCTCTCGTCAAAGATCCCTTTATTGTCAAGGATACATTCACTGCAATTTCGTCCGCGCTTCGTCCTTTGTCTACCATTCTCTCGGTGTATAGATGATATGATATGGTGTGGTATGAACGGTCTGTCCGTCCGTCCGCCAGTCGGCCGTTCTCTTGCCAAGAGATTTGGATACAGCAGCGGGCAACAGGGGATAGGGTGTAGAGCAGACACGGCCAAGCTCACGATGTGGACGTAGCCGTACACATAGGTGCCAGTACTTATCATCTTGAATTGAGATGGGAGAGGAGTTCACATACTTGTTTCGCTTCTTGAAAACGTTCCTTCCCCGTATGTCGGAGCTCACAACTCGAGAGTGAATGTTCGAGTAATGCTGTGTGAGAAGATATTGCGCCTTACCACTTTTGGCGAATAATTTCGTCAAGACCGACCAATTCTTGCTGAGCTGTGCTTGTTCTTCGTTAGATCTCTGTTTTCGTTAAAAGGCAGGATGAGTCTATCAGCTGCGGATTGCCGTCAGATGGTAGGAGTTCAAACAATGTTGAGGTGAACGAGACTTGTTTAGATTGAGGAATGCCTGCTAAGTGGTAATTTTTCGCTATCTTCCTAAGAATACTCATGTCTCTCCATGACGACAACGGTCGATGGCGGCGGAGTTAAGGGAGTAGCGGGCAAGAATGATCTTTGTGACAACAAGGAAGTTCCTGACAGCAACCTAGTTAATGACAGTAACATTTATCCGGTCTACTAGGAACATTCTTCTAGAGTCGACTACTAGAATACAGCTCGTCATTATAGAGTTTCAATACTGAGCAAACAGTGCCATATAGTGCTAGAGCAATTGTAGCAGTTGCATGGACGATCACTACTTTATTGCGGTATCGGTTGTCGACGTTGAATGTAATGCTAACTCTAATTATAACCGGGGTTGTTCCGTTCTATGTATTTTCTGTTCTGAAATAAATCCCATGTTCTTGTTCTTCGTAACGATTCTTAAAACTATGACACAATAAAGTTTGATAGACAGCCCAAAATTTCTTTTTGGATCTTTCTACCAACTTCGTAATCCACACACTAAATCAAGAATATTTTTAGATCGGTAAAAAGAGTTCAATCTCCCTTAAAAAAAAGTCGATCAAGACAGGCTCGAGGCCTTGGAAAGGAAAAGGTGAGGATAAGCAAATCGTGGTGGCCAACGTTGACTATTGCCCACGCATGCCACTGGACGGAAAGGGGGATCACGTGTCACCCTTCTTCAACCAATCAACTCGAGCAACGTGCAGAAGAGCACAGAGACTATTATCTAAGCGGTTTCGGAGTCGAAGTGATGTTTATTCCTCCTCGCATAGTTTCCAGACACTACTGGTCCTGATCTGCGCATCTTTAAGTAGTGGGTTGGACCGTGTATTGCGGCATGGCACGGGAGAATGACGAATCCTCTGCACACTTGGATTCCCCACATGAGCATTAGAAACGCAAATCCCCATCCAAATAGTTCTTAAATTATTTCTATTACAATTCATTGCTAGACTGGGTCGAGATTTGAACGATGGCTGAAGATGGTTGTGTAAGGTCGGTGGCTATAATTGGTGCGGGAGCAGCTGGTAAGTCTCCCTTTCTTGCTCGATCAGGAGAGGTTGGTAGTGTTCATGTTTGTATCATAGGCGCCATAACTGCAGCCGCATTTGCGGCAGAGGAGTATTTTGAGAGGATACAGGTTTTTGAGAGGAGAGAGAGTGCTGGTGGGACTTGGTATTTCGAGTCTTCTTCTTTGTACGACGTCACCTGATTGATGTACAGGATATACGACTCCTCACCTCCTTCTAAGTTGCCACTCAAACCCGGAAGTTTACCACCAGAGTTGGATCCCTCGCTTCCTGTACCAAATAATCTCCCTGAGATTACGTCCCCGAACGAGCAGGAAAGGTTTACTCAAACTCCGATCTACTCTTCCCTCACGTGAGCCATTCTGTTGTCCTCCTCCCAGGATTCTCACTAAAACCAAAACAGGACAAACGTCCCAGCAATCGCAATGCCCTTCTCTGACCTCCCCTTCGCCTACGGCCCATTCGTGCCCCACCACATCCCGAAACAATACATCGAATCCTACTTCGCCTATCACAAAATAGACTCCCTCCTCAGCCTCAACACGACTATTGAAGATGTCTCTCTCATCAGTCCCCCAAACAGTGCAAAAGAAAAGTGGAAACTAACGCTAAGAAAACACGACCCGGTTCGTCAAGTAGATGTATGGTGGGAAGACGCCTTCGACGCTGTAGTGTTGGCGAATGGACATTACTCCGTTCCCTTCGTATGCCTGCCATGCCCTCCCCTCCCGTCCTCCTTTCCATCTAACCAGCCTTAACCCCCATGTGACAGATCCCCGAAGTCACCGGCCTCGCCGCCTACATGAAGCTCTTCCCGGGCAGGATCCAGCACTCCAAAACCTACCGCACGCCGCTCTTATACACAAACAAGAAAGTGCTAATAATCGGCAACTCCGCCTCAGCAAAGGACCTCTCAATGGACCTCCTCTCCACAGTCGCGCACCCGCTCTACCTCTCGCGACGCTCTGCGTCCCGCTGGGACGGGCCTTCGCCCCCTCGTGGCATAATATGGAAACCGGTAGTCAAGGAATACCGCATGGATGGACGGATTGTGTTTGATGACGAGAGTTACGTAGATGGTGTTGATACGGTGATTTATTGTACCGGCTACCTCCCCTCCTTCCCCTTCTGGGACGCAAAGAACAACGGCCGCGAGATCTGGGATTACAAGAAAAACAAGCTTGCGAAGACATACCTGCATACCTTTTTCCACGACTTCAAAACGCTGGGGATTGTAGGCATGCCGAGGGTGCTTACGTTTAGGAGTTTTGAGTACCAGGCGATTGCATTGGCTAGGTTGTGGTCAGGGAGACAAACGAAAGCTTTGCCAGGTTTGGAAGTGCAGGAGGGGTGGGAGGAAGAAAGGGAGATTTTGGGGAAGAGGCAAGGCAAGAAGTTCCATGATATTGAGTGGGGGACTGGAGAGACGTTGGGCTGGTTAGGAGAGTTGTATGAGATTGCGGGCTTGGGAAAGCTGACGGGTGAGGGGAGAACGCCGCCGGTGATAGGGGAGGAGGTTAGGTGGGCAATTGAGAATTTGCGGAAATATCCTGAGCCTGGAAAGGATAAAGATGAGAAGAGGAAAGGGAAGGTGGAGGGAGAGAGTGTCTCTAGAGAAGATAGGTTGGAAGGTGGAGATGCAGAGCAATGGGTGCTTGTCGGCAGGAGGGCAGAGAAAGACTTGCTCTCATTCATATAGGACAAACTATTATTTCACTAGGAGAGCCAGAATGAAGAGTGCTTGAGACGTATCATAGACTAATGTTCTGAATGAGGAAATAGGAGTTTGACTTACCTTCCTGGAAACAGGAGTGAGCTAGGGTGATACGGTCAAAGTACCAGGAGGCGCGGTTCTGTTGATGTTGAAGTTCGAGTCGTTGGCAGGCGGGTATCCATTCGGCGCAGATAGAGACTGTTCTTTCTGAATTTACTTGAACTTGATCAATGGAATCCGCTTCGTCAAGGCCTTGCGGATACGACATGGTGGGAGATCTTCTTTTAGAAAACAGGCAGAGGAAGGGCCGCAAAACAAAGATGATCTCTGGGATCAAGAAGACACTGAAAGGGGGCAAAGGATAATATAAATGGGAGTCCATAATCAGTGGGGGAATGCCTCAAAGTGGAATAGAGCGGGGAGGCTTTAGAAGATCAGTGCTGATTCGAATCTGTGAAGAGCCCGGTTCATGCTGGCTTATCCTGATTTGGGGATAACTGCACGTTAGAAGGAACGAGGATTTGTAAGAAGAGCAAGCTTGGGAACGGAAAGTTTGTTTTACCGCGCGATCTTTCGTCAACAAGTTCAGGAGCCACGGGTCTAGGACGAACTCTCTGTGGATCGTCAGATCTATCTCTTCGTAGTTGTTCTCCAAGGCTGATCGAAGTCTCACAGCTCAAGAGATGCCCTCGAGTCCAGAGACACAGCAGGTGCAGTCGAGGTGCAGCACCCAACGGCATGAGGTCAAAGCATTGCAATCCCAGATTCCCATGGGCCCGGGTGGTGTCCTGCAAGGACGTCAGGCTGCGAGAAACAAACTCCATTGAATTTGTGTAAACTCTCTCAGTAGAAGAATCCACTAGCCAACCGCCCATCCCAAAAATTCGATTTTTGAATTATACCTTCATTATAATTGCAAATTCTATTACGTATTAATACTTTATAGTATTTTTGATATCCTGACGGCTATATATATTTCAAACTAGTAGTACGGCTAGAATTGCTTATAAGGTAATGATTTTGTTATTTTTGCCCTGCTTTTAAATCCCCCTCCCCTCACCAGAGCCTTGCTAGAGGCAATTACGAGCCTACACCCCATAAGTCCGTGGATTACAGGCATTTAAGCGAGGCTTTCTAGGCCTCTCGAAAACAAAGTTAGTCACTTTACGTGAAATTAATTAAATAACGACACATTCCTTTTCCTTTAAACTAAATCTATTTAGTAGGAAAGAAACTAAATAATACTATTATTATTTAATTTAAATATTTATCGCATTGCGCAAAAATTTCGATTATTCCTTTAGTGGTTATTTATTAGCGAAATGCCCTATAATCCACAGACTTATGGGCTGTAGGCTCGTTACTTCTTATACTCCTATTAGAACACCAAAATTTTGTGATTTTTTTAAAGTACTAGGAAACTGCTAAAAACTTCCTGAATTACTATACCAAGGTCGTTAATCACGAATATCTACTCAAAATTTCGGTTTTATCGTTATTGTAGTGAAAAGGGGTAAGCGGTTAGGGGGTTTGGGCAGTTGGCGAGTGGATTCTTTTATCTTACAAGCAATTCTAACTGCACTATAAGGTGAAAATAAATATACTGTCATTAGGATATCGAAAATACTATAAAGGATTGATACGTAATAGGATTTGTAATGATAATGAAGGTATGATCAAAAATCGAATTTCTTGGGGTAGGCGGTTGGGGGGTATGGACGGTTGGCTAGTGAATTCTTCTAGCTCTGCATCGGCACTTCTACCACACGAGACTTTACCAACGTTGAGGTGGGCTAATTCTCCTTGGGAGAAAGGCAATTGCAGACTCTCCAGTGGAAGCATTGCTGGTCGAGAAGATTGCTGATGAAGAAGACGGCAGAGTTGTTGTCATGATGCTCCCCTGTGGCGTCGCTGAGGAACAAGGTACTGTACATTTACTTCCTGGGACTCCTGAACTATGTTCTGAAAATCGCATCGCGACTGCTGGTTCTTGTGACCTGTCATCAGGGGGATCGCGGAGGAGCGATTTCCTCCAGGCGGGACGAAAATGAAAACATGACTTCTCCTTTTCACGGAAATCTCCCAGCGGTTTCTTTTTTTCACCAGCCGTGAAGAAATCTTTCAGTCCTGGATTCTTGCATTGTGGAATCGGTCATTACTGCGTCTTTCTTCGCATTCATGCCAGCATCTGTCCCACTCTTCACCTCCTCCCAGCATCACTCTTCCCACCACGCGCGACATTGCGTCCTTCCCCAGTCCCGAGAAGCTCGCCTCAGCATTCGCTCTAAGCTACCCCCCTGAGAGCTTCCTACAGACACCCTCCCACTTTCGTTACATACACCCCTCCTACCTCTTCCTCCAAGCGTTGCTCAAAGTCTCCATGATCATCACAGGCTCACAACATTATGCTGTAAGTCTTCTCCAGAGTCTGTTGAATCTACTACTATCTACGTTCCATTTCGTACTCTTTCATACCCGACTAAACACGCCTACACCTTCTGCATATCTCCAGGCGCTTCAATGTAAACATGCTCTGCCTCCCTCGCCACCGTTTCCCTCCTCTTCCCATCCCTCTTCTCCAGAAACTGCAACAACACACTCAAAGCAATCAAAACCACACAAACCACACTCACCCATATAAACCCCGGTCTAAACCTCGGCGCTTCAGCTGTCCTCCAAACAGCATCAGAAACCCAGATCTGGTTCACATAACTTGCAATATTACTGAACGCCGTCAAGAACCCCCTCATCTCATGACCATGCGGCATCAAGTCCGGGAACCACGAGTAATAAATCCCCGGCACACCAGCGGACATGAAAGAGATGTAGTAGGCGAAGAAGAGAAGACCTTGCGGTACGCTCCAGATCGCAATGATGACTGAGCCTAAAAGTGTTCCTGCTTGCATCACTGTGATAGCTTGCCATCGTCGGCCATTGAGCAGTGGAGAGTCGGAGAGCATGCCAGCTGCGATTTGAACGATGATTCCAACTGCTGACTGACCAGTAGGCCAGACATTTATTTGATAGGCGGAATGATGTGTTGACTTAAGATAAAGAGCGAAAGCCGGCTGCGCGGATGGAAAGCTACTCTGCACGCAGAAGTATCCAAACGGCAGCAGCCAAAACTGCCACTGACGCATAATCCGGAAGATCTTCGTCTTGTCTCATGCCGATGCACCAAGGGGTTTGTAGCCGTCGCGCAACAGACGTTTCTGTGCGAGTTCGGCTTCTGCTGGGGAAAGATAGAAGGCTCGCGTGTTTTCTGGGAAGTCGGGATTGAAGAAATAGCCAATCACACCGACGGGCAGAGATATGATACCACAGATTATGTAGAGCCATTGCCAGCCTTCGCGGCCTCCAACGCTGTTGAGGTTGCGGTATGCGGCGGCTTGGAGGTAGCCGCTGAACATACCGGCCATGGTGGCGGTGGAGTAGAAGAGAGTAACTCGTTTACCCCCTCGTTTTTCGTGTCTTATGCTGTCAGCTTGTTCAATATGGGAAAATGGATAGACTTACACCAGGAACTGATCACATAGATGATGTCCGGGAAGAATGCTCCCTCGCATAGCTCGATCAGAAATCTCATAGCATAAAGCTGTGGTACAGTCTTTACTGACGCACAGCAGAATGTGAAGACCGCCCACAGAATCTCCAAGCTAGACACCAGGATACTTGGTCGGATTTTAGTGGCCAATATCACAGCTGGTAATTGTCCAACAACATAGCCCGCGGTAAACACGTTGCTCAAGTACGTCAGTTGGCTGCCCCCCATGTGTAATGCTTGTTTCATTCCGGACACATAGGCATTGTTGATATTTTGTTGATCTAGATTCTTGCAGAAGTAACCAAGGCATGTGTAGGTGAGAAGGAAGAAGTCCAATTTCAACAAGAATTTCTTTTCGATGGCCGGCTTGTCAGGATCATCCCATATGTATCTTTGAAAGGAGCGCCAAGTTCGATGGGCTTTCGCTTTGAACTCAGGTTGCTCCCATGGCTTTGGAGAATTGCTTGAATCGTCAGAACCATCTCGCACTGCTTCACTGAAAGATGGGCGCTTCTCGCCTTCACACAAGTTGGACAAGTTCCAGGAATGGGGAGTTTCTCCCATGGCTGCTTTGGCTCTTGCTGAGCTTTAGATTGTTCTGTCCGGTCGAAATGAAATGTAATTTATTGCTTCATTGAATTCCTCAGCTAGACAGACTTATATAGTGTGCTTTGTATCTGCCATACTGCGCCATCGAGGCAGCTTTGTTACCATACTCCTGCATTCAACGATTGTACCCGCAGAGATCCGCAGACATGCCGAGCAGTTTCCGGGCCGCGCCGGTGGATTGATGAAAAGCAGATGAGAAGGGCAAAGCTTAGCATCATAAGAACTACTTGGAAAGAAGAGTGGGTGGTTGATGGTACCCTCCGACCAAAGAGGTTGGGATCGCATTGGATAGTATGCACCACACCCACTGCACCCCACCTCTCTGTTCTGCCCCCTGAACTTTGATTCGCATACGAAGCACCTTGCAGGAGAAGCTTGTATCCTTTTCCAAGTGGTGGATCTCGCTACACTGTAGAAACGAAAACTTCGAAGATGGCATGATGCGGGGTCGACATGACGCGAAATATACAGAGCTACGTCTAGATAAGCAAGACCGAACTTTGAAAGAATGATTGAGAAGCTACTTTGTGACGTAAAGACAGATGAGCAATAGTCGGCGGTGGTAATAAGATGAGGGTTCTGAGAGGGAAAAGGGTCGGAAACTGCTGTGGAATTGAGGTCATAAGGGCTTTTCAAGGATGGGGCGTAAGTAGACTTTCGAACTCGAAGGCATAACTCCAGGAACTCAAGTACATACAGTTTAAACACTCGAATACATAAATCAACATAAATCTCATCTGTTATGCCCGAATGACCGACTGTGATTTTCCAGGTGCAGCTAATTCCTGCGAACGAGCTCGCTTTCAAGACGCATGCTCAGATGCTCGACCACTTCCATCCTAACGTCGAGTGCCTCGACTATTTGTGGCAGCCAAATGCCATGTCAGTTCATTTGAGGTGTGGTATTTTTGAACTGTCGTCCCCTGTGATTGATAGGAGGCGATCAAGCGGTTTCTGGCCTCGAGATGGGCTGGATCAACGCCCTTCGTGTCCAGATCTGGGAGTTTTCGATGATGGGGGTACTGGACCTCATCTAGCTGGATCCACAGAGTTCAGAGTGGGTATTTCTGCGGCCAACACAGACGATGGCTTTCACAGTTGTAACAAACCAAGAGATCTACCAGACCGGTACATTCGGCTCTGACATGATCTTTTGGTGCGCAGCGGATGTGAGATATGAGGGGCATCGCGATCTTTGGGGCTTGGGTCTCCAAACATCGTGTATATGGGTATATCTGATCTCTGGTATATCTCCTTACGATTATCCCTCACCCAATCCTCTGCAAAGGGACACCTTCTCCACTCGGCCGTGCCAAACTTCGACGAGGGTGGTCTACGTCACCCCCTTCTTCATATGAATGCATCTGTCTTGTCGAATCGCCTGAAGGTCGAAGTCCCTGCATGCTGAATCTCGTTCTCAGTATCCCCAGGCTATCTGGTGCTAAAACTGATCCGCCTGTCAGGATTTGGAACTCGTGGCTTTCCACATCTTTGCTAGGAAAGTTGAGCATATAGACGCCGAAAAATATGATCAGAAATCCGCAGAGAAGGCGACCGGTTTCTATGGGATTGGTGATATTGAATCCTTGGAATAAAACGAAGGAGGCTGTAAGGACGGCGGTGGTGAATGTAACGTAATATATCGGGCTCACACTGTATGGAGGTATTAGCTCAGATCTGCACAAGCTGGGGTCATTATCATACATCGATTGTGGGAAGGTGTTCAATGCTTTATTAAAGTAGTTCATCTGTACCACGATGCAACTAATTGCAACAACCGCAAATAGATATGTCGATGGACGGCCGAATTGATTTGCTCCAGCAAAGGTCAGCTTCAGAGCAATTCCGAAAGCTTTCAAGGCCATGACCGATACTGCTCCTGTTGCAGCACAGATTGATAGGTAGTATAGAGGATTCGTGGTGCCGTATTTGGGGGCGACGGAGTATATCATCATCACGGAGAAGACCGCTGTGATGAGGCAGAAGAGCACAAATTCTAATAACCAATCAATAACTCCCTTCTATTGTGCTCATACGTATACGCACCTGGCTGCATAGCATAATCCAGAATTTCATCCACAGTCTGAATATCCTTATCCGCCGGCGCATTGGCAACAATCAACACCGAGCCCATGATGCACAACGCACAGCCTAGCTTCCCCAGTTGTCCCAATCTCTCCTTCAGGAAGTATGCACCCAATATGGTTCCTGTCAGCACGCTCAGCGCTCCCAGAGGAGTGACCAGGACAGCTGGCGCAAAGGCATATGCTGCAAAGTTGAACATCTCTCCTGTCACCAGCATGGTCATGCCTGTCCACCATAGGGGGTTCTTCATGTATTCGTGTCCGTCCCCTTTGAAGCCATGCCGTTCGCTGGCATCTCGAAGCCCGATTTTTGTGGTCACGTAGCTGGAGCCGATGAGTCCAGAGCCAGCTATGGCGAGGAGGACACCGATATATTCATCTCGCATCGTGTAGGGTTTGGGTTGGATCGAGGGTCGTCTGGGTCTCCGTGAAATTGGTAGCGGTTTGGACGGTGTTCAGTAGGAGGTATTTTAATGGGGGTTCTCTTTCGACAATGCAAACTCGATTGACCGTCGTGTACTTCGGATGAGGACTAGTTTCGGGGATTTAATGAGCGTTCTCTAGGAGTTGTCGAGGACGGTTTGAAGAAAGCCCCTGAAACGTGGTGCTCGGTGGCACGGTGCAGATCTCGTGATGGGGTGATTACGCCTAATTTTAGCAACTTCGGGGGCGGGCCGTAGCATTACTCGTTCGGCCGGGCTCACCTGGTTCTCGCTTAGCACGCTTACCAGGTGAGGGAGGGCAATACGCAAAAACCAGCAATACGCAAATCACCGCAAAATTTTGTATGGGGAAATTTGACACCCCCCGCAACTACGGATTTTTGGCTCTAAATTTTAGAGGGGAGAAGTTTTAGTATTAAGAAACTATTTCTACTTCTTAACGAGTTATTAATTACGTGCGGTTGCTTCCAAAATCATGCGCGAATAATTGATTTTTGGTGGGGTTTTACATTTGTGTATTGCTGGTTTTTGCGTATTGCCCTCCCTCACCTGGTAAGCGTGCTAAGCGAGAACCAGGTGAGCCCGGCCGAACGAGTAGCGGGTCCAGCGAAGAGCTTGATTTCATCGGAAACGCTTTCACAAGAGGACCCTACATAAGGGCAACAAAGTCATGAGAATCAAGTGCATTTGCTGCGACTTCAAGGCCATTGTCTCAATAACACACGATCTGCCTTTACTCTGAATCTCTTTAGGCTCTCTGCTGTCAGTGACAGTGCTCGGTCGGAACACAGCGGCTAGTCGAGCTTTTTGTCCAGTGAATCGATTTTTTTGGTAAACTTGTTCGACAGCTGTCGTCCCATCAGCCCAGGCTCACTCATCTCTTTTGCTTAGCCAGAGCTATGAGCTCGATAGGTACAAGTGAATTACAATACAGAGTCTCAGGTAATACCAAGAGATGTAGAAGCTTATTTCCGAACTTGAATTTTCGACCTCGAATAGAGGTAGTGGGACTATCGAAGCACCGAGTATCGACAATTGCAGTACAAAAAAAATTCAGTACATTTACCGAACCAAACGCCCCGGAATACTCAAAACCTATACCGCAGTAATATACATCATCAACAAAAGTAGCTGAGATTTAAAAGTGCTCAGTCGTTGCTGACTCGACTACCGCGATTTTGCATGACCCATTTCTTGCGAACGAGCTCGCTCTGAAGACGCATGCTTGGATGCTCGACAATCTCCTCCATACTAATATCAACACCTATCTCTGCTCCATAGCACTCTGCAAGATATGCAGCACCAATAAGACTTCCCCAAATCTCAAAGAAAGGAGTGTCGTTCGTCGTTGATTCAGAAAGGCCAGAGCTGGGCGCCAGGACTTTGTTCCAGACCTTTCGTACGGCAGACTCAACACGTGCCCCAGAATCATCGGAAAGAGTCGTCGATGCTTCACAAAGATCATTTGGGCTTTCTAATGAGACTGTACCAGCTTCAATCTGGGGTTGTGAAAGCAATGGCAATGTGGCGCTGATGTTCTTGCGAATGTCGGTGATATACGTGACCAACCTCTCCGCTGCCTGTTCAACGATGCTGGTGGAGATCTTGTCTGTATTGAACAGGAACGAAATCGACATTTCGGTGCCATCAGATCCTGAAGGCTGTGCATCAACGATTAGATCCGCCAAGTCGGACGGTGGGTTCGTAGCCGTCAGTTCGCACTCGACCCCACCAAACGAGAAAGCGCCCGACTCCACAGCTATATGCTGGCATTGAACAATTGTACTGCATCTCGTCCATCGTGGCCATTCGGTGCAATTCCTGACGATTTTCTCCAATGAGTAGTTCTCGTAAGGCATAGCTTCAAGATTTTGGTCACGGACTTGCTCGAGCAACTCCAAAGTCGTGCTGGCTCGGTGCTGGACTCGGATGAGAGTGATATTGATACATGGGCCAACCACCGTATCTATGCTGGGCATTGGGAGGTTGCGTCCAGCAACCAGGTAGCCGAATACGACGTCCCTTGTTCCTGTCATTTCTGCCAAGACGACCGACCAAGCAGCTTTGAGGACAATAGAAAATGTAATCCCGTGCTCCGGAAAACTGGTGTGTAGAATCTGTCGCTTTATTACTTCGTTCACTGGCTGGATACGTGATGGTTTGACTTGATTTATCGCAAGTGTTGTCATCGTAGAACCTGAAAGTAGATTTCGGTAAAATTCTACCGCACCAGTGTCGTGAATTTCGCCGGCGTGGTATGTGAAGTCCGAGAATTGTGGCAGTGCAGAAGAACCCCCCATCTTTTCGTATGCAATAGCAAGATCTTCAATCGTTCGAGGAAACGACATGCCATCGAATTGAGCATGGTTGATGCGTATCGTCAGTCGGAAGCCGTACGCGCCGCCGTCGAAGATCATGAAACGCAAGAATGACCTTCCGAAATGGGCGACTTCCGTGCTGTCTGCTTTTATGATAGCGGAGATGAACTCGTCGATCTCACTCCCGCATTTGTATTGTTTGACCTGTACAGCGAGTGAACGTAGTATCACTTGCATTAGCTGTTGTTCATAGGGAATGAAGACGGTGCGCAGAATCTGATGCTGTGAAACAAGAGCTCGACACGCAGCCTCAAGTCGATTTGCATCCAAAGTTTCCCGGAACTGCAATGTGATGTAGTTTGTCTTTGAATTTTGTTCCATTAATCCAGCAGCAACAAACAAGCTTTGCATATAAGTCGCCTCCAGTATATCTTCAACCTCGGATTCATCGCCGGCGATTCTTCGTTTGATGACTTCACGAAGAAGCCCTTCTCTGGCCAAGTCCGTCAGGGATGAGAGCCGTGTATGTTCGGATGGTTGTGTCGTGGGCGAAAGCTGCAAGATTTCCGCCATCTGTGATAAAGTCGGATGCTTGAATATCTCTGCCACGGACAATATCAAGCCTTGAGACCGGCACGCTGCGACTAACTTGATCGTATTGATCGAATCTCCGCCCAATTGTAGGAATTTACTGTCAGCACTAATCTGTTCGATATCAATATCCAAGACTTCGGCCCACAGCTCCTGTAAATTCTTTTCCAGCGGTGTAGCTGGTTCACGCCGCACAATATTTGATAGACTGTAGAATGCAAGCTGTTCAACTGACAATCCAGATGCCTTTTCACGCAATCTTAGCCGATCAACCTTGCCAGATGTTGTAGACGGAACTGCACCCAGTGGCAAATACGCCGAAGGAATCATGTATGATGGTAGAACCTCGGAGAGTTGTGCCGCCAGATTTGAAAGCAGAGGTAGAAATGCCTCTGTTACCGCTTGATTGGCAGCACCGAATTCGTTATCTTGAACAATATCAGGCCCCAAGCATACAAATGCCACCAATGTTGCGTGACCTTTGCCTTTCTTCGCATGAATTTCAACAAGTTCAACCACAACTCCCTTCGCCGACGGGATAAATCGTCGAATATGATATTCAATCTCACCAAGCTCGACTCTCTGACCGCGCAATTTCACCTGAGTATCTTTCCGACCCATAAATATCAGGGTACCGTCGTCATGAAAGCGGGCAAGATCACCAGTCTTGTACATGCGCTGATCATTATCTACCTCGAACTGATGACGCCAAGCCGGAGGTTTGATGAAGGCAGCTGCTGTCTTTTCTGGGTCATTCAAATATCCACGGGCCACTATTGGCCCTTCAATTATTAACTCCCCCACAGCGCCGAGTGGTGCAAGAGTATGCTGGTTGGAGGGATCCACGATCCAGAATCTGGCTGCCAGAGCACTGCCGACATTCCTTGGGTGAATATCAGGCGTCATGGACGGAAATGTGGCGGCAATAGTCGAACATTCTGTTTGACCATATCCTTGCACAATTTGAACGTGGGGACACCATTTCTCGATGTCTGCTGTGGACATTGCCTCAGACCCGAAAACTAGAGTTTTGACTGATGGGATAGCCTGGGGAGGTATTAATCGTGCAAAGGTCGGACTCATAAACATGAAGTTGATGTTCATCTCTTTAACAACTCCTGGAAGATTTGCTCGCGCCTCATTTGGCACGATGCAAAGACAGCCACCGTGTAGGAGAGTTGAGAAGATCTCCGCAACGGCAGCGCCAAAACTATAAGAAGCTAATTGTAGATTGCGCATAGATGGGCCAAAGAAAGCCTGCTTTGCGTGATGAGGTACACTGGAGCCAAATGCCCTGTGCTCAATCACCACGCCTTTTGGAAGTCCAGTAGATCCACTCGTGAAAATGATGTAGAGAGCACTGGAAAGAGTCGTGCGTCCAGAAATTGTCTCGATTGGTTTTGGGAGCAGGTCTACGGAAGAGTCAATGACTACGACCTTGCTGTGAGACTTTGAGAGCCATTCTTTTTGGTCGGGAGAGCATAGAACCACTGTAGCATCTATCGCTCTCATTATTGATTCCAAACGGGCCCGAGGATGCATTGTCTCCAAAGGTACAATCGCCCCGCCAGCTTTTACAACAGCCAGCATAGCCACCACAGCCCACCTTGATTTCTGGAATAAAAGGGGCACTTTTGTTTCAGCCCCAACGCCGATGTTGATGAGAAGTTTGGCGAGACTGTCCACAGCATCGTTGAGCTCCTCGTAGGTAAAATTGCCATCCCAACTGTTGATTGCGCTTCTTCCAACATTCTGGTGGGCACTTATTTCGAACATCTCATCCAAGCATAATTGAGTGGAGGGAATGGGGTTTCCAAACCAACGTTCCAACTCAATCCGATCATTGGGACTGATCAAATCGAGTTCTTTCACCAGGTGTGATTTTGTGGCGTGGCATATCTGTTGTATCAGATAGTCGAGTTGATCGAGAACTCTCCGCATCTGGGTCTCACTGATCGATTTCGAATCAAAGCCAGCATGTACCTCAATTTCTCTCTTGCCGTTTGTGTCAATGAGAGTACACTGAATGGCCAGAGCATAAGAGCGAAGATTGTCGAAAAGGTCTCCAGCAGCGGTCATCTGAGCCGGGCATATAGAGTTGACATCATTGGCAGGTGGTGGCTGAACGATGAGAAGGTTTTGAAATTGACAAGCCGCGTGGGCACTCTCACTAAGATGCTGTATTTTTTGTAGACCGAGAGTCTCGAAGGGAATAATTTCCGTCGAATGGTTTTGTACCTGACGGAGAAGCTCTGTAACAGGTTTTTGGAAGTCGATGGCCAGCCTGACTGGTACGGTATTGATTGTAGGCCCAGCGATTTTCTCAATTCCAGGAATTGAAGCGGTGCGACCAGCTAGGATCGCTCCGAACACAACGTCTTGTGAGTCCGTATACTTGCTGATCAAAAGTGTCCAGGCAGCGCGAACGATAGTCGAAATGGTGAAATCAGCACTTGCATCCTGGACACTAGGTACATTGATAATGTGGTGCAAAGAAGCATCTGGCTGAGGTTCATCAGTCGTTGGTGCAGACGGTGGAAAGTCTGAAGGCACTGCGTCCTGTAGAGCTGACCGCCAATAGTCCTCGGCTGCTTGGCGAACATTGCTCTTGATGAGGTGTTTGATATATTTATCGAACCCTACAAGCTTCGTGGGCTTTTGATTGTTGTAGGCCTCGGTTAGAAACTTTGAAATAAGAGACATTGACCAAGCATCATACAAAGCATGATGTAGCGTCCAAGCAAAATAACGAGTTCCGGAAGCCGCATCTTGGATTATTGAATAGCGTGTCAATTGCGTACCAAAGCGCATGGAAGGTGCGCTGCCTCGATCGAGAAAGGCATCTAAAGAATCTTCAAAATGCCAGACAGCCGTTTCCTTGACGACCACTTGTAAAAACCCTGTCGGCGTACCGCGGGTAGTCGTTGGACCTTGGACTATCCGAGTACGAAGTATCGGGTTGGATTTGATAGTGATATCCCATGCAGCCTTGAAACGCTCAATGTCTACAGTAAGTGGCAATGGGATTACTGATTGGGCAACATAAGCGCCAGGGGTCCTGATTGACATAGCCATCAGACCTTCTTGAAGAGCCGTGCAAGGGTAAATGTCCTCCAGAGAGTCTTCCGTGATTCCACACTCAGCCGCAGCATGAAGGCGGATTTGTTGTGCTGAGCTAGGCTCTCCAATGAGAGAAAATGGTTCGATATCGTCAGATGGCCCATCGTGTGTGGTGACTGCAAACAAAGCCATGTCACATAGCTTTGGATTTTGGAAAATGTCGGCGGCAGATAATGAGATCCCTTTTGAGCGGAGAACCGCAACAAGCGATATGGCCAGAACTGAGTCCCCACCAAGCTTGAAAAAGTTATCTTTTGCGCCAATCTGTTCTATCTCAAGGCCAATAATGGAGGCCCATGTGGTTTGGAGTTCCCTTTCCATCGCTGTTGAAGGCTCGACTCTGCTCTCCTCGTTGAAAATCTTATAAGCATCTAGCTGTGCAGCAGATAGGCCAGAGACAAATCGCTTGAGTCTTCCTTGATCAGTCTTACCAGAAACTGCAGAAGGTATGCGTCGGATCGGTATGTACGCCGAAGGCATCATGTGCGCCAGCATGACCGTTGATAGACTGTCCTCGACCTCCGAGAGCATCGCAGCGAGGTTTTTTGTCAATATTCTGTCCACATCGAACAGCTCTTGGTCGGAAATATTTAGGTGGTCTGATTTATCGCCCTCAACTGGTAGGAAAGCGACAAGCAATGTTTTGCGCTCAACATGGACCAGCTCTGCGACAATCCTACCAACATCTGGAAGGGCTCGTTGAAGGTGATATTCGACTTCACCAAGCTGAATACGTAGACCGCGGAGTTTGATCTGTGTATCTTTGCGGCCAAGAAAATTGATTGTGCCGTCAGAATTGTAACGAACCAAATCACCTGTAAGTTTCGTGAGTTAGTATCATCAGTGCGGGAATGCTGGAAATCATCATCCGTGCTCTTTCAGGTTGAAAACCCCTGAATTCGAACCCAGACAAATGACTTACCAGTCTTGTACATTCGACTCGGTGATCGATGCTTTGGGAGCCAGACAGGATCAGAGATGAAAGACGTAGCAGTTTTCATTGGATCATGCAAGTACTCGCGGGCCAGTATTGCTCCGTCAATCAGCAATTCGCCAATCGCGCCGACCGGAAGAAGAATATCATGATCAGACGAATCCACAATCCAGAAGTTCGAAGCAAAAGGCAGGCCGATGTTGTTGGGATGTGTGCTCTCCGTGATTCCAGCAAAACGGCTAGCTACTACAGATGTCTCAGTCGGCCCATACATATGGAAAAGCTCTGCGTGCCCCTTCCAACGAGGAATGTCATCCCGTGACAAGGCTTCCCCACCAGTCAACAAGGTTTTGAGAGTTGGCACGCTGTTAGGTTCAATTAATCTTGCCGTTGAGGGAGTTAAAGCCGCCCAATTGATCGCCATGGCGGCTACCGTGCCTGCTATGTCATCCAATCGATTCTGTTCTGAGGGGATGCACACACAGCCTCCAGCTGAAAGAGCTGTGAAGATTTCCAATATAGAGGCGTCGAAGCTGTATGACGCGAATTGAAGTGCTCTTGTGTTTGAATCGACTAACTCCTTTGCATATGCAGTGGAGCTAGAACAGTACGCTTGGTGAGTGATTACCACCCCCTTGGGAGTTCCCGTCGTACCGGATGTGAAGATGATATACAAAGCGTCTTGTGTGCTCCTAGGATGGCGGTAAATGAGATCTGTAGGCATTGCTTGCTCGAGTAGACTGTCGTTCACCACAATGACGTTGTCAGACAGTGGCTGGAGCAGCGAGTGATACTGCTCTGAACACAGAACGGTCTTGGATTGGGTCTGGCTTAGGATGCTCTTAAGCCGATTGACTGGCTGTGACGGTTCCATAGGGACAAAAGCGCCACCAGATTTTGCGACAGCAAGCATAGTGACGACAACCCATTTTGACTTCGCGAAGCACAATGGGACAAGCACCTCAGGAGCAATACCAATATTCACGAGGAGACACGCCAGGGCTGTCGAGTGGCGGTCCAGATCAGAGTACGTGAGTTGGCCATCCCATGCATCAATAGCTGTAGCTTCAGGAAACAATAAAACAGACTCCTGAAAGATCTCATCAATGTATTTCTCGACTGGTGGGAAAGTTGGACGATTCCATTCAGCAATTTCCTGGAAATCCTCAGGACTCAGACTTGGCAGGGCTGCAAGCTTGGAGGAACCTCCTTTGCACAACTGGGTTATCGCATGTTTGAATCCTTGAATAACGCGGCGCATCTGAGGCTGATCAATGACATGGGAATCATAGGTTGCTGAAACGTTCAAATGCGTTTCCGTTAATGTGCATTCTATGGTCAAAGCGTATGATGCGAATTCGTATTCATCACCAGACGGTGCAAATTTGAAAGTCTCCTCGATGGCTTCATCAACCTTTGGTTGTACAACTAACATGCTCCGAAACTGACATGCAGCTTGGGCATCTTTGCCGAGTCGTTGTATGCGTTGCAGCCCCAATGTCTGAAATGGAATTATCGAATTAGAGTGCGCTTGAAAACCTTCCAAGTACTCATCAATGGTTTGGTTATGATGAACCTGGTGGCGAATAGGAACGGTGTTCAGAGTTGGGCCCAAGAGATCTTCAATATCTGGAACAGGTGCAAATCTTCCGGAAAGAATCGTCCCAAAGACAACATCAAGGGAACCAATGTATCGACTAATGACCAGTGACCACGCAGCCCATATGAGTGTTGAGATTGTACAGCTACTTTGACGTCTCGGCGGCAGGGGAAAGTCGTCAGCGAGATTACTATCTGGTTCCGGCTGGTAGTTCGCCGAGGGAGTCGGGGGAAAATCCAGTGGACTGGCTCCAATAAGTTGAGATTGCCAGAAATTTTGGCTCGCTTCTCCGAGATCTCGGTCTACTTCTAAGATGTGTCGAATATAGCGACTGAAGTTGGCAATGCGACATGTTGGTTTGCCGGTGTAGATGTGATTGACGTTTCGCAGGATGGACCGAATTGACCAGGCATCGTATAAAGAATGATGTAGGGTCCACACAAAATATTGCTTTCCGGAGTCAGAAATGATGGCATACCTCGCAAGTTTTCCACCCAAGGTCATAACAGTTTTGCGGTCTTGTTTGAGATATTCGTCAATGCTGTGACTAAAAGCCCAGGCAATGGGCTCTCTGAACACGACTTGCATCGGGCCTCTACCTTTGGTGGTGAATATTCTCGTTCGTAGAATGGGCGCAAGCTCAACAATCTGCTCCCACGCAGCTTGAAATTTGCCTGCATCGAATCTAACCGCTGACAATTCGATTTTGAATTGGGCTATGTATGCCCCGGGGCGTTTGATTGACAATGCAATGAGTCCCTCTTGCATAGGCGTACATGGATAAATATCTTCGATGACATCCTCGGACATATCGCATTGCGACAAAACTTCTTCACATATGGAACTTCCTGAAACTTCATGGCCCAGCAATGTGAATGGGTCTGGGTCACGAACAACTGAAACGTCTCCGCTTTCAACCATCTTGGCCATACTTTGCAAGACTGGCGCCTGGAATACGCTGCTAATCAGAAGAGAGTGGCCGTTGGTCCGCAGCTTCGTTACCAGGTCCATGGCTGCAATAGAATCCCCACCAAGTCTGAAGAAGTTGTCATCTCTTCCAATTCTGTCAACATCAATTCTCAAGGTAGCAGCCCAATGCGCTCTGAGAACAATCTCTGTTGGAGTAGAAGGCGCCACTTTCACATACGGCGATGAAGAAGCGTACGCATTGAGCTCTTCGAGCGAAAGATTGGAAGCGAGCAATGACAATTTCCGCCTGTCTGTCTTTCCGGATCGTGTAAGCGGGAAGCTTCGAAAGAGTAGAACATGAGATGGTATCATATACACTGGAAGCGAGTCGGCTAGTTTTTCGTGGAGAAGATCTAGTTCCTTGCACATCGTGACATCTATTTGGTCGCGAGCTAGAATTTCGTCATCTAAGCCGGTACTGTCACCGGACGACAAGAACGCAATCATAGCTTTTCTAGAGTCGCCGCTTTTCAGCTTAACCATCTCGACAACGACTCCCGTGATTTTGGGGAGAGAAAGTCGCAGCTGATGCTCGACCTCCGCAAGTTCAGTTCTCTGGCCACGAATCTTCACTTGGTTGTCAATCCGGCCTAGATATTTGACGCTACCATTTGAGTTGTAGCATACCAAATCGCCGGTCCGATACATTTTGGATGTGGATGAAAGAGTCCAAGATTTGGCCCAGTCAGGTCTCTCAATGAATGCGGCAGCTGTCAGGTCAGGCTGATTAAAGTAGCCGCGGCCCAAGATTGGACCGTCGATGAGAAGCTCACCAATACCTCCAATCGGACAAAGCCGATTAACATCATCTGGGAGCGTAACCCAGTAGTGAGCGTTGAAAGTTTTGCCAATATTAGAAGCTTCATCACTAGGAACAAGATCGATGTTTGCGCTTGAGAAGATGGAGCATTCTCCTGGTCCGTAGCCATTGATAAGGTGCTGCACATGGCCTGACCACTGCGTGATGTCCGACCCGGAGAGTGCCTCTCCACCGAGCACCAGTGTAACCAATTCGGGAACTTCTGCGGGGTTGATCAATCGTGCTACAGATGGGGTTAAAAAAGTCCAATTCACAGCTAGGCGTCGCATGACCTCAGCTGTCTTAGAGAGACGTTCTTCTTCATTTGGGATGCAAATACAAGCTCCAAAGATCAAAGGAACCAGCAATTCTAGGACCATAGAATCGTGTGCATGGGATCCAAACTATGCGTAGTATTGAGTCAGTATAAGTATTTGAGAGACGTTTTGACTAGGTGGAAAGGCAACGAGAGCCTCAATGCAGGATCCTCGAAGCTCGGATGTTGAGCACCCATTCAGAACAAAAAGTAACCCCCAAGACATGAAACAGGCATGGAGCTCTCAAGCAATAAAAAGCCAAAGTAATCATAGAAAGGACTGACCTGAAAGACCCGTGTCTGCGAGTTGATAAACATTCCCGTGCCAAATGCCACTGCACTAGAACATATTGCTTTGTGCTCGAGATGGTAGCCCTTTGGCATGCCAGTGGTCCCAGATGTGAAAACCACCACTGCGACATCACTAGGGGAGGAGAGGTCGCTGGGCCAGCTGAGATCGGTAGGTGTCATCTCGTCTAGAGTGGTGCTGTCAATGACAATTGTCATTGGAGCCGTGCGAAGTAGGGTTGAACATGAACGTGATGTAAGAAGAAATTTCACGTTTGTAGAAGAGAGAATATGTTCTAGGCGATTCACCGGATGTTTATGATCCAGAGCAATGAGCGTTCCACCAGCTTTGAGAGTTGCCATACTGGCGACAGTCATCCACTTCGAATGCTCGAAACATAATGCAACCGGGGAACCTCGGATCACACCACGGCTTCTCAAAATAGAACACAGTTGGTTCGCAAGTTCGTTCAGTTCTCCATATGTGAGCTGACCATCACAGGACGAAACAGCAGCAAGGTCCGGCGCAAGGACCACCTGCTTCTCGAACATCTCATACAGGCATGCGTCAACCGTATAGAGTCGCTCAGGGTTGTTCCAGATAGCAAGCTCTTTCTTATCCTCTGGGCTGATCAACTCAATAGCACCCATGACTGTTGAGCCATCAGAGGACAAAAGACCGTCGATTATGTATCCAAATTGTTGAATTATTCGTTGTATTTGTCTTGTGTCCAATATCCCAGAGTCGTAGCTGGTCTCCACCGAGATGGTGCTTTCACCGCCAACAGGCTCATGGAGGGAGCATTGGACCATTAGGGCATAAGAGTTGAATCTGTTTACGTCGTCTGCAAGAGTGGACCATGAAGAGCAAACTCCCGGCAAACTCGTTTCTGCTGGCTGAACTACAAGTAAGTTCTGAAACTTCGAGGTAATGAATGCATCCCCGCTGACGGATTGGATGTATTTCATGCCTGTGTGCTGATACGGAATCATCTCGGCCGCCCGATCCTGTATACGCTGCAGAAACGAGGAAGCTTTAGAGTCTTTGGAGTCTAAAATGACGCGAATAGGTACCGTTGCAATAGTTGGACCACTGGTGTTCTCAATGCCTTCCAGAACTGTGTCTCTTCCTGACAAGGTTGCTCCGAAAACGACGTCAGAGGAGCCCGAATATGATTGCACCAGTATAGCCCAAGCAGCTCTGATAATTGTGGATAAGGTGAATTCACTGGAGCACGATCGCTTTGTGAGATTCAACTCGGATTTAAAGATCGCGTCAGCTTTAATTGGGTGTCCTTGAGGTACGGGTGGAAATGAAGGTCGTACTGCCCCATCCAGGTATTCGCGCCAGTATTTATCCGAAGCATCTTTGTCTGAATCGATAGTATATCCAACAAATCGATTGAAAGGCACTTCGGGCAAATGTTCGTTATTGAGTGACTTGTACGCTGCGTCGATTCGCTTCCTGATCGATACCATTGACCACCCATCATACAAGGCGTGGTGGATTGTCCAAACAAAAGATCCTTTGCCAGACTGGCCGGCTTCAATGAGTCCGAATGTTGAAAGTTGTTTGTTAAGAGTCATGGATGTTCGATGATTTTCGTTGAGGGCAGTTTTGATATCGGGCTGTGTCTCCCAGTCGATGTTCTGACTGTGGAGCACTACCTGCAATAATTGTGAAGATGGGCTCTGGAATATTCTTGTGCGTAAGATCGGAGATGCATTGACCACCGCTTCCACTGCTCTTCGAAAGCGACCCAAATCAATGTCCTCCGGGAGTTCGAAAACGAATTGAGCAACATAGGAACCAGGTGTCTTGACGGATGATATAATCAAACTTTCTTGTAATGGAGTGCAAGGGTACATATCCTCAATATCCTCGATCGGAACTGCAAATTGACGCGCCGCCGATTCAAATAAGTCATCTAAGCCGCCGACGAGAAGCTGGAAAGGAGGGATGTTTACTAATGATGAGGATCTGTCATCCTTCATCGTCAGAAGTGCCATATCGGCAAGCTTCGGTGTCTGAAAGATTTGTGGCACTGAGAGCGACACCCCGTTGGCTCGACATGCTCCAACAAGATGAATGGCTAGAATACTATCACCGCCAAGGCTGAAGAAGTTGTCTTCTGCACTGATTTCATCAGCTGATGTCTTCAGCACCCCAGCCCACAAAGTTTGCAAATCCTTTTCGGCTGGGGTTGAAGGCTTGCGATCGATTGCGGCCTCGGGTTTGTAGATGCCAAGCTCTTCGGTCATAGGCTTCGAATAAGAGCATGCAGCTGCTTTCGATCGACCTTGTGAGAAACCGTCATCGGGAGCCGGAATAGCGGAAGAAATAGAGAAGGAATCATATATCTGGGTAACAAGGCCAGTAGATTGTTCTCAAGGTTTCGGATGGACGAGAGGAATGCTGCTATGGCTGGTGTTTTCGCTGCAAGCAAGTCGCGGCCATTACTCTCCGCCATGTGCAGGCACACAAAGGCCACAAGCATAGGATGACTATTCTCGTTTCCGGTGCTGACGACTTCCACAGCAACACTCTTCACTTCCGGTACAAGGCGAAGGATTTGGTACTGGATTTCGCCCAATTCAATACGTTGACCTCTCAATTTGACTTGGTGATCTTTTCTTCCGACATAGATGATATTCCAAGTATATCGTAACGAACCAGGTCTCCCGTTTTGTAGAATCTGCGGCGGATGGTAGGGTTGCCCGATTGGGTTGTCATTCGAGTCTGTAAAGTTTTTGACCACTCGGGGTCCTCAATAAATGATTGCTTCGTCTGTTCGGCATTGTTGAGATAGCCACGTGCTAAAATAGGCCCTTCGATTAAGAGCTCGCCCACGGCGCCGATCGACATCAGTCGATTGTGATTGTTGACGTCTGTAATCCAATAGTGTGCGTTGAATGTTTGGCCAATGTTCCGTGGATCCGATTTCAAGTCCAGGTCAACGAATGCACTAGAGACGACACTGCATTCTGTAGGACCTTTATTATAATCAAAGTTAGTAAGTTACTCTCGCATAATGAGCATTGAGCGAAGTTGAAAATCGAAGAACGTGGGAAAGGGATCGAAGTAAGTGTGCTCGTGTAGGGCATCTAACGTACCGTAGGCATTGATGAGGTGTTTGATGTATGGAGCCCACTGGGCAATGTCCTCCCTTTCAAGTGGCTCTCCACCAAGAAGAAGGACCTCTAAGCTTGGTACAGTCTTTGGGTCAATAGTTCGAGCAACCGTAGGCGTAAGTAGGGACCAGTTAACCTTCAACTGAGACATCGCACCACCTAGATCATCAAGACGATCCTTGTCGGAAACAATGCAAATGCAACCTCCAAATATGAGGGGAGTCAACATTTCCAAGATGCTGATGTCAAAACTGTAAGAAGAATAGAGGAGAACTCGGCTGTCTGAGGTAATAAACATTCCATTTCCGTAAGCAGTGGCGCTTGAGAGGAAAGCGCCGTGTTCAATAATGACGCCTTTAGGCAAGCCGGTACTGCCACTTGTGAAAAGTCCGTATAAAGGGGCCGTAGATGGCGTGGTTGGCAAGGCGTCATCTGAGGTGGTGGCTGGAAGAGGAAGACTCTCGAGAAAATGTCTGTCAATGACCAAAACATGGTCACACGTTGATAGGAACGAAGTTCGGTACTCTCCCGAGCAGACCATAATGTTAGCCTGCGACTCGGAAATGATTTGAAGACGGCGTGATAGAGGATGGAACGGGTCCAAAGGTACGATTGCAGCCCCGGCCTTGAATGTGGCCATTATTGCAACCATGGTCCACACAGATTTTTCGAAGCATAGAGGGACGAAAGATCCTGGCTTGACGTTCATCTGGGCCACCATATAGTGAGCCAATCGAGTGGAAAGTTCATCTAAGTCTGTGTAGGTCATTGAGCCATCCCATGAGCATACCGCCAGAGCATCCGGGCGCAGCTGCTCCTGCTCCTTGAAAATGACGTGGAACGAGGAATCAACCGGAGCTAACGGTGAAGAATTCCACTGCATGATCTCTGCCTCATCTGCTGAGCTGATTGTTTCGATGTCATTAATTGTTCTTGAGCCCTGCACAGAGCCTAGCTGGCGGACTAGATGTTCGAGGAGATTCATATAACGCTGTACCTGCGAACGATCGATGATTTTTTCGTCGTACGTAGCTCTTACTACCACATCGCTCTCTGCGAGCAAGCATTGGACGATCAGAGCATATGAGCCATAGTCTGACAATTCTCCAGCCAATAGGTTCCTAGCAGAGAAGATACCACAAGAAGTTTCAGCCGGAAGCGGTTGGATAAGCAGATGACTTTGAAATCGGCATGCAATTCGCGCCTCCTCGCTCGCACTTTGAATATTCTGTAGCCCAGAATGCTCAAACGGAATCATTGCGACCGAATGATCTTGAACATTCTGCAAGTATTCGTCTACACTCATATCGCGAGACCACCGAATGCGTACAGCTAGTGTAGCAATGGTCGGTCCGATCAACGTATCCAGGTTTGATAAGGGTGCATTTCTTCCCGCAAGTGTGACTCCAAACGAGACGTCATTTGACTCGACATAGCGGCCGATGAGAAGTGCCCAAGCTGCTCGTATAAGTGTTGGTAAAGTGAAGCTGGTATTCGCTTTTCGAGAAATGCTGAATTTGTAATCTAGGATTGACTGGGCATGTGGCTGATAGGTTGGTGGGGAGATATATGGAAAGATTGGCGATTGAGCGTCTTTGAAGTAAAGTTTCCAAAACTGCGTGGTAGATTCGGTCTTGACATTCAACACCTGTTGGACGAACTGATTGAATTTGGTGGGCTGAAGAACAGATTTACCTGCGTAGGCGCCATCAACATTGCTCTTTATCAAAGGCATGGACCACCCGTCGTAACAAGCATGGTGTATGGTCCAGACAAAATGGACTGCGCCAGTGCCCGCGTTTCGCACGATTGCATAGCGTGATAGCGGCTGGCCAAAGCCCATATTGACATTGCGGTCCTTCTCCAGATAGTCTTTTAGCGATATCTCGTTCTCAACCGAGGTCTGGATCCATGGGTCTTGAGAAGTGACCACAACTTGCACTGATCCAGCGATTGGACTCTGAATGATGCGTGTCCGTAGAATAGCACAAGCCTGAATTGTTTGTTTCCATGCATTCTGGAACCGGGAGATGTCTGTTCCCTTGGGTAATTCGGTGACATCTTGGGCAACGTAAGATCCCCTTTGCTTCAGTGACATTGCGAAAAGACCTTCTTGCTGTGGAGTACAAGGATATATGTCCTCAATCAAATCAGCATCATGTATATCGGTGCATTGTGCCAACGCTTCATCGTATAGAATGCTGATGGTCTCTCCCTCCAAAAGGGTGAATGGTACTACTTCTAATTGTGGGGAGTCACTGAAAGTCACTGTCGCAGCTAACGTTGAGAGATCTGGTGATTGAAAGACAGACGCCACGGACAATAGTATTCCATCTGCCCGACATGCTGCCACGAGTTTCATTGCGGAGAGCGAATCGCCACCCAGCTTGATGAAGTTATCATCGGCGCTGATAGTAAGAGCATCCAACTTCAGAATTTGCGCCCAATGCCTTTGCATTTGACACTCCAAATCGGTTGAGGGTCTTCTTCTGTTCGTGGTCTGACTGTGCTTTGTCTTGTTTTTGGCGAGAAAGTCTCGTGCAAGGTGACGTAGTATCTTCCTATCGAGCTTTCCAGATTGATTGAGCGGCAGCTTTTCCAGGGGAATGAAGCTTGATGGGATCATGTGAGCAGGGAGTGAATCCGAAAGCTTCGCCGCCACCCCTGCTGTAGCGGACGACAAATCATGTCTCGAGGTATCAAGCTGATGTTCAAGATCGGTATTGTCGTCCAATGGAATGCCAAAGTAGACAAAAGCAACAAGGGACGTATGGTTATTGTCAGAGACAACTTCCACAATGATATTACTGACTGTTTCTGGCAAGACAAGACGAAGATGGTGTTCAACCTCCAGCAGCTCCACACGCTGGCCCCGGATTTTGACTTGCTTATCTTTCCGCCCAACGAACGTGATTGAACCGTCAGTGTTGGAATAGCCGAGATCGCCTGACTTGTAAAGTCTTTGGGAGGCACTGCTTAGAAGAGAATTCCTTGTCCAAAGTGGATCGTGGATGAAAGACGCAACCGTCTTTTCGGGATCATTCAAGTAGCCCCTTGCCACAAGTGGGCCTTCGATCAAAATCTCGCCAATGCATCCAAGTGGGCAGAGTTTATTGTGATCCAAGGAGTCTACAATCCACGTTCGAGCTCCCATGTTCCAACCCAAATTGGAAGAGCTGGTATCTTGCCTAACCCCTGGAAAGCTTGTGCAGAGAATTGTGGTCTCCGCCGGTCCATAAGCATCAACAAGAAAGACCGAATTTGCCCATTTGTAAACAATCTCCTGAGAGATGGGCTCGCCGCAAAGAACGAGAGTCTCCAATGTAGGAACAGAAGATGGTTGAAGGAGACTTGCAACGCTGGGGGTGAGACAAGCCCAATTGACTCCCATTCTATTGATGAACCCCTCCAGATCATTGGATCTCTCATCCTCGGAAGGAACGCAAATGCAGCCGCCGCTCATGAGAGTATTCAAAACATCCCCGTTGCTGATGTCGAAGGTATAGGCTGCGAATTGAAGAACACGCGACTTTGGCCCGAGGCGCAATGCAGCTTTCTGCGAGCTGCCACTCACACAAACAGAACCGTGCTCAACGACAATGCCCTTAGGCTCGCCAGTTGTCCCGGAGGTAAAAGTAACATACGCCGGATTCTTTGAGTGAACGGTAGTGCAGGCGGGGGAATCAATGATTGGTAGGGCTTGCAAGAATGCTTCATTGATAGGGACAATGGCGATAGGCAGTCCTATAAGCAATTCGGAATGTTGCTTCGATGTGATGATGATTTCGGCTCTTGAGTCCTGGATGATCTTGTTGAGTCTCCTCATGGGGTGTTTTGGATCAAGGCCCACGCAAGCTCCGCCGGCCTTGAGAATTCCGATCATAGCTATCACCGCCCATGCTGACTTTTCGAAACAGAACGGCACAATAACTTCGGGGCCCACTCCTAAGGATTTGAGATAGCGTGCTAACCGACCTGAAAGCTCATCTAGCATGTGGTAATTGATTTGTATATCTCGTGCGGCGACTGCGATTGCTTGAGGTTGTTGCCTTGCTTGCAACTCGATCAAATGGTGGACGCATGAGTCTATGGTAGGGGTTGGAGCAGATGCCCAGAGATTCATTTCGCGGATATCGGCGTGACTGAGCAACTCAAGCTCGGAGAGCGTTTTATCGAAGCTTTCATCCAAGGACAGCTGTTCCAAGATGTGCTCGAATTGGAGCAAGATCCGTCTCACTTGCTTTGGATGAATCAAACTTTCATCGAAGTGAGCTTTGATGACAAAGTGCTCATCGTTGAGTTCGAATGCGAGGATTAAAGCGGACTGGTCTTTGCTGGACTGAGGGAGCCTGGGTTGATTAGAACGCCAGATACAAGATCCCCGAATGAAAAGTTTATTGATCGCCGCATCGGGAAGAAAGCCGGAATATTGGAGCTTGATGGCGCGAACAATGTCCAGAGTCGTAAGATTCCCATCGGTCGAAATCGCAATTGAGTGAAATTCAGTGTCGTCTTGGAATCCCACTTCGAGAGACACGCTGGGCGATGCTGTGTAGGACCCAAGAAGAACTGCCCAGGCTGCCGATATCTCAGCGATTGTGTTGATGAGATCGTTGCTGGCTGGCTTGATCACAATCACGTGCATCTGGTGGGCCAGCTGAATTTCCGGGGACGAAGAGGGCGGAGAGGAAGAAGCCAGGCCCAGCTCAGAGGACTTAAAGTCCGATATGCCAACTTCATTTGCGGCATTTGATGACGCTGGGACTGAGGAGGTTGTATTCGAAAAGATTGAATTCGATGAAGCTTCTGAAGACAGATCGTCAAGGACCTCTTCCGAGGCCCTGTGGTCCCCAAGTTGATCTGGGATCGATCCAAGTTGGCCACTGGGCATATTGGTATTGTCGCCGTCATAAACATTTCCACTATTTCGACTAACAAATGGAAGAAATTCAGATCGAGATCGAGAATCGTCTGCCATCATGCGAATATGACTTGTGAAGCGTCCTGAATGTTTGATAGTTGGAACTTGGAGAAAGTCACGTGTATTTTCACGATGTTTGGTTTGTGTGCAACAGCCAATACTGAATTACTGCTGCGTTTCTGGTACCCGCAGCAAACATCATGTTAAGGGGCCTCGTCAATGGCAACTTTCGAGTAGGCCATGGCACAAGCCAATGAGCTGAGACTCCTTCAACTCAGTGAGACGGCTGTGCGAAACGAGATTGGGGGCTGCAAAATCCTCCCCCAGCAGCCTCATTAGGCGCAGGGATGAGAGTGGCGATGAGGTGACTGGCTGTAACTCAAAGCAACCTTCAATGCAGACTGAGTAAGCCAGTCTGAGTAATATCTCAACTTTGAAAGGTACTCGAGTGGCACAGCTTGATGGCTTACGTTGTTTTCTGAGCTGGTGGTGCAGGTTCGTAAACAGTGGAGAGTGGCTTGCTTCTCAGCCAGCTGTGCCGCTTGGCATGCTGTTCTCGCGATACATGGCATCCGCAATGGTTGAATGGAGATTTGAGAAGGGAGAAGAAGCTCTCGCGAATATAGACTTTCGAAGGATGGATACATTCTATTTTGAGCAAGTCCTGGTGTTGGTGAGGTGAGGTAATGGTGTTTGGAAATCGCAATGGAAGAGGTTGGGTCTGGGGGTTAGCGTCAAACGCTTGCACGTGCCGACTCCGAGCCGAGTCTCCTGTTGAACTAGCTAAAGCTAGGGTTACGTGCTTGCAATGTAAACCAAGTAAAACGTACTGAATTGACTGCTGTTCTACAGTGGTAAGTAGCCCGTATATATAGCCCTGAACCCCCTAAGTCACATGTACTAAATCCCTATGCCAGCTGAACTGATTACAGCTATACAGGGTATTCCAGCTATACAGGGTATTCCAGCTATACAGGGTATTCCAGCCGTACAGGGTATTTCAGCCGTACAGGGTATTCCAGCCGTACAGGGTATTCCAGCTATACAGGGTATTCCAGCCGTACAGGGTATTCCAGCTATACAGGGTATTCCAGCTGGACAGGGTATTAAGCTAGTGCACAGCCCCATGGCGTTCGGTTCCAGGGCTTACTAAGCCTATTAGGGGCCTCAGGCCCCTAATTTCAACAGTCCCCTTACATACCACTGAAAACAGCCCTAAGGAAATAAATCCAAAAATCACCGCTTTACTTACTAAAGCTCCCAGAGCCTTAGTACCCAAAAATCAAAAACAGCCCAAAAAACAGCCTGTAATTCCATAATTACAGTGCAAATAGCCCCCTAATGCAGCGCCTAAGGGCCGCAAGCGATAGGGGCTTGGTAAGCATATCAGCTACCATTTCCTCAGTAGGGATATACTCAATAGTAACCTTATTAAAGGCTACTAGCTCCCTAATATAATGGTAGCGGACGTCAATATGCTTGGTTCGGCTGTAAGCTACAGGGTCCCTAGCCAGTGCTATACAACCCTAATTATCGCTAAATATAGGGGTTGAGAGGGTAGTACCCAAATATTGGGTACGTTCAAGCTCCCTGAGCAAAGCCCTGATCCACTGGCCCTGTTTACTAGCCTCTAATAGGCTAATATACTCCGATTAGGTGGTGGAAGTGGCCACACAGCGCTATTTAACAGAGGACCACGTAACAGGTCCCCTATTAAGCAGGTATAAGTGCCCTATAGTGGAGCGTCTGTCTACTATATCCCCTGCAAAATCTGCATCGTGTGGTACGGCAGGCCGTACTCGTCAAAAATCATGTTGTTTTGGCGGTTTTGAGGTTTAGGTCACATGGCAAAGGCCGCGGCCTTTTGCACGTGACTTGCGGAAATCACATAAGAAAGCTAGTTTTTCTATAGACTTAGAAAATAATCCTTTATAAGTATTTAATTAATTAAGCTTTTGCATACTATATACTATTTATGCTTTACTATTTATGCTTTTAATTTATTATTTTGCTATTAAATCACGTTTTGCGCTCTAGTATACTTTATATAGGTTTTTGTCTTATTATAGTTTCCCTCCCATATATTTTATAGTAAGTAATACAGGAAAGATAGAAACTTCATAGTTAAGGTAATACTCTTATAAAGTTCTGAGGGATATCTATAAGGCGGATTATTAGCTTAGTAAGTTAGGAGAGAAAAGGGCTATTATAATACCTTAAGCCTAAGGCTAAAATATTAAGGATATATAAGTATTAATTTCAGTATCTTACGTTAATTTCCGATATATCTAGTAACTTAGGTACGAGTTAGCTACAAGATATAGTTACTAGTATAATATATAGGAATAATAGAAATAGAGGCTAATTATAGAAGGAAAAGAAATAAAAGAAATAAAATAAGAAATATTATACTAAGATAGTATAAATTAGATCTTAGTTAGAAATAGACTTTAGTACTCGGAAATAAAATTATACTATTAATTTATATATTATTTTTAGTTATAGTAAAGACCGGAATAGAGGTAGTATTAGTTTTAATAAAAAAGCTTATTCCTAAATCCGGAAAAAATATCTAAAAGAGGAAATATCCTTAATTTTAAATAGAATAATAAATAGGAATCGGAAATAAAAATTAAAAAGAAATCAGAAATAAGAAATTATATAAATAAACTAGAGAAGCTTCTAAAAAAAGAAAAGAATACTAAATAAAGAAATAAAAGAGAATTTAGAAAAGTCAGAAAAATTAGCGAAATTATATTTATTATTTTTATTATTACTTTTAATAGTATTATTAGATATACCTAGTTTAGTAAAAATAAGAAGAAATACTATAAGTATTAAGCTAATAAAATAGGAAAGAAAATATAAGTAATAGAAATAAGACTAGAAAAGCTATTATTTTATTACTACTAATACTAAAACTCAAATCCCGACTATATCTATTATTATTAACTAATTTCTCTCTAATTCCGGTTCCTAAATTAAAAGATATACTTAAATAAGAAGTTAGCTCTTTAGAAACCTTATTAGTAGAAGTCTTAGATATAGAAACTCTATAATTAATTATAAAGAAAAATATTAAGATTAATATAGCCAAGAATAAATATATACTAGTACCGGATTTAAATCTACTACTTATAAGAGTTCCTAGAATATTATAGTTTTAGGGAAATAATATCTCTATATTCTTGGAATAATATATAAATATATATAAGAACTATTATATTTCTAATAATACTAAAAAAAAGAGAATTATTTATTATATTTCTCTTATTTATAAGAATTAGATTAAGGCTATACTAGAGTACTATATTAATAACTCAGGAAATTACTAGAAAACCAAGTTTTTTAAGGCCTTACTAAAGGAATTCCGAGAATATAACTAGAAAATACTTAAAATTAGCTATAACTTTCTTAATTAGATTATTATATAAGCCTAGAATAAAGAAATCTTATTCAAGTCTTATATTAATATATTTAATAGAATATTAAAGAAATTACTAAAGAAAAAAGAAAGAAATAAAATTACTTAGTATTAAGAATTTATAAGGGAATTATTTATTCTAGTAAGAAATTATATTTTTAAAAATATAAACTTTAAGCTTATAAATATTTCTACTTATAAATATAGTAAAATATATAAGAAAGTAGTAATATTTTATTAATATAAAGAAAAAAACATTATTTTAATATTACTAATAACTTAAATATATTTAGACTTAAATAAAAATACTTAAATATAGTAATTTATAATATAATTCCTAAGCCAAAAAATAATTATTTTTTACTAGTTCTTTCTATTATATTTCTTAAAACTACTATAAGTATAAGTAAGAAAAGAACTCAGCCTATAGCTAATTATATAAAACCTATTAAAAGTAGTAAACCCAAAAAAAAATATTAACTAGCTAGTAAGAAGCCTGGAAAAACTATCTATTATTACTATAACTCAAGAGAATTTATAGAAATAACTTAATATAGCTATTATTATAATTCGGGAGAATATTTATAGATTATTTATATAATCTAGCTAATTATAATAAATATAATAGTATTAATAGCCTAGTAAATATAATTCGGGTTTTTGGGGAAAATATACTAAAAGTTATAGTAAAGGTTATAGAGAATACTATAGTAGTTATAATAATTAAACTAGAATAAATAAAGAATCTAGATAACTATATTCTAGAGAAAGTTAGTCTCAAGTATAATTAGAGAATACTATTTAAGTTAATATAGCCTATAATATAGACCTAGAACTAAGAAAACGAATTTATTATAAGTATTATAATAAAAACAAGAATAATAATATTAATCCAGAATATATCTATATTTCTTAGTTTTATTACTTACTAATAAAAGAGCTTATAAATTATAAATATATTTACTAATTTAATAGAAAATAATATAAAGAGCTATTTAAGCCTAAATAAGAAAGTATTTCCTTTTTCCTTACTAATAAGTACTAGTAGTTTAACTAAATTATTTCTCAAATCTAAGAAAAAGAATTTAACTATAACTTAAATACTTAATCCAAAAATATCTAGAAATTAATAAAAGATATCTAGTTTACTAAGCAAGAAAGAAAAAAGAGAACTAGCTAACCGGAATCTATATATAAAAGCAAGTAAGTTATATCTAGGGAATCTAAATAGCTACTTTGCCTTAGAGAAAATTATATTAGAATTACTAATACTTCGGATTCTAAAATTAATAAATAGTACTAAAATTTAGCTATAAATAATATTTCTATTAATACTATAATAAGTTCCTTATTAAGAAAAAAGAAAAAAGAAATAGAAATAGCTAAAAAGATTTTCTAAAAACAAGCTAGAGTAAAAGAAAAGCTATCTTATATAAGAGGCCAGAAGAATACTATTTCAAGAAATAATAAATAAGGAAATAGCCTAGCTAGGAATATAAATATTAATACTTCCGGGAATAAATAGAATAAATTAGAAACCTAATATATTCTTAATTATAATAAGTATAAGATTCCTAAAATTAATAATATTTTAATAAGATTACTAAAAAAAGTAACTATTTTATTCTCAAGA